CCATCCGATGCTGCATCCACCAAAGAGGAAGGACGATGTCGAACGCACGAACCTAGCTAGCGGCCAGCAGCAAAGCAGAGTCGTCCTGAGGACAGTGCCGGTAGCAATCCGCGGACCGAAAGGTGTGGTGAACACGGCAGCACTACTGGATGAAGCATCAACGGTCACCCTGCTGGATTCAGACATCGCAAAGCAGGTGGGCGCAGAAGGGCCATGTAGGCCATTGACGCTAGCATGGACGAACGATATGTGCCAGCAAGATCCTGACTCCAGGGAGGTCACAATCACCGTGAGCGGTCAGGACGGAGACCTCCAGCTGTCGGCCCGGACTGTGCGTGAGCTGCACCTACCAGCCCAGCATGTCGACATCAACCATCAGCGACAGCGTTGGCAACACGTGAGCAGCGCAGACATCCCTCTCAGTGCGACAAAGAAGCCGCGCTTGCTGATTGGCCAGGACAACTGCCATGTTATCTTGCCCAGGGAGACGATCGAGGGCCCACCCAACGCACCCACACTGAGCCGGTGCAAGCTGGGGTGGTCGATACACGGCCAACTCGGTGGCGCTGATCAGGTACTGCATGCCCGACTTGACACAGCGGAAGAAGGCAGTGCCGAGGACACGGATATCAGTCTCCACCAACAGGTGAAGCACTACTTCACCACAGAATCGTTCGGTGTACAAGTCCGCAGCGAGAAAATACGCTCGCAGCAGGAAGCGAAGGCGGAAAGGATCCTGGAAGTCACCACGAGACGTATCGGGGAACGATGGGAGACCGGCTTGCTGTGGCGAGACGCTGACGTAAGCCTACCGGAGAGTAAAACGTCAGCAACGCGCCGCCTCCTGTCCATTGAACGCAAGATGGACAGGAACCCCGCATTCTCTGAAGCGTACTGCGCCAAGATTGCACAGTATATTGACGACGGATACGCCACCAAGCTCACACACTCCCAGCTCCAGATGCCTTCTCAGAGAGCGTGGTACCTGCCACATTTTGGAGTGACAAACCCCAACAAGCCAGGCAAGCTGCGCCTAGTATTTGATGCAGCTGCGCCAAGCCACGGGGTCAGCCTCAACGATGCCCTGCTGCCAGGCCCTGACTATCTCAACCCTCTTACCAGTGTGCTGTTCAAGTTCAGACAACACCGCGTGGGGTTCGGAGGGGATATCCGACAGATGTTTCACCAAGTGCACATCCGACCTGACGATCAGCCTGCACAGCGGTTCCTTTGGCGAGGCAGTGACAGAGACCGTGAACCTGATGTCTACCAGATGAGAGCCATGACATTCGGCGCTGTATGTTCGCCAGCATCAGCCCAGTATGTAATGCGAAGAAATGCAGACGAATTCCGGCACAGCGCGCCAGATGCAGTTACTGCAATCCATGACAAGCACTACATGGACGACTACTTCGACTCGACGCCGACGGCAGAAGAAGCAGCCCAACGGATCAAGGAAGTGAGTCAAATCCAGGAAGCCGGAGGCTTCTCCATCAGAGGCTGGGTCAGCAACTCACCTGATGCTCTTGCTGCCGTACCCCCAGATATATGCTCACCATCGGTAGTCACTATTAGCAGCGACAACGAGACTGTAGTGGAGAAGACACTCGGTCTGAAGTGGTTGCCACGAGAAGACGCGTTCGGCTTTAGTCTGAGCCGTAGACTGGAGCAAAGCAGCACAACAGAAGTGACAAAACGTGAAGTCCTACGCAAGCTGATGTCTGTGTTCGACCCCCTTGGTTTCTTCACCTACTACACCACGTCGGCTCGCATTCTGCTACAAGACATTTGGCGCACAGGCGTCGGATGGGACGAGCCACTACCAGGACCTCTCGTCCAAAGATGGACGGACTGGTGGACGGGAGTGCACAACCTCGGAAGCAGGTCAATTCCGCGTTGCTACTGCACGGCTATTGCGGACAGAAAGGACCTGGAGCTTCACGTGTTCGGAGACGCCAGTGAGTCGGCATTCGCCGCAGCTGCCTACTTCAGGCTATCGCTACCTGACGACAGCACCAGAGTCGCATTCGTGTTTGGCAAGTCCCGAGTTGCACCACTGAAACCCGTATCCATACCGCGGCTGGAGCTGCAAGCTGCACTGATGGCCAGCAGAATGGCCGACACCGTCCGGAAAGAGCATGATCTACCTATCGACCGCATCGTGCTCTGGAGTGACTCTATGACTGTCCTACGATGGATCCGAGCAGACGCCCGTCGATTCAAGCCATTCGTAGCACATCGTATCGGAGAGATTGAGGAGCTCACTGACGTATCGCAATGGCGGTGGGTCCCGACACACAGCAACCCAGCAGATGCAGCAACGAGAGCCCCATCCGAGATATCAGCAGCGCAGCACATCTGGACGAATGGTCCTGAGTTTCTGACCAAGCCAGAGTCTGAGTGGCCAGTAGAGAATCCTGGGCGAGACACTACCACCAGCGACGACCAAGCCGAGATGAAGGCAGAGTTTACTGCGGTAGTCACCAAAGAAGCGCAGTTAGCCCTGCCAGATATCAGCCGCTTCTCATCCTGGATTCGGCTGATGAGAACGACAGCATGGATCGTCAGATACGTCAACAACCTGCGTGCGAAAGCGTCAAGCAAGCCCACAGTCACTTGCTCTGAGTTGCTGCCATCGGAGTACCAGCAGGCCCAGAAGCTGTGGTGGAAGAAAGCACAGCAAGACAGCTTCCGGGAGGAAATTGGCGACCTGCAGAAGCACAGCAATGTGAGCAGCAGCAGCAAACTTCGAGACCTCTCACCTGTGCTAGATAGCGACGGTGTGGTGAGAATGCATGGCCGAATTCGAAGTGCACCACCCGGAAGTCCACTGACGCCCGAGCCTGTCATCCTGGACCCGTCGCACCCATTCACACAGATGCTCCTTCAGCAGTACCATGTCTGGCATGGACACCATGGTCAGGACAGTGTGGCAAACGACGTCCGCCAGACGTATTGGGTCTTGAAACTACGCACAGCCGTCCGCCGTACCTGGACTGTATGCCAGCAGTGTAAAAATGAACGCGCGCAGCCAACACCACCTCAGATGGGACAGATTCCCGACGCACGCGTTGCCACGTTCATCCGCCCGTTCACACATTGCGGCATGGACTATTTCGGGCCACTGACAGTCACTATCGGACGACGTCACGAGAAGCGGTACGGCGTGATATTCACCTGCCTTACGACCCGAGCTGTACACCTGGAGCTGTCACACGACTTGACAACAGACTGTACCATCATGGCAATTCGCCGGTTGATCAGTCGCAGAGGGTGCCCTGGAGTGATCTACTCGGACAACGGCACCAACCTACGAGGTGCAGCAAGAGAACTCAAGGAATCATTGGACCAGCTGGACCAGACACGCCTCACAGCTGAGCTCACACCGAGAGGAATCAAGTGGGAGTTCAATCCTCCGGCAGCCCCGCACATGGGGGGAGCGTGGGAGCGACTAGTGAGGTCCGTGAAAACCGCCCTGAGAGCCGTGCTCAAGGAACGTGCTCCGCGTGAGGATACACTCATCACGCTTCTTACAGAGGTTGAGACGATACTCAACAGCCGGCCGCTCACACATGTGTCCTCTGACCCAACTGACGACAACAGCCTGACGCCGAACCACTTCCTCCTAGGGACGCCATCAGCAGCACCAGTGCCCGGAGTATTCAGTGGTGATGACCTACATCTGCGCCGGCAGTGGCGCATCGTGCAAGTGCTAGCAGACCATTTCTGGCGTCGCTGGATTAAGGAATACTTGCCAACGCTAGCCCGGCGAACCAAATGGCACGGAAGAACAGAGAAGAAGGTGGAAGTAGGTGATGTGGTGGTCATCGCCGACGACAACGCAGTGAGGAACACATGGCCGAAGGGGATAGTGACGGCGACCTATCCCGGCAGAGACGGCCTGGTGCGGGTAGCAGATGTCAAGATGCAGACTGGTGTGTTCCGCCGGCCGGTAGCCAAGCTCTGCGTGCTAGATGTCCGTTGTGTTAGTGACGGATAAATCGTCACTGGGGAGAGGATGTTGCCCCCGTAGGCGACGTTGGCGACAAGCAACACCCGTCGTATGCAACTTACTTTGTATCCACTGCTACACTTTCTGTAGTCTGGGCTTCACGTATGACACTGCTATTGATGTATTGACTTTCAGTCGGCTCCAGTTACAACTGCCGGTACACATGATACATGAACTGTCTGACCCCTTTCATGCATTCGTATGCAGCTGTCACCTAACACCGGCACCGCTTTTGTCATCTACTTGTACTAGTATGTATCATTTGCCGCTACGCTAGGATCGGGATTGTAGTCCGTGATCCGTAGGCGTAGATGGGGCTTGTTTTCCTTGGTGTGTAGGAGTTTTTAGGTTCCTGCTTCGGTGGTGCAGGTCACTAGTTTTTGGTCATTCTTGTTTAGTATGAGTTAGCTGTTTGGCATGAGAATGAAAGAGTAATAATACAGTCTTCTAATAATACAGTAACGACGTTACGTTTGTGGAATGGTGAATCAAGACGAGAGGTAAAAACAACTACACTGTATTAGTATTACCAAGAGTTCATTGGGTTATGGACTCTTGGTATTACCAAGACCGTAAGCAAGAGTATAACATGCTCTCATGGGAGCTTATTAATTTTCAAAATTACTGCTCTAGTACTAGTAGTAGTAGTACAGTCTAGACTAAATGCCCATTATTTCGACTCAGCTAGATCAGAAGAATCTGATCATTATGTGTAGCTAGCTAGATGCATCGATGATAATCGATAATATCTAGCAGATCAGAATCGCCGAGCGCTAGCGCTAGCCGTAGTATGCTAGTATAGCGCTAGCATAGAGATTATATCGATAACGTCGACGATCGCGACGGATACTAGTATGTTCACGTGCAGGCACCGTGGTCAAGTGCCAAGTGGTGCACGTGGCGATGATGTCACTGAGAAATTCGAAAATGCTGAGACGGTGAGAGAGAGGCATTTTCTTCTTGAAATAATTACTTGAACTGGTTGAAGTTCTTCTTTACTTCGCTGCACTGCTTACGAACATCCTTGCGAGACCAGCCATAGCCTGCACCGCAGCTAATAATTATAAGACCTAGGCCAGCTTGCAACAATCGTAACATAGGCACCAGGTCAGCTTGCTGCTTATTCTTATTATTTTCTTTTGGCAATGAGTCCTCTGCATCGTCTTTCAAGTTCGATCTGAAATAGAAGTTCGAAATGGCCAGCAGCGAATTGTTTCAGAATTTACTCACTCCTGAATCCCTGAAGACGTTAGTGAGAGGCTGGCTGGCCGAGGACACACCTGCTTTTGACTATGGCGGTGCTATAGTTGGCAACAGGCACGAGAAGGCTGTGTTGCTTGTCAAGAGCAGTGGGGTCCTGTGTGGAAAGCCGTTTGTTGACGCGATCTTCTCCGAGCTTGATTGTAAAGTCAATTGGCTCAAGAATGAAGGAGAAGATCTTGTGCCAGTATGCGAAGTCGCTGAAGTAACAGGCCCCGCTCGACGGATTCTCCTCGGAGAGAGAGTGGCTTTGAATTGCATGACAAGAGCTAGCGGAGTAGCGTCCATGGCTAGGAAGTTCGCATCCATCCGTAGCCAGCATGGGTGGAAGGGAGAAGTGGTGGGAACGCGCAAGACCACGCCAGGATTCCGTCTGGTGGAGAAATATGCCTTGTTGGTTGGGGGTGAGTACACTACATTAGTAGCGTTAGCTATTAGGCAAATGGCTCATGGAGTACAGAAGATGGAGTAAGCACATGGCACATATGCACCCACACGCCATCCCCCCCCCCCCCCCCCCACACACACACATGCGGACACAAGCTCGTACACACCCACACAGACACCATAGCACACAGACACGATCCCGCACACGCACGCACACGAATACACCCACACACAAACACACCGTGACATATGCTGGCGGGTAGGTGAGAGTTGCATCCTATGTATGATCACTGCAGCAATAATTATTCATCAAGTTAGTTCACCTATGCCTATGCCACTCTGTCTTGTGTGACACAATGGCTTTGTAGGTATGGGAACACATCGCCATGACCTGAGCTCCATGGTTATGTTGAAAGACAACCACATCTGGTCAGCCGGTGATATCAGCAGTGCCGTATCTAAGGCAAGGTCGGTGTGCGGCTTTGCTGTGAAGATCGAGGTGGAGTGCAGGTCATTGCGCGATGCACAAGAAGCGGCCACGGCTGGTGCTGATATTGTGATGCTGGACAACTTTTCACCCAGCGTACTGGCCACGGCTGCTCAACAGCTGAAGGGGGAATTCCCTCATCTTCTCGTTGAAGGCAGTGGCGGTGTCACGCTGGACAATGTTGCAGACTATTTCAGTCCCCACGTTGATGTTGTGTCGACCAGCCGACCCACACAGGGATATTCCACAGTGGATTTCTCTCTCAAAGTTCGCAAGGCAGGACATGATCCTTCCAACCCCACTGTGACTGATGCTTGAGAATATATTCGATGCTTTTTTTAGAGCCGGAAAAAGCTATTTTCGCGCTCCACTAATCACGGAGGTACAGAACAAAAAGCAGAATAGAAACATTGAGAAGACATAAACAATAACTGACGAGACATAAATAGTTTTAATACCAATACCAATTCATAAAGAGCAGTTTTCAACCTGCTGTCCACCTAACCCACGGTTACCCTATTTACAACTGGTTTTCGCTAGTGTGCTGAAAGAGTTTTGAGCTTGTTTTTAGTCGTGTTGTATTTTTTTAATTTTCAGTGGCGAGGGGCATGTTATTATTATTTTTGTATCTGATAGCACACTGTACTTCAAGTAGACTGATATGCATGTGCATGTACATAGTTGCCAACGTCAATGCTGTTTATTGGCTTTACTTTTTAGCTGCTGATGTCAATGCTGGCTATTGGCTTTACAGACATTGTATTTTTACACGAGTGATTTTCTGATCACCACGACAAGCTCGTAGTAGAGTCAATACTGAAAAAATAGGAGGCATAAAGGCAGTGCTACTGAGTGCTCACATCTCACCAGTGCCGGTGCCATGCTGTGTGCTCTACTACAATCCTAGACAGAAAACCAGTGCTCCTTGCCTATCAAAAGTGGATGGCTACAGCTTGCACATGGTGGTGGTACAACTAGCAAGGTGCCTTCGATACAGAACCCCCCATCCCGTTGGCTCGCAGTCATTGAATGTAAGCATGTGCAAGCGCAACCTTATTGAATAGGACACATCGGTTTAATCCGAGGGGACTTTTGAATGTTTTAAATGATACTCCGAGTATTTAGAAGTACGCTCCACGCCCGCCGGGATACAGTGCAGAACGTGGAACGCAATAGTAAAAACCATCCAATGCAAAGCACTAGGTGTAGAAATTTGCTCTAGCCGAGAAAGTTGACAAGAAATAGACCTCTATAAAGACAAAAGAAACAAAAACAGCACACTGGACTGCCAGCAACCTAAACTTACTTGGACAAATCTGTTACTTGGGAATGTAGTGAGAATATAGCAAACCAGTTGCTGAAATAGCGTCTCCAAGACCAACAGTCTTCAGTGGTCTGCGACACACAAGCACAGGACTGAGATAGAAGTTGATTCCATCTCTTTGCCAGGTGCTCACAGGAGAGTTCGGATCAACGACAATAGGCTCGCGGCGTAGCTTGGGGTCGAGAATGGAGCGAACGAAGGCCTTCGGGAACTTCAGTTGGACTTTCTCCGGATCAATCTCTTCAACTTGGCATGCTCGGCGGCCAGCAACTCTGGCTGCAGCACCAACCGCCGAGAAGGAATTGTTCCAGCGGCCGGCGACCTACAAGGAAAATTGCAAATAGAAGGAGCAAAGACTGATGAGGCTACTGCAGCAGACACAAGTATTCGGATAAAGAGAATGGGCAGGATCCTACTGATAGCGCAACACACTGATAAGAGTCACAAGACCCATGTTAGAAATGAATAGGAATACTGTGCATGTGATAGTATAGTGGACAGTACTCGGTAGTTTCACTACTCTGATTCGGCTGGTTGTCTCATGATTCAGGGCAATTGAAGAATACAGTTGCGTGTCAGCTATCCGGCACCCTAGGAACTGGATATTGTTGGATAAATGAATATTCTGGATAACTGAAGCTGCAAGTCATCTTTTGCTCACACATCAAAAGGACGGTAGAGCATGGGTTTACCTGCACTGTTGATGTTCTGTTACTGGTACTATCCAGAGACAGTCATCTATACAGACTGATTTGTATGTACAGTAACGTCGCATGAGGGCAACATTCATGGTGCTCACTGTCCACATTTACTTGAAGTAGGACTGTAATTTAGTGTAAATATACAGTCTATGAGCTGTCAGTGCGCTGTTGGATAACCGACGTGCCGGATAACTGACCGCCGGATAAGAGACATTGAACTGTCCTTCAAAACATCCCCTAACTGTTATGGTACAGTATCTCTGATGATGGAGGGAATCTATTTTATTGCTTCATGTGCATACGTGTGTAAAAATTGCACTGACCTCTGCAACAACATGGAATGTCAGAGAGTGAAAATGAACTCTTGATAGCTTGCCAGAGTAGTGCTTCAATATCCAGTATAGTACGTCTGCAACAACAGCTGCCTCGGGTGGGCCAGAGACCAGCTCCTCATTGTGGAATGGTCCCTTGTTGGCTTTGCTGATAGCCATTAGCTCTTGCTCATTGAGTCCAATTGACTGGACGGATGAGAAGCAAGCCGATCCAAGCCGAGCAAGGAAGTCAAGGTTGCCAATGCTTGCCAATTCCAAATGAACAGGTGTACTAGCCGGCAAAGTTGAGATGGCCGAGAGCACTTTCTTGACTCTGGGCAGCCAGAACGATTCCTCTGTGTTGTCCATCAGATGCAGGCCGGCAACGACAACAAGCTGTGGGCTAAATGATGACAATGCGGATGCAAAGTTGTCGGCAGGCTGCAGTTCTCCATTAGCCACATCGTGTGAGAAGATGAAGCGATTGGCACAGCTGGCCACGTTGTCACCCCACTTTTCTCCACGGCTGTATTCCAAAATCAGGTGCACTTCATCATCTTTCTGCAGGCATGACTCGGGTACAGATACTGTCGAGTTGAGGAGGCTCCTCAGTGTCTCACCAACAGCACCGACCAGCATCACCTTATGGGAAGGGAGCAGACATCCAACAAAGTCATAAGTTGCATGCAGTTTACACCAGCATTGAACATGCAATACTTTGTGTGCCAAGAAACTTGGTTCACCAAGGCTATAGTATACTAGTAATAATAGGCTGCTGTGTGCATGTCAATATGATGAAGTCCGTACACAATTCATGTATGAAATGGGTGCTTCATGGATCTAAAAACAGTGCAAACGCCCATTTCGTCCTCCTAGTTTGTACAGACTTCATCATTGTGCATGTAGCCTGTTGTTCACTTTGAAGTACAAACGGTGAACAATGTACAGGGATGTTCAATGAAATTCGATTGTGTGTGTGTGTGTGTGTGTGTGTGCGTGCGTGCGTGTGTGTGTGCGTGCGTGTGTGTGTGTGTGTGGCTAGTTTTCGCCCTGCACCAGTTCACAGCCCAGTGTTCACAGATCTCAGGCTGCACAGCGTGTACTTGACTCACTCAGTCGGATTTCATTGAGCAGCACTGTACGTGATTAATATACCACATATAAAGCCATGGTAATAAGTAGGGGTGAAACGATTACTCTAATTTCAGAAATTTTCGGTGCTCAATATTTTCGGTATGACAGCAAAAAGCTAGGTTAGGTGAACAGAAATTTTCAGTACAGAGAAGCAGCTCCCTATTGGATTATGTGCGTTAATGTTTGTTCGGTGTGTTGAAATTTTAGGTATGAAACAGATGCACCGAAAGTACCGAAAATAAAAGTACACCGAAAATTTGTGAAATTACAGTAGTTCGAATATTCGAGTATTCGTTCGAAAATTTCAAACGAGCGAGTATTCGAAATTTTGCACTCGATCGTTTTTTTTTTTTTTTTTTTTGGTATTGGCATTCTATTTTTCAAACACTTTCGTTGCACCGCTTGTCCACTGGTACATGGTATGCATGTGTTATGCATGCCTTTTGTCGCGGATTCAATCATCCCACGAATATAAAATGATGTATTAGTATGGTTGTGCATGTCATGTCAATGCACTGCTGCCTCATGAATTTCTTCGTACTCATGATGCTACTCCTGCGCTTCATACTTTGATTTGTACCTTCGTTTTTTGCTGTATTCAAATCAGTTTTGGTGTTCTTGTTTGTAAGAAAGTTCGTACTCCAACCAACTCACCCCTCTAGCTTTTGTAGCAATCAGACGTTTGGGGACAAGGCCTCAAACGTTTTGACATGGTGCTGTGACCAGGATAGTCACGATCACAACTTTCGTTCGACATCAGCTTGTTTCGGGATGGCCACCCAAGCAAGCTCCGATGTTGAGCAGTTGCTTCGCCGTAGAGCGAACTTGCGCAGACGTTTTGTCCGCGTACACACTCGCCTTGCGCGCGAGTTTAGCGCTGAGTCAAGTTCCAATACTCAGTATTTGGCAGCCGATTGGGGGGAGGCCCAGTCGCTATCACTACAACTTGAGGAAGTTGTAGCGGCCCTTCGGACAGCATACGAAGAAATGGACTCTGCTGAAGACGAACTGGACGAGCTTGACAGCTGGGAGTCAGAATTTGACGACTTATGTGGTATCTTGAGAAAGGTGAGGAGCTCCATCATGCGTACGGCTCCTGAGGCCATGGCGAACTTTCCTGACCCGGTTGAGGCTACCGTTTCACGTCTCTCTCGTTTGCCTGCCCATTCTTCTTCATTGCATTCAGTTTCTGCGGCAACCATTACTGACAGTCACACATGTACCGGTACATTAGCATCAGCACCAGTGTCACAATCACTTCGTAGCAGTGCACACACACGCACCCCTGCATCTCATCATTTGGATACATGTAGCGGGAGCTTGTCACCGTCACGCACCGACTGTCACACCATGCCACCAGTTCCTAACTTCTACACACCGCAGCTCCAGCCTGGGACTACCAGTACAGCTGCCTGCAGTGAACTGCCCTTTGCTCTACACAGTGTGCCAGCAGCTCCAGTGTCTACCCATAGTATTCTGTCAGCTCTGAAACCACCACAGCAAAGCTCTGTCCAGCAGAAGTCTAGTTCTAGTGCCAGCAAAGTAGAAATTACTCCTTTGCCATCCCACACTCCTATGTCAGCACATACTGTTATGTTGGATGACAGCAGTGATGATGATTCCTCTGATGAGCTAAGCATGGCTTCACTCAGCCTTAGTTCATTCTCGCCAGTCGCTAGTCCGTTGCCACGTGCTGTTGATGCTGCAGCTCCGTCTAGTATTGCAACCATGACCACCATGGTCGCTGAAGCTGCCAGGCAAGCTGCGGTTCAAACCGTTCAGCCGACCACGATGGCTCAGTCACCCATGCAGCCAGGGTCAACTACGTATACCCAGGTGAACCTCCCGAAATTGTCTTTGCCTAGCTTCAGTGGCGACATTCTGGACTGGCCCGTCTTTTGGGATATGTATGTCGCATCTGTTGACTCGCAGCAGCTCCCGAACGTCACCAAATTCACATATCTCAAGTCATCATTAAAAGGGTCTGCTTGCCGTCTAATTGCTGGAATAGCTGTTACTGACCAGAACTATCCCGTGGCCCTGAAAACGCTTCAGGATGAGTTCGGCAGAGCTGACGTCATCATCACCAAGTTGTATCACAAGTTGCAACATATGCCGGCGTCCACATCCAGTCATAGCGACATCAAGGCGAAGTGTGAGATGATTGAGAATGTGCGCCTCCAGCTGGAAGCTCAAGGAGAGGTTCTGGCCACTCAGCGGCTGGTCGCTCAACAAATACTGTCGAACTTTCCTATTAGTGTCACAACCAAGTTGGAAGAATGGCGACCCCTATCGGAGGCGGCTCAAGCATGGAGTGTATCAGAGCTCCGCCGGGCTTTGAAGAGGTATGTCAGCTTACATGACAGGGCCTACCAGCGGTCTGCCACATCTTCTACCTCTCGCAGTGACGGCAGCGTCCCGGCCGCGCCAGCGCCTGGTCCTGTATCTGGGAGCGCTCTTCCTGTGGCGACAGCACAACAGCATCGAGTACCCACAGCTTCTGGACAACAGTCTCGCAGGCCATGTGTCTTCTGTGGTGCTACACACAGACACGACTCGTGTCAGAAGTTCGCTACTCCAGAGGCCCGTAAGAATCGCTTGTTGGAGTTGCGTCTCTGTTTTCGTTGCTTGGGCTCAGGTCATACCAGTTCGGTCTGCACCCGGCAACGACAATGTCGGCATTGCCTCCGGTCGAATCACCATAACACAGCAATCTGCTCTGCTGGACGTCAGACGGCACGGTATGGTGATTCCCAGCAGAGCCGTACTGGGAATCCTCAACAACAGCAATCTGCTACTACTTCTAGTGGCTCCTCATCATCTCTGCGGGTGTCCTCTAATGTAGCTGCTACTCAGCAGCTCCCTGGTCCAACAGTCCCAGCAAGCCAGACTCGCTTGATGACTGCCAGGACATCTATCCACTCTGGTTCAGGTGAATCTCAACAAGTTACGGTCCTTCTGGACAGCGGTTCTCAGTCTACATTCCTCAGTGTAGACGCAGCCACACGACTAGGCTTGCCCGCAGGTCGGCAAGAGTGCCTAGTTGTCTCCACATTCGCCTCATCGCAGCCTGTACAGCTCAACACAACAACGGTCGAGTTCGATCTTGAACTCCATGATGGCTCTCGTCTGACCATGGAAGCTAACACCATGCAGAAGATTACCGATCCAATTCGACACTGTCGGCTCTCAGATGAAGATTACGCCACTATATTGGCGGTTGCCGGTGATGCTCTCGCGGAGCCCATCTCTTCTGAATCGTCAACGTGTAAGATTGACCTGCTGATTGGAGCTGCCCATTTCTGGGAACTAATCAACGGGCCTTCCGTTTCTCTACCATCTGGCCTTCATGTTATACCGTCCTGTCTTGGATACTTCGTTGCTGGGAAGTTGACCGTGGAGACGGACCACTCCGAGTCTGCCAGTAGTGTACTTCTGTGCTCCACACTTACCTCTGCTCGCCAGCATCCGTCGTCTTTGGGTAACTATGTTGCTCCATCGTCCATGATGCCGTATCCTGATCTTTCTCGGATGTGGTCTCTTGACACCATAGGTATCACGGATTCTCCTCATGTCACCTCTGACGAGCTCGCTCAACGTCACTTTGACACTCATGTCAGGTATGAGGGCCAGCGATATGAGATCGCGTGGCCGTGGAAAGCAGAGCCTCCTGAAGTATCTGACAACTTTGGTCTCGCCTTAGGTCGGTTAACGTCTCTGGCCAAGCGACTGGCTTTCGACAATGACCTTTTGGCACAGTACAACAAGATCATCCAGTCTCAAGTCACAGCTGGTATCATTGAGCTTGTTCCGAAATCCTCTCTCCGTACGGCAAATGCCACACACTATTTGCCTCATCAGCCCGTCATCACACCGTCGAAGGCCACAACGAAGTTGCGTATCGTCTATGATGCCTCTGCAAAATCCTCGAAACGGTCCAAGAGCCTCAACGAGTGTATGCATCGCGGACCAATCAATCTACCCAGCCTATGTGGCATGCTGCTTCATTTCCGCTGCCACCCTATTGTCCTATTGGCTGACATTGAGAAGGCCTTTCTGCAGCTAAGCATCACGCAGTCTGATCGAGATGTCACGCGGTTCCTTTGGTTTCAGGATCCTTCAAACCCGGCTCCTACCAAGGACAACCTGAGCGTTTATCGGTTTCGACGTATGCCGTTTGGAGTGATTTTGAGCCCGTTCCTGCTCGAAGCCACCGTACGCTCATCTCAGCACGCAAGGCACGCCGCTCGCCACAGCTATTTCCGACAACATTTATGTCGACAATATCATCCTCGGCATGGATCTGGAGAGCGCCGCTATCGCTGCCTACACTGCCGCCAAGGACATCTTCAAGTCAGCCTCAATGAACGTGCGTGAGTTCACCACCAACAGTGATGCTGTTCGTTCTGCTATACCGGAGCAAGACCGTGTAACGTCTCGCTACGTGAAAGTACTTGGTCTCAAGTGGGACACGGAAAATGACACCATTTCTATACCCGGCTGTACCAAACTCACCAAGACGGAGTGCAGCATCACTAAACGCGCAGTCCTTCACGCCGTCTCAGCAGTGTACGACCCCTTGGGTCTCGTGACGCCCGTCCTCCTTCCAGCTCGGATATTCTTGCAACGGCTGTGGGGTCTGTCGGTCACGTGGGATGATGCGCTACCTCCCGATGTTCAAGAAGAGTGGCTTGGTCTAGTGCAACAGATGGATGGGTTATCCGACATGGCTATTCCAAGGTACCACCGGTACCATGATGGCGACATGCAGCTACATATCTTCACGGATGGACAGATTCGAACAGCTCAAGTCATCATGTCAACCGGCAACACCGTCAAGCGCCCATTGTCCCGTCTATATTCCCTGGAGTGTAGGCACGTTATTCCAGTTGATGCTTCCACTCCAGGTCAGCAGCCTGTGTCTTCTGATGTTACTGATCCGGCTCCAGTGGATGATGCCCCTCCGCTACCTGTTGTGACTTCAAAGCGTCCTCCTCGAGCGTCGGCCGACGCAGCACGTGAGAAGATCGCCAAGTGGGTAACATCAAGCTATGTGTGCCTTACATCATGATGAGACTGCTTTTACGGTTCGCGTATGTATGACTCTCCCTCTATTTACAATTACTCCGGCGGGAGTATAAATCCCCTACAATTCTCCTAATACATTTTACGTACGTGCATTTCTCTTCTGTGTAATGAGGTTCCATGTACTTTGAAGTAGTTCTTCGCTTGTCATACTAGTGCATTTCGACTGTAGCAGTACTTTTTAGAATCTAGATACTTTTGTAAACACCATCACTACATCTCAGTGTAATCCACCCAGTCTTCATTATCTCATGAGGTGTACTACTTTCTTTCTTGTCGGAGTGTCGCGGATTCAATCATCCCACGAATATAAAATGATGTATTAGTATGGCTGTGCATGTCATGTCAATGCACTGCTGCCTCATGAATTTCTTCGTACTCATGATGCTACTCCTGCGCTTCATACTTTGATTTGTACCTTCGTTTTTTGCTGTATTCAAATCAGTTTTGGTGTTCTTGTTTGTAAGAAAGTTCGTATTCCAACCAACTCACCCCTCTAGCTTTTGTAGCAATCAGACGTTTGGGGACAAGGCCTCAAACGTTTTGACACCTTTGAGTCAGTATTTTATGACTTGGACGATGGGATCGCCACGGCAAGTAACGTTAGTTATGAAAGTACTGATGAAAATCGTTACTATTAATACACTCTCTACAAGACGTTGGCGACTTTTGTTCTATGTTCACAGATAATTTCTTCCCCATTGGTCGCGAACTCACAAATCTAGAGCTTTTGAATTTTGATAAAATACTCGAAATAATCGGATACTCGATCGAATATTATGAACGAGTGATCGATTGGTCAAAATAGATACTCGTTTCACCCCTAGTAATAAGTGAAAAACCCCAACTCATAAGCTTGTTGCTGACATAATTGGACGTAGGGCAAGCAATACTAGCCACAATTGTATCATAATACCTTCAAATAATGATATAAATTATATGACAACATGGTCCAACCTCGCACTTACCTGACTGCCTGGACTACTCTCCACCATAGCTTGTGACATCAATGCAGCATTACCACCCACAAAATACTGCAGAACGCAAAAAATAATAATAAGACAAATTACATGTACATACAAACTCTTCTAGCATCCTCAGAGAAGCCAGAGCAATACAGTAATTTATATCCTGCTCACAAAAAAATATATACACAGACTCAGGAATTCCAAGAGGAGCATGTCACAACAGTGCGTACAGCAGGGTTGGCATTACTTTACTCTGTATACTACAAGTGCACACTATCTACGTGGATGGTAACGCAAAACCATGACAAGCATGCAGCTGCCAAGCTACCTGCAACGCAAAGTACCAAATGCAATGTACTGCGTCATTTACACTCGGGGTAGAAACACCATGTGGCTGCGTGGACACAATTTCATACCCTAGTTGAAGAGGAAGAGTGATTGCTGATTAGGGCTGAACTCTCGCTCATGGCCGCCACCAATCCATTGTCACATTATGAGACAATGGGCACAGCATAGTACATGCACTGTACAAGAAATTGAGAAGTACTACTCACTTTCTTCTCCTCAAGGCTGGCAGCAGAATCAACGATTTGCTTGTACAGCGTCGGCGATGTCATGATACGCTCTGCGGCCGAGCATGATGAATGCGACAGAGCAAATGCATCCTGAAGCTCAGCAAGGCTGTCAAGTACTGCGTGGTCTTTACCTGGTCCCGGTGCCACGTTCAATTTCTTTAGCAGCTGCGTGCCGTACACGATCAAATCCAGGTTGGCATTCAGCCTGAGAATCACAGAGCACACACAAACAATTCCTTCCTATAAATTTCATATGGGTATGGGTTGACATATCAGGGAGGTCGTGGATGCTAAAAAAATACACGCACAAGATCACTGGATGGTGCAAAGGTTCTGTCTGTTGGTCTTGGAACGAAGAGGCTGTGGTACCAGAGTGCCCCATCAAATGCACTCCAAATTGATCACTATGAGTCAGCAACTACGACATTGGAGATAGAGCTGCACTGAGTAACGCCTTTGTCTCGGGTGACAAGCCCAACATGCAAACAGCTGGTCGGTCAGGTTCCTGTCTTCTAGTAGATCTACAGGTGTATATCCAGAATTTCGAACCATTTTGGCAATGAAATTCAAGGCCGGAGAAGGGGTTGCAACTCACTACTCAAGCTAAAAAATATGACAGGGACCTCATATACATGAGAGGACAACTTATAATTGGCACCCTCTATAAACCAGCACAATTTTTCAGTAACCAAACTGTCCTCTTCGTGCACATTGCAGCAGTAAATCAGATTTGTTAATCCAGTATCCTCCCTAATCCAGCAGAATTTCAATGCTGTCACCCTTTATGATCATGATGCCAGGTGCAGTCAACACAAGGCCTAGTGAAGTGCTATGATCTGCCTCCAGGATGCACCTGAAACTGAAGTCGTATAATAATGTGAGAGCGTGAACAGCCGTCGCGGAAATCTCGACAAGTCATTTGGGGTTAGCTAACCAGTGCTACGCAGCCCAAGACGCGTTTTCTTTCGGATTTCATATTGAACGAGGCAGCAACCCAAGTGATGTAGCAGGAGTTTTGGCACCTACTAACAACAAGTAAAGTTTTCATATCCGCGTTACCACCAGCTATACGTGTTGAAGTAACTTAGTAAGTTTCGCTCGTGCCCGGCCACCACCTTGCCTGATCGGGGAAAATTGAGGGAAAAAAGCTTCCGGTGGGTGTTCATAAGTTTGGCCAATCGAGTAACCCTAAACTAAAGAAAGTTTCCAGTTTACACATGTTGAATAACTTCTGGAATTGACTCCACGTAGTCCACTTATAAATGATAGGACAATCTAGAATGTTCAATCAGTGTCCAATCAGTTTTCGTGATTGTCCCATTACTAAAGCTGACAAGATTTGATTCACAACACCACTAGCATACTACAACAACAAAATCTCAATCTTACCCAACAGCTACTTTGTCATACTGAATAGCAGGACCATTTAGCTGTCGTTTCCATCCTTTCAATACTCTCTTTTCATCTGAATTATTCGAATTCGACAAGAAGATGCCAGCAAGAGCAAAGAAGACAGCAAGCAATAGAGTGTTGCTGATCATGATGCCTTACGCCATGTATAAATTGTCTAAAAGATCTGGTAGATACGAACAGAGTCCTCCCCTGAAATCAAGGTTGGAATATCTCAAGAGTTTGAAAGAAACACAAGGAGAGCAAAGCAAAAACAAGTGTTGAGCAAAAAGCAAAAAAAAGCGAAACACATTCAAAAGCTTCGAAACGAAAGCGAAGATTCTCATCTGCTCACGTGTCTTTTTTCACTGCACGTGACGTGGGCCGCTGGTGGCATGGAAACGATGAATGGCGAGAATGTTGCGTGATTTTTGCGCAGCAACTTTTTGACTTGAGACGAAAATGTTCATGTGATGTTCGTTCAGCGTTTTTGCCTTTTATTTTGTTGAATTGGGATTCACTGAGAGTATAGTGTGAAATTTGTATCGCCAACATGGTGCACAAGGACACTATCGAGAGAGTTAGGAAAGTGGCCAAAGTGGCGCGCTTGGTGTTTCAGTACGGCTTCATTCCAGCCGTCGTCTACTTCGGTGAGTTGAAATACATGTAATTCATATGTACTATTTTCACTTTAGTAGCCAGAAATCTCCTGCATGATCCAAATCAGTGAAAAAACACAATCATGTGAACATGTTCAAGATAAATGTTGGCTTTACAAGAAAAGCAATCAAGAAAAAAAGTGAGGAAATGTGCCATAATTATATTTATGTTGTTGCATTGACACCACAATGCACGGTTAGAAACTGGCCAATGTGAAAAGAGTGCATCTCTATATGCTATGGTTAGTTCCCCTGTTCATAAATTTCCCAATGTACGATTGCAAAGCGTCCTTACAGAAGGTGCAACTAGATCATGTTGTGACTCTGACATGATAGGAGCAATATACAGTCAACCTCGTGAATAACGATCTCGGGTATAACAACAACCCGCGAATAATGACACTATCTTCAGTGACCATCTTTACTGCATACTTTCAACCTGACAAATAACGACAACTCGCGATTCGCGAATGATGACACATTTCTCATGTACGATCGAGGGTGGTTATTCTCAAGGTTGCCTGTAGTGTACAGTACAGTGGAGTATCCTTATCCTTTCACTGTGTCATGACTCGACCCGAAAGAAAGTGAACAACGACCACTTTCATTCTAATGACTGCATGACCATGAAGAAATAGTTCAAACTGCAGCTCCTGATATACCACCGGTGATGACACCGTGAAAAGTGTGTTAATACACACCTATACCCGTTCTTACCGCTGAACAAGTGTGACTCCAGAGTCCCAACCCTGTATGTCAATGTCACTGCCGAATATGTATATCTCGAACCAGCGGGCCCTCTTGCGAGTATACTACTCGTCGGTTCTAGATATATGCCCAGGTTCCTCACTTCATGTATCAAAGGCTTATACATGCCACCAGGTTCTGACCAAACAATCTCAAGAAAATGAGACTTCCCCACAGTTTTGGTCCCAGCCTCCATTCCTCACCATACACGAGATCAGAGCGCAAACAGGTTCAGATAAAACCACTTTTATTGGATTGACAAAATGTGTGTTTCAATAAAAGATTCCGCCTCATGATGATTTGTCTGGGGTAGTCGGCAAGTCTGCCTGCACCTCCGTGTCCTTGGATTTTGAAGTCTTGTCCTTCTTCGGCTTATGTGAGTTTTTACGAGTTTTCTTTCTCGGTGGTTCCTCGACTTCTTCGGTACGATGGCCTGCATGCCGGCCCAATATCCGAAAAGGATATGAGGGACAAAAAGTCCAAATCCTCCTTCAATTTCTTAATAATGTTGTCCTTGGTCAGGTCGACCGACCCCGTCAAACAGTGCTATCGCCCTTTCAAGACACTGCATGGTTGGCGTTTCTCGCCCCTGGCCTGCTTCCTGGGCGAGGGAGTTGATCTCCTCGATCATTTCCTGTGCCATTCTGGATAAGACAAAAACGCCACACCAGAAAAGAACCGAGGATTAGTTCACATTGATTGACGGATCCTGGTCACAGCACCAAATGGCATGACCCGACCCAAAGGGTCAGTCAAAAGCCTGTGTTGCGAACAACACCAAATAGGACCGCCACGAAGTGTGTGCAAGACCCAGAATCCAAAGTGCACAATATATGCACGCCATCACTCAACAGCCCACCAAGAGTTCCATTTCCAAGGACATACCTTGTAGATAGGTCAAAGGTAGAATAAGAAAGAGGAGATACAGAGAAGCAGTGCCGGGGCGAGAGGACGAACGTAACAAAGACAGGGACTTCTATTCATAACAACAGCCAATCAGAGCACACATACTGTACTCACTAGTCACATTAGACTGCGGGACAAGGGGACAAGTAACGGAAAAAGCTAGTTTCATAATAATTGAACGCCGCATAATGGCGGGATAACAAAATGCAAGAACGGTAGAAGATACTAGTAGACTATTACAGTTGGAGAACAAGGCGCCAGATTATTGCAGTTTCATAGCAGTAGTATAATGTTGTAAGTGCGTAAGGCTACGTAGTTATATGATGTAGTGAGTAGAAATGATGTAGTGAGTAACCGTACTGTGAGTGTGGTGCTGGCGCGACTCATCAGTTTGCTGAGCGCTTGTCAGCTGGTGCCGATCCCTCGTCTGCCAGGCCGGTTACGATTGCTGCGCGTCGTCGACCTCGGGTCACGACAACTGTACTTGCTATACTTGGTTAACAACATCATCAGATTGACTACTTACCGGTATAGTTTTGCAGTAGGACAGGCGAAGACGCATCGACTCGTTCACTGTATTCACAAGCTTCATGAATGACTTTATTATTATTAGAAGATGTCCCTGCTCAGAAACGATGGTCAGTATTTCCCGAGCACACAGCTCGTCTGGGTAGCTCAACATTCTGAAGTACGGCTGGTTGTCTTCTTGGAGCGTGTGTAACACGTGCATGCATTGTCGGCTTCAGACAGATCATCATAGTCATGAAGTTCAGTGTTTGTTTAACCGCAGACAATAACCATCCAGGAGCCCCCGCAAGAGAATCGGCAAAGGTACTCGGCTGCTGCTGATGGCGTGATGTCCTACCGTAGCGCTTGATGAACTTCCATTACTTCATCAATGGCTCCGCTAGATTCAGCAGAAGAGTAGATCACTGGTATATCATAGCTATTGTCGCCGTACACGCGAGATAGATAATACGCCTTCTTCTTTGCATCTGGTACCGGGGTGCTGCTCAAGAGCGGCCGGAGCGGCCGGTCAGTTGTACTGTATTAAAAGCAGAACATTAGTCGGTGAATAATTTCATCCAACTCCGAAGAAAGGGAGGTCGTCCCCGTTGAAAATTTAGTCCATGTACCATAAAACATATTAAAAACCTGTACGAATCGACATTTTGTCCGGCATTTAATTTAGTCTGAAAACTCCTTGGCCGAAAAAGACAAAATTAAATTGCAGACGAATATTTCGGCTTGTACAGTAGCCCACGCAGCCATTGAGGGTGATAAGTCTCCATCTTACTTCAGTCAGACATTGAGTATTAAAAGGTAGGATGAACTCTGTGTGGTCATCTCCTTTTATACCTTGAGTGCGGATGCTTAGTGACGACCTCGGAGAACACGGTGTGCGCCAAAATCATGAAAATGGTCATGGTATGCCGTGTATTTTTTGGATGTTGAAGAAAATTTAATCATTGGTGAAGTTGGTGAAAGTATTTCATAGGCACTAAGTGACCTATGAAATGGAATAGCAAAGGGGATGCTGGTTAATGTGGAAAGTAACACTGGGTGTGAGGTGAGGTTGTGGAATACTGTCTGCGCTGTCGAGTGATAGCAGACAAGGATGTGGAGTGCAATAGCACAATTTCTTTTTTGTACTGAATGGCTATGTTGTCCGATTTCTTTGTTGGTCATGTGTTAGGATTGAAGCGAGGCAGTGGAGACCCCAGCATTCCAGACCCTACTCTGCTAAGGTTGGTGTAGATTTCTTTATAGTCTTGGTTACTCTACCTGTGCTGGGGGAGCTTCTACCCGTATTTTCTCTAATAAGAGTCCGGGGTTTTATTATTTCAAGGACAGCTTTACCTGCGCTACTATTACAGACCGTGCGTTTATATTTTCAATGCTCCACTATCAAGCTACAGTAAAACCTGTAGCTGACGACCTCCCTTTGGGGCTAAAAAAATCGGTCTTTAGTTTTGGAGGCCTGGCACTGCGCGACCATTATATGAAACCAGTCATGGCCAAAGAAACCCGGCCAGCAAGTCAAAAGTAGTGCCCAGTTTCCCTTTCAATTGCATTATGCACAGTCCAAAAACTTATTTTGGTGGCTGCATGAACCTTGGTCCTGTTTTCGGCTCACGGGTCGGATTTCTTTGGCTACCAGCTACGGTATAACTACCGTACATTCTCTCCTATAAGTGCTGTGCTTATATTTTTTCAACACACCTCTACCCCGCGCTTATATAGGAGACCGTGCTTATATTTTTTTCAACCAATAACTCCATACAGAGCACTGAAGAAATACATGCTAGATATCATGCATGAAACACTGAATTCTACTGAGACCGTGCGAATAATGGAGGCTGTGCTTTATTATGCAAGTGCGCTAGTATTAGAGACTGTGCTAGTAATGGAGACCTGCGCTTATAATAGAGATTCACGGAAACGTATTTCATTGCGAAGAGCTGCGCTTCGGTCCTTTGAGCTGTGCTGAGGAGCTCTAACAGAGCGAAACAGTTGCTGTCCACAGATTTGAGTATTATGCTCCCTAGCGTCAGCAATGTCGTTAGGTTGAGCACTCTTACCTTAGCGCGAACCCTTGCCGCTCGCCTTGTGCAACGCTCACTGCTCTTGGAGCATTTCGAGCACTCTTGGCGGGGTTTGCAGCTCTTTATAAAAATGCTTTGCTTCACGGAAACGTATTTCATTGCGAAGAGCTGCGCTTCGGTCCTCTGAGCTGTGCTGAGGAGCTCTTACAGAGCGAAACAGCTGCTGTCCACAGATTTGAGTAATAGAGAATATACGGTATGTCAAAATTAGTGGTGAAACGAATTACCGAATATTCGAATATTCGTTCGGTTTGGCACATTCGAACGAATATTTCTCATGGCGAATATTCGTTAACCCGGTATGCAGAGTTTACCAGGCGACTTCAAACTTTCGTAACTTCGCGAACACTTGACCGAATCGCTTCATCAAAAGGTCTATCGGCATTAGAAAACTCTCAGCTGTCATCTAGAAGCAACCCGAACGCAATCCGAGGTCCAGGAGTGGAGTTATGGCGCTTGAACGAAAAATCACGTCTCAAGATTTTTGAGCCTGTGAAATGCACTTCAGCTGGGATTTTGTGAAAATTGACTACTACTAGAAATGATGGAGAAATATGTGCCTTCGTTTGTCATGCCTAATAATAGAGACAATGTCCAAAAATATGACTGAGAGGAGGGCATGTGATGTCATCCGTCTTAACGAAAGAATATTCGTTTGTTCGTTCGTTAAGCCAAAGAATATTCGGCTACTGGGTTTTGATATTCGTTTCACCACTAGTAAAAATAGAGGTAATGCACTTCCCGTAGAGCATTGATTATCCGAATACTCCAAAGCCAGTGCAGACCAATCAAACGCCCCTGTTCTAAACGATCCTGTTCCGGATCCGACCAATCAAACGTGCCCCTGGGCTTCTATTGGAGAAAATACAGCACTTCATTTGTTGGCGATTCCTTGCAACTTTGATATGGACTAAGAAGTTAAACTCTCTGACTGTATCTGTGTGTTTCCAGCTTGGTACCATTTGCATCATAAATCCCGCTCGAATGATGGGGTGCCTCAACTGGCAAACTGTGGCTTGCAAGAGCAATACTGAGGGGCCACACTCGGATTATCTTGTTCACAAATGACTATCAGCCGGTGGACGTTGCTATTGCCGACATCTGCTATTTGCTGTGATGCAAATGGATAAATTGATCACTTGCTGTAGCATAGCAGCAAGCTGTAAACAACCGTGTACATATCTGTGAGTATCAGTGCTCCTCCTATGCTGCTGATTAACTATGCTGCTGGCTATCCTTGTCTCGCTTTTCTGCTGGATAGTGCGTCCATTCCTGCTGTGCTTCAAGCTAGTCATTTTTTACTTCAAAACACTTGAGAGTGGTGCGAACAAATCACTTCAGAAGATATTCTCATTCGTCTGGGATGCAAATATTCTCTGGCAGAGTGTTGCTGGACAAATTGTCCGATAATCTTTTGGCAATAACAATCGGTTGTGCTACTGTGTTGTGTGAAAGAAGTCAATGCCTTTTGGAAGTAAAGATCCTTAGCTTGCAAGACCACTGCATATCAGATCACAGCATACCAATCTTCTGGTGTTTGCTTAGTGACCTGAAGTGATGCAGCATGCAGCATGGTGCGGCTACCAAGAGGTTTTATTCACGGAGCAGGCAGCAAGCTAGAGGCCGTTGATCTTACAAGGAACTCATAGTGATCAGGAATGTGATGACTGGGGAAACACTTAGTATCCAAAGACACAAAGTAGGTGGCAGCAGTGCTCAGAGCTGTAGCATAGCTGAAGAAAGGGTCCACTGGTATTCTTTTGTAGTAAAGGACGAATTGTACCTTGTACCTTGTGATGAGGTTGGAAAAGAAACTGTAGGAGGAAGAAAATAATTGATTTCAGGAGATCAAATGAAATTAATGGTAATTCCTGTGGCCAATATTGCATCCATACACACACTTGTGTGCACACACACATATGAAAGAAAAATCCAGTCCAACCTCCAACACTCCACTTCTGCATGCAGAATGAGTAGAAAGCAATATGTTGCCCAAACACCACAACTTCAGCAGGTGCTGGTCGGAGTTTTATCATTCCGGAGTATGATGTCTTGTATGTGTGTGTCACTCCGCCGCTCAGCACACACCTAGGCTAGTGTGTGATGTCTTGCATAGGTTCCATTGAAGAACACGGGCACGCGTGCTTGTGTGCTGGAGTTGACAATCCTCTTCTGCGGGTGGACTGCCATCGTTGGCAGCCAATGAGAATCAGCAGAGAAGTTGAACATCCCGTACTGCACGAGTCACCCTGCGGCCTGTTTCTTTGTTTCTTTTTGCTGCTGGCGTATCTTAGCTTCTTTCTTACGCAGCGTTTCCTCCAGGTGGTGGTCACTGTAGTGTGCACCGCCAGTGGCTATCTTTGCATAGAACTCCACAGGCATGTCATACTCATCATGGACATCTTCATCAAAATAAGCGCGTAGATACCGCTTGGCATAGTCTCGACTCTGCAATGCAAGACAACAAGAGAAATACCGTACGTCTTCAGAAAGTTGTGAAAGGAGAAATGGAGACGAGGAGCGCATACATATTTGACACCTACTTGAAATGCCTACTACTTCAAAGTACATGTACTTCAGTAATACTTGAGGCGAGTGTTGGTAGTTCAAGAGAGTGCTCAATACTCCTGCGTGCAGAGCCTTATGCACATACAGAGAAAGGTTGTTTGCCCTTCTCTGTATATGTGATCATTAATTTTTCGAAGTAGTAATATACGAGTACAGTAGGTATCGGTTATAGCGTGGGTGTTTGAAAAACGACTTTCTATTCTTATTTCCGATATTTCTTACACACGATAAATATAGTGTGACGTATCATATGCATGCGCGCATATGCGCATAGCCAGGAAGATCATCATACATGCAACGTAGTGCTGCTGTGGATGCGGTTGCTCATACTTCCAGTCCCATACTGGGCCATAGCCAGGTTCACCAATCCATGTGGCTGAGCAACATGAGTTACATGACCACAACAGATGCACTTGCAGAATTTTGATGCAAGTAGGTTCAGAACTGTATTTGGCAGATGTTATTACTACAGGCGATACACTTTGTACTAATCTGGCATGTTTTGCTACACAAAGTCCATTCTTAGGACCGATATATTCCATTACACGATAACACTGCTTGTAACAATAAATATACACAATGAAACCCATGTTATGATTATGAAAATAGGAGAGTTCAGTCTTGAAGGCAGTATATTCTTTTACACGACCACGGTATAACCGATACGCACTGTAGTTGCTCCCGCCTGTGTTTGGCCATACCCAATCACTAGACGGTGTCATGGCTCTGGGTGATTTTGGCTGTACGTCAGTCAGGGAATAATATAAATTAATATCCAAAGGAAATGAACTGAAGCAGCCAGCTATCTGCAAGGTCGACTAGTCGAAGATCATGGCGTTACTCGCAAGTAACTGTCCTTACTCAGTCAGTCGTAATACCTGAAACGAAATGTATGCAGTTTAATAGGTGGGACTTTGTTCCGGGCAGGAAATTGTGCCTCGCGAAGTTGACTGTATCCAGTACTGGCCAGTGAAATCTGTCCACTTGCTAGAGAACTGCGCCGCGAGCTGCCTGGTGGGCTCGTGCTCTGAGCTGGGTTGCAAAGCCACATAGCACCAATGGCTGCTTGACCAAGACACAGAGAAGTGCACCAGTAGTTGGATTTCACTGGCCAGCACCGTGTATTCGTACTATTTAGTACTTACTGTCCTATCTAACTCCGTGAACGCCTTAGCTGAGATGACCTGCCACATTAGAGTGTATGCCTTGTCGTAGTCCAATAAGCGTACGTAGATGCGAGCCATTTGCATCAGGTTGTCCACTCGAAATCCAGGTGACACTGTAGGAACAACAGCAGTGCAGAACACCGATACAAGTGACAGATGATTTTTCAACGGTTGTAGACTAAACTACTAGATCTATATGATCAGCATCCAGCAAAATACCCGCAGTGCACATTCACATGCCTATATTGTCCAGTACCAGCGTAATAACTGTGATACAAGTGTTATGATTATAGTTACTAGTATAAGCATGACACTATGTATGCATTGGTAATCAAGGCTTCATTCGAGTTCAGGACTGAGGAGAGCATGATATTACTATGAGATCAGGACTTACGAAGTTCTGCTTGATGGAGACAGATTAGTGCCTGCAGTGACAAGATCCCACACAATCCATTAGAAGTTGCAATGTACATCCTCCAAGTCACCAACCCTACATTTGACCCTCTGCACTGCTCATAGTCTCTTCTAGAATTTGGCATCAAAGCTATGAAGGATATTTGGTTATGCTTTTGCAGACTTGAAGCCAAATTTTTATTTATTTTTTTGTTTTACATCGGAAGCTCAACATTGCAGCCGCACAAATAACATTACTACTCAGCTTGCTTCTGTTAGAGTGAGCAGGGTAGATCTACAGGTACTTATTTTGATGAACAGAATGTGGAAGCAGAAGAAGGAACTTGGCACTTGACCACATGATGAAATTTTGTAGCAAGGTTATGCACGTACTTGGACTACGGGGTTGCCCAACGTCAAGCAATGTGAATGTACGTTACGTAACTGAACTGGACTGCTCCCCGATAATGCACATCTTTTACAGAGGGTATCATATGCACCTTGTTTCCAGGGTCAAAGCTGCAGTTCTATTTCTCAAATCAGGCCAGAAATTCACCATGCAGCTTGCACCCTGAACATTTTGTACAAATACTGTGTGACATTTTATCCAACACGTTAAAGAGAGTGTGCGCGTGTGGCTGTAGCCCGATTGGTGCAGTGGATGTGTTTCTTCATGCTGAACAACAACCACTCCTTTACTCACATCATAGTATGTACTGGGCGGTGGGTGGTCAAGCATGATTAATTCATAGAAGGAATGAAATGCTGGCTCATCTGCTGCTAAGAGATGCCTGTTCAGTGAAAGATGAAAGTCACACATAACCCAAACAAGACACAATGGCCATCATCGGCACTGTCTGGGATGCCACATGCATGGACTACAACAATCACTGCGTCCATTTTCCGTAGGCTCAAGCCAGCTCCGTGATCTGTGTAGACAAAGGACAGCAGTTACTTATTTTAGGTTTGGTTGCAGCGTTGTGTGATCTTCTTTGCATTGCAAGGGCCCGCCGGAACAAGTCCGGTTGGGCAGGCCATGGTCAGATCAACTGTTTGGCTACCAATGCGTGCCTATTGCTGAGGAGGTCATGCGTACCCACTATATATCAAACATAAAGTATAAATGCTTATGGTATGGCCGGATCAATCAAAAACTGTTTCCGCCAGTCCTGATTAAGGTTTTTCTGCTTTCCAAAGACATGCATGTAACATTTTTTGAGACGAGACACAATTGATTGGCAACAAACACTAGCAGTTGCTGGTTCCGTTGCCAAGGGCTGTGACGTCATTGATATGCAGTTGTGGTGACTTCGCATCCTAGAAGCAAGATGCAAAGCTGCTACATCATGAACCTATGATTTACACTAATCTAAGTCTGTGACTCGTGTGAGCTTGGAAATAATTAATGGGGGGGGGGGGGGGGGTGTTGAACTCCCTCTATTGTCACCTTGCTCGTTGAGAATGGTAACTGTACCCCATAAGGGCCATTGGTATAGAGGCATCATGTCATCATCATGTCATCATGTCATCGAATAACTGTACGTACCATCGACCAAGCCAGTGCCATGCCAGTGGATCTGTTGGATCCAACTCCACAGCTCTCTGCAACAGTAACACCACACACATGTCGTTTCAATCAGGACACGTTTTTCAGCTCATGCCTTAGACAAACACATGCTTTAGATGAGTGATCCATGATTGTCCTTGTCCTAGCATTTCACCTTCAGCAAGGAGGTGTTCTTGCCGCGTTTGTGCAACGCTCACATGAGGTGATGACAATCTTACTTGAATGAGTGGCAGTATATGACTTACATAATGCACTCTCATGCAGCATTGCTATCATGATTGAATATCAGAGTCTTCTGAAGTACTAGTAGACTATACATGCAGTGCAGCAACAAACACTCTACTCACAGTCAGCTGCTGTTGAACTCTGGCGTACTCAATGGCTTTCTCCTTTTGATGAATGTTACTGAAGGTCAGAATGCTAGCAATACCAGCCCACTGCACAAAAGACGAGGGATACAAAGAATTAAACTCGGATGGAGAGCCCACGAGTAAATTGTACTTCAGATAGCTGACTGTACCACACTAAAATACCTTCCGACGCCCCTGAGGTAGTACTTGTATAGTACATTTCCATGTTAAACAAGTGTAGTGTGCCATATTTTTCAGAATGCTAACAATTCTTCTTCAAGCATGCAACTCAGGGCACATTAAAACCTCTGCAATACCATACACGCTCGAATAGAGCCCGTCTGTCAAAGGGAATCGAAATAATAAAGCCCCGTTTCGTATACTCAGTGCTATGATATTACACAAGGTGATGTTGAAGGAAGCTTCGCTGGGTGGCCATTTATTGTACTTGTACTTGTAACAACATGTAGTCACTGTGATAGAAACAGAGTCGAAATCTTCACAGCAACTCACCAGCAGACAGTCCTTGCTATCAGGGGCAAGCTCTGTAGCTCGCAAAGCGTGAGACTTGGCCTTTTTCATCAGTGCGCCGTACTGCTGATGGGTAATTCCCAACAGAGACAACTCAAATCCGCGCACAATGGCACGCGCAAGCCTCCACAAGACTTCTGCATTCTGCTCGTCTACATGAGACACTAATAGATCGTATTCCAGTCTGTACTGCAGTGCAAAAGACCAATACAAACAGGACCACACAGTGGCACCATAGAATAGATTACATTGTTGTTGTTTGTTGTTGTTGTTTTATTTTACTTCATCAGATTTACAGGCAAGGATGCCTTCTCACCGGCCAGGGGTCAAATCCTAGAAATGATGAACATTGTATTATCACTCTCTAGAGTCTAAAGCAACATAATACACCGGGTACATTCATCACTGATTTGCGCATCCAGATCAAAGGAATTTTTCTGCCTGCTTCTCATCATATTTCCAGCATGTTTGAATGTCCATACATACAGATACCGTCAGATGGGTACTTGTTTCCCAATGCCACCACCAAAGCTGTGATGACTTAGTACTCCAGGCTTGCTGGACATTTGCAAGAGCCATAATGATGCACACCCTTCCTTGGGCCGAGTTGAGGTATTGACGCATTGTCAAAGAGGGTGCAGCCTATTGGAGTGTAAATGACCAGCTCATGCTACCACAGGTGTGAATCAAACACAGTGCCAGACAACGTCTTTACCTCAAACTCGGCATCAAGGCGATCCGCCTCATGCAGAGCCGTCTCTAGTGCTGACATGTTGCTGTGTTCATCACTGCTGCGGCCATTGTTATCTGCTGTGTCGCCGGAATTACTTCCAAAAATAAATCCGAAGAATGCCGCCAAAGGAATAGGTGACTTTGTTTTGTGATGGTAGCTATGTCCTCTACCATGCTTTTTACGACACCTCTCAACAGCCAATATGCTTGATGCAGGCACCACTGGCTGTGATGCTGAGCGTGATGATGTCTGGACAAGAACAGAGGTGATTAGCAGAACAATCAGTCCGGTGTTGCCGACTGGGGACAAGTCCTCTGCCACAACTGTGTATTGCTGGCTGTTGGATCAACAGATTCAACACACAGCCTGTTTCGAGTCAATGCGACACTGATGACCAGCTATGTGGCTAGAAGCATACGGTAACCCTTGATGGATAAAGCCAGCAGAAAAATTGGCAGAGTTTGGTACCTTTTCTGGTATGGTTCATGCATATTTGGTATGTAGATCAGGGGCGTAGCACCCGCTACGACTGGTACGACCATGGCCGTACCACTTAAGTCTTTTCGAAAAGTGTGGTCCGTCTGGAACGTGCAAAACCGTAATAAAAAAATCAGGATCCATCGATGCATACAATCATAATGTATTGTATGCGCATCAGACTTTGACCATTTTCTAGACTCGTACTCGTAGATCTGTTATGCATCTGCAGTCGTACTGAGTACTGTACTCGACTCGACTGCACACTGCGCCTGAAGTGTGCCAGAAGTTCCCAGAACGCAGGATTTTGTGTCTTTTTTACAAAATTTTCCCGCGGGGACATCCCCCGGACCCCCTCCAACACGGCCTTCGGCCGCACCGACCTTTGGTCGTACCACTTCCAAAACCCCTCCTACGCCCCTGTAGATAAAGAAATGGAGCAGAATTCAAGGAAGTGCCTGTCGTAAGGTTTGTATGGTTCTGCCAATTTCACTGCTTTTCGAGCGGAATCTGCCAATTTTTGGAGCATTACTAGTATCCGCCAAAGGCTAGCGTACGGCACACGATACTCCATTCATTCGGGGTTTTTTGTTGATCCGCGCTTTGAGCAAGCACTTATTTATAGAACGATTGCAGATTCAACGCAACTCTCCTAAAGAGTTCATGTAGACAATGTTCGTAAAGATCATCATTCAATCTTCTAACAACAGCAACGGCAAGAAAACACCAGGCAGGGATACCATCCAGTTGCTGATCAGTGATGGTATCCCTGTCTCACTACATGCCACCAGTTAGGCATCCCCGGTTATGCTTTACCGTTGTCTGCCATAGTGGGGAGCTGGCACCGTGGCTTCTATAGCTGAAGTTCGTTGCTGTCCTTAAACGTCTTAGCGATACACTTGCGGCGGATATTGGATTCCATCTCCAACTTCTCAACAAATGTGATCTGACACGATTCATCTTGTGTAAAAGTAGCTGACACCTATACTAATTACTAGCTGTTCGCCCGAAATACTAGTAACCAGTGGCGTGGGGGCTTCCCACAACCAATGCGCCGATTATCACTGACTTCTCTTATCATTACATTGCCTACCTCAGCTCCATCACCCAGTGTAACTGTAAGTGGAATAATGAAACCGTGAAACGGTGATACCGGTATGTGTGATTAGATTTGTAGAATAGCATTGCTACACTTGCAGCTACAAATTTGTAGCTAGCTATTTCACGAGTTTCACTTTTTTTTAGTGATTGGGACATTCCCTTTTCTAGTACTAAAATATCTACTTTTCTTCACGTAGCAGTCGTTCGTCGTTCGCGATCACATGATCAGGTGACGTCGTTTTGGTAGTTTTACGCTCATATGTTCGTCATAAAGTCCAAAGTGACGTAAGAAACGCATGCGTACACACGAAAATGATGGCCACGAAATGGACGAAAATACGCAAAATTCACGCTTGAATGGTTGATTTCGCGTTTGGTTGTCAACTCCCGTAGTGACGGAGATTGTGCACTTGACTGTGATCGACCGTACCGAGGTTTGCTTGAACAACGAACCAGTGCAGTGGTTGACGGCTTCAAGGAGGTCGATGTTCTCTGTTTTTGTGAAGTTCTGAAGTCGCCATTATGGCTAGCTCTGATACTCTGTTCAACGCCGATCATGGCTATCTGGAGGGCCTTGTCCGTGGGTTCCGTGGAGGTGTATTGTCGCAGGCTGATTACATGAACTTGACGCAATGTGAAACTCTCGAGGGTAAGTCACCAATTTCAAGAAATTATCATCATGTTCGAGCCCGAAAGTCGCTGAATGTAGAATGGTCGTTTATTCATGTTCTATAGATTTGAAGCTGCATCTGCAAAGTACAGACTATGGAAATTTCTTGCAGAACGAGGCGGGACCACTGACGGTTGCTGTTGTTGATGACAAGCTTCGTGAGAAGCTCGTCACCGAGTTTACATACTTTCGCAATCACTCTCTCCCACCACTCTCCCAATTCTTTGATTTCATCACGTAAGTTAGGTAGATCCTTAGAATTTTTAAGTGATGTGGGTGTATGGGTGCTTTGTGAATCATATGGCCTTCAGCAGGCAGTGTCCATGTCATAATTTCATAATTATGGAGTAGTACTTGTGTCACGCCAGACATATGAAATACCGATCCCATGGCAACAACATTTACATTCTTCATGCCGTGATAACTGATAACCCAATTCGGCTATCAGCTAATATAGTTGATCCAAGTAGACTGTTCTCGGTCAGAAGATACCGTAATGTCGCGTATAAAAACAGGTGCTTACGGCCGTATAAGCCGGGGTTCAAACCGTGCGTCTAGTTCTACGTCAACACCTTCAGTTTACACTGTACAGTGCACATTGTCATGCATGCAGTGTGCAAGTACATGATTGTACTTGCACGTATGCTTCTATTCAAATCGTGCTTCTGTGTCACGGTGCGCTTGGAAAAATCGGCTTCTATCCAAGTCATGCTTCTATACAGGTCATGCTTTTATACGCAACACTACAGTAGATATCAGTGAGAAGAATGGTTCTCACAATCAGAGAGTGTAAGAAGAGTAAACTTAGCTGGATTTGCAGCTGCATCACCTGACGTGTTGAGGAACACATCAAGCAAGGACGTTCGCATTGAGAGAGTAGCAGTAGTTTTATGCGAGACATGTGTAGTTGAAAGGGCACACCGAGCCGGAGAACTAACCAATCACAATGAAGAGAACTGTTAAGTTTTTTGATCAATGAAGAAATAGAGAGACGTGTGTAGGAAATATGAATAGGGCTCAAACGGTCACGGTTTTACCCCTAACGGTTAACTGCTAAGCTAACGGTCGGTTTAACGGTTATAACCTAACGGTCGGTTTAACGGTTATAACCTATCAGCCACGGCAATCCTGCGGATATTTGACTATACTCATTCAAAAAATGTACCCTATTTAGTACAGCGCACACATGTACATTCTCTTGCATGCTCATTCATACATGCTCTCACACCAAGAGACCAGATATGACCGAGTTGACAGCCCAGAAATTGCGTACGCGTGCGACAGCCTGCGAAAGTGCATACTTTGCAACGACCTGATACTTGAAAAATTGACTGAAAAGGTACTGCGTAACCGTTATCTTTATCGGTTAACCGTTAATTCTTCGTAACCGGTCTGCAACTGGTTGATCGGACTAACCGTTTGAGCCCTAAATATGAACATAGAGAGAATCTTATTGGACAATAACGTACATAGAGTGACGGTTTAGTACTACTGCGATATTCAAGCAATAGCGTATACAAATGAAGTTTAATTTTCAAAGAAAAGTGGGCAATGGTCTGGATCTTATCTGTGGTACTAGTAATTCATCTCGACTTTGCATTCACTGACCCCTCTTGTGTATGGTGCTTGTCTAAACATGTCAGCAGCGTTTGTGTACCATATGCTGTTGGTTTTCTCCACACTCTCGGGCAGTTGTTTAGTATTGATTAGGTGGCTAGTCAATCCTGTTACCAAATACTGCCGTTTAGAATAGAGATGAAAGGTTTGTCATCCTCCCCGCAGCGGTTTTTTATGCTTTGTACTTTCATGTAGATCATGAGTGTGCGTCCTGGATGGTGTGTGCATGCACTGTTGTTGGTGAATTGATTGATGACACTGTGTTGCATATACAGTGGTCCCTCTATAATCCGGCACCATTTGTGCCACGAAAATCTGCTGGATTAGGGAGGGTGCTGGATTAACAAATCAGATTTACTGCTGCAATGTGCATGAAGAGGACATTTTGGCTACTGAAAATTGTGCTGGTTTATCGAGGGTGCTGGATTATAAAGTGCCGGATTAGAGAGGGACGACTGTACTTCAGAAGTACTTCAAGCACTGTACTTCGAAGTATGAGTAGTGAATGCTGGTGCACGTGTTCATGTCTGTACCGACAGTAGTGATCATCAGTGTCAGAAGTAGTGTCAGGTATCTGACTACAGTGACGGTGATTGTTGATACGTGTGTGTGTACTGAATACACAGGTATGGTTACATGATCGACAACATCATCTTGCTGATCACTGGTACACTGCACAATCGGTCGATCTCCGAACTCCTACCCAAGTGTCATCCACTTGGCCAATTTGAGGAACTCGGTTCATTGGGCATTGCACAGACTGCAAAGGACCTGTACAATGCAGTGCTGGTGGACACACCACTCGGTAGGTCTTTGATTGAAAACTCTACTGGGTACGCTATCTTTTTCTGGTGTGCACACCCGTCCTACCTAGTCTAGCATACCTATTCTATCCATGTTTGCCATATGTACTTGAACATTCGGTTCTTTCCAATGTTGCTTCTGTGATCAGTATTGCTTCAGACATTCAGTGATTTATTTTGCTATAACTGTGGTGCAGTAAACGCCTTTTGTTGTTGAGGAACCTGATCATCCAACAGGAGCTCTTTCTAGGTACTTCGCTTCATTTACTGTAGAATGACCTAACAGGTGCTAGTAGGAGTTCATCCCGAAAGGTTTGTTGTACTCTCTCTCTCTCTCTCCCCCCCCCCCCCTCCCCCGGAAATGAACGCAGCTTGCTATGCTGGACGACACAAATCACATGCATGAACATTTATAGCGTCGGTTGACTTGCAATTTTGGCTCACCACCACCACCACCACACATATGAACGATGCAGGCCGACTATAATTTGTAACATCTACTTTTGCAAAAGGTATCCATTATTTTTGATTTTTGTGCATATTGTACTGTACAGCTATGTTCTTCCAAGAATGTGTATCGGAGCAAGATCTTGATGAGCTTCACATTGAGATCATCAGAAACACTCTCTACAAGGTGAGGTGTCTGTGCTATGTACCTCTGCTATGTGCCTGTGCTATGTACCTGTGCTATGTACCTGTGCTGTGTACCTGTGCTGTGTACCTGTGCTATGTACCTGTGCTGTGTACCTGTGCTGTGTACCTGTGCTATGTACCTGTGCTATGTGCCTGTGCTGTGTACCTGTGCTGTGTACCTGTGCTGTGTACCTGTGCTGTGTACCTGTGCTGTGTACCTGTGCTGTGTACCTGTGCTATGTACCTGTGCTATGTACCTGTGCTATGTACCTGACATGTTGGAACATTTTGGTGCAGTGTTTTCATTTCTGTGTGCTGTGCATGCGGACATGTATGTCTAGTTTATAGCTTACCGACTTTAGAAACGTGTTTGTTCTCCATGTATTAGTTTGAATTAATCCGCATGTCTTTCATCAGTCTTGATTATGGCTTGTGGCTGATTGTCCTTTTTCCCATTTTTCCCTTTTACCACTCTACAGTCATATCTGGAAGCATTCTATGAGTTCTGTGAGTCTATTGGTGGCTCCACAGCTGAGATGATGTGCCCCATTCTCCAGGTGAGTTTATCTCTCAGTTTATCGCCAGGCTATAGAATCAAGTTATTGCGAGTGCTTGTTAGTGTGTGGGCCCCCGAAGCTCTCTCTCCAAGTTTTGTATACTTTTGTCGTCGTTGTGCAGTTTGAGGCCGATCGCCGTGCATTCAACATCACAATCAACTCTTTCGGAACTGAACTTGGCAAGGATGACCGTGCCAAGCTGTTCCCAAGATGTGGCCGACTCTACCCGGACGGTCTGTCCCGACTGGCCAAGGCTGATGACTACGAGCAAGTGCGACAAGTGGCCGAGTGCTACGGGGTATGTTCTGCCTTTCTGTCCTGTTTGTGAGTGGTGGTGGTGTTAGTGTGTGTGCGTGTGTGTGTGTGTGTGCTGTCTATACTGGTTACCCCAGCAAGTGTAGGGTGTGCATAGGTAACTGTCTTGGCCGTTTTATGCCGATGTACTCCGTGTGGTGTAGACCAGGTGTGCATTGGTGGTCGATTCACATGGCTTTGCCAGTTGTGTGGATTAGACAGTTATCTGGCGCAAGTCTTGATCTGTCTCATTCAGATCTTGTTCGCTATCTTTGCTATAAGAGAAAATCTGTGGGTGCACATCCAATGCATTTGCAGATTTGCGTGCTTCTCTTGCGACGGGCGTATACATGGTACATGGTACATGGTGGGTGTGTGTGTGTGTGTGTGGTGTGTGTGTGTGTGTGTGTGTGTGTGTGTGTGTGTGTGTGTGTGTGTGAGAGAGAGACAGAGACAGAAATGATTCAGCCAGGGATTGCCTTGCTTCCTTTCTCTCATACAGAGATGTGTTCAGCTCATCACTAGTACCATAATATTGTCATTTGCTTTCCTTGCATGAGTGTTAACCTTGTTTACTGTCCTATTCTGCAGGAGTATGCCGCCATGTTTGAAGGTGCTGGCTCCGGACCTGGCGAGAAGACACTTGAAGACAAGTTCTTTGAGTATGAGGTAAGCAAGCTACTACGGTTATTAGTTTGCCACACACTGTTGCATTGTTCTTCGGTGACTCCTTTTTGCCACGGCTCTTCTGATTTGTTGCCTTGCTCTCTCCATGTGTGTCATGCCACAGGTCAAGCTGAACGTGAACGCTTTCATGAATCAGTTCCATTTCGGCGTTTTCTACGCTTATGTCAAACTGAAGGAGCAGGAGTGCCGCAACATCGTCTGGATTTCAGAGTGCATTGCACAGCAGAACCGCTCCAAGATTGATAATTATGTATCTATTTTTTAAATTGACCATGTCAGTGTTTCCCCCGAAATTTCCACCTTTAGCCTAGGCATATGAATATTAGTGTATATGTCACATACTTTCTTGTCTTCCTTCTCCGCTAAGAGGGTTACTGTCAGTATATCATACAAACAATTTCCAAATTCTCATGACAAGTGCTTTGTTTCTGCCATGTAGTGCATAGCTTTTTTTTTGTATTGAGCGATCATCTAAAATATTCATCTTTATCATCATCTTCATGGCATAGGGAGCTTAACGCCATTCCGTACTGTGCTTGTTTTGCCATTTTGCTATTTGTTCCCAATGTTTTATTTTCTTGGTTTATTTTGCTGAGTGCTTGCAACTAGCATTGGGAATTGCAGCAGCAGCAGCAGGTGCACTGAACCTTTTCAGGGCCGTTAGAACATGCACAGTCACGTTGATATCTTGTGTTCTAAATACATGTAGTGACCTTTAACTTTTTTTTTTGTAGTGCTACACGGTTGTGTGTCACTGACTTGGACTCGGACTATGTGACCTTACTTGTAGTGTATACGAAAGCTGTGTTTACATGAGACATTTCGACCTGCGTTGAATGTCTGTACGGTGAAATAGGTCATTGTTAACGTGAAGAGGGTTGGCACACAGGTTGATAGCTGATATGCTGAGAAAGGTCCATTTTCTAGAGTGCTATGTGGCTGGTGGGAAGTTTGCCTGTGCACAGTGGGCAGTGCTGTGCAAACCTGGCACGAAATGCACACATGAGTACGGTACATGTAGTACGATATCTCAATTATTTCAACCCTCCCCGGCCGGGGGCAATTGGGGTGGGTTGTAAACTTGTAATCAACCCGGATAAAGTGCAGTGCATCAACGCTGCAGTCAATCTGTGTTCAAGGTGGTTTGAAACTCGAACCACTTGAAAACTCTCATGTATTATGCATGCATGTGTACCCTCATGCACCCTTACCCTTAGCTTGGAGATGAGAGTTGCATGCACATCAGCAGTGGGTTATGCACTCTTTGTAATGTGTTACGTACTCTTGGTGATGCCAATATTTATGGGACTCAGAAATTCATTCTTTCTGCACTTTCCCCTCACATAGCTGTATTGGTGGTGGGAGACAACCTGAGTCAATTTGCTAAAAGAGCTCTCTGATGCCGTGTGAGAGCACGGAAAGAGTCACGGCCAGCGAATGCATGCAAAAGACATATTTCATATTTGGCTGCTGGGTATACCGCACACAGTATGAAGGGGAAATAGAACAAGCTCCCTGCATTTTATTTTTACAATAATTGATACTTATAATACGTCATGTAATCAGCAGGTCATCTATTCACAGCATCATCGCAGCACTAGTAATCATAATAATAATAACTTCAAGTTCAATACAAGAGAGAATTTGGAAGCTTTGTTACAACTCTGAGTTTCACATATTACTACGATCATCAGGCAACTTCAAGTTCAATATCAACTTCAAAGTCTTTTTCCGAAGTCAATAATGCGCTAGCTTCAAAAAGCTTCAAGTCTTGAATGCGTCTCTTGTAAATTATAGCGAATGGCAAACAGGATCAACTTGTTTGTTTGAGGGAAAGGTGCAAACAGGATCAACTTGGTTCTTATTATTAAATAATAAGAATACAGCAACAATAAATTTTATTGCTGCTGTATAGTGATGGTTGTCTACACTGAAGGCAGCTACCCAGCATGAGCTATTTTCGTGAGTGCACCTGTGAGCTTTACTGCTCAGTGGTGTGCCACTGAAAACAGTGAGATGTATCAGAAAGATGCCAGGGTCACCGCTCTCCTTGCAATACCCTTACAGTGCCAGCAACAGCCTGTGGGATAACATCATTGCTATACTGCCGGGTAACTAGCCGGCTTTGTTATACTTGATGCTGTTTTGCCAATCAGTGCGAAGAAGACGCACGGGGGAGAGTTTTCAGTCGGCACGGGTGCACAATCCGGGCAGGCTACTAGTTATAGCAGGAAGCCGCTGGATAGCTTGGGTACAGAGTCAACAAATCTCTTGTATTCGGCCATAAACTCAGCATGCCTGGTACTAAGCTGATTGAATTGGTCTTCTGTCTCTCGAAGTTTCTTCTCCAGGTCTTGATTGGTTTCTACTTGTTTGTCAAGCCGGTGTTGTAGCTCAGCCAACTCACCATCATGTTTCTCTTTTTCAGCGTCCATCTTTTGCTGCCATTTCATTCCTTCAACTACTCGTGTTTCCTCACAAGCCTTCTCTTGTGCCACTAGCATCTCTGTTGTCAAGTCAGCCAGAGCGGACTTTCTTTCTTCATCCTTGTTGTAGATTGTGCTTTCCAGATGTATCCTCGTTTTCTCTGCAAGGTGCTCGGCATTGATTCGTGCTACCTCTCTCTCTTCAGCTCTGGCTTTCTCGATGGCATTGTCACATACGATGGCAGCCGCTTCCGCAGCTCTTTCCAATGCATTCGCCTGCGCACGCTCCGCTGCCTCTGCCGCATTATCCAGCGCCTCGGCCATCCTGTCCTCCATTTCCTGTGTGGTGATTGTCTTCATTTCCATCACAGCCTTCTTCGTGGCAACATCAAGTTCTTTCCTTAGCTCCTCAAGTTGACGATCGGTCTCTACCTGTGCAGAGCCTAGAGCCACCATCTGTCTTTGGTCAGCTGCAGCATTGGCAGCAGCAACAGCTTGCCTGACCGCTTCTTCTTGCTCTCCTTTCTTCTGCTGCAGCAGACCATCTAGTGCCTTTCCACCAACATCTGCATGACGGGCAGCAAGTCACATGACCAAAACACAGTATCCGTTAAAACGACCACCCGCGGCTCGTATCCGCTTTTCACATGCATTTTCAGCCCACATCATCCTCAAAATAATCATGCCCCCCCCCCCCAGTGGCAGTGAACCGCAAGAATAATCAAGAAAACCGGGCGGCGGCATACCCAATAGGCATACCAAATAGGCATACACTAGTATGGGTAGCTGGGGTACTAGCTGCAGCCAGGAATAGACCTTGGTATACGCACCTAGAATATGTAGATGAGTTAGGTTCTGCTGGACGGTGTTGAAGATTTCCTGTGACTCTTTGGAGCTGAGGTCACTCTTCTCATCCAACTGCTTAGGACGCTGGTTGGTAGCGACTGTTCGACCTGCCATTGCGACAACTGTAAGTCACACTCGGGTACTGATCAAGTGCAATGCAGTTTTGTCCTGTGTACGTGTAGCTCCTTGTGAAGTTGTGTGCCGCTCTGGCCTGCTGGTCTACGATTCAATGCACACAGATTTAGCCAATCATCGGAGAGCGAAGTCCCTCCCAGATTGCAGATCGATAGGCCGTTGAGCGAGCCTGTAAGCAGTAGGCGGTGTCCACAACCCAACCGCTGGTCGACCGGTCCTCGTCCTCAATGGAATCTGCTACTCGAACCCTCGGAGACTCACAGGCCAGGATTCATGGGCTCTGTGATTAGTATCAAGAGTACAGGGTTATGTACTCTTGTTAGTATGAAGTACTGTACGTCTGTAGTCCTAATTATTATTATTTCAGCAAATCAGTTGCTAAATAAATAACACTCAGACTGTCACAGTCCGCTTGCAAGCTCCTTTGCTTTGATGCCGCTCTCCACGGAGATAGAGTGCCTCGATCTTCTCTGACTCTGTACTGTAAGTCTGTAGACAGACAGAAGCTGAGCCGCTACGTAGTTGCTAGGAGCATATGTAGCTTGAGCATCCCGGGCGAAACACAGGCGTTGCTAAGTTACTGATCCTGCTGCTTAGCGCTTATGTCTCCATCGAACCGACCGCAAAAATCACAATACAAACGCACTGCAGAATATATCTGGGGAAGGTGGAGATTTTCAAGTGTGATTGCAAGGTCCTGGGACTGAGGCTAGTGCTGCATTTACAACGCACTGAGGCTAGTGCTGCATTTACAACGCACATGTACATTGCATAGTAAAGTATCGCTACGAGTTCTTGCATTGAACTGCATATCAATATGCACATGCTGATTGTATAGCCGTGCCACACGATAACGAAATGCTCCGAAGTGTCCGACACTGCTTATGCAGGAGGGCGGGTTTCTTTGGCATCCGCTGTACTAAGTCTTGTACATACTTGACTACCACCCCCTACCCCAACACACAGACACACACACAGACACACACAGACACACACACCAGGGGTGTCGGAAGGTATTTTATTGTGGTACGGTCAGCCATCTGAAGTACAATTTACTCGTGCGGGAGGGATGGCTGAGCCGAACATTTTGGAAATTTAGAGCCCAAATCAGTGTATTTAAAATAATTGAGCCAGGGACTACAGAAACCACCCTATGGCACTTTTTGGCGAAAATTTTTTTTTTCTCTCAAAATGTTGGTATGGTATGGTAATGTGCTCAAACAAAATTTCAAGTTGATCTGCGATGGTAAAATGTGCCTAACCACCTATTTAATAATGGCATATCAATTGAGCAATATAGAGCAAATTTATGTACACAGTATGTAATGTTCTTTGTATATCTTCATTCTTGCTACTACGTAGTAGTTAGGCAGTTCAAATGTATAGTGAACTATGCCCTCAGCTTCATCCAGTGATGCCTGCGCGCCGTCCACTAAATCTCGGTAGTACTGCCGCTCCTCTTGTGGTAGCGATGTGTGCGAACACAGGGCCTGGACACTACATTTCGTCTCTTCCTCTGTACCGGCGACACGAATTTTGTACCGCAGATTGTCACACAGTGCGCATACGTCTGTCCTTGGCTTCATCACTTTGATGTGTGCTGCCTGTCTCCTCCAAATGTGGCAAAATGACCTGTAATGAACAGGCGAATACTGTGTGACGGTCTTGGTGTAGATGTATGCAGACTTCTTGTGCTCGGATGCTGGTAAGTATACTGGAGGGTCCTCAGCACGACCTCGCTCCGCTGCAGGTTGAGGTAGACCGTACATGTTAGCATAATTATGACTAAACGAGAGAGCTTGGAAGCTCAGGGCCCTGCGCTATGCTTTGTTGCCTAGCTCATCGCGCATGTTGTTAGAACTGATGGAAATGCTTTTTTCCTTTGATTAGCTACATCATTGTATTGCAAAAACGTTTCAATGAGATACTGAAGTACAAGTAACGTCTTCTGCATAGCTATGGGACCGGCGCAGACTCTGCCGATCAAGGGCGTTCTGGAGTTGTTGTTGTTGTTTCTTTATTTTACTTCACCATATGAACAGGCAAGACTGCCTTCTCACCGGGGCTGTTGGCCCACGGCTCTCACAATATGATGAAAATGTTTAAAATGTGTATGAAGAAGAAAGGAACGGAAAAGAAGATGAAATGAAAGGAAAGAAAACAGTAGGTATTAATTTATGAAGGGGGGGGGGGGGGGTATGAAATGGGTATTATCATAGTTGATGAGAGAAGTATGATATACAATATTCTTGTTCTATAGACTATTTTAGTACGGGCATTTCATGAGAGTCATGCATGGGCAAGGCAGGATTTGGACTAAGATAGAGGACAAGAACATAATTGATGAGCATCTGTTCAGGCAGAATCTGTGAAGAAGACATAGTAGGCACAACATCGGAGAGCTAGTTGACTAGGGAGATGAGGTCATAGCCAGACAGCAATGCTTGAAACGTGTGGCGTACGTCGCAAGCGCGAATATCAGCAGGGAGAGAGTTCCATGTGGTACTGCCAACAAAGGCGATAGAGCTACGGCCTGAGGGACCAGGTAGGAACGGCACTCTGAGCAGCTGGCTGACCTCACCACGCGTGACACAACTTCTGTCCACATCCGTGGCAATGAGGGAGTAGTAGGATTGGAACAGTGAGCTGGCTCTGCCATGAAGGCAGCGGAAGACGAAGAGAAGCAGACGTTGCACGTACAGCTGGTGGAGCTGAGGCATTGATAGTCTGGCAAATAGGGGAGCAGTGGGGGTCCTTCTGGGGAGTTGGAAGATGGCTCGTATGCCAGACTTAGCAATGCGTAGCAGTCGATGTAGCAGCAGTTTGGATAGAGCAGGAAAGAAACAGTTTGAGGCATAGCAGAGAACAGACTGGATCATACTCATGTACCAGGCCCGGCGGGCATTGAGTGAAAGGCACCGTCCATGGCGCCAGAGCTGCCCGATTGTAGTAGCAGTCTTGCTGGCAATAAAGTCCACTTGGGGCTTCCAGGACAGTTGGTCATCAAGCATGACACCGAGATACTTCGTGACTGGAGTAACATCAAGCACTGTGGTACCACACTTCACTTCAGATGGTCCATCCAGACACCCACGGGGTCTCACAAACATAACTTGGGTTTTACTGGCATTTAATAACAGACCAATGTTGTCCAAGTACTCAGCGAGTCGTGTTACAGCGTTAGAGAGAACAGAGCACACTAAATCAGGCTGATAGTCGGAGTAGTCCAGAGCCACATCATCAGCGAATTCCTGGTGGCATACACTACCTGGTAGAACTGACGACATATCACTGGTGTACAGTACAAAAAGAAGAGGGCCCAGAACGCTGCCTTGAGGCACTCCTCGGGAGCATCCAACATATTGCGAAACTGAGTGTTCCACCCGTACACACTGCTGCCGCTCCGAGAGATAACTGAGGAACCATTCCAGTGGTGTGTCACAAATGCCAAGGTCAAACAGCACTTGCACAAGCCTGGCATGCTGGACTCTATCAAATGCCTTCGATAGATCTACCATTACTACCCCGGTGTGTTTTCGTTCCGATTTGGCCAATTTCCAGCGGTTGGAGGCAAGGATAAGAGCATCTTCTGTTGAGTGATTTCTTCGGTATGCAAATTGACTTGAAGGTAACAAGGAGTGATCATCTAGGAAAGTTGTCAGCTGTTTCTTGACAAAGTGTTCCAGTATGCGAGAAACAATAGGCAGTAGCGAGACGGGCCGATAGTTACGAGCTGACAGTGGGTCGCCATTTTTATACAATGGGCTGATAAGAGAATGTTTGAAAGTTGATGGCACTATACCAGACGCAAGAGATAAGTTGACGATCTTCATCAGGTATGGGGAGAGGGTGTCCGAGCAACGTTTCAACACAATACCTGGGATTCCATCACTTCCTGTAGCTTTATGTGGATCCACACATTGCAAACGCTTAGCGACATCATACAACGACACAGGTTGGAAGGCTGTAAGGGCATCAGATTTCGTAGGGCCAACTGGCATCTGTAGGTGCGTAGGTCGACTGGGGTCATGAACAACATCTGCAAAGAAGTCGCCCAGCTGGTCAGCTGATACCTGGGGTACTCGGCGGGTCTTCTTTCGTCCGGTGACAGTGTTCATCACGGACCAAAGTTTCCTCTGATCAGACGTATAGCATTGATCCATAAAGTAAGCATTCTTCAACTGTCTATCTAGCTTTCTGGCCTTGGCACGTGCAGCTCGGTGCTCCTGCTGGAGTGCCTCGTTTGCTCTATCTTGCATTAGACGGCGGTGCAGTCTGTTTCGGTTCCGGACACACTCAACCAGCTCGCGAGTCAGCCAGGGACATGGACGCCGGTCTGCACGGCGGCGGGTGGTGATGGGTGCATGTTGGTCAAGGGTGGAGAGAATAGCATTGTTAAAGGAAGTTGTCATGGAGTCAACATCTTGATCATCAAAGCCGACAGACAGTATGCCATGTAAATCAGTTTGAAAGCAGCCCCAGTCAATCTGATGGAGACGACGACCCGTGACAGTTGATGTTCCCTTGCGAGCAGGTTTAGACGGAATCGGTAGATGAGCGAGTATGGCATAGTGATCACTTATATCGAGGTAAATTATTTCACATGTTCCACTTATAGCTGTTGTTGAGAGGAAAAGGTCGAGAATGGTCTGGGAATGTGCTGTCACTCGTGTTGCAGAGGATACGTAATTCTTCAGATCAAATCTCGTCAGAATATGCTGAAGAGGGTGGGCAGCATTACCAGGCATGCTGAAATCCACGTTAAAGTCACCAACGAGTACTGTGGAATGTTGCCGTCCTTGACAAGCTTGCTCAATGTTATTCTCAAGTCGACGGGATGTCTGTCCTGACGTTTTCTGGGACCGGCGCTGACTCTGCCGATCACGGGCGTTCTTCTTCTTCTTCTTCTTATTATTATACTGACGGCAACTAACATCCATTCTGATCGCATTTACAAGTACTCGTCTCCCTACTTCGTATTTCTTTCCAGAAAATCTCCCCATACAGCAGGGAGTCGTTTACATAATATGACTCCCTGCTATACATCTACATGACGTTATAATTATTATGCTATCGGCCTACATGCGATTCCCGGGCTGGTCGACAGGCGGCCCAGCCAGCCTGCTAGTGGGATCTCGGCCTCGCACACAAATCCACACAAAATTTAATGGTACTGCACTGAATGCATTCCCCCCATACACTTCGCATATATACTCATTCTCTTGATGGTACCGTACTCTTGATGGTACGGGACAGGTACGGGATAGCGCCAGGCATGTCGATGGCACAAACAAACAAAAATATTGTGGCCAGCTGTCTTTGCTGGTACGGTACAGTACGGGACAGATACGGGATAGCGCCAGGCGTGACACAAACAAACAAACACACAAACAAACACCAAATTAAAGCTGTGTGGACCCTGGCTAGCGCCAGACGTTACTGAAGTAACGTCTTCTGCATAGCTACGGGAATAAACTGCACTACATCCTGCTCTATGTCTGCTGAAATGGCCAAGTGCTCTGGTGTTCTCCCAGTCAAGCCATTTTGTGCCAGTTGAACGACTCATTTGTTTGCCTTTTTTGAAGGCGCTTCATTACATGACTTCCAACAGCATGAACTGCCATGAACACGTCTTTGCACAACTCGTAACCACGTACATGATAGCGGAAATAGAAAGGTCGATCACCACCGCCAGTCATCGACTTTCGCATGCTTCCAGTCAGTGCGCCCAGAACAAACTGCTTGAACTGTTGAAGCGCTTTTTCGATTCTCGCAGTTTAGAGACTTCAAATATGTAGTCCTCGAGCTGCTGCTCTGGGATGACTTTCCAATGATTCTTCGACTTGCATCCACAGCCTCTCTCAATCCCATCGCGTATGTCCAAGGAGACCACGCTTCACCTGCTCCGTCGTCGGTGGCTCAGGTGCGGGGGTATCTGGTTCGTCATCCGATTCCGAGTAGTCGGTGTCACTCTCCGCGTTTGAAATTTCCGAGCTGTCGGGGCTTGGCGTTTTCGACACAACACTAGCAGCACTCGAGCTTGCTGTGACTCCATACGTCTTCTTCTTAGGTGGCATATCATCGCCGTCGCTGTCAGCATCGGTGTCGGAATCGCTCGCGGACGACTCGCGGGTGCCAGCGCTGAATCCGTAAAAATTCTCGTCGTCCGATTCAAGCGCCTTCGCATCAGGGACTAGTCGACTCCACACAGAATCGAGTTGCGTCGTCTACTAGATGTTGTAGCCATAATCAATCACAGTAAGTGGAGCCTCATGAGTTACTCGACAATCGCTCGAGCTCGGAATCCTTCCCCGACCACCTAACAAGACGAGAGACGGAGAAGCTCTTGAGTCTTGTCAAAACAAAAGTGACGAGTTCTGCGCTTCGCGTAACTACTTTGAGTCGCGTGACTTTGAAACGTCATAACTTGATTTTGATATCAAACGTCGTAGGGCGGTTTCTATAGTCCCTGGCTCTTTTATTGATTCATGGGGTACTTGGGGCAAAAAGTGGTACGGTCAATACCGTAGTGACCGTACCGTAGTGACGCCCTGCACACACACACAAAAGGTTGGTTTGCTTACCCGGGCCGATGCTCACCTGACCATGCTCGCTGTGTACACCAAACAACATACTGGTGAATGGTGAATGAACCAAATCACCTTCTCAACCGGGGGTGCATGAGTTACAAAATAATACAATCGTATGCTGTGCTTTCGCCATCGATTGTTCAGAACACGAAGCATGATAGAAAAAAACAAAGGGAATCTTCGAAAAATAAAGCGTGTGTTGCTGAAGTAGCTACCTCTATTTCATCTGTGAAAATACTGTACATATATACATATATCAATGTTCTCTGATGATTGCACCGTCAGTTCATGAAAACACGGAGCACCAAGCGATGACCTTGACTCAACTGCGGCTCTGCTGAAACTAGTGTGCATACCAGCAAAACTGTATTTTGTAACGATCAACCCAGGAGATGAAACTTCCAGCAGCTTTCTAAATAAATTAGAAATGAAGGGGTACTAGTGGAGCCTCACACCCCAGTAATATGCGTAGCTTTTAAAATTCGTTCCAAAGTAATAAAAAGATATGTGTGATCATGTGACATTGAACGTAGTCAACAATAGTGGTCCACACAGGGCCGGTCTATTTGAAGTAAATAATTTGACAGCATCTTCGTAAATTGAAAACAAAGATCAACGGGCACATTGGCTGGCCAGCAGCAGCAATGGCAAACACAAACCTAAACTAGAGCTCAGAGAGCACAACACCCCGTTCAACCTGGCAGGACAGACATGTACACCAGCAATACGCCCTATTGACAGCCCTAAGTGGCAAACGTCATACATGCCTACTAAAGTATGCTTGTGTGAAGTGCACAGTTCAATTTTAAAAGAAAATAGGCAAGACACTAAGGAAATCCCCAAGGCTATACTAGCTCCCCGACGCCCTGAGCACAAATGCAAAGTCGGTTTCACGGAGAACTGTTTCTGGTCTTGGGTTAGTTGCAACATAGTGCAGCCTAAACAACACATACGCATGACAGAGAGAAGAAACACGGGTCACAACTGTGTTGCAATGGGAGCATGTGTACACTGTACATCATGGTACATTGTACATGCAGTGGAACCTGAGAAATGCAAATACCCAAGGTACTGTCCCCCCAAGGTAGTGTCCCGATTTCAAACATGTCCGCAGTTTGTAGGCTCACATGTGCAGGTTCGTATCTCCAGGGCACTGCTAGAAGGTGTCCTTTCAATTCTCAGTGGTCCCTTAGGACAGATTCCACAGCGTAGATACCGTACGCGCTCGAATACAAGCCCCCCTTTGGATAGAACCCCCCCTCAAATAGAGCCCGTCTGTCCGAGGGAATCGAAATAATAAAGTCCTGTCTCATATAAAAGCCCGGGGCTATAATCGAGCACGCAATTTCCATACAATGCAGTGCAGTATATGAATCGAGCACGCAATTTCCATACAATGCAGTGCAGTATATGAATCGTGTACGGTATGCACGTGCAATATGGTGCACTTATTGCACACAAACTGCAGGTACTGGTGCTTACAGTACAACGATCGAGTGCAGTCACTGCATGTACAGATCAGCATGAATGGGGTGAAACAATTGATGTTTCTATTAAAAAAATATAAAGCTCCCTCTCGAATACAGCCCCCCCCCCCTCAATGTGTCTTCTGGAAAAATAGAGCCCCGGAGCTTCTTTTCGCGCCTATACGGTATGTACGGTACACACCCGAGCTGAAACAGGTCGTTGATTAATCTCACATGTGAACATACATGTACTAGTATTTGTTTTAGGATTATGGAAGACTTTGGTGGTGGTATCGAGGTGGTGCACCACTGTACTTTACATCATTGCATTTTGGGATTTACATGCCTGTATTACGAAGAGTGCATACTGTAAGACATGTTGTTATAATAGAGAGGTTCCGCATAACGTAATTACGTTAGTAAAAAACGTAGTCGATCTACGGAAAGTCTTACGTAAACTGCATGCGGATCTGGGTTCCGCCATACGGAGTTTTCAAATCACGTAGCTGCCCTTGGCAACTCCGAACGCGGCAGTGTACGACCAGATCGACCTGGGGAGAGAGTCATAAATTTGTACCCAATCCATTAACGGACCAGCTACGTTATCAGAGCCCTATCTACGTACTCTCCGTAGACAACTTTCCGTAAGTGGAGTGCAAACTCGCGAATTCACGGGTTTTTCCCGCCCACTAACGTAAAGTTGCTCAACTTTACGTAGTGCGGAACCTCTCTAATGAGTCGCAAATTTAACGATTGTCCAAAATTCATAGGTTAACGAGAAGATAGGTTAACGATCTTGCAGTATTCTGCCATATCCACACACAGCATATATGAAGCAGTACGGCCTCAACGGATCTTATCATAACGAAGAAATGTCATCCGATAAAACGTTAGATTTGATTCCTCGTTATATATACATGTCTTACAGTATGCAATTATGCATGCTTTCAAAGTTTGGGGGAGTTTGTACTTTCAAATCCAGTTTGAGAGTACACTAGAAGCCTGTATGGAACTCCACAGCAGGTTCACACGACGTGCACGCTGTTGAAAGGTACAATAGCGCAGCGCCACAAGTCAAGAACTAAACATACATGTAACATTGATGTTATGGCCATCTGGATCTGTATGCTTAGTCTGAATCCTTACCCATCTGGTGATAATCTCCACAAGCCAATCAGTATTGACGCTTGATCACACAAACAACGCTGAAAGAGATTGCCATACGCCGAGCCTGCAGATCACGGACACAAGACGACAGCTATTGAATGTTATACTGCATCACGCACATGAGCAACACAGTGCACTTCAAGTAGGCTAGCTTCTGCGTGCTGTTTGCACCCCGCGCCCGGCGGGCCGCTCATACCTTAAAAGCTCTTGCTTTGACACGAAGCTGGCCTTTGGGAGTTGGTCTGAGTCTCAGTTCTGTCTTGTCTTGAGATTGCTCTCTGCAATGCCTGATGTTCGGCTTATGCATTGTGGGCTCACCAGTGGAGTCTACAGTTAGTCCACTGGCCTTGTACAATGTAGCACATGTTCTGCAAGTTCAGTTAATTTTCAGAACAGAAACAGTCGATTGCTTTTACTGCTGTGAAAGCATCAGCTCTTTCCAATCACGAGCAAGATCAAAAGTCTGCAGTTTACAAAATTCGTTGATTTAAAGCAGATCGATTGTTGGCGATGTCGATAGGCCAACAGCACCAGTACATGTAGTACAGAGTTCTTCAGCACTTACCAACTAGATCAGTCGGGATAGGTATTTGCATTATACCATTGGCGTCCTTCAAGTTGAGGTGCACTTTAGGCAGACTATGCAGCTGATGATGCTGGTAAATTGGTGACTCTTCAAACAGCTCATGGGGGTCAACAACACGATCAGGCAGGACACTGCACACAACATCTTCCGGCTCACTGCCACTTTCTTCTTGCGCGTGCTGCGACATCGTTTTGAGAGCCATGTTTGGATGCAGTCTCTGCGCTTGAGATGATGGCCGGCCGTCTTGCTGAGCATTAGCCCCACTGATATTTACAGTGTTGTCACTGCTAGCACTGACGGCACTGGTAGACTGTGGCACTTGCCTGCCGTCAGCTGCCACTGTGCTCTCTTCGCCCGTGTCATCATCCGTATCCAGACACCCGGAGAAGAGCAGAGTGCGTATGAAGGACAGCAGCAGTGGGTTGGTGTGGGCCGAGCACAGCAGGTTATCAAGCATGGAGCTGGAGAAGGCATGCCCACTCATGAATGGCAGGGACAGCTCTTCCTTTGCTGCAGTGCACAGCAACAACAAACAGGCACGCGGATAAGCAAAGACAGAAATTGACACATGCACAAGATAGAAAACAAGTGAAACAACCCAAACAAAGGGCCAAACAACCCAAACAAAGGGCCAAACAACCCAAACAAAGGGCCAAACAACCCAAACAAAGGGCCAAACAACCCAAACAAAGGGCCAAAGTCCTTTAGTTTCATGTGCGTGAACAGAGCATACAGCAGTTGCTCAAAAGCGCAAAAACCAATCATCAATACAGGACACATGACCGGCTACTACCACAACGCGCGAGCTCTGGTGTGGGGAGCAAACTCTTGTCCAACGTAAACATCGCCGAAGTCGCTAGCACTATCTCGTACTACCACAAGTACATAAAGATTCAAGCATACAATCCCATAGTTCTCATAGCTCCACGGTATTACAAACATGCAACGCTACAGTGCATTCCTCACCATACTCCGGGCAATCAGTACGATGGTATACTGAACGCTCAGGAATCAATAAGTCCATATTACTGTTTTGAATCACCTGAGCACAAATCATGCCACACAAAAATACAACCGAGCAAGACAAAAGAAAAGCAGAAATGATCCGTCATCCGAGAGTGCCGTTCCAGGCAGGGTTCCTATCCTGGCCGATTATGCACGTGAATGGGCCATCCATGTCTGGAGAGACGGAGCTATATCTCAGGTGGAACGAGCTCGAGAGGTGCTTCAAGTTAAATTAATCCCAGCACTGGAGCTGTGGATTATCTCGGCAAGGAAAGCCAGCTTGAACCACCCGCCAAGCAGCGCAGTAATGTGGAAGAGCATCACAGTCAGAGATTACTCGTGGAATGCAACATGTGAGTAAAGATTCTACTACTAGAAGGTTTAGTACTTCAAGCATTCCCCATTGAAAATGAATCAGCTGCATGAGAATCAGTGTGTGCTGGGATCCAAGTAAACGTTGAAGGTTGTCCAAGACTGCCAACGAGATGGAACTCATCGTTTCAAATGCTTGAGCAAGCCACCCCCCCCCCCCCCCCCCCCCCCGGATGATTTGCTCCGTTTTTCGGTGCCCAACATTACTGTACTTACTAAAGAATATTTCAAAGTGCCCAAAGTCCAGTGCATGTAACGCCACAGCAGGCAATGGAAAATAGGTCTTTACAATGACTGTATCTGCAATATGTCGCGGGCTGTACTTGAAGCACTGTTGCGGGCAACATTTTTTTCCATCGTTACGGAATGTCACTACTAGAGAGGTTCCGCACTACGTAGAGTTGAGCAACTTTACGTTAGTGGGCGGGAAAAACCCGTGAATTCGCGAGTTTGCACTTCACTTACGGAAAGTTGTCTACGTAGAGTACGTAGATAGGGCTCTGATAACGTAGCTGGTCCGTAAGTGGATTGGGGTACAAATTTATGACTCTCTCCCCAGGTCGATCTGGTCGTACACTGCCGCGTTCGGAGTTGCCAAGGGCAGCTACGTGATTTGAAAACTCCGTATGGCGGAACGCAGATGCGCATGCAGTTTACGTAAGACTTTCCGTAGATCGACTACGTTTTTTACTAACGTAATTACGTTATGCGGAACCTCTCTATTATCGATGCCATTATGCCCAAGACCGAATGTAATTCATAACTTTGTCTACATACCTCATTAATTGTGAAGCAATTGGGTCTGGCCAGTGAATGAAAGTTGTGTGCAGCAAGTAGAGAGATAGCATCTACTGTATTCTCCGGGTCTCTACACAGAACACAGGGCAGCGTCACAACACTCCTAAGCACAACCTAGTGACAAGTGGACAAGAAGATAGTGCATGTACATATATGTTCTAAAAACCTGCAAGAACAACAGAGTGCTCTATTAAAGACCACATGTGGTCCCAAGATACCCAGCACATACACAAACATAACTTACACCAAGCACACACAGACAAATACAGACAGGCAGACAGAAAGACAGACAGGCAGGCAGGCAGGCAGGCAGGCAGGCAGGCAGGCAGGCAGGCAGGCAGGCAGGCAGGCAGGCAGGCAGGCAGGCAGGCAGGCAGGCAGGCAGGCAGGCAGGCAGGCAGGCAGACAGACAGACAGACTTAGGCAACACGTATTCGAGTTCATACTTACTCGAGTGAGTCGATCGTGTTGTCTGAGACCATCACAGCATAGCTAGCAGTAGCGATTGCAGCCCGTTTTAAATCTCCAGCCTCCAGTGGGCTACCCTGAATGAAGTATACCTGCACGAGAATCATGACGACAAGAAAGAACATTGTACTACTAACGTGTATCTACAGTTGTTCAACCACATGCATACACAGTACAGGTGTCAGATACTTGTACGAGTACATTGCACTTGGAAGACAGCAATTACTTGAAGTACCATTTATACCGCCAACACTAGACAACCAACAGCAATCCTAATACGGATACTTAATTACAGGGTCCCTACCTCACGGAATGAAGAAAGCATCTTCCATTGGTCAGATGATGGTAGAGATGGGTTCAACACCACTGTCAGGACAAAAGGAATCAACCAAGCAATATTGTTCACAAACCCAGAAATAGTTGTACCGCCTTTAAGGCATGTTCACCGATGTAAACATACAACAGAAGGGAAAAACGTGAAACCGAAAATGCCATCCACACTCCACAGGTTTACAATAATAAAGTTCACTACTTCGAGGTAAGAAGCTGTGACAAGCAAGAAGCAGGTAAGAAGGAAGAAGCAATGCAGTCAATCTCGCACAATGAAGCCAATAGACAAAAATTCACGAATAAATACGTGCAAAGTCGTAATTTGCTTTTCTCACAACAGAACCTGTCCTCCTCGAAGACTCATGAACATTTCTCTGTGGTTCTCCCAAGATGAACACCGCATGAGCACTTCTCATTACAACGTTCCTACTCTGCTTGTTTTCACGTCGGTCTGGGGGCACCTTTTGGGCATTCCAAGTAATTGCTGCTCCCACCAATCACAAAAAGTGCTTTTCAAATGCTGGGGCCTATATTACATGAAAGAGCATTCAAATACCCCAGCCAAAAGAGATATTTCGACTTGCACTTGCCTGGTCACAAAGAGGCATTTTCAAGGCATCTGTCAGGTGTGGATATGTGATTAGTCTAATCCATTACACCCTGACAAGTAACAACGATGCTCCTCACTACTTGTCTTGCTTACCTACTGGCATGTGATTTGCCAGGTGCTGAGCCCGCAGCGGTGCAAGGAAGAAGCCAATATTGCGCGGGAAGCCATCACTGTTGTCACAAAGTATGACGTGATCTTTCAACGACCACGGCCGTTCTGCAAGGTCAATCTGTCATATGACAAACAGGGAAGAAGGCCAGGCTGAACGATCATGATGAGCTGCATGATCAGTAGTGTACATGCTACTAAGGCATACAGTAATACAGAGAAGAAAAATTCAGAACACCAGGAACACAACATGGGCTGAGAAAAACAGGCCACCGACTAGACCAAAATGACAACACGGGGGTGACCATAACGGCCTTGTTTCAGTTATACGTACATGTCTAGGCTTTCCACTGCACACATATTCCCAGGACATGTGTATTCCTCCATCGGCCTCATCTGAGCTGGTATGTTCCTCTGATGTTCTACGCCCATGCGACACATGAGCTGGTGTTGAACCTGTGCCCTACATACAGGCAAACAGTGTACGTATATGAATGTGTTAGCCAGAGCATACCCGTTTAATAGCAGAACACACACACACACACAGACACACACACACACACACACACACACACACACACACACACACACACACACACACACACACACACACACACACACACAAACACACACACACACACACACACACAAACACACACACACACACACCATGTACCATGTATACGCCTGTCGCAAGAGAAGCACGCAAATCTGAAAATGCACTGGTTGTGCACCCACAGATTTTCATCCACACACACACGCACGCACGCACACACACACACAAACACACACACACACACACACACACACACACACACAGAGGCATAGCTCTCCACTTCTCTCCCTCTCTCCCACCACCTTACACCTTTCACCAGTGCTGCTACTCTCCACACAAACATGGATTCTTCTGAACTTGATTCAATTTCACCTGCATGGCCAATTTCACACAGCCAGTATCCTATACATGTATAATGTAACTGAGAGGAGCATAGAGTAAACACCTACCACTAGATGCTTGATGAAAGAGCGCGACTGTCCATTCATGATTGGGTCGCACACAGCAGTAGCAACTTGCTGTGCACCAGTGGTTGTCAATGGTATTGACGCTTGACGACTGAGCTGAGGATTTCGTCCAGTCGACTGGTGATTATTAGGAGCACGGAGGCGATGTGATCGACCATCAACTACTGTTGACCCTTGTATTCCCTTCAGTTTGCAGAAAAGAAAAAAGAAATAAACAGAGACAAAATCAGATACCCTAAGAAGATAGGAAGAGTGCCATAAAGGCGTCAACGCAAGCAGTGCTCTAAAGGCAAGCAGTGCTCTAAAGGCAAGCAGTGCTCTAAAGGCTGAACAGAGGACAGGTTGTACAGTATACTATACATAAAGCAGTCACCTACCAGCTCTATGCTATCATTTGCAGTCCACCGGCGAGCAATGACGGTAACACTAAGACTGAAGCTTGTGTCATAATGCTCACAAAGTGTACACATACATGTGCAATTGTGCATCCCTAGGAGGTCATTGTAATAACTCCTAGGGATGCACGTGATATTATTATGTTCATCGCCATTCTGGAAGTCTTCCAGATGAGATTTCCCTTTTTAATCCTTCAAACTTCATGAAGATTCTGACATTTTCGACTTTTTTTTGAAACAGCAGTTCAAACCACTACACCTGCATTTTGTACAAAGGTACAACACATACTGTAACGCAAGCTACAGTGCAGCATGTACGGTAGATACTCACTCACTCACTCACTCACTCACTCACCCACTCACTCACTCACTCACTAAGGCCAGTTCAATACCAAAAACACGTACAGGCACAACTTCAAACGTTGCCTACATGTACATGACATGTACATTGTATACAAAATGGGATATCAGGTGAAGGCATGACTGTGATGTGTAGTAGAAGAACACAGCACTCTGTTTGCCATACGACTGTGCTTACATTGGTAGGTTGTGGAATGATTAGCGGGGTTCTCTCATCATCGCTGGTATTGGCTACTGTTGCTGCTAGTGGAGTGCCTCGCCTCTATCAACACACACATAGCAAGTGAGGAAAGAGAGAGAGAGAGAGAGAGAGAGAGAGAGAATGCAAGAGCGGCAACACGGGACGTATAACTGGTTTCCTTCTTAAAGTTCAGCATGCTCTTTCCAATACTCAGCAGAGAAGTTGATAGCATGTGTGCCACACTGAGCGATTCAGTATAGCATTCACTTAATCTTGCGAAGAAAATAAGCAGACACAAATACAAACAGTGCCAGCTGGCCATGCAGTTAGCTGTGAAGTGATCAAGACCTGTGGACTTGACTGACACAATACCCACTGACAACACCATCAACAACATGTTTTTTTACTAGGTCTTTACCTGGGCAGATGCACGAGGTGTTGAACGGCTGATGGCGGTGGCTACATCACTTGATCTTGCCAGGAGGATAAGCTGTTCATCACCGGTAAATTTGTAATTCCTTGGATTGATCATTAGATCAAGTCTACCCTAGAAGGCACAGCAGTCACCAGCAAGCACAGCACAGCACAACGATGGTTGAGTGTACTGATGTAGCAGAAAGCCACATCCGCACACCTTGCAATGCCACAGTGACACACGTATAACTGCAAGAGTTAAGAGAATAACACCGTTCCTGGTGAAAAACTAATTACGAATGTAGCAATGAGACATCCACGAATGACTCGTCAGCAGGATTCACAGAGCATTGTTTGTGATGTGATGCATGATCTGATGAGTGATCATGTGATGAGTGGTGTGATGCGACTGTGCCGTGCTGACGTGCGTCAAAGCTCAATGCGGGGTGTACGCAACCCTGGCATTCTCGTACCTAGATACAAGCAAGAGCACATTGGCTCCCAGAAGTGTTAAACTCTGGATACCCGTTCTATCGGGTCCGTCAACGGTGAAAACTCACATCACGTGGTGTAGTGTTTCCGTTGCATGTTCCCAGCCTGTTTTAGCGACCAATGGCGTTACGATTTCAGGATATCCCGGTTTCACGGCCATCGCATTGCGCAATGCATGGCAAAAATGCTTCTGTGAATCCTGCTTTAAAACCCACCTAAAAATAAGAGTGCATGAATGTGTTGGAATTCCTTGAAGCTAAAGCTCTAGTACAACACGAACTGACCTGAGCGGAGTCAACATTGGGAGTAGCTACAGCTAGCAAGATCGCCGAGTAGCTTCGAAATATTTCAGATGATAGGCTAGTGAAAGATCTACCAATGAAGTGGTCAGGCGGATTCTCAACATACAATTCCTGCAAAGAACAGAAGAGGCCATATTCATTCATACAGTTTTATTGTACAGTTGCGCTCGGTGAAATCCGACCCAGAGTGCATATTTGGCACCTCAATATGCACAGCCCATGACGCCCTGGCAGAAGTACGAATGCGGCTGGATGTACACATGTACAAATGCAATGATGTAGTCGGAACTGGCACAGGGCGCCAGTTTTGCAAGTGGGATCAGATTTCACCGAGTGCAACTGCAGTAGACGAACGGAAGAAGTTGTCAACAGGCTGGGTTACTATGTATGGTAAGTTTGGCTCGCTACCCTGGCTCCACTATACAATACTGTGCCCTCGGGTGACTGACTATCACATCACTATGACGGTGAGGCAGTCAGCAGCAGAGTGCAGTATAGCTAAGTGTACTACTGGTGCCTGTACATACTGTCAATAATAATTATTGTGGTCTACTTCAGCAATCACATCAAACTTCAGTTTCCAAATTGATATGAATCCAATCGGCAAGGCTAGTTGTAGAAACCAGATTCGGACCATCCAAAAATTTAGTACCAGGGCCGTCAAAAGGGATCCATGAAGTCATTGTGGGAAATCTGACGGAGATCTTTTAAAACACACACACACACACACACGCTCTCTCTCTCTCTCTCTCTCTCTCTCTCTCTCTCTCTCTCTCTCTCTCCTCCCTCTCTCTCTCTCTCTCTCTCTCTCTCTCTCTCTCTCTCTCTCTCTCTCTCTCTCTCTCCCTCTCTCTCCCGCTCTCTCTCTCTCTCTCTCTCTCTCTCTCTCTCTCTCTCTCTCTCTCTCTCTCTCTCTCTCTCTCTCTCTCTCTCTCTCTCTCTCTCTCTCTCTCTCTCTCTCTCTCTCTCTCTCTCTCTCTCTCTCTCTCTCTCTCTCTCTCTCTCTCTCTATGCAAAGCCTACCTGATCAGCCCCATATACAAACTCCTTTTCACGTTGATCCGCATGGTATCCTGCAGCCCAGCAAGTAAGCATCAGACACTCAAATCAAAGACATGCATGCGACCATACTCCAACAATCACAGCCAACACAAACACAAGAAATATGTGCACTACGTCGGTGTACGTACCAGTGTGCTCTTACCGCCATGCAGCAAACGACAACATTATTAAAAAAAACATCAAATAGCCCAACTCACCCGTGCTGCCAATGTACGGACATCCTATCGTGTACAGCAGAGTGGAAAAGCCTGGGCAAAGGCAGCTCTGAGCGAGTAGCCCCATCTTCAGTTCATCCACGCAAACCACTTGCTCAACACCTGCGCATGCATACAACATCACATAACAAGCACGTACATTGTACTGTAACAAGCAGGTGCTTTGATCCTAGAGGGTGGTGGCGTTCCCACGGCGGATGCGGAAAACTCGGCTTCCAGCCGAGTCTCACGCGAACCGTGAAATTTTTTTAATTTATTTTTTAAGCAGGTGCTGGAGCAAATCCTCATCGTAGCACACCATTGCTGCAATGCTGTTCCAATGGGGTTAATACGGTAGTGACGGAACGCACAATAACTATTACCGGTATGTGCATGCCTAATGATGAAGCTGCACATGTCCACGGGTCTCCGGTACTGCAGTCATCTGTCTATGAGGTACATAGCTTGTTTCATCAGTCTATTATGGTACATACAAAAGGAATAGAATACGAAGCTTGGGTTGGCTGTGACTCCGGGTTTCACGCCTATGGCGATCATCAGACAGCATGATGATGTCTGATGATCGCCATAGGCGTGAAACTCGGAGTCACAGCCAACCCAAGCTTCGTATTCTATTCCTTTTGTATGAAGCTCTGCACCCCGGTGCATTGAGCACTCTTTCGAGGACCACACCCAACTTTCCGTGTGTATTATGGTACATAGCTTGTTTCATCAGTCTATATGGTGCATAGCTTGTTTCATCATTCTATTATGGTACATAGCTTGTTTCATCATTCTATGAGGTAGAGGCGACGGTTTCAAATAGGACACAGGTTGCAAACCGGAACGGACTCAATATTCACTTTCTCTCTTGGTATTTTGATTAGAAAACATATGCCACAGTGAGACTACGATGTGTTATACTCCGAGCCAAAATTTCATGGCTCTGCGATGACCAGAAGCGCCATACCAAGCAGGTGAGTTTTTGACGTGTTGCTTCGCACTGCGACTTGAGTTTTACGACTTTCGAAAAATCAACTTCTTGTCGCAGGTAAACATCGGCTCGCATCTCGCCAATAAAGCACTGCATACCAATCAAAGCTAATGGAAGCACACACAAGGCTTATTGTTACTCTGTACTGGCTGTCGTGGAGCGATAGCAATTACCTAATTTCAGACCCAGAGTGAATTTGACGTGCACTCTAAAACGTGTCCGGTTTGGAGCCACCTCTGATTTGAACTTTTTTGAAGCGAAAAATTGGGCAACTTGGAGGCAATGGGTCAACACAAAGGAGTGGCTCAGTTCGATTGACTCTGGCCCCAGAGCAGACTTCAACATGCCAGTTTCCTTCCACAAACATTTTTCGAGTGAAAAATCAACGCTGATGATCGGTTTGGGTCTATACAAATTTGGCTCTCAAGGTGTTCCGGTATCGAACCGTCCACTCTACATAGCTTGTTTCATCAGTCTATATGGTACATAGCTTGTTTCATCATTCTATTATGGTCGAGAGTACATACCCCCCCCCGAGTGTGCAACTCGACTATGGGTGCTGTCCCGACAGAATTTCAAGTTGACGTCATTTATATGATGCAAAAAAAAGCACCGTACACGGATTATCAGACGAATCCGTTACCTGTGGTGGACCAAAGCCCATCTGATGCTGTACAAATTATTGCAAAGAAAAACGTGTGAAAGAAAAACGTGTGATGCTTGACACCCGTACACATGTTGTAAATCACTGGTGCAAGGAGCATTGCATCATAAAATTTGTCAACTTTAAATTCTGGAGAGAAGTGGTGAGAAGGAGAGCTCTGTGCCAGAACTTTGCAGCCTAGAGAGCATGTGTGGGCAGGCGTGTGTTTACCGCCATATTGCCAGGTGTGTCTTTACCACCATATTTATCAACTTGAAATTCTGTCGGGACAGCAGGGTATGTGGGAGTTGCACACTCTTGGGGGGTTATGTACTCTTGATTAACCCGACTGCTGCATGGACGATAAGTGCTGCGAATAGTGATCATGCGCCCTGGCCTGAGTAGCTCGCTTGGCTAATTGAAAGTCTGCCGACCTGGGCCACATTATGTTGTTAAGGCATGCACAACCCCAGTCACAGCGCGCAAGTTGGTTGAGTTTGGCCGTCAGGAGGCCAGCGCAAGGTATTCGGGGCGCGGGTCTGATTCCAGCGAGGGGCAATGTGGTACCCCGCAGCGCAAGGGTAGCGTGATACCCTAAGCCAGCGTGCGTGCTGCATGAGTAGCGTGATACTCGCTGAGCGCTTTTGCTGTTGCCTAGCAACGCGTTTCTGTCTTTCCTGGGCCCCCAACGCATGTTGGGTGGCCCTGCGCATGACTGCACGTTGTCATAGCAACCTTGGAAACCTCAAGCCGGTTACCAACAAGCTAGGAATCAGACCAAGCCGCCGAATGCCCCCGCCGGCCCCCGGCGCTTCATTGCAATTGAATCGCTTCATTGCAATTGAATTAATATTTGTCCAGAATAGTGAGCTAGGACAGATCAAGAGGCGTGGGTGGGAGGGAGAAATTGCAAAACAGTTGGATGCACGCAGCAGCACAGCTAGCAAGAGAAAGAGCCGTGGATGGGTTTGTTCCTGTTTTTGATGGCTGTGGCCATCCGTTGGCCCAGCGGTCTCGTGTGAGTACGGTGTTTGTTCGTGCTGCCAGCTCGCGCCCGGCATTTGTTTGCGCTGGCAGCTCGGGCCCGGTGCGCGAGTGAAACCGAACCGTGACAAAGGCTTTCGCTCTTTAGTGCTATTGACTGGCTTTTCATACGATGCCTATTGATGTCTAGAGACATGCTGTCTAGCCTTCCCCTAGTACGCATTCACGGGGCTTTGTTGAAGTTCGTGCCGTGAACTGCCAAAGGGAACTGTTTGAATGGTGCTGGGGCGAGTGCGACATTACGGCGTCCCTGCAGCCGGCCTAATCGCGTTTGTCGCCACAACCGATTTTAACCCGACTGCTGCATGGACGATAAGTGCTGCGAATAGTGATCATGCGCCCTGGCCTGAGTAGCTCGCTTGGCTAATTGAAAGTCTGCCGACCTGGGCCACATTATGTTGTTAAGGCATGCACAACCCCAGTCACAGCGCGCAAGTTGGTTGAGTTTGGCCGTCAGGAGGCCAGCGCAAGGTATCCGGGGCGCGGGTCTGATTCCAGCGAGGGGCAATGTGGTACCCCGCAGCGCAAGGGTAGCGTGATACCCTAAGCCAGCGTGCGTGCTGCATGAGTAGCGTGATACTCGCTGAGCGCTTTTGCTGTTGCCTAGCAACGCGTTTCTGTCTTTCCTGGGCCCCCAACGCATGTTGGGTGGCCCTGCGCATGACTGCACGTTGTCATAGCAACCTTGGAAACCTCAAGCCGGTTACCAACAAGCTAGGAATCAGACCAAGCCGCCGAATGCCCCCAAATTCCGCGTTGGTCAGCCGAATGACCTTAGTGTGGTATTCAAGCGCTTCAGCTACATGTACGTAGTTCAAATGCGTGCCCTTCGCATGTTTGTTTTCCCTTAGTGACACCGAGAAGGGTTTGAATCGCATGTAGTCGGAGCGTGCGTGCACACATGGGGTGTCCCACACCGCCATGGCATGGGGTGTCCCACACCGCCATGGCATGGGGTGTCCCACACCGCCATGGCATGGGGTGTCCCACACCGCCATGGCATGGGGTGTCCCACACCGCCATGGTCTGGGGTGTCCCACACCGCCATAGCATGGGGTGTCCCACACCGCTAGGTGGGAGCTATAGCACAGCAACAGAGTGGTGCAGATAACTTATCATAAGTATCAGAGGCGTGCGTGCACAGTCAGTGCTAGAACGTGAGTGCATACGTCCGCGAATGGGCGTACCAGCGTGTGCGCAGCGTGTGTACCTGCATGCATGCTTGTGCGGTGTCAGACTGTGGGTGCGTGTACGCGTGCATGCATGTGTGTGTGCATGCGTGGGTGTGTGTGCGTGCGTGTGTATGTGTCTGCGGGTGCGTGTATGTGGGTGTGGCTGTGCGCGCTTGCGCGCCTGCGGACGGCGAACAGTTACTTTCCACAGCGTACATAGTTCTTGTAGCAGGCACTTCGCCATCTGCCGAGTTTCATGATCTCGGATTCGGTGAAGCCGCTCATTGCTCCTGTGGTTGCGGCTCCGGCTCTGAGGCCGTGCAGTGAATACTGGATAGGTGGGTACCCTGCGCTGCTCAGGAGCTGACGGATTAGACGGGTGAGTCTTGGTGCAGTTAGGAACTTGCCACAGCTGTCAACGAACAGTGGTCTATTGGGCAGGTTGGGGCGTCTTGATAGATAGGTATGCATGGCTTTGACCGGGCAAACCGTTGAGTTGGTGGTTGTGAGCCGGACGGAGTGACCCTTGCCGAGTTGGTCGGTCTTGGACTTCTTGATTGTGACCTGTATTGCCTGCGGCGTGATGGAGAGGTCTTCTGTTCGGAGGCCACCGTCTGACATGGTCGTGGCGGTTGTGGAAGTGTACTCACTTGCCCGGAGACACGCAAAGAAGCCCAGGCAAATAGCTGCCCATACCATGGCTCGGTCGGTCGCGTTGAGGTTAGACCGTATCAGGGCCCTGCGCATAGCTGCCATGTGGGGCAGGAGGATTGGCTTACTGGCGTTTTTAGTTCGGTTGGCCTGTGCACGTGCCACTCCTTGAACTGCGAGGTCCACTCTTCGCGACGAGAGATCTTTGCCGTTTTCTTTGGCAATTGCCCGGATCGCCGACACATACAGGCGGACGGTTGACGCGGCATGTTGACGCGCCAGGTAGGCTACAAACGCCAGCATGATGGTGTCTGTAATCACCTTGGTGCCGACTAGTTGGCAGAATTGGTGCAGTCGTTTCCAGGCTGTCGCGTATGTGGCACGTGTGGACGCTGACAGGCCTAGCCACTGGTAGGCCTGACCCTCCAACATCAGAGGGAGTAGGTGCTCTCGGGCACCGGAGATGGCGTGTCTTCTGCTGTGGGTGCCAGTCGGCGAAATCGGGCCATCTGAAACCGAGACAGAGAGTCAGCAATCGCATTGTCAGTGCCGGGGATGTGGGAGACTATGACGTGAAAGTTGTGTCGGGCAGCAATGGCAAACAAAGTGCGTACCAGCGCCATTAAGTCGGGGCACTTTGTGCGTGAGCGGAGCCAGATGTCGCATACGCTACGGTTGTCGCAGTGGAAGCGGATGCGCTTCAGATGCAGCTGCGGTGCCCATGTGGATGCTGCGGCCACGATGGCAAAGAGCTCCATCCACGCGATGGATCTCTGGGATTGGTGCCTCTGCCACCGGTGTTGGAGCCACCGGCCGGCGAAGAAAGCACCATAGCCGATGGCTCTAGATGCGTCCGTGTAGAGGTCCATATCGGCGGCGGCTGACCACGTGGGTTCTAGGAAGAAGGCGACGCCATTCCAGGCAGGGAGGAAGTCAAGCCACCACTGGATGTCTGCTTTGGCGTCTTCTGTGATTCTGATGTAATCGTTTGGATGCGGGACCGTCGTGCTGAGATCAATGAGGCGGCGCAGAAACATGCGGCCCGCAGGGACCGCCTTGCAGGCAAAGCTGAGGTGACCTATCAGGGACAACAATTCAGACTTGCGGGCGGTAGGGCGGGTATGTTGCCAAGCCTTGAGGGCAATGAGAAGGTCTTCTAACTTGTCGGATGGGAGGCGGATTTCGAAGCGCTCTGTGTCCAGCATGGCACCGAGGAATGTCAGGGTTGTACTAGGGCCTTCCACCTTTTTTGGATTGACCGGGAAGCCTAAGTCGTGGCAGGCTACCAGGGCACGGTCAAGCTGGTGCTGTGCGCCGATAGAGTCCGTCGCTCCACCAAGGTAGTCGTCTAAGTAGTGGATGACTGGGGCTACGTCGAAGTTGTGCGACATGACCCACTGGAGGGCGTCTGCGACTTTGTTAAACAGCGACGGTGATGAGCGAAGGCCGAAGGGTAGGCATTTGTCCACGTAATATTGCCCGCGCCAGAACAGGCATAATAGTTCCCAGTCCTCTTTCCGTACTGGACAAATGCGAAATGCGTCTTGGAGGTCGACCTTCCACAGATGGCAGCCACGGCCTAGGGACCGTGCGAGATTTACGCCGTCGTCGACCGAACAGTACTGTACAGAGAATTTGTCGACAGGGATACCATCGTTCACTGAGTGGCCCTGTGGTGCTGACAGATGCATAATCAAGCGCCATTTTTGCACCGACCGTGACTTCTTGGGAACCACACCCAAACCGGAGACCTGTGTAAGTGTGAAGGGGGGCTCTTGGTAGGGACCGGCCATGCGACCTGCGGCAATTTCACGACCGATGGCAGCATCGACAATGTCAGGGTGCTCAATCGCTGATTTGAGATTACGAGAGACTCGGAAGGTACGGGGACCAGCAAACCCAATATCGAACCCGTAAGACAAAGAATGTATTACGAATGAGGCAAAAGCCGGATCAGGATGCTGACACAAAGCGTCCTGCAGGTAAGAAACGTTAATGGGGGTTACAGGCGTGTGCAAATGGATTGGCTCGTGAGCGAGGGTGCGTGTAGGAGAGATGTGAGCAGCTGGGCAGAGTGTGTGAGTGCTATTGGCCTGGGTGAGTGTAGAGTTACCGGTGAGTGACTGGAGTGACCGAGTCTCCAAGCTGGGCAACTGCGAGCTATTGGTCGCGGCTGGCGGCGGCTGGCTTTCCTGGGCATGACTTGGCGGGGTGGCTGCCAAAGCATGTGCTGCACTGGTGGCCGTAGCGACAGGCTGCGCGTTGGCAGCGGCCTTGGTTGTAGTCGCGGCAGACAGCTGGGGCGTTTGGGTGAGCGGTAGCCCCTGACCGCTGTGCCGGAAAGGGGCGTTTGGCTGCTGGCCCGTCAGACAGTGAAGCTAGGCTACGGGCGCGGGGGCAGCGAACTGTTAAATGACCTTGCCGGTTGCAGTGACGGCAGGGAGGCAGGATGGAGTTTGTAAACCACTCCGACCAGAGTTCCGGATCTGACGTGGCAAGGCTAGATTTGCTGCGTGCAGCTCTTGCACGGAACGACATGTCGAAGCCAGACCACGCACCGAATGTATAGCGTGCGGCCGCTTTCACGATTGTGCTTTGGTACTTGAATAATTCCGGACCTCTGCCGGGGTCGTGGTGGAGGGCTACTTGGGCGAAGGCTGAGAACGCCTCCAACCACGATGTCAAGTCTACAACTTTCTTTAGACGGGATGACGACGACATGGCAGATGGCACAAGGGTGATGTGGTCCCCCGTCCCCTGCAGGGTGAACCCACTGTCCGGACCCATGCTCGTATCAAAAGCCAGCTCTCCCAGTACCCTACCAAAATCAACGTACTCACGTTTGATAATCTTGTCCGTGAGATGGTCGCTGAGGGCAGGTAATGGGATGGATGGTGGACGCTCTGGGGCGAGCAAATCGCCGTCCAGGAAGAGACTCTCCTGGTCTGGTCTTAGTGCTGAAGCCAGTGAAGGCTGGACATATTCAGGCTCAGAGTCAGGCACCACAACATCACCAGAGACTGGACCAGCCCGCTGTGCTGCTGTTGCTGCTGCTACAGTTGGCTGTGCATGTGGAGGTACCACCGGTAGACCCATCGAAGTTGTCAATGACGTCATGCAGGACGCCACTGCATCTTGCACGACCCGAGAGATCTCGGCAGATTGCTGCGACGTGAACGCGGGCGACGAGTCAGGCTGGGTCGCGGCCGCGGGGCTTTGAGTGGCCGGGACTGCAGGACTAGCCCGCCGACGCGTGGTCTTTTTTGCGACCTGGCTCGTAGACTTAGCTTTGTTTCTTGCCTGGGCCGACAAATGCTCATGCAGACGGCTCACCTGGGCTCTAAAATTGCCTGAGCAAGAAAGCCCCAGTTCTCGCAGTCGAGTTTCAACTCCGTCGACTTTGAGTTGGCGGAGATCGGAAAGTGATGGCACGGAGCTCATGGTGACGGCTCAGGATCTCCTGCGACTGCGGAACTTTAGAAATTTCAAATCTCGCCGAGTAATTGCAACAAGGAAGAAAGAAATTGCAAAACAGTTGGATGCACGCAGCAGCACAGCTAGCAAGAGAAAGAGGATTATGGTACATAGCGTGTTTTGCATTTCTGGGCCAGCCAATGGTGTGACGTTTTTGAACAAAAATGAAATTCAGGAAACTCGCTGATAAAGATCCAACCTACCGCCCCAGGTAAGGTGAAAGAGGTTTTGTGGCATCTGTAGCTTGACAAGAATGCGAGACATTGGATCATAGTGGTGGATAGCCTGCAGAGATCACAAACATAGTATAGCATACGTTAACATGAAACAAGTTCAAACAGCCTGAGCATCAGCTGGGGCAACAGCTGTGACACCAGGGGCTTGGCTAACACACCTGACAGGGCTGTCAATTAATCACACTAACTGCCAGCCAGCCTGAGCCAGAATGCCAACATGCTTGCAATGTATCCAAAGTATTTTCATGCATGCTACATGAACTACTAGTACTAGTACAGACTGAGATCCTTTGCGTGTGGGCAGCCCACGGCGCTGCACTCGAGGGACTCAAGTTTAGTGGAGGGCAAACAAGGCTCTAGCAAGAGCTTACCACAGCTCTCATGATCACTTCGGCATCCATTTTGTTTGGCGCCGCCTTGTGATTGTCGGAGAGTATGAAGACAGCACGTGCCTTGTTCAGACAAGCGCGGCGACAGTCTGGCACGTGAAGAACTGATCCCTGGTGAAAAAAACATCCACACATGCACGCAGTCCACATATACATGTACACACACGTACACACACGTACACACACCACACACACACACACACACGTACACACGCAAACACGCACACATACACACACACACACACACACAATGTCACATACGCACCTTGATATTTTGACACCCATCGCCGGAGGCGATGATAGCGATGCTACAGCAGGAGCCATAGCAATTTGTGCTGGGATTGCACCATTCAACAGCTTGCAAGGCTGAAGAATTGACCTCCACTATTCAGCCTGGTCTACACCACAAAGCTATTGAAGGTTTTTTTCTGGCCAGCGAATCTCTACTTTTTGGTCTTTTCCTCCTTTATTTTGACACACACACAATGACCTGGGAAATCATCATTGTAGATAACAAAAAGAATTTGGCTATCCAGAGGAAGGGATCCAGAAAGTCACATTACGATAGGCTAGAGAGGTCTCAGAGCCACAATGAAACCCTAAGAAGTCTACAAAACAAAGGGAAAGGGAAAAAGTTCAAGGTTTTCATGAGAGTCTGACAGACAGACTGTTCTGCTCACCTTGACATACACAACCCGTTGCAAATAGAGAGGATCGTGTAGCAGATTCAGCAGCACTTCATCCGGCTCGGCTTTGCCCAAAACAACAACCTGTGCAAAGAGCAGAGAGGGAGGAATGGATACAGAAACAAGCCCATCCACAAATACAAACTTGAATGCATGGAATAGACAGGGAATACAAAGCACCTACTTCCAATCAGTGTTATCCAGAACTACTGAACGCAGTCAAAGCACCCAGCAATCATCAGAAGATGTCGCTGCAGTACGCAGCCACCTTGACATTCACAAACGTTTCGGATAAAGAAAAGCACCTACTTTGGCCCGGGACATTTCCTTTCCGCCTCCCAGCGCTAGCAGGCGACGCACAAAGTTGCATAGATGTGCCGAGCGCCACACTCCACACACCACAACATGACTGTAGCCATCGCGCAGCTCTTCCTTGCTAAAACCAGAGAAGTGACCACTGAATGCCGACTGCTCTTGTACAAGTTGATAGATATCGGCTACCTAGAGCGGCATAATATAGGTACAGACACACAGACGTGCATGGTATAACGCACCCATGCACGTGCACACACACACACACATACACACACATACACACACACACACACACACAAATGGTATAACACACCCATGCACTGTCCAATTGTTGCAAACAATAACAAGCTCTCTGATTACGGTGAACTCGAAGAGGCCGATGCCGCTTATATCCTGCACAAGTTCGAGGAAGATGGCGGCACCTTCTACAGAATCTCCAGCTACCTCGGCGAGCTATGTGTGCACGAGAGTCTATCTGTATTCGCCAAGAAGGGAGAGATGGTGAACACGGAGGGATCTGCCAATTTTGTGCAATCCCTCAACTGTGCGAGGTATTAGGCATAGGCCTCCGCGGAATATGCTCGTATTTTTACCGATAATTCCTTTGAGCATTGCTCAAAATTTCGACCGATTATTCCCGTAATTCCACCAATAATTCTCACAATAATGCTTTTTTTCTTCCCTTTTTTGCAGATACCGTACCACGTACGGGTTTTTTTGCCACTTTTACGGGCAAAAATCACGGTTCCCGTGAAACTCGGCTGGAAGTTTCTTTTTCTTTCTTTTTTGAAATACCGGGTGATAAACTTCAGGATCACAAGCTTTTTGGTACAAATCAGGGTGTTATAAATGGAAAAAATTGCTGAAATTTTACCGATTATTCCACAAAAATTGCCAATAATTCCCGTTTGAAAAATCACACCGATAATTCCCGAAATTATGCCGGCACATTCCGCGGAGGCCTAATTAGGTACCCTTAGCAAAAAAAACGCTAACGCTATTTTCGACGCTATCTACCCCGGACCAGGGAAATGACGATAACGTTCTGCGTTGAAACCTTATTTGGTCGAAAATAGCGTGAGGCTTGACGATATCTGGTTTATCAGCATTTTTGCGTGAGTTTTGACAGGTTTTTGACGGGATCCTGGGATAATTTTTGTACTGTCGCGGAAGTTCAAAGCCACGCGTGTGTGGAGGAAAGGCCTCTTCCTCTTTCACTTTGCTTGTTGTCGCGTCAAGCTGGACTAGCTGTCTGTCATCATGAGTGACCTCGTTTTTTTGCCAGGTTCCCCGGCGGAACAGCCTGCTGTTGCTCAGCACCGCTCGCCAGCCAGCTCATCTTCTTCTGCCTCCAGCACCGGAGAGGTAACAACGCCAACGTGGGAGGTCTCCAGAACTCGCTTCTCGGAGAGAGACGAAATCCTGTTGTTTCGGGAGGTCCTGGCACAGGAGTCCCCCTTATTATCTGTGTTTGGCTGGGAATAAAGTGATCACGAGCAAGTCCGTGAAGTTAACTGTGCAACCTACCGAGTATAGGAAAGTAACAGTGTCAGTCAAAGCATACATGTACAATGTCTCGGAGAGTGGTGGTCTGAAGGAACTGCCACAGAGCTTCTTCACAGAATAGTCAAAGGTCAAGAGGGAGCGTGCTGATGAAGGAATAGATTACGAAACCATCGCCACCGTCCAGACGAAGAGAACTGCAGTTCAAAATTGTAATTGTTCCAATTGGACAAGATTATGCCAGGCCAAGTCCTTGAGGAAATACAATAGCTAAAAGTCCATAAGTCCTCGGGTGGACCCATTTCCAACACTCTTCTGTGTGAGACCGCCTTGGTAATCTGAAATTCTTTGTGGCATACCTATTCAACATTTGCATTCGCACAAATTCCTTCCCTGATCAATGGAAGCTGCTGTTGTCACACCAATCCCCAAACCGAACAAACCGTCATACTCCGTTGAAGGTTATCGTCCGATTTCTATCCTGCCCAGTATTGGGAAACTTTTTGACAAGCTGGTTAACCAACAACTCGTTTGTTTCCTGATGGACAAGAGCATCCTCAGCCAGTCACAATTCGGATTGGTTCCAAAACGGTCTGCAATTGACCAGCTTTTTGTACTAACACATAACATATACTAGTACTCTGCATTGGACCAGCGTCGTACGTACAACATAGTATTCGTGGCTTTCGCGAAAGCGTTTGATAGAGTTTCCCGCTGCGACCGTATCACTAAACTCACCTCATTTGCCAACACCTCGAACATCCGTTGGTTTTAAGACTACTTGACGGATAGGCATGTCCAGGTTTGAGTCGGTGACTCACTGAGTAACCCCCATCTTCTTTCTGCTAGTGTCCTACAAGGCTCTCACTTGGCCAATTGGGTCCAGCCGTATTCCTCACGTACATCAACACCTTGCCCTCGTTCGTGCAATCTGACCTGTATATATTTGCCGACGATACAGCATTGGGTAGCACATTGCAATCTAAAGTTCAAGAAGACCTGCATGCGTGTGAATCTTGGGCTCTCTCCATGGGGGGAGATAACAATGCTGAGGAATCAGCAGGTGTTGTATTCTCCTCTTCAACGGACCCTCCTCCCTGCACCTTCTCCCTTACTAACCGAAGCATACCAACACTCAACGAGCACCGCCACCTTGGAGTCATCTTAGCTAATAACATGTCCTGGCAGCCACATTTCCTTCTGACGATAACGAAAAACCACCAACGTATTAATCTCTGTGCCACATGACATCTCGCCTACCGCCCTCCTTTGGAATCCCTCAGCTGGCGCAGACATATCGGAGCGTACTTGAGACACCACAGTGAGAGAAAAAAGACAGCCAAACTTTGCACATCATAGTGATAGAATGTATCCCAAAGTACAATAATCATGTAGTTTTCTATGTACGTGTGGAAAATATTGCCAGTGTCGGTGACAGGATCGTTCGGTGTGGTGTACGATCTGTCAATTTTCAATGTGATGCCTCACTTTGAACCTGGTGTTGGTGAAACAGGTTTTCTGTGAATTGGTCTATGGAATGCATTCTGTAAATCGTCTTTCGACTACACGTCGTTCGGTGAACTTGTTTTCCGTGAACAGTCGGTATCCCATACATATTACCAAATTATTCTCAACCACTCCACCAGAGCCAACTGTATTTAACTGCATTCCACTTGCCATTTTGCTGATCGTTTTTTTTTATCAATCTCCACCCATGTTTTTGGGCTTTCTTTTTACTATTTGGAAGGTGCCCAGAGCTCAAAATTTGGCCAAGAGATCACTCATTTAGGGGCCACCCATAATTATCGACCTGTTTACACGAATAGAAAAAGTTTCGTTTATGGGTGGGTGGGTCAAGGGGAGTTTCGTTTTGAAAAGTATTGATATGTGAGACATCAAGGCATTCTTGCTGTCAAGTCAATCTATATTTCGTTCAGGGGGGTGAGTGGGGTGGGTGGGGGAGGGTCGTAACTAAACTTTTTCGTTTCGTGAAAATTATCGATAATGCCGGATACCAGCGTGATTCACACAACCCATCAGCTGAGAAAAACGATAGTGCAATAGCAAGACATATTATCATGTCCTCTGCTTGCCTGAATGCAGTATGTAAGAATATTCCAGAGCGCTTCAAGATTCACGCGCTGGCGCGCAGCAAATGAGCATCGTTGTGCTTCATCACATTATCACCATGTACTGATTTGAGAAGTAATCGTACGAAAGGCCTCATCAGGTTTACAACTGGCTTCGTCTCTTCGTGTGCTAATATGTTCCTTCCAACTAGGTCTCTATTATAACAGTTACTGTTAGTGTTGAACAAACTACGGATAACATGTAAACTTTTGGTCCTTCTTTCAATTTTAATCCTTGGCTCTCCATCCCAGTCAAAAATAGAGAAAATACTCATTTTTAGCTTGGTTCATGGAGGTGAAATCCATTTCAACCCCTAGTTCAAGTATAGATGATGTGCATGCACAAACTCACGTACGTACCCATGTGCATGCAAGCATGTACCTAGGCGTGTATTGTGTTCCAGTAGCCTATACAGATACACATGGACTGATGGAGCATATACATGTAGCAAGTATGCCAATACAGTAAAAGTAAAAACCTGGTGTAAGCGACCTCTGTGTTTAGCGACCACCTGCTTTCAACGACCGTTTTTCCATGCACCAACAGTTCTACACAGACACTGTGGGACCTGGTGCTAAAGACCACCTGGCTTTAACGACCGCTGTTGCTTGCACCGTGGGGTGGTCGCTTAAACCAGGTTTTACTGTACATGGCAGCACAATACTGAGTGTATTCCAACACACTATTGGCGTATTGCATACCTTGGCAGGAATGTAGACAGCTCCAAACATAATAGCCACCAGGATGACAGTGCGAGCAAAGACGGATGACGGCAACACGTCATCAACGTAGCCCACTGTGAACAACACGATCACCGTGTAGAAGAAACTCTCAAAGAAATTCAATGTTTGCACCTAGCAGAAGAAACCCCGTAAAGAAATGCACACAAAACAAATTGAAGTCGTATTGAAAGAGTTTAAAAGCGATTTCTCTATCAGTATACAGCAAAGTGATCCATGGTACAACTACAGGCACATGTACCTGAAACAATGAATTTGGCAGAAACCAGCTCCTACTACTGGTGAAAATAGCACGGGCATAGCAGCTGGTCTTTTTTGCCCGACCACGGCCAAAAGTGCCCAGAATGCAGGATTTTGCACCCTAATTTCAAAATTGTCACGGGGGACACCCTGGACCCCTTCTGCCGCACCACTGCCGGATCAAACCTACACTATTTCCCACAAGAACGCAAACTGCACTTCAACGTTACTTTCACTCTTCTACTGCTGTATCCACACTTGCAATACATGAAAGAAACTTCTTTGCCTTCCACAACCTCCACCGCGACCAATTAACACCCAGGACTACATTATACAAAACATAGCGAGAACAAACTGCTATGTCTGATGTGTATTTTCCATAGACCGTGCTGCTACTTCCTTGCTTCTACCCATGGCACGTTTGTATGATTCTTTGCTTCTAACAAAACATGTGGAGTGCGATACAAATTATATGCTGAGCCTGCTTAGGCCTGACATGATACTACACAACGGCAGGTACGAAGTGGAGTTCCCTTGACTAGAAATTTCATTGCAAAATGGCCAATCATGAGACAGAATAGTCAACTACATGTGGATTGGTTTCAGATACATTGTACAGTAAATATCGGATATAACGTGCCCCTTTGATTTTCGAAAATGTATCACTATATCCGGTGCATCACTATAGCCGATTTGCATGTTTGACCGACACATGGCACATGACTGCACATGAAATGATGCGTACACGCTGGAAAAAGCATGCTGAAAGTGCATGCATGCTCCGCGGACTGTGTACCGGTGCATGACACAGAGCAGTGCATGGCAGTGCAGTACGAGTACAGATTGTACATGTACTAGAACTTCGATACATCATGTGGCATGGCTGCTTCTTCAGCGTGTTCTCCAAAAAAAGCCTGAGCTGGATCCGTGCTCACGTAGATCGTAGATCTACTCGGTGTCCAACGAGTTGCGTAGAGCCAGAAATAGACATGAGTGGCTGTGTACGTGAGTTGGCAACATCATCGTGAGAGGCAACACAGCCAGAAACGGACAAGAGCATGCAGAAAGATCACTCTTGATCATTATATGCGATATTTTCCTGTACATTTGATATGGTTTGCTTCCTGAAGGCCATCACAATAAGCGATATATCGGTATAGCCGATAATAGTGTATATAGTGATATTTTAGCTGTATTTTTTCAGATTTGATTTTGATTTTGACGTGTTCTATCACTATAACCGGTATATCATTATATCCGGTCACTTTATAAACGATACTTACTGTACTTGCAGGTATTACTCCCCGGTCTGAACAGGGATGGCTACAGTATGCGATGTGCAGAGTTGCACATGTGATCAGCGGTCCGCATATACTACGGTCTCTCTCTCGAACTAGCTGTGAACCAAGATCGAAATTTTTGAAGGGGCCCGGGGTGCTTTGGCACCCAAAGCACCCCCCCCCCCCCCCTGCCCGTGCTACCCGTGGAAAATTACCCGAACCCGATACCTGAAGAAAATGCTACCCGACTCAGCACTACTATAAAGGTAATAAGTTGAGTAACTACAACACTCAACGAGGTGTGGTAACTACAACACTCAATGAGGTGTGATAAAAGAACTAGACTGAAAGAATATCCAGGTGAGACTAACAGCAATAGCAATATAGTTAGAGTGACAGAAAAGAAAGAAAGAAAGAAAGTCAGCAGTGACACTACACCTCAAGAATTCTTCGTGACACATTCACAACCAGTATACAATGGTGCCAAACAACTACAAAGCCAACACGTTCTCCTTCTGAACACATCATTCAGAATCCGACCGTTACGAATGTACAACTTGAAGGCTTCTAATACAGCACGATGCAACTTAGACCTACCACATGTCAAAACAGAAAAGACAGAATCAGTATACCACTACTAGAGCTAGTTGTCGTGAGGGATACTGATTCGGTCCAGGCTTTTCTGTTTTGACACGTCACAGGTCACGGGTCTTGAGGTGTAGTGTTTTTTTTTTATTCTCAGTAAGTTCTGTCATTATTTGGATTCCCCTGGCCACACCACTACAGTAAAACCTGGTGTAAGCGACCTCTGTGTTTAGCGACCTCTGTGCTTAGCGACCTCTGTGTTTAGCGACCTCTATGCTTAGCGACCTCTGTGTTTAGCGACCTCTGTGTTTAGCGACCTCTATGCTTAGCGACCTCTGTGTTTAGCGCCGGACCACCTGCAGTTTTTCCATGCACCGACAGTTCTACACAGACACTGGGACCTGGTTCTAAAGACCACCTGGCGGGGTGGTCGCTTAATTAAATCAGGTTTTACTGTACTGTAGGTGTCAGTGTTGCTGGTACATGATTGCACTGTAAAGTGAGAAATTTTCGCTAGAGATTAAATTTCGCTATTTTCGCTACCATCAAACATTCGCGAATACCGGTATAAAATGAAAATCGCCGCAAACTGCTCTGTGCATTGATTTTTGACTGTACCCAGTCAGTGTCACTCTGAACGAGGCTTTATGTGCTGTCTGTCAGTCTTACTGCTCCATGTAGTGCTACGTGTTTTTTAGTGTCTAGTCTACTTCTCCGTACTGTCTGTGTAGATCTACATGACTGTAGCTGGTCGGATCGTTGGAGTAGCTGCGATCGCGAGTGGATCTATGCGCGTGCGAGTACGCCAGTCGCTAGAGCTAGCAAAATCGAAAGGAGAAGTCAAAATAAACGTTTACGTAGGTCAGCGCAGCGCACGATTCAATAGTAGTGATCGTCACTAGCCTACTATTATATGTAGTGAGCCGCTAGGCGCTAGCGCGCTGATCTACACGGCGAGTTGCTAGCTAGCTGAATAGAACAGTATGTTTCAGTATCACGGAGATAACACGCACGGAGTCCGTCGTAGTTCGCACGAAGAAGGCGCAGAACTAGAAGACTTCGCCTTCCTTCGCTCGCGAGTCGCGACAGCAGAAAACGCGTCGGCCTTACAAATGCTACAACGGACCATGCAAGGTCGATCTCCAGCTTTTCTACAAGCTCCGACTGGAGCTGCCACCGGAGGTGCGCATGGTTCAAGGATGTCGGGTGCCGCCAATCTGCGAAGCAGTGGACGTACTGCAGCAGCAGCAACAGCCTCCAGACCAAATGTTGCCGTGGCGGGCATAGTGGAAGAAAGCCAACAAAGCCGCAACGCTGCAACAGTAGGTCTCGCCCAGAGCTTTTTCAGTCCACCAAACAGCAGTCTGGCCCAGCTCTTGCCTTCCTCGCACGCGGCGACAACAGCAACAGCAAATCCAGGCCTCTCAGCCAGTTTATTCCCAGTTGCGGGCGTCGGACTCGATGAAAACTCGCTCCATCCAGAGGCGGCAGAAACACTGGCAGCTGAGGACTCACAGGGGTCTGACAACAATGCCTTGTCCCCAAACAGCGTGAACGAGCAATTAGAGGTGCTAGCTACTGAAGTTAGAAATCGGCCTTTCCTATGGGAGACTACAGATGAAGACAGAAAAGTTCCTTACGTCAATAGGCGCTCGGCCAAGGAAGCAGGCTGGCAGGAGATTGGTGAACGAACGGGTTTATCAGGTACATAAGAAAACAATAATAATTATTATTCCTAATAGAGCTCTAGTCCAGAAGAAGAGTAGTAGGACGTTACATGGAATTGTTTCAAAAGTCGCAAAACACAATGGTCACAATAATAATACTTATTACTTTTCCCGTTTGTCTCTTTCCCTCAAACTAGTGAAGATATTACTGTAGACCAGATATTTAAATTAAAGTTAACGATCTCCGGATTTTTGTGGGTTAGCGAGGTGAAATTCTAACGAATTCTGTCTCAAAACAGGCTAATGACTATAATAATTATGTAGTATGTACATAAAACTCTCCTGACACTTACAAGTACAGTTGTTATTGTTACGAACAACACAAAAAAGAGGGGGTGATTGGCATTGATTGCATGCAGCAGATAGAATGGAAAGAGTCGTGTATTCAGTGTTTAACTACATTGTGTTTGTATGGGTGTATTCGCACGCGTGTGTATGGGGGGGGGGGGGGTACACGTGTGTGTATATGTGCACGTGTGCAGTGGATGAATGCAGGAAGCGATTCAAGAACTTGCGAGACCGCTATGTGAAGGCGTTGAAAGAACACAGCAAATCTGGCCTAGAACCGAAGTGGAGGTTCTACAGGAAGCTGGACTTTCTCAAAGGCACCGTGAGGAAGATGTAAGTCATGTCGTTCAGCTTGTTCAAACTGCATGGCTGTTGCTGAGGTGGTGTCACGCACAGGTGCTTGGATACACCAGCAGATGTGATTGCCATAGTTTTATTCCCGGAGCTATGCAAAACGCACCGGGTCCTCATTACTCTATTTCGTACCTGTGGGGGGGGGGGGGGGGCACGTGTGCGTACGTGTGTGTATGTGTGTGCGACTGTGTGTGTGTGTGCGCGCGTGTGCGCGCGTGCGACTGTGTCTCCCCCGTGCGACTGTGTCTCCCCCCCCCCCCCCCCCCCGTGCATGTCACATGGCTGATCGCTTGAGGTGTCAAGAAGCGTAGGTCACATGTCAGCACCAGCTTGTGTTTGTACCAGGAGAGAGCTGCCAGGTCAGGGCCCTAACTATACTTGCTTGTTACCTACTGTTGCGGACATTGAAATCCATTGAGAAGTCAAGCGGCCATAATAACTGCTGGTCCATTGTTACAGTGTTACACTGCGTGTAGGCGCTAAGCAAGTAAGGGATCCGGCCCCTCAGCCCCGGTCATTCCACCCGAGTTCATGTCCACAGCAGTTAGGCATCATACATGTCATTCGGAAAACTGGTAGAAATGTAGTCTTGCAAGACAGCATCATACATGTCATTCGGAAAACTGGTAGAAATGTAGTCTTGCAAGACAGCATCATACATGTCATTCGGAAAACTGGTAGAAATGTAGTCTTGCAAGACAGCATCATACATGTCATTCGGAAAACTGGTAGAAATGTAGTCTTGCAAGACAGCATCATACATGTCATTCGGAAAACTGGTAGAAATGTAGTCTTGCAAGACAGCATCATACATGTCATTCGGAAAACTGGTAGAAATGTAGTCTTGCAAGACAGCATCATACATGTCATTCGGAAAACTGGTAGAAATGTAGTCTTGCAAGACAGCATCATACATGTCATTCGGAAAACTGGTAGAAATGTAGTCTTGCAAGACAGCATCATACATGTCATTCGGAAAACTGGTAGAAATGTAGTCTTGCAAGACAGCATCATACATGTCATTCGGAAAACTGGTAGAAATGTAGTCTTGCAAGACAGCATCATACATGTCATTCGGAAAACTGGTAGAAATGTAGTCTTGCAAGACAGCATCATACATGTCATTCGGAAAACTGGTAGAAATGTAGTCTTGCAAGACAGCATCATACATGTCATTCGGAAAACTGGTAGAAATGTAGTCTTGCAAGACAGCATCATACATGTCATTCGGAAAACTGGTAGAAATGTAGTCTTGCAAGACAGCATCATACATGTCATTCGGAAAACTGGTAGAAATGTAGTCTTGCAAGACAGCATCATACATGTCATTCGGAAAACTGGTAGAAATGTAGTCTTGCAAGACAGCATCATACATGTCATTCGGAAAACTGGTAGAAATGTAGTCTTGCAAGACAGCATCATACATGTCATTCGGAAAACTGGTAGAAATGTAGTCTTGCAAGACAGCATCATACATGTCATTCGGAAAACTGGTAGAAATGTAGTCTTGCAAGACAGCATCATACATGTCATTCGGAAAACTGGTAGAAATGTAGTCTTGCAAGACAGCATCATACATGTCATTCGGAAAACTGGTAGAAATGTAGTCTTGCAAGACAGCATCATACATGTCATTCGGACTGGTAGAAATGTCTTGCAAGACAGCATCATACATGTCACTCGGACTGGTAGAAATGTCTTGCAAGACAAGAGGATGTACACGCTCTCCGGATTGCAAAGACGGGTCTATCAGTTTGAATAACACGTATGGTGACCGGGGTAAAAACTAAGCATAGCGAGGGCTCTGAGCTGCTGGTTTACAACTTATCTCCTGGCTGGCCATGCTCTACGTGAGCACTGAACTGCAGCACACGTTGGTGGTGGACAGTGGCTGCAATGCACATGTAATCAGCTTCCCACTGACGGTGCAAGGTGAAGCATGTTATTGGATGTTGTGAGTTTGTGATGCAGTTGATGTGCTTGCTGACACAAACGTGTACGCACTATCACCTGCAGCAAGGTTGCTGCAACAGTGTGATCTAATTCTGTGTACTTTTGCTTTTGCTTTGTGATGTGCACAGTTACAGGCAGGACTTTGAGAGTACCATCGAGTAAGTAGAACTGATAGTCTAGGAGAGCGTTGTGACCATACGAGCTTTTCATGCTGTCAGAGTCAGTCTCATATGGGGCTGAAGTTGTGGTAGAATCATGTTGCCTCTCTGTCACCCCCAGGATGTCTGGGTAGTCTATCAAACGGGGCACTCTTCTGTTCCAGCTGTGGAGCACAGTACGATCTGGTCCGGGCCCTTCTTTGAATGACTTAGGTATAGGACGTGAAATGATTTTTCTGTCAAACGCTTTTTTGAAAAGAGGAATTTCAAAGACCATCACATGTGTACTAATACTTGAAATACGGTACTAGATGTAGAAACAAGTACATGTACCAGTAATACGTGTGTGCTATACCTGAGATGCATACAGAGCAACAAGGAAAATCAAGGCTTGTTTGCTGCTACTTCAAGTTTCATGCCCTCGCAATCATCAGGCAACACTGAGATGCATATAATATTATTATGTCACACATGGTGTTGCGACATGGAGAGGTGTATCATTCCCGAGGAGCTCCTACCAGTTTCCTATGGCATATCAAAGAGCAAAGCTCAGTGAGATGCTCGCTTTCTGCCGTATCTGTGTACGTTGTTTCGCAGTTCGGAAAATCTCGTACAAACTCTTGTCGCACTCAACCCTGGCGTGGCGTCACCAGGGATGGCTTCAGCAGCTACTGGCCAGCCAAGCGCCAACTCCAGCATAATGATGTCATCTGAACCGGTCATGACTCAGACTGGCAGCAGCATCAGCAAGAACAACAGCCACACACCGACTGGCCGAGCGCAGAAGAGAGTCCTGCCATCACAAGCTGGCCAGCAAGCAAAAAGAGTTCAATTATCGTATGCTGGCCAGTCCAGTCCTTCGCTGAATAGTGGCGTTCAGAGGTCTGCTTCGAATACCATAGACCTGACGCAGAGTCGCTTTCACGGCGACGATATTGACTTGTTCACAGCCAATGTTGCAAGTCAAATGAGACTACTCAGCCCGCAGGCCGTCGACCTGGCAAAGGTACGTATACAGCAGGCTCTGTATGATGTCAAGTACCAACAGCAGCCAAAGAGGACTGACACACCGCTATCTTCATCACCCAGCAACAACACATCAGCAGCCAGTGACTCAAACCCAGCATGTAACGAGTGATCCTCACTGACGGGAACATGTTAACTGATGGTGATGATACAGTAGCCAGTGTACAATGTGCTACAGACTGCTATTACTCAACAATATCCATACTTCCTGCACTTCAACTATTCTCATCCAGTTTTTGAGTCGAAAGACGCATATTGTCTGGTTGGACTTGAGTTTTTTTTTTCGACACTCGAAGTATTAGTAGATGGCAGGATGGTGTGTGAGCTAATTAGGAATCTTTCACCTTATTGGCCACTAGATCGTCAGAAAAAACTCAGAAAAGTATTGTAAAAATGTAGTGGTGTCGCTGCTATGCTTGTTTGTCTGTCATATTTCGCGTACTGAGAGATCTTGAGTTGTAAGAACTTCCCAGATACAATACACAAAAATCACAACGCAATGCGGTTACTTTTGGATGACACACCAATAGTGCTTGTTCTGCACTGTAGTGTGTATTGACTGTACGTACGTGCGTGCGCGCGCGTGTGTGTATGTGTGTGTGCGCACGCGTGCAGAATAAGCCAGAATAAGCCACTTCAATCAGCTGTGTGGTGGATAGTACATGTACTGGATACCAGGCTGAAATTAGTGACGGTCAATTCATCAGCCTTGTAAGCTGTTGAATGGTGTAATCCCAGCACAAGTTGCTATGTCTAACATAGCTGTTCGCTATCATCGCTTCCGAGATGGGCAGGTCTGAGGTGTGTGTGCGCGCGCGCGTTTTGATATGCTCATGTGATGGGCATACTTGAAGTACATGAACAGGCACTACTATTGAAAGAAGCAGACTTGTCCATACAGTGTAGCATTACAGTCACAGCCAGCAAGTTGCAGAACAGTGATCGTATGGCACCCACGCCCAATTCGGCATTTCCCCATGGCCGGCAATAAAACTACATACTGTAAATGTACAAAATTTCGGCGCTGCAATATTTCGGCACTTCACGATTTTTGACATTTCGGCGGCGATTTATTTTCGGCGTGGGGTAGAGGGCATGGTATAGTGCGCGAAAATTTGTCTATTTACAGTATTCTGTCCCCGGGGAAAATTGCGATTCCGCGGCCGCGTTTTTTGCGATTTTTTTAAAGACCGCGATTTTCCGCGATTTTCCCCGCGTTTTTTGAACTTTTTTGTTGCACTACACGTACACACCATGTACCACGGCTGTCAAGAAGCGGCAACTTAGAAAGATGGCGTCGGTTCGAGATGGCATGGTAACCGCGCACGTGCCGTGGTCCGTAACTAGCTCATGTATGCACGCAAATGCAAGTCACAAACTCACAAAGATCGTCTTTGCATTTGGAGAAAATATCTTCTACTCTCTTTGGAGGTTCGCGAGGCTTGCCTAATCTTTACTTGATTGCGATTCCGGTATGTCCTCTCAATAATTAGAACAAAGAGAGCTGATGATCGCTTCATTGCTGAGCAGAAGTAACAATCAACTCTCCTCATGTCCTCAGTGCCAAAGGCAGACGACTGCAATTCCACAACGCTCATTTCACGATGATGGAAACAAGAATCGTGTACTAGTACACACTTGGACCATTTGGTCATCCCTGTTCTAGCCGCTAGTCCGTCCAGCAAGCAGATATTGACTATTACGATAAGGACAACTGCGTGAACGAGGGCTCGCCCAGCAAATTCAATTCAAGACGTGACTCCAGTCAAGAATTAGGGTCTTTACTCGAGAACTTCACAAATACAGGTCAAGGCACCCCACAAAACTGATAGATGGCACGAACGAAAGACAAATAGGCTATACAAAGTGTCCCAAGTGATTGAAACAGCAGATCTACCAAATAAGACAGCTACATGTGCCTAAACAACGATTCCCATACAGTAGAGAGTAGTATCAGGCAGAATGAAAGCCTTGGAAGTGCACAAATACAGCCACGACCGCCACAAAAAAATTCTCATTGCTCTACCTCCTTGAAGGGTGAAAGTTACCAGTTATCCTATAGCGATGTCAGTTTATGCCTGTTGGAACCCCCCACAGCCCGCACGAAATACCTTTCGAATAATTCCAGGATGCAATTGCAGCTCCAGACAGGAGGAAGAAGAACACCGTGAAAAATAACGGCAACGATGCCCAAACTCTCGGGAAACGGCTGAAGTCTTCCTGAAGATGTTAACATTGAATAGCCATCGATTACCAGCGTGGTTTGGTGACTTAGAACGAAGCGATATCTCAAATTTGATGGAATTGTTACCTGTCAAATGCGTGGGCGAGCAGGCCAGCTGACTGGTTATGCATGAACATGCATGAGCATGCATTGGTTTTTCATGGTTCACGTGCAGAAAACTAAGTTGCCGCGATCTAAGTGCAGCTAACAGCCGTGACACAGTATATAAAGAAGCCTCGCTTGGTAGTTTAACATGTCTTTCGATTTTGACAGCATGTTACAGGTTTTCCCAATACGGTTCAAATGGTCGCAAGACCGGGACTCTGCCAACCGGGTTATGGTTGTAGTCAGCACTATTTTAAACGTACACACAGTGTTGTTTTTTGTTTTTTTTTATTTTGTTTTTTATACGAAAGTCCACTATATTCCCGAATATGTGCGAGAAGTGGGGGGGGGGGGGTACTGTTCAGTTGACCGTTGTGAGCCGTTGACGTCACAAACTGGTCAAGTAGAGAGTCTACGTGTAGGGCGCGTGCTCCCTAGCATACACATGGCACATGACGGGCTCCCCGGTCACTGTGGTGGCGCTGAAAGCACCCTGCTCTGCGCTTGACTGCAAACTTGCCGCATATCAATAATATTCACCGCATATTTACCGCAAATTCACCACAAATTATGCCATATTTACCCGCAAATTACACCGCAAATTCTGGGATTTTTTTCCGCGACCAGTACTTGTAACCATGGTGATTGCCGCTGCATATACAAACCTCTAAACCAGGGAGTAGTAAAATAGTTCTCTACTAGTACTACTCCCTGCTCTAAAGTTACTCTGGGCTCTACAAAAACAAAACAAAAACATCAGCACTTCTCCGTGAGACTCTATGATTACAATAGCAAGAAGGAAAGTGCAACAAAGGGAGAGACTGTTCTTACCTGATTGGATTTGATGACGATGATTTGAATGAACGCTGCGGTAGTCAGAATTAAAAACACTATGGCCAGCAGGAGGCGGGTGATAGAGAGTTTCAGTTGGGTGATGTGTAACAAGGACTCATCGCCACGCACTAGGCATGATGCCACCATTACATAGCAGGCAATGAATCGGCTTGGATATATGTAGGGGAAGACAGTGCCTCCACCAACATAGGAATTCTGCACAATCACCAGAACACAGGGCAATGATCAAGACAAACGCATGACACTCTCCAAAGACTATCATGATCCTACAAGCTGATAGTACTGAGACCCACATCCCATTTCTTCTAACCACAGGTGAACTCACACATGCTGGCGAGAGAGAGAGAGAGAGAGAGAGAGAGAGAGAGAGAGAGAGAGAGAGAGAGAGAGAGAGAGAGAGAGAGAGAGAGAGAGAGAGAGAGAGAGAGAGAGAGAGAGAGAGAGAGAGAGAGAGAGAGAGAGAACAAGAACAATTGCCCCGCATGATCACTTCTTACTTCATATTAAAAATACCAAACTGACCTGATCACTGATTGTCGCTAAGACTGGTACAGTAGCAAGGATGGTAAAAAACGACCGTGCCTGACCCAAGAATCATCACACGTGCGTGCACACATAACACACATGCATTAACACACAAACATACACACATACATACACACACAAACACACACACACATCCACACGCACACACACACATCCACACAGAGTAAACACCCCAAAGTGACACACAAACAAACACAGGGAGGTTCGATATGTACACAGCTCCAGTTGTGGTCAAAGGGAGGGCATCTTTCTTGGAACAGATTTCACAAACCAGTTTTTTGTGCTTTCTCGTCAAGGATCGAAATTTCAAATGTGCACAAAGGATTATGCACGATTGACTGCACTGCTTGGTGAGCTAATAATGTGTGCATGCACACAATGTATGCACAAAGCCAATGCCTTCTGAAACTAAATTACCTAAGATATAATACACGTAATCCAGTGGTGTGCTTCACTGTCCGAAGAGTGCTCAATACCCATGTAGGGCAGAGCCTTGTACACAAGAGAGATTGGAAGCTGTGTCACAACTCTGAGTTTCACCTATTATTACAATCATGTCATCGATCATTGCCTGATGATTGGAGTAATACGTGAAACTTAGAGTTAAGTTGTGACTTTGCTTTCTGAATTTTTCATTGATACATGTATTACATCTTACACAAGAGAGATTGGAAGCTTTGTCACAACCCTGAGTTTCAAGTATTACTACGATCATCAGGCAAGTCTTGTGGACACTGCGTCGAATGCTGCGATGCAACTGTTACCAATCGAAAATGTTCCGAATTCTGCCACTTTGTACTCATAACTGTACTTTGAAGTACGTTTGGTTCTCTGGCTGGGCTCAGTGACGTCACCGGGATGCGGCACAGTATGCACGCAAGTAGTTCGATTGGGGATACATGTACTGGTATCTGCCCAACAATGAATCGCAGCCTCCTTGCAACAGCCTCCTTGCAACAGCCTCCTTGGAACAGCCTCCTTGCAACAAAACCAGGGAGTTGTATAGACACTAGATCTATACGACTCCCTGTACAAAACCATTCCATTCAGCACGCTCTGTGGATCCTGAAGTTTTCCGGGGGGGGGGGGGGGGGGGTCCCCTTATAAACAGACCATGATCTTTATAGAGTGTGCCCTTACAGTAATAAGGTAACGTAGTCTGGAACTGGCTGCAAACAATTCCAGAAGCCAGCAACACAGGAAGAACACTGCCAGTACCAACTCCAGCGTATCCATAGCTGAGGGACTGTTCTCCAGATAGGCTGTATTGACGATGTATACTGAACAAAATGCTATGTACAGGATTGCCACTGCCACATCGTAATATCTACCAATTCGAATTGAATGTAGAGATTGCAAGTACAGCCGGTAGGAATCCAACTCCCTTGCAAGCGCCAAGAAACTGAACGCCATGGCGATTTAATCGGCAGCCTTCCAGAACAGGGTTCTCGCAAAGGACATCGCCGCGACTCAAAAATTATAAACAAATCACTGGAGTGTGTTCCTTGCTCGACTAATACATGGACGCACATCAGCTAATTGTGAAGTCTGTCAGATAAATAATATTGGCAATATTCCAGTCATTCTCAAGTCCCTATTCATGACACGTCTTGGCTTGCGCTGACCACACCTCATTGCACTGGTGCCAAATTCTTGACACTAGAAATCCTGCGAAGTAATAGAACTACATGACATCTGCCTCGGCTCGGGCATCACAAGACGCAAGCTACCAATACAAAGCGTCCCACAAAACCTGGACTTCGGATCGGAAACTGATCAGAAAGATTTGTGGATAAAGTCCAAGTCCCAAGCTGCTTTCAAAATTTATGACGTAATGGCGCGCCCGGCCGAGGTGTTGTTCGTCATCATCATCAACGCTCATCAACTCGTGGACGCGACGCGACGGTCTGGATCAGCTGCAGCATGCATGCAGCACATTGTTTTTTTGGCTTTCTGTGTTGTACTTTTGAATTTTTTGATTGTGTGAAGGTTGGAAAATTAAAAGTACATGTCGGTAGTGGTATTCGTAACTTCATCTCCACTCCAAAGCAAAGAAGTTAGTTCACGACTTTGGGATAATCCACTTGCCAAGACTTCTTCTTCCAAGTATCGCGGCTTGTGGTAACTTCCAAGAACAGTGTGAACGAAGATCGAGTAAATAGAGCAAAAATGGACTCAATTTACTCTCCTGTATTTACGAAGGTAGCCAGTGGATTAGCTGGTGCGGAGGGTCCTGTTTTCACTGCTGGCGGAGCCAAGTTCTTTATGGTTGCACCTGAAGTGGAAGTCGGTGGTGAGGCAGCTGGCGAAGTAGTACGCGTAGACCTAAGCACCAATGCTATCGATACATGGTGTCAGCCTTCGACCAAAGAACATGGAGGCATTCCAGCCGGGTGCCAAACTGATAAGGATGGAAACATATGGATTGCTGATATGAGACTCGGCTTATTGAAAGTCAATAGCGAAGAGAAGGATCAGTTTGCCCAGATGGCTCTGAAGGACTCGACAGGAAGGACCATGCAAGGCTGCAACGATTTGGCGTTTGATTCAACTGGCACTTTGTGGATCACGGCACCAGCAGGTGACATTGCTCCTGCCAAGTACACACGCTCCATGGAGGTGAGATATGTATCGACTACATTCTTTGAAGTTTTGACTGATGATGGAAGAGAATGAAGAAGAGAAATTAGCGACACGCCTGGCCATACTTTAGTTATCAGTCACACTACAGTATTCCACAAGCACTCTCGGCCAACCCATTCCACTTATTCACCACCACCACCATAGCCTGTCCCTCCAGAAAAACACGGAAGAAAATTTGAGATTTATGCGGCAACATTTGCAGCTAGAATCGTACGATTATGCGGCCATTATGTGGCAACTTTGACTTGTATGCGGTAAATATGCAGCACGGAGGAGCTACAAAAGCAGAATCTTAATATAAGCAACTAGCACCACAACATAGTGCTAATGACATCATGACTGTAGTAATACTTATGAGCTGAAAGTCCAAGACAAGACAATCAAGTTGTACAATGCATCATTCAAGTGATAGAATACATGTAGTCATACTGAAGAGCAGCAAGAATATGGCTGTAATACACCTGGAAGTCCATGTCTCAATCGAAAGCATGGGTGTCTACGCTGATGTTGTGGTAGAGCATGACAAATGCTTTCAGTGACTTCTGAGACAAGGATCTGTGGCGTTTCGGAAAACACGAGGCTGTAAAGGGAGAAAGTCCGTTCTGCATCCCCGTTGAATTAGTGACAGCATGACAATATCTGCAGGCTAAGCGTTGGAGTCCTGGTAGATTAAAAGCAACTGAGGCCCAGAACACATCATAGTTGGTGGCAGCGGCCTCATTCTCGTCAGTGTCGGCAGCAACGACAGCAGCTGGAGCGAGCTCTGAGCAGTACAATCTGTAGCAAGAAGGACCCATGAGTGTGTGTGATCCCCGGTAGCCTAATCGGTAGGGCACTGTCCCGGAAAGACAGGGGTGCTGGGTTCGAATCCCGCTCGTGGATCCTTCTTTTGCAACATTGGCGCCTGGCAATGGCTCGAACCCACGACCCATCGTACCCCCCGCGAGTAGGTACGGCGTGAGGACACAGCCTGTTGGGGCGGGGGAGCAATGTAGCAAGAAGGACCCATGAGTGTGTGTGATCCCCGGTAGCCTAATCGGTAGGGCACTGTCCCGGAAAGACAGGGGTGCTGGGTTCGAATCCCGCTCGTGGATCCTTCTTTTGCAACAAATCTCATTTCCGCAGCAGGCACGTCAAGGAAACCAGGAATAGTGAGATAGTCCTTGGTAGCATGACTCATCTGAGCGACGCACTGGGGATCAAATATCCTGAGTGCTTCAGGAAGTTGATACCTGGCTGGCCGACAGTTGTCATGCACTTCCGCAGTTTCTGTCCTGCATTCCGGAAAGCGGACTTGAACTTTTCAAGGAGATCATCCTTCTCTTCCGTGCTCATGTCCTCAGCTGAGTTGAAGCATGGACAATCCGCTACAGTGAGCATTTCATGAATATCAAACTCCAAGTGAGATAGCGTTTTACGTGAAGTCCGTACTCCTATCCATTGCCATAGTGTATTTTTCTTCTGTGCTCTCAGCGTCTTCTGAGAGCTTTCGTAACTCGGCCAGACTGTCCGGAGTCTCCCGAACATAATTTACGAGGGTCCTGGTGACGTCTGCCAGTTTGTCCAATGCTCCTTGCAGCATGGAAACTTCTTTCAACACGGTTGCCTTGTCAGACAAAGGTCACGATTCTTCATCCAACAGCATCAGCAGCCCACGCCTTGCATGTGTGAACTGGGTCTTTGCTGCCGACTTCTGGAGCTTCATGAGCTTGATCTCTCGCACAAGTCTTGGACAGAGGTATGGTGTTTGCTGCCAGAACTGCCACCCAGTCATTGCAAATGCTCTCCCTCTCCTCGCGTGCGATCGTGGCAGACTCCGTTGCTGTTACAAGAGCTCGCTGGTGCTTTGCCGCAGGTGCACCTTCCAACGACTGCCTCTTCCTCTTGTTGAGGTGCTTCTCAGACTTCAAGTGAGACGCGAGTGTCAACTTTCTCACATGGCCGTGACTACATAGACGACAGAACAATTTCCCTCCATAATCGTGCAGCTCGCTCGAACAAATGCTCACCGATCCTTCGCAGTGACAAACTGCGCCGCCTTTGTGAGCTTGGAGCCTTTGGTCATGACAAAAGATATCCATTTCAATAACACTTTATTGAATGAGACAGCGCCCAACGACATGGACATATACCAGAGTTAGAGAAAGAAAACTGCCTACTGGAAGCCAAACAAGATTCATCATCCATTGCATATTGTGCTTGCGAAGTGCTAGGAAGTAGATCAGCGCACGAGATCGAATAGTACACGACAAGAGTTCACGTACTCTTCACCTGCAGTGTCATATCCTGCGAAGAAAAGACCCCAACCCGCCAAATTGCAAAACGACAGATTCTGCAGTGAAAGTACTCGATTCCGCGGAAAATGCCAAAAAAAGCCACGGAATCGCAATTTTCTGGAGGGACAGCATAGCGTGGACAATTCCATTGAGATATTGATTTTGCAGACCTTCCTGCAGTTGTTTCCCTCCAACAAAGCTCATCAGTGGAGGTAGCAGATAATGGATGATCCATGTGTGTGTGAATGATGTTATACCCGTGTATGGCAAAACTGGGGAAGTTTGGATAGTTATGGTCTGAGAGAGATGTTTGCCCTCATCTGAGCATGCTACTGTCCTGCACCATGCATGGATTGTGTGCCAGCTGAGCATGCTACTGTCCTGCACCATGCATGGATTGTGTGCTAGGTATACACTAAGTTACTCACAGGTGTAGTACAGCAGACATGTTCACAGGTGCAATAGAGTTTACTGTACAAACCCGTGAACGTGCCTGGAAATGTGCCCCTCGCCTTCCCCCCCCCCCCCCCCCCTCGCCTTCCCCCACCTTTCGAGTTTTTATCCCTCTCACCGCTACACAGCATTGTTACCAGTCCACTAAAGTGCGAGCTCCGACATTTGGAGCAGCCATATTCTTCACTAATGTTGCACATGTTTGTGTTATGGGCCATGCTGAATCTCACATGTGTTGTTTACTGTTGTTTATGCCTTGTCCATGCTGCATGGTGGCCAGGATGGTTTCGGCAGCATCTATTGCTATACAAAGGCAGGTGAGATGATCCTCTTGGAAACTGGATTCCGCTTTTCTAACGGCATTGCTGTTACGAAGGATGATAAAACGCTGATCGTTGCTGAAACACCTACGAAATCCCTTTGGGCGTATGATATCCAAGAGCCCGGCAAGATTGCCAATAAGCGACTATGGGGCAAACTACCAGGCGATCACGAAGGTGGTCCAGACGGAATGGACTTTGATGAGGAGGGGCGTCTGCTTGTGGCCAACTGGGGCAGCTATCACCTAGATGTCTTCAGTCCTGCTGGAGAGCTGGTGAAACGGGTGAAGTGCCCGTTCCGCAACCCGAGCAATGTGCACTTCATGCCCGGCAGTCGAAAAGTGTACGTCACGGAACACGAGTTTCACGGCGTGTGGACATTCGACTGGGAGTGCTGTGGACAAAAGCAGTTCTGTGACCAGTGAGTGCTGTATCTTCTGCCTTTGAGTGCTGCAATGCTTACACTAGATACTACACTAGGTACTGCAGTGAATTCTGTAGCCCCAAACTTTCCTCCCAACATGCAAACAATCAAAGCTTACTTCTAGATCTCGTATAATTTCTCACCTGTGAACCTAAGTTTGGTGTTAGTTTGGTATATGCTTGTGCAACTGTGGTGGCTGGACTTCAACCACATGTTTTGTCAATACACTATTTTGATATTCTTGTTTTACTTTGGTAATCTAATGGCTTTTAACAACCCCCCCCCCCCCCCCCCCCCCCCTCTCTCTCTCTAATCTCTCTGACACTAACTATACTATATTGCTTCGAAAATTAATGGACTTCATACTATTCGTACTAACTTGGCTTTTGCCAGCAGCAAGTTGCAGCATGCTCAAAACAGCTTGCTTCTTGTTCTTTTACCTGTTTTTTCTTCATATAAGTTACCTCGAAGCACGTGCATTTACTATTATGAGTGGTTTAAACTCTGCCATCTTGTCTCAGTCTCGTCCTAGTCACGATTATTGTTCCTTTATATTCTAGTCTCTTCTACATGACTGTACTAGTTTCTTTGCTCTTTAGGCTGGTCCTTTTCTTAGAGTGATAGTGAATCGAAATTGAGTAACTCTTCACTGTGTTGTTTCAAGAATACCCTCTGCCCGGGACTAGGGTCCGTACGGAGTGGTTGCAACTTTGTCAGAAGCAGGGAGTAGTGAACTGCAATGCCATGCAGTACACGACTCTCTGAGCCAAACCCTTTGAAAGGTGACTGGGGGTAGGTACTGTGCATGCACACGCCTGAATTGAGCACGGTGTAGGAAAGTACACCGGCCAGTTTGCACAGTCATTTAGCCATATTCACCATGGCTTGCAAGGTAATTTCTGCTGTGTACTGCGGCTTGCTGTACGAGCAAGAGTATAAAAGGCCGGTGTGAGATGCATGTGATTTTCTCATAATCTGACACCTTCACCATAATTAAATTTTGGTGATTCGGCTCAAAACCTACGCAGTGACGGGATATCCTTTGATTCATGATGCTTATAATAAGCATTATTCAAAAGACGTGTGGAAGTGGCTGTGTGCAGCAAAGATGCGAGGTAGACGCGTGAACTTTTTTTCCTGTTCAAGATCATCTGAGATGCATGCAGCAGAAATTAATTTCTTCACAACCGCCCTCAACATTTCAGCATAGCAAGCAAGCAAAACGCATACACATGTAAAATAAGAGAAATGGCAGGGGGAAGGGTATAGAAGGCCAGAGTGAGTTGTTAGAGAGGCTGGTAAGAAAGGGGATACAAATGAACAGAACTACAAAGTTTTTCTTACCCTCTCGCTACAAAACTCAGCGATGTGATTCCTTAGCTTGAAATTGTGTGATCAAGTTACAACACAATGCATCATTGCACTTCAAAGTAAAAATCACACCAATGCAAGCAATCTAGCTACTAATATGTCGAGCCCTTCAGGGGCTCCCTCTCATGGAACAGTCACACAGTGCATGGCAAGATGAGAACAAAGTCTCCCACCAACGCCACAGCACCTCCCATGGGAGGAGAGGGGAGGGGTGGGGTATTAAAATAAAATAAAAAATACTCGTACAAGTACTTACACCACGCAGACCCCTACACTCCCGGGATTAGCTGACGTGCATCAGTGGCAGAAATCGCCACAGAGGACCAAGAATAGCAGCAACATAGCCGCAGAGGGATATAGACACCATATTGGATAGCCGCGCCAGCTGGGTTTTCACTCGCCGGGTATAGTGCCTCCAACAGCACCGTGCCCCGATTTGCAGCGGCATGATGCTTCTCTATATGTATGTCCACATGAGCAAAAGAGTCTTGGGGGAAATGCCAGCTGTGGGCTGCTAGCTCTCGGCTGATGTGCATGGAGTGGAGCACTCGATGCTCATGCCTGCCCTTGCCTCGGCCATGGAGAGGAGTAAGCAGAATGTCAGCAACGACTGTCAGCATATCACACAACTGATTGTTGAACCAAGTCATCTCTAATTCTTCTTTAGTCATCATGGATGAGTCCTCAGTTTTGGCTAGTTCACTGCGGCAATGATGGTGGCACATCCAGTATGCATGTTTGGTTCTCTCCACTGTCTCCCAAGCAGTCAATTCCGTGTCAACACCAGTCGAATGCCGGTGCAGCATGATGAAATAATAATATTATGGTGGCTTTGTTGAATTCGCTACCGTGGTCTCTAAGACGGGGTTGGCACACTCCGCATACCATAACTCATCCATGATAACGTTAGTGAGCGTCTTCTTTGCCGCATGATAGAGCAATGAGAAACCTCCAGAACAATGGCACACGGCAATCGATTCGTACGCGCCGATAAAGTCGCTGCACCAATGCAACGGTGAAACGTGTCTCCGGCTTGCACCACACCGGCACTCCTGGTCATGCACCATGCTGCTGCCAGGCCATCATGCTCCAGCACCGGCGACATGAAGGCAGCCACTACGGTTCCAGTACTGGGCTATTGCTGAGCATTGTCAAGACGGAAGTGCCTGTAGACGCAGGGCCCTGGCATGTTTGCAGAAGACCCAAATCCACTGCACCCTTGCTCAACCGGTAGCTAATAGCGTAGACACCTTGAACACCAACCTTTTCGGCATACAAGTAGGCATCAAAACTGCACCCCAGTTCCTTCACTAATAGTAATACGTTTGGTAGTGACTGGACAGCTTTGTTCAGTCCTGCTGAAAACGACTCGCAAGCCACACCACCTGCACTATTCCATAGCTTGAAGCAACACTTCGTATGGGGATGTCGTGCTGCACTTCCAAGAGTCTTTGCTGCTTACTAGCTCCCATGCTATACTAGGGCATGATCCGGGCATCAAACAAACAGTTGACACATCTGGATTCAACCATTGATAGGAAACTGTAAAAGCAGAACTTCAGCACCTAAGCCGGTCCCTCGTAACGATTACGTACCTCGAAGTTGCCGTTCTTCGGAGAGGAACTCGGTACTTGGATGATCCCGATCGCAGTACGAGCCCTCGTTGTGAGACGCGGACTTGGGGCATCTTCAAAATAGCCTGTAACCTCCAATATATTTTTTAATTTTTGGAGATTGCAAGCTATTTCGAAGATGCCGCGAAGATTGCAGGCTATTTCGAATGATAGTACATGTATATACAGTGAACCTGGGGTCTCCGTGTCGGAGGATGAAATGAAAATAATGTTCATCCTCCGACATGCCCAGGGCCAGGCTCACCGATTCCTCTGCCAAGTGAAAGACCGCCAAGGCATGACTCCAAGAGTTTTGGAGGCCGTCTCACATCCGTCACCAGGTCATCGGAGGCGAAAGAGCTTGAGCCTGATGCAGGATCCCGGCTAGGACCAGACGAGCATCATCTTGCCATAGGCTGCATAGCCATAGTCCGCCTCCGGCTGAAACGTGATCAGCAGAAACACTGTGGCTTTGCCCACCACTGCACTACTACGCCACTAGCAGTTCTGCACGCTTCGACTAGTAGATCTACCAGTCATTCAGCGATCCGTACCTCACCGGTGCACCAGACATAACCTGATACAGTAACAGCTTTTTCGACTCAGCTCAGCGGCAACTACCTCATGGCCTCATGAGCTCAGTAGCTGTGCCCCCTCCCGGCCTTCGCCCGGCCGGATGAATGGAAAATCGCCGCCGGTTCTTCAACAAGTCAGCTCGTTCGGTTTTGCCAAGCGTTGAGTGTCGACTTTGTGCACAATACATTATTATGTGCTAGTCAGGGGCTCGGAGTCTGTGCCTTGGCAACAGACACAGTCATCACGTCCATGATCACCCTTGGCAATCATGCAAGATTGTGACAAGTGCAAACGTGACCATAACTACGCAATGATCGTACATGATCGATTGTACGGAAGAATGTATGTGCCGCGATAACGGACAGACGTACTGTATCATATGGGCAGCGCAGCAAGATGAGCCATAACTTCATAAGGTGTTCTTCTCCAAAATGGACTACTGAGTATCAGTATTGACTATTGTTGTGCAGGGTTATTTTGAAGTTTTCCCCGGAGACCCGAGGCTTCTGAAGAGATCTGGCCAGCCCGACATGCATGCTAGCTGTAGCCCATCTACGGGACATTTCTCCACACGTCAGTTTATCATCGCATGCATGCAGATCACAGTGGCGCTAGGACTGTAGGGGGAAGAGTTACTGAACGGTCTTCACAGCAGGTACTTCTCGGAGAAACGTCGCTATGGCGAAAAAGCGAAGTCCTGAAGAAACGCTGTCCGCGCTGGAGACCTTGGAAACGGATTTGTCGAAGGCAGCTACGCGCAATGCTGGCCTGCTCGAGGTGCTGGAAACTCTGGAGGGTCATGCTTCCGGAGATACGAAGGACACTGCTGAGAGCAGTACTCATGGTACTGGTGCTGGGACAGCAGCGTCCATGTTGAAAGGCTTGCGTGCAAGACTGAACGCAGCCCATGGACCCAACGCTGCCGTGCGACGAGACTTGGCTGAAGTGAAGAATATGCTGAAGAGCCAATTCTTGGATACACAGCACTCGAAACAGCGCTATGACCTGCTCCATCAAGAGCTGCAAGCTGAGCGTCGCGAGTTGAATATGGAGAGAAGGAAGCTGGAGGTGGAGCAACGGCAGGTGGAGGAGACCCACCGTAAATGGAAAGGCAGGCTGGAGGAATCCAAACGTCATGTTGAGCAGCAGCAGGAGAAGCTAGCAGCGCTGTCGGAGCGCTTGGCAGGTCAGACATCGGATCTTGTGGCGCAACGATCTCTTGTGGCACTCACAGCACATGGGTCTGACATGGAGCGAGAATCCAGCGCAGCGCCTGCCAACACCATGGCCTTGCAATCAGTATCCGAAGCAGCTCTTGTCGCTGAAGCCGAACAGCTGAGGCAACAGCTGCGTGCATTGATGGTTCGCAATGTGAACGCGGAGAATGATCGTTTACGCATGGAGCTTGCACAGCGACAGAAAGAGGAGCAGCTGAGCATTCTGGACCAGACCAATCAAAAGCTGAAGAGTGAAGCCACCCGGTCAAGGCAGGAGGTGCTGAAGGCAACCAAACAATTTGAGAAACGAACGACTGAAGGTAGGCACTAGTGTTTACCAATGCATAATGGATGCCACCAAGTGTGACCACATGCTTCGACATTGTCTTGACCGATTGACCAGCAGCACAGTTGTATACATGTACATGATTGTACTAGTCTTCCCCGGAATCATGATAAGCAGCAGCGCCTTGCGGAGATTTTACGCTAAAATTGTTTTAAAAAGCCAAAACGAGGCATCTTGGTTGAAAGCTGCCTGGGTGCGCTTGGCTTGATTCCCCATGGAGAACTTGGCTTACCGATATGTACCGTGTTCCAGATAATATGCTACAAACATTGTTCTATGTAGCAGTAGTTTTCTCTGGGAGCTAGAATCTCAGGCTATTACCTACAGCACCCCCGGAGATGTGTGACGACTAATACTGACTATGCGCTGTTATTGTCTGCAGCTAACAGGCGCTTGACCGATATGGCAATGGAGCTGGCGAAAACGCAGGAGAGTGCACGTCGATTTCAGGAGCTGCTCGCTGCCGAGCGTCGCAAGCAGCATGGCCTGCAGGTGAGTGTCCAGCAGTCACATGACCACTGAGCAGTCACATCACCACTAAGCATTCACATCACCACTGAACAGTCACATCACCACTGAGCAGTCACATCACCACTGAACAGTCACATCACCACTGAACAGTCACATCACCACTGAACAGTCACATCACCACTGAACAGTCACATCACCACTGAGCAGTCACATCACCACTGAGCAGTCACATCACCACTGAACAGTCACATCACCACTGAACAGTCACATCACCACTGAACAGTCACATCACCACTGAACAGTCACATCACCACTGAGTAGTCACAGTACCACTGAGCAGTCACATCACCACTGAACAGTCACATCACCACTGAGTAGTCACAGTACCACTGAACAGTCACAGTACCACTGAGCAATCACAGGGCCACTGAACAGTAGTCGCCACAAGCAGAGCATCACCACTGAGCAGCTCCAGTGACGACAGCCTGCAATGTAGCCGTATGCTGGACTCGAGCACTAAGTTGCCCCATACATGATTGCACCATACACACACAAACATGAGGCACAGTGGGCAATACAGTTTCGCCTTGACATACACATCTTAGGGGTGATGGAACTAGCTTGCAGCAATACTAAGCTCGTCCACCTTGCATATTGATACCGTGTAGTCTCGAACATCACCGATTGTGAGAGAGACATTAATTCAAATTTGCTTGACTTTTCAGAGTATCAGTGTTTGTCGGCAAGATCTACATGACTGTATAAGTGTACTGTAAGACATGTATATAATTATAACGAGGACGTAAATCTAACGTTTTAACGGATGACATGTCTTCGTTATAATAAGATTCGTTGAGGCCATACTGCTTCATATATGTTGTGTGTGGATATGCCGGAATACTGCAAGATCGTTAACATAATTATCGTCTCGTTGACCTATGAATTTTGGACAATCGTTAAATTTGCGACTCGTTATAATAACATGTCTCACAGTATACTAATTCCATGCACATGACATTATCTGCAGCGCGCCCTCGAGGACGAGTTGCAGAAATCCGGTCACCAAAGAACATCTGGCTTGACAGAAGACCAGGGTGTGGCATTAGCCAGTGCACAGCAAGCTTACATTCAGACATTGAGTGATGCCCTGGGCAAGCAAACGCAAACCAGTGGAACAAGTCACATTCGCGTTGAGGATGTTGTACGCAGAAATGAGGTGAGTTCAATTCAAACATCAATCTGCTTGTAGAAATTCTCTTGCAAGAAATTCCCTTCCACCTGTTGAACACACTTCAGGGTATGCATGTTGGCATACATACAGAATGCTGCTGGGGTCCTTATCCAATAGGAAGCAGCTTCTTGCCACCCCGACAGCCATACGGCGTTTGACTCAGATGATGTGTACCACGAGTGACGAGGGGTATGTGTATGGAGGATTGTGTGTGTCCTTCTTGAATCTCTCTCCTCTCTCCCCTCTCCCGGCGGGGAAACCCACATAACCAATGTATGGCAGTGAGTAAGTACAAGTGCATGTGGGGGGGGGGGGGGGGGGGACTATGTACCAAAACCTGATGCAAGCCATATTGAGTGTCTGTCTGTGATGCTTGTAGCTAACCATGCATAATTGCTGACTTATAATGCAGAGTCTTCTCCTGGAAGTGGCCAAACTGAAGGCAGATGTGAAGCGATTGCAAGGGGAGAATACTACTATGCTGCAACAGACCAAGCTAGCAAATGCTGATGCAAAGCATATGAGGGTAGGTGCAACATGTATGCAATACAACTGTGTTCAAGTGCGCATGTACTGGCTACACGAGCATTGTACGCCGTGCACTAGTTCCAAATGCATGTTGTTGCATGACTTAAATCGTGTGCTAAAACGTTTCAAAAATTCTTCCCCTCACTTCGTAGCTAGCCTGAAAATGGAACAGTTTGTGCGACACACGTGTGCACCAGCACTGTCTTGTACAACGAACAGGGCGTCAAGGGCCCCTTCAGTACTAACCACCAACTGTGCAACGTTTTGGTGGTAGCTGCAACAACAGCTACATGCACTGTTGACCGTATACGATGCCTGCCTGCTTGTGTGTGTGTGTGTGTGTGTGTTTGTGTTTGTGTGTCCCATATGGTGCAGTGGTATGTGCAGTCGACTTCCAATCGAGACAGGGTGCGGGTTCAATTCTCGACGTCGCACACGTCTTTCTTCTCTTTCTCATTCTCTTAGCTCTTCTTTCATCCTCCTGGCCTGGGTGGTTACCAACAGCCAGTGTATGCTGGAGTATGTGGTGTGGCGTGTGTGTGTAAAAAAAAGGAAAAAAAGATGAAAAAATGAAAATAAACATTCACTGGCCGGAAAAAGCCACTTCAATCAGCTGTGTGGTGAATACCAGGCTAAAATTACAGTCCATTTCAAAACTATAGACGCGCAGTGTTTTTATTTCAAATTTGGCTGGAACTTTTTGAGAATAGTTTTCGGAATATTGCGCAGGTCCGCTCCACAATTACTCTCATATAGTTTCTAAACGATTGGATAACAGACGCCCAATTTGGAAAAAAATTATGCGCAAAGTGATCACAGATTTTATGTGATATAGATGCTGGCATAACGGCTTTTGCCTAGGTACGCGTCTATACTTTTGAAATGGACTGTAGTGGCGATCAATTCATCAGCCTTGCAAGCTGTTGAATGGTGCAATCCCAGCACAATTTGCCATGTCTAACATAGCTGTTCGCTATCATAGCTTCTGCGATGGGCATGTCTGAGGTGTGTGTTTGTGTGTGCGTGCCGGTGTGTGTGTGTGTGTGTGTGTGTGTGTGTGTGTGTGTGTGTGTGTGTGTGTGTGCGTATGCATGTCGGTGTCTGTGCACGTGTATGTGTGTGTGTGTGTGTGTGCGCATGCGTGCGTGTGTGTGTGTGTGTGCGCGTGCGTGGATCCCATGCATGCTGTTGCAGATGTACGTATCAACTTGCATGGCAGATAGGACTGAGCTGCAGAAGCGCCTAGAGAAAGCTGATCGTGAGGTGAGTTGCGAGGTTGGTGTCACTGCAGTGTGGATAAGGATTGAACTGCATGTGCAAACCTCATGCATCATCCTGTGTACTTAGAGACGTACGTGTACATTGGAGGAGTGTGTTCACAGTTTACACAGAGAGACATGTACATTTAGTAGTAGCTACTAGCTAGTCACTTACTAGTACGTGTCTACACTACAAGGTTGTATGCAATGACTCCATTGTGGCATGTCATACTGAGCTGTGCATGGAGCCGCGGCCAATGCACTGCAAAGCAGTATCACTGAAAGACTGATGTTTCTGATGTTCAGCACCGCCGGTTGGAGAACTCGCTCACACACCAAGCCAGTGACTGGGTTAGAAGCAAGCGTGCCGGCAAGCAGACCGAACAGCACCGGAAATGGGACCATGTAAGCCAACAATTCACACACACACACACACACACACCATGACACAGTGTGTTGAATTGGGCACTCCACTAAGCTAGCATTACAGGTTTTAGAGAGGGCGCATGTACCCCTTACCGTATGGTCAATCCAGTGGCCAATTTAATCAGGTGTGTAAATGCACGTGCTATCGAATGCCGTGTGTATGCTTGCAGCTGACTCACGTTCCTGAGGTCAACTTTTTCAAGTACAACCGGTCGCACATACAGTCCCCACCACCACCGCCACCACACTGAGTGAGTGATAGCCGCGGAGATTTCAACACCAGCATCAGTGGAACTGCAGTAGAAAGCTCTCAAGCTATCAATAGTCCAACTACACAATGTGCATACATAATGGTGTGTGTGTTGCTAGCGCTGAGCACAATTATATCAAAAACTTGAGTACCTACAAGCTTCTGGCTTGCTGCGTTTGTGAACTTTTCATACAATTTGAAGTATTATTTTTATAATGTACTTTCAAGTATACATTTACAAGATTAACGGGTATTTGCTGCTAGGTAAATTTTAGGTAAATTTCTTTTATCTTGATTTCATCAGCTTATACTTAATATATACACTGATTTTAAGGTGGATATTTTTGTTTCCCTGATACTAAGTAGAGAATTGAGGACTCATTCTTCCTATAAATAGAACAAAAGCATTTTGAAAACGAAAATCTCTTCTCCAGTATTCACCGCTTCAGCTCTATGGGCAGTCTATGCATGCTGCTTTGCACGGTCCGATTTCGCCAACGTCATCAGGGACTATCTCATTGCTCTGCATAAACTTTAAACACAGAAGAGGTCTGATCTCAGCGAGTACTACCTACACATAGCTCATGCGATGAGCCGGAAGAACACATACAGCAAAGCAACAAATGCAGTGTGGTAGCAACTTACTTCACAACATGGACACACACATCAGTATACACACGCCAAACGCACACCTTTTAACCCTTTTTTTTACGCCCATCGCCGGAGGCAGCGATAGAGATGCTACAGCAGGAGCCACAGCAACTTGTGCTGGGATTGCACCATGCAATAGCTTGCGAGACTGAAGAATTGACCGCCACCACATACACACACACGCACACACACACACAGGAAGACCAAGCTGAAGGCAAAGTACCGTTTATACCAGCATACATGTACACAGTCAAGACTGGACATTGGACTCAGTTCCAAAACTAAAGCCAACTAGTGGCATACAAGACTACAAATAACATAACAGTGACTACACTGGAGAAGAGGTGTGTCACTGTGTGGCACAATCCTGCCGCAACTTAACTACCAGAGACATTGAAGACACAGTTGGTACCTGGTGGAAACAGTAGGCAAGCATAACTATACCTGATGACCCCCAAACAGAAATGAGGTGCCGGTGTGGCAATACCAACTATTGTCAGCACCAGCGTGTACACTATCCCGACAGAGAACAGAATACACAGCTAGGACGAGTACCTTCAAGCAACAGAGGAGAGACTACGCAGAGAGAATACATCACATTTTCTTCTCCGGGCATAGAGCAACCGAAGACCAGAAACGACTAAGCATGACAAAAAAAAGCACTGTGCCAGCACAAGGTGAGATCACAAACCAGGCGATACAAAGGCGTAGTAATGAGAGCGGTGCGCACACATACGTGAGCGGTGATTGTTGCTGCAGCGGATGTGACTGCCGGTGATTGTTCTCAGACAGTGCGCGCTGCAGGGCACACCCAGCCGCGCGAGTATTTAACTTCAAATACAGCAGTTTGTTCAACATGAGGGGGGGGGGGGGGGGGGTATGATTGTGGCCGAAACAGAGAGAGTTCAATAAGAAACCCGTGTGTAGACCTGTTATAGGCACCTATACCTGTTCTATGAATAGCAGAATGAGCAGAGAAACCGCTTCACTCTGCAATGGCACTATTAGAGGAGAGCTTACTCATCAACGAGAAGGTCCGGAAATTGGAATCATAAATAAAACTAGCGGTCTGCGTGTGCGTGCGAAGCATGTGAGACTGAGATACTCAGTCAGAAGTTCTGAACACCTTTGTTCCATATGTACAAGAGATTCATGGCGAGTAGCTGTAAATCACTCGCCGAGAGAAGCATGGGCTTTCTTGAGCTGCTCGTACGTGATGAAGAACTGGTTGGATACATTATGGTCAAGGAAAATTCAACAGTTACAAAACTAGCCATACCGTGCTGTCCATGATTACATTCAACTGGTTCAGCCTCCCGGTGTCAACCTCCTACAGGCTACAGCATACTCTCCACTCTGGACATATTCAATACCACTTCCTCCTAACCACCTAGTGCCGTAGTGGTAAGTCACATTGGTCTCCATGCATTCCTATTTGGCCAGTCGCAAACTCAAAGCGATGACTACTGAAACATGTGTTGAATGTTTCTTTTTGTTCAAAAAGCATCATAGTCGTCCAATCCTGCATAATCACAAGCTCAAATATCCAGAAACAGAACCCTGCCCTCCCGCTACACCCGCTACACCTGATGTACGCGTACACCAGTGGCAGCAATAGAGATCTAGCTTCATGAATAAACCAATCCATGAGGTGAGGTTTCAATTGCCACTACTGTACAACCAATGCAGTATGCACACTGTGCAGATCCTGCATGTGGCAGTTACTTTGAAACATATCAGTACGAATAGTGTCTGCTGCTGCTGCTGCCAAAGTACAGTAGCAGCAGCTACATGTCACTGAGTATGAGGAGGATACAATGATATTCCATGGACCAAGGCGCAGGTACAACGGAACAAATCCTTTGTACAATGCCATGACTCCTTCATTCCGCGCAGTCTGGAACAAAAACATGGGCAGCACAAATGGAAGATATAGGTACCAGCAAAGCCCACATGAGTACACAGAGCAGCAGTCATTGTTTGCATTTTAACTGGAGTTAGTAGTTCAGACAAAAGCGACAAGTGGTCCTCCACTCGAAGTCCGTCCAAAAGAACGTGAGGGAGGGAGAGAGAGAGAGAGAGAGGGGGGGGGCACACAACTTACCCGAACAGCACAGTCGAGTGAACTCTTGTACAGCTGATCATTACCGGGCACCACCTTCTGATTCATCATGCGTGTCTTTACCACATCGATAGGATTGGATGCTATTGCACCAGCAAAGCCGGCAATGAAGCTTGACCTGTACCAGGGACAATATTGACAAAACGATATCGACACACAATACACACTGTAGGATAAAATAGTGGCAGCGCCTTCGGAAATACTTCCAAACGTTTCGGAGAGCTAGCACGCAAATCATGGGTAGACAGTATGCTAGAAATCCATACGAACCTCTTGTTCAGGTTAATGCAAGCATCAGCATGAGTACCAACAGTGCTACATTGTACTATATGTAAAACGTTCAAAGTATCACTTGTACAAGCATCAGTGCGTGGGCCTTATAAAATATGGTCTGTCCATAAAAAAGGAACCATGGTGGACACCGCACCCACTACACATTGTGAAACCAAGATGGCAGGTGTGCTACTTACGTAAAGTGCAGGGGAATATCATCTGCCATGTACTGTCTTCTGATGGCCTGTACTTTCACCCAGTCATACATTGCTAACTCAACACCGGCTACGACAGCGGCCCGCTGTGCAGTGGGGCCAACACCCTGTAACATACAGTCACAGACACACACATACTTATACATGTGCATACAATCACACAGAGTATGACGACACAGTAAAATAAAATTGCACACAAGCACACAGCAAAGCATTCTCAAGTGCATACGACGAGAAAGATGATAAATAAATGTCTCCCCACACAGTTGATGTCCATGCAGTTTTTACAGTATGACAATATGCATGGCATTACAAAGTCCTCTTTACCAGCACAAGGCATGTAAAGTGAATAAAATCCAGATAGTGGCTAAAAGAGGGTTTTTTGCGTTTTGCTTTCGAAAACGACAGGTTGTGAAACAATGACATAGTGAATTGATTGGATTGCTGCGTGATTCTGGGATCTAAAAGTACTAAAACCTATTGAAATAATGACTTGTGTTTTACATGCTTGCAGGGAGTAGTAAAAGTTGAAGCATGACGGCTTCGCTTTTCTCGTGTTGCTGCATGCACATGTACGTAACTTTTGCCTGATTATCGCGCAAAAGTGAAATTCTGAGTTGCAATAAAACATGCTGAAGAGAGAAGAAAATGATCACACATCTAATATGGTTGAAAAGGAAAATTTTTGGACAACCCCTTTAACAACAGATATTGGTGACACAGTATATCCAAGCTATTACAGTCACACAAACACACAGACACACTGCAAAATGACATGAGAGCATGCTTACTCTCCAAAGACCGCGAAGGCCTTCTTGATGGTAGATCTCTCCAAATGACGCCATCAGTGACTTAGAGTTTACACAGCCACCACGCTGTGCCTGCATCCTCACCTACAACACATTTTAATGTACAGACACCCTTAGACCTAGGTGCCCATCGCGGAAGCGATGATAGCAAACAGCTATGTTAGACATAGCAATTTGTGCTGGGATTACACCATTCAACAGCTCACACAAACACAAACAAGCGCGTGCGCACACACACACACACCACAAGCAAGCAGAACGAGCAATGTATAACAACATTTCACTCTACATGCTCTGTGTCGCATCGTTCCCAATAAAAGGTTGACAAGAGCAAAATTATCTGCTGCTCGGGAAATGTCAGTTTTGAAGCCCCCCCCCCCCCCCCCCCCCCCCCAACTCCAAACTCCAATCGTATGCATTACCTTGAGGACATCAGTTGGGTTGGCTATACATGAAGCACATGTTCCTGCAACCATACCGGCAAGAACATTACCAAAGAGACTTTCGCCACCTGCACACACAAAGAAAGCAAAGCAACCAACACACACACATGTACATTACATCACACATGATTGTATAGATGAGAAATACAGCAACGCCTGAAAGGTACAATCAAGTCTTTCTTTGCTGATATTCAGAGATGTTCATGTTGCAAGATGATCAATAGACAACACAACAAGCTGCACTACACTGTCGTAGTTACCTGGTATAGAGGGGGGGGGGGACAAAGAAGGAAACAAAAAGGTGAAAAGCAAACGCGGCGACGACCCACCACATATTATTGAACAATCGATCAAATACATTGTATGGCAAAGAGGTAACATAAAGCACCGGGGCAGTAAGGAAGCAAACATGGTTGCTTACATGATTTGAAGATATGCACTAAGTAATAGAGTGCCCATTACCCCTCTGACCACTGCATATATGTACGCGCAAGAGTACATAACCCCCCAGAGTGTGCAACGCCTGATCCAGCTCTGCATAGGGTCTTGGTCGAGCGGAATCGGATCTTTGCGTCATAATACCGTACACATCTGAGGGGAACCCGGGGAGTCGCGGGTACTCTTGGATCAAAAAACAATGGTGCCCTGCCTCGAGACCGGCCTTGCGCTGGTGTGAAGTGTACGCATGACATCAGAAGATCCGATTCCGCTCGACCAAGACCCTACACAGAGCTGGATCGGCGTTGCACACTCTGGGGGGTTATGTACTCTTGGTACGCGTTGATACACATGGAACATGTAGCACCAAGGGAGCCAGTTGTATCTAAATGACACCCTACACTTGCTGGGTCACATACACATACGCACATGCAAGCAGCTGTGTACGCACACTTACATACCTGGTGATATTCTGGATTTTAAGCTATGGTAGATGCCAATCTTGATTGTACCGTACGATGCCTGGCGCAGCAGTGCTGGTGCAATTCTGCACTCAAGTACATGTACAGAACACAGAAGGCAGTGAGATGCAAGCACTACACTGACAATCAGCACAGACAAGAACACAGTAGCATTACCAAGGTGACTTTTAAAGTAATCAAAACATTTACGTTAGTGAACAGTGCAAACATGACACACAGTAACTACATCTTTATGGATAAGAAGGGTGTAGCGGGGAGATTTAGGGCTAACACAGCGGCCCCCCACGACAATACCGGATCAGCATGCTTATGCCACACTGGATATTTCGACAGAATTCTATAATAATTATTAATCATTAGCTGCCATGCACGTGACCAGGATTGCCAGCAACCAACAGCATATACCCTCATTAGGATCAGCACAGGTAGAAATTCATACGCAGACTAGAATCACTATAGACATGCAGTATAGTCAAGTGTGGCAACAGACACTACGCACACACACCCTACCACTATCTTGTAGACTTGGAAGCATGCCCAATTATTGACAGCATCAGAATAAGAATATGTTTATTGGCTGAGAACAATGGCGACTGCTCCAGCCCTAACAGCTACCCATACACATTCGTCAAAAGTACAGTGCTGGTCCAGGAACCCCGATCATGCGAGTGTATGTCACGCCGGGTGCTGTGTAGCCCCAGACCTGTGCACTGGTGCAAGACGAAAAACTTGACTCGCGCCATTGGATTTCATAGAGCAGCACTGTACAACAGATTGGCTGCACAACAAAACAAACTAGAGACAAAGTCTCCCCATACAATACATGCACTAGCAATTGAATGTACTGTAAAAGCCATATATATAACGAAGTGCTAACTCTAACGAGTTAACGAGGAGAAATATGTCGTTAAAATAGAAATCGTTATACAGAAATCGATACATATACTGTCCTATTGAGCGTTGAGAATGAGTGAGAATCGTTACCTTTGCTACACGTAAACTAGTCAATTTTGGGAAATCGTTATATATGCGCCTCGTTAGAATAATGGCTTTTACAGTACTACCTTACCAAGCAGATACGCTTCTCTTTGTTTATATTTTTGTTCGACACCTCTGTTTGACACCATTTGATGGAGTGCCTCTTCCTCTCTTCAGCATAAGTGAAAGTGTGGATCATTGATCGACTCTAACGCGAACATGCAAATAATAACAATAATAATAAGCTTACCCATTGTAGAGTGCACGGGCACTTTCCTCACGCAAGATTACTTGAAATGCATGCAGCATGCCTCGATAGCGCGCTTGCGCAGCATCTCCCACCTGGCCCTGGATCTGCAACCGCGTCTTTGTCAAGTCTATCGGAAACGTACCTGCCGAAAGGAAAGAAAAAGAGCAGCAACTATCAACAAAGCGGCAGAAGCAAGTACTTACATGAGTAATGGCGGTATAAGATACACTGGTGAAACCTGGCACTGTGAATGAAACAGTGTTCAACTGCAGTTGTAAATTATGTAGATCCGAAACCCAGCGGGTAATTTAGCCAATAGAGATTTCGTCCGGCATTTTCGAGCTGCATCCACCTTCCCATGCCCTACACCTTTTGGCAACACCTGGCTCTACCACACAATGCTGTTACCAAGTACTCACACATCCATACTTGGTGACATTGGTGCATGCGAGCAACCCAGCAGCCAAACATGCGGCGATGAAGGGCTCTGGACCCGGACTCGTCCAAATCTCAGGAGAATAACATTGCTACTGTGGTCTAGAGTACCTACCGGTCAGCGACCGTAGAACTTTTTGAATATTGTATTGCAGCGTAGTGTAGTGAAAAGAAACCAGCCACAACAAGGGCACCTATGCATAAAACATGGCTGCAGCCTTTTTTGCGGGGCACCTTGTGCCATATTTGGCAGGTAAAGCCAGCTCTAGTACACTTGTATGACCAAGAGTAGATAAACACGAGTGTGCAACTCCGGGATGGGTTGGCCCGCGGCAGAATTTTTTGTTGACGTAATCTTTTCGACGACGCAAGCGCTGCGAGTCTTTTGGAAAGTTTTGCCTCATGCACTTGGCCGGGCTTTACATTACAAGGTCAGTGCCCAGCACGTGCTCTCAACCTGCTCTGTGGCAAAATGCGCGTTTTTCTGAAAAAAGGTGACGTCAACAAAAATTTCGCCGCGGGTGGGGGTATCTGCAGATTGTGCAGAAGAGATCCGGAGTTGCGCACACTTGTTTATCTACTCTTGGTATGACTGTACACAGTACACAGTATGTGACCTTTCTATGCAGGGCTGGTATCATAATGTGTACGGCTGAAGTGGACTTGCCCTGCGAACCAAACGACGGGAAGATTATGCATAACTCCCTTTTCTCAATCCGCAAATAAATACAGGGCGGACGTCTCCTTGAATAATGATAAATTCCAAAAACAATAACACATAAACGCGTCTCTTCACAGGTTTGGTACAATAAGGCAATAGTCTTACTCTGGAACAGTCAGATAGCGGAAAACTCGGCAATGTGGCCCACATCATACCGATTCTGCAAGGTCAGTACAAAACATTTATGATTTGTGTAGCCTAGCCGATGCTGACTTTCGTGTTAGATGAGCGCTCTGTGCTGAAGTGGAAGCTCTATTGTTAGGTCTGCTATATCGCCTCAATGTGTTCATTCGAATAGCAACTCCATAATTCTACTTTCAGCCGAAGGAGAGCAAGAGTATTTGACATTTTTTTCCAAGCTAGAACCCTGAAGTCACACTTGAAAGTAATTCATACTCGCTCTTTGGCCTTGAAGTTGAGATAATAAACCAGCAAGTGTCAGCTACATTCTGGTAGAAATAAAACAACTCAATCATCTACTAGTATTGGGCTCATCACGACATCATGCATGAAAATCACAGGCAAAGCAATCCGCCGTTGCATCTAGGGAGACGACATGAGACTATCGTACCTGTGAGTACCAGAAAAGATGCAGGTTTATTCAGAACATTTTTTCGCAATCAGACCCTAAGCGTGAACTAACCATGGCACATGGAAGCCACAAGGGCGAATACAATGAGCGAACCGAAACCCATATCGCTTCACGTTCCACTCAGTCTATCTACAATACGATGGTACAACTCCCTGATGCGTAGTAACCACGTGTACTTTTACTCCTAATCTGCTAAACTACATGTACTGTACTGTACTGCCATCAATAGGCCTTATGGCATGCATGTCGCACAGATGCATGAAATCCCGTAGAATCTCGTAGACCCGGTTGGGTGTTGAATGTGCAGGACCCCATTGTGTTTAGGCCACACCAAGTTATTTCATTGTTTCTCGTCACCTGAAAATCTCAAAAGGAACGCGGGCGGGCGGAAAAAAAACAAAATAGGGTTTGAAAAACAAAAACTGCTATTTACACTACGAAGGCCCAATTTATGACCTAAAATCAGACTATACACCACGCAGTGCTTGTAGTCCGCAATGCCGCAAGTTTACCGATGCCCGGAACACTGTCAGTCCAAAACGGTGCACTGTCATGCACTGTCTTGACTTGTACCGGAACTGTGTGTAGCAAAGAAGACGACCAGGTCGTGTGGTGGTGTGGTACTTGAACTACCGGTATGCGTACATACACGGTGCAAAAGTCGTCCTTCGGTTCGTGCACTAGCACTGCACTCCAGATTTGACGCCGCGCGTACTTTTACAACGCCTTTTTATGCGTGTTTACCGGGACGCGAGATTTTTTTTTTTGGTCCAATCCTCAAGAAAGGTACGCGCGCGGTGACGAGAAACAATGAAAAAACTTGGTGTGGCCTTACTTGGAATGTGCAGGACCCCATTGTGTTTACTTCTATTTCCACTACGAAATGGGCCCTGAAGGCATTTCAGACGAAAACTTTTTTCCTACAAAGATCTAGCCTGTCATTAGTTCAATCCCAAAGTGAGGAAGCTGGAAAAGCGATTGTTTGCCATGAAATATGAGACTAAATTGGTCAATGGGCATGTACAGCACACAATGAACAACCAATCGGGTATGACTGTACACACATACGGCCTTAGTACAGAACTTCGTACATATGTACAACGTGCATAAGGCCTTAAACACACCATACACCAGCATGTTCATGTCACACATGGTACCACCCAAAATTAACTAGGATATGTTGTGCGCCGCTCTACCTTGGAAACCAACACCACGACGATAACCTCTGTACAGTTACAGAGGTCCATTCCCAACTATTAGAAATCACGTCAAGGTTTGGTAGTGTCCTACATGCACTCTTGCAAATACATGACATTGCATACAATCATTATTGAAAGTTCACGTGATACGATGAAAGTACCAAAAATGGGTTTTTACAAATTCTAAAATGGGGTGGCCATCAATCTACTAACGCAACACGAATGGCCAGATTCACATATCTTCAATACAAACATCTACTCGACGTACCGAATTCCGCAGTAACAGACGCCAGGCCTCCAAATAGGAATGGTTGCCAATTCATATTGGCTCGTTGAGTTCTCAAGACAATGAACGTTTCCTGAGTTGATTCCACGAGATATTCCTCAACAACTAAAAAATCACATGCAACCTGATTATGGGAGTCTGAAAGCAGCTAAGAAACCAATACTACCAAATCACTCCATGTGCTCTATCACAAAACCGACGATCTCATCCACACTGGACTACAGAACTCAGAAGTAGTCAAATCGGCAGCGGACTGAGCGGAGGCTCTTCTCTTTCCCAGGAACGAGCGTGATCGAATCGCGTGCTTTGTCTTGCCTGCTTTTCGCGGTATACGCGGTAGCGAAGCCATGTCCTGGGCGCGTGCATGAAAAGCTGAGACGTAAAAAAAGACGTAGACGCGAGACGTCACGTAGACCTACGTAGATCTACTGAGTACTGTAGATCTATAGACTGCGCATATGTGTAGCTAGATCGCGCGTGTCGACCATGCATGGTCGACGGGGCCGGGGACCAGTGGTATTCGTACCCTGCACGTCTGTACTGCACTGCCACTGGTACAGGTACGTGGTACACGATCGATCCGCGCCGCTAGAAACAGTGGTAGCGCGCTGCATGCATGCGCTGGGAAGGCCTACATGACGATTATGTAGGCTAAGCCAGTAAGGGCAGTACGCTCGTACTCGTAGAGTCGTAGATCTACTCGGCGGTAGGGCCTTGGCCCTGGCCTAGGGCGTGTGCGCACGTGATAATATAATATTTTAGATACCACGCAGCCAACTCATGTTCTCATGCAGCCAACTCATGTTCCATAATTATGTCTACGTATATCTACCAGCAAGAGTTCATAACTCCCTGTATTTCGGCTGTAAGGCTGTATTCATGGTATTCACTGTACTACTTTTTTTTTCTCTTTTACTTTTACTTTATACCAGGCGTGGGCCAGGCCCTGTACATATTTATTTATTTCACCTTCCCGTGGCCAGAAAATATAGGCCAATATGGAGGGAGGGGGGGGGGGGGGGGGCGGTATACCGGTAGCCAGCCATGGCAGTTAACATAAACAAAGCAAAAATTAATAAATATTACACATTTATACCGGAGGCAAAGAGAAACAAATCTGGATGAAGAATTAGCAGTTATTAGAACACGAGCTTCATGTTGGCCTTGAAATCCTTTAGCGTACAAGACGATTTTACTGATAGAGGCAGGGCCAGCCAGAGAGAATAGGCAGCGAAAAACGGAGATCTGGTATAAGCTGAGGTTCGGGCTTTACGTAAAGTGCAGGGATTGCGCGTAGGACGAGTGGGTATAGCTATAGTCCATTTCAAAGATTAGCAATCAGGTTTTGGTCTTAAAAAGTATGAAGATAAGGGAAATTTGGACAACAAATAACATAGAATGGCTTGTTAGGACACGGCAAATTGTTCTGTGAAGGTTTCGGAACAATTGGACCAGCCGTTGAGGAGTTATAATTTCGGCCAGGTTTCCGGCCTTTTCCCATGGTTTACAATTTGCCCTGGATGTGAGTATCGATTTTTTTTATCAAAACCCACGATTTATCCTTTCCTTTTTGGCCTTGTGGTTATGAATGCTGTCTGCTGACCATAAAGTTGTGAGTTCAAATCCCAAACTATCTTCAAGTTTTTTTTTTTTTTTTTTTTTTTTTTGCGCATGCGAACTATCTTCAAGTCAAACTTTTTTTCATTGTTTTGGTGATCACCAGATCACGCTGGTACAAAAAGTACAAGCCAAAGAAGGTTGCTGCGCCGAACGACTTGTTGTTGTTGGAGCTCGCGTTTCCTGCCGAACACTTGACTGGTTCACGCCATGTGAACACACCCACAACACTGAAACGGTGTGAGTGAACACGGAAGTCATTGCGCTGTAGCTACGTGTTGTTCAATACAACGGCACATCGATCGATCGATTTCTCTTTGAGAATTATTTTAGTATTTCAAGATCGCCAATTTATTTGAATTTAGGAGTCAACGCCGTCTTCTATCAGCTTTCACAGGCGTCTGCTTTTCTCAAAATGTCGTCGAAGTCACACGGATAGCTTTGCCAAGTCATGGCCTTGGGAATGAGTCTGTGTCGATGTCGTTTTCGTCACATCGTGAGAGTAAATTGCATCGCAGCTCAAAGAAATTGGGCACGAAACGAATTAGGACCCATCCCGCTCGTCAACATTTACCACACTTTCGACATTATGTTGTAAACCAGATGTACATGTACCGACGTGAGTGAGTTGTCATTTTTCATGCTTTCGCGCGGATTATTTCTTCGAGTTCACAGTGAGTTTTTCCAGCCAGCTCTCGAGCGCGCATACGGTAAGACGGCAAACTCCCCGGGCGATCGCCAGGATTGCTAATCTTTTTGAAACTGACTGTAGGTGCCATCATTTTTCTTTGTTTCAATAAAATTGTACAATAATAAAAAAAGTTTTTGTATTATGTATGCATGGGGGCAAGAGTACATAACCCCCCTTATCCCATGGTACGGTACTATAGGCCTGTTTCAGCCAATCAGGAGCCTTGCTGACAGGGAAATAATAGCCAATACAATCCCGCGCGGGATGATATTCATTATTAACTGGGTTCACTTTCACCGTACCTACTACGGTGCACCCTGCATTGGCATGCCCTCACCCCCTCTCGATTCGATGCAATGCATCTTGCCACTGGAGTCCTTTCGATCAGAACCCAGCGACAAAATGCACTACACAGAACCGTGAGAGGGTGAGAGCATGCCAATGCAGAGTGCACCGTCGGTACAGTAAAAGTGAACGGAGAGAACTTACCTCCGCGACTACGTCCAAAACCAGATTCCACACAAACAAACAATGAACTCCAATCACTATTCAACTCAACACTACGACACAAAGGAGACTTCGAAGTGCATCAGTTCTTATTCACTCTTTGTAAACTCGAAAACTACACAAAGTGTCACCATCCGAGTGAAAATTACTACATGTACCGTAAAGTACCGTTGATCCGCCCCCACGCCATGTCGCTTCCCAGCTGGGTTTTCGGCAGGGGGCGGGAATTAGATCAAGGCTGTCAAGTGCAGTACGATGTACAACAACGTAGAGGATCAGTCTCAATGTGCTGGATTGTGCACATTTTGATCCTGGATTGGCATGTATTGTGTACAGCAGTGTATGCGTCGGTTCAACATCGTATTTCGTTGTATACGCCGAAGTCGCTTCACAAGGAGAAAATCGACAGGGGGCGGGAATTAGAGAGGGGGCGGATCAACGGTACTTTACGGTAATTGCAAGGAGATATACCGCAACAACTCGAAAAGTACAAGACGTGAAAGTGAGAGGAAAAATCTTGTACAGAATATTCAACAGTGTGAAAGAAGAAGAGCTCAGCAATCCATGTATGATGTAGATAAGATATGGATGCAAGATGCGACCCGCAGTGACTATCATGACATCGTATCCAGCTCGATTACCACAAGAACAATCTAAAACGTAGATGCTGCTACAAATCCAGTATGCCTATAATATAACAAGATTAACATTCTTCTGATTGCATAGACTAGTGGCTGATAGTGATACAACCAAGAGTCTTGATACAACGAAATGCACTTAAAGTCTTTACTCACTGGTGCCTATGTCCGACGATATGTACAATGTGGTTACTGCCTGCACGGACAGTGTTCAGCAAGGATCCCAAACCGTTGAAAGTTCCACGCCGATCCAATGACAAGGAAGTCAGCACCAGCATCCACAATGACGTTGTATCTCACCGTGACTTGAAGTATGGCCCTTACTTTGAACCAACTGACTATGTATCATAACAGTGCAATCTTCGTCAATTCTCTAGTCCAACTACAAAAATGCAACTTGTCTCCTGAGCTCCATCGCTCTCAAACCTTGATTGGATTGAAAAGAAAGGCAGCATCTTGTTTTTGGTATAGCTGTACCTTGGTAATTGTATTCAGAACGCAGTTGCGTCGATCCCCAAAATGCGTAGATGTACCTGGGATAAGTAGGATATTGACCCGCGTACTCGGGTGTTACCGTACCCTCATATCATCCCTCCTGCTACGCAGTCGGGATGATATTCGGGAGGTAACACCCTCGTACTTGGGTAATATCCATAGTAGGGAGGTTTAGTTCCCACGTAACGGAAACGCGTACGTGGGTGATCCACGTAAAGTGGATGAAGGGCACCCACGTTGCAATGTTGTGTTTAGTCACACGGAACAAACAAAAGCATGAAGCGAAAGGCCAAAACCTGGTCAAAGACGAAGCTACCCCGGCCTAAGAAGCTCATCCAATATTTTGATTTCGTGCTTCGGAAACTTATTCAGCTGAGCACCCTCACAGCTCGCACAATGCGCTCCATTCTGATTTTCACCCACGTTCTGGCGGAACGTGGGTGAGCCTCCATACACGGTATGTCGTGAATCAGAAAACGTCTGTACGTGGGTCACTGAGTATCACGTGGTGCACCCACGTAAAGTACCCACGGATTACGTGGGACTAAAGTCCATTCAGAAAAAAATGAACTTCTAGCTTTTGGCCATAAATGGGTCAAACGTTGAGTTTTTTTAGAATTTTTTTCTGCAATCCCATATGGAATCCTCTTCCAATTATGTTTCTGAAGTTTTTTTGTCCAAAAAGCAAGCCATAGCAAGAATAGGATTTCGGCCAGGTTTTGCCCCAAAAGCACTGAATTGGAAAAAACCATCAAAATCCAGGCCGTTTGACCCCGCCTGCAACAGTGCATTCTGCGGTTCGAACCCCAGTTCAGGCACCCTTTTGGACCCTTTTTCAAATTTCAAAGTTCGCAGCACTGCACTGTGTACGATGAAATCACGAAAAATCGCCAAATACGGGAGCTCGCCAGAGCCAGGACCCATTTTTTTCTGAATGGACTGTAAACCTCCCTAGTGTCAAGAGTACATGGGGGGTTATGTACTCTTGATAGTGTACAACTCCCTGCTTGCTACCAGCATGCGCAGCGCTCAGTGCAGCATGCATGCAGTACAGTCGTCTCTCTAATCCGGCACTTTATAATCCAGCACCCTCGATAAACCGGCACAATTTTCAGTAGCCAAATGTCCTCTTCATGCACATTGCAGCAGTAGATCAGATTTGTTAATCCAGCACCCTCCCTAATCCAGCAGATTTTCGTGGCACAAATGGTGCCGGATTATAGAGGGACCACTGTATTATTAAAGTAAAGGGGCTAGGCTGTCCATAAATATCGAACTTTTTTCACAAAACGAAATAATTTCGTTTATGGGGTGGGAGGGGGCCGGGGTGGACCAATTTCGTTTCAGAAAACATTGATTCGTATACATGGCCGTTGTATATGCATGTATGTCAACATTTTTTACGTTCTGAGGGGGAGGGAGGGCCGGAGGGCCTAGGGCCCGGGGTTGGGTCTAAACTAAAATAATTCGTTTGGTGAAAAAAGTTCGATATTTAGGGACAGCCCCTTAAAACAGGATCGCCTTTTTAATTACTTGCTTCCTGCTACACCAAGCACGAGGAGAAGCGGCGCTGCTACGAGCAACGATTACTAGTACGTGTCCGCGACATAGAGCATTCGTCGTTTGTTCGGGCCATATTCTCTACCACTGGCACTGGTGGTTTGGGCAAACACGCGGAGTCGCTCTACAACTACAAGCGGATAGCTTCTCTTCAAGCCGCGAAGACTGGAGAAGCATACAGCTGTGTATGTCTTGGGTGCGAGTTTTGCCCTTCTCCAGTCCAGCGTGATGTGTTTGCGCGGATACCGGAATCTTCGGCCGGTGCAGTTGGACTCACCTTGGCGGTTGCTGGGGCGGGCATTCGCATTTGATACCATTTGCCTCTGGTTTTGTCTGTATTGGTTTCGTCTGTGCTCTTTTCATCCTACCAAGAGTACATAACCCCGGGGTTATGATCCTACTACTAGTAGTTTTCAGTCCGCTATTGGGCGGCAGCACTCCAGCTCTGATGTACGCGTTGTACCAAGATTTGACAAGAGAAAAAAGGATGCAGTAGTCTACAAGTCATATTACTATTAGCAGGGTTCTAGTAGCCAGGTAAACATAGTAGTGTGTGTGTGTGTGTGTGTGTGTGCGGGGGGGGGGGGAGAGACAGTAACCCCGTAACCATGGTAACCCATTGCTCCGTTTTCTAAAAGTGTCTTGCCATGCCAAATGCAACGTTCTGGGGCGAACCCCGACTTCACCCCACATAAATGTGCCGTTGTGAACCCTCTAATAGTGACTAGAGACTGCAATTTCGTTGAATGGCATGAAAAGACACAAAAATCGACAAATAAGTAGGGGGGGCTGCACCCCCCCCCCCCCCCCCCATGGCTAGAACCCTGAATTATGTTGTTGGTCATCTAATAGGGCTTGAAAGTGCTACGTCACAGCATAGCAACAATTTCAAAAATTCAAAAACTGGATCCACTTGGATCCAGTTTTTGTATGGATGCAAGCACATTTCAAGCGGTCTTATCCACAGCATGGTGATGTAGCCAGTGAAACTGACTGATTTGGCTACTGGGGGCGGGGTTACAACTGGTGGCGAAATAAAAGTCACACCTGCATGCGACATGAGTGGGTTGCTATGCACCCACATACTTAGGCAATAGCAAAGTCACACCTTAGTGGATCCAAAATTAGAAATCTGAAGTCAACTTACTACTCCCTGGCCGTTTTGACGCCATCACTTTCAAGCCCTATACCATAACCCTGAATTAGTATCCAAAGTCGAGTGTTGCTCCTGCATTGTGATTCGGCTACATTCTGTTGCATTTTCCCTAAAATAACAAGAACTTTGGCTGGACTTTTCCTGGTATTAAATCATTGTCCAGATAAAAATCGCTTTCGCAGAGACAGCCAGCCAGACAAACATAGTTTAACATACACATGTCTACACACATACACTATGAGAGTTGTACTCGTATACAACAAATGTCTTCCACAGGACTAATTATTGCACATGAATAAGACCAGTATACATATGTGATATGTACATCAGTAACATCACACAACCAGATCTCATGGATCTAACTCAACAAACGACAGAAACATCACAAGAAAGAAGTTAAAACAGTTGTGTCCCCCTCCAACTGCCTACTCGCAGGACACCTTTTCAAAGGCCTTCTCCATGGCACCACAAACGTAAGTACAAGGTAAGTCCCCAGGAACCTGTATAACACTACATTTGTAGTATTGCAGAATTGAGACTATAAACGTCACACAGTTTCTCACCACTGGTACAGAATAGGAGTTGATCTCCCAGAAGACGAGCATGGTAGACTCATCGTTGGTAGCCAGGTTGCCGGCACTATGCGCAAAACCCTTTGAATGTAGTCACCAGCATCAACGCAGCTGCCGGTACTGCTGCCAGCATCACAGCCACGGCGGCAACTCTATCTACAGAGACATAGAATTGTCTCAAGATGCCCGGTCATCCGGCGACTCCTCCTTCACCGCCCCATCTGCTTTGGCTGCAGAGCCGTCCGAATCTTGCTCATCATCCTCTACTTTCACATCGGCACTCGCGTCTTCCTCCTCTACCCCGGGAAGACCCGTGATACCATCTGCTGCAGCATCAAAGGTAAGCCCATCCTCATCGTCAGGCACAGTGATGGCAGAGCCTCGTTTAGTCGCTCTTTGCTGCTCTCTGTCATTTGTCTCCTCCTCGGCCTTGCCTTTCGCACTGGAAAGAAGTGCCTCATGACGACTGGTTGCTTCCTCTGTTAACACACAAATGGAACATAGAAGCAACGCAACACACACACATGAGCACCCACACAGAGGTTACGCCACACTTCACGGAACTTCAAAGCACATTCACTACAGTAGCAATATTCACTGACTGGAGACTACATGCCGACATGTCCCAGGCTACCTGGTGGCTAATGGTGGAGCACGGATAAGTTACAGCCAGTACACAATTAGAGCAGCAATTTGTCAGTAAGCATATCACTTCGATCACTAGCAAGCAACACAGACTGACTGCGCACTTCTTCGCTGACACTCTATGTGGGCAGATGGTCATGCACATTGCAGGTTGATGCCTTGATGGACAACAGGAAATGGTCAGCCGGGAGGATGACATCTATGTTTACAAGCACCTGCTGCAATCTACTAGGCAAGGGACAATACCGTAGTGCACACATAAATCGAAATAACTAAAGACCAGGAGGAGCGACACAACATGGTTGACAGGCACTGTGCACCTTGCGTGGCACTATACTAGTATGTGGATGATATACATGCACGGATACACGTGTAGTTTATGGCCAAATCAACAGGGGCAAGCACAATCTACTGACCGTCTAATCTTCGTTGAGTCTCCTCTACCAATTTTTCGGTTTTTCTCGTGTGCACGGCAGGTGAGTAGAAAATAGACGGGCGAGCTTTGGTCAGGATAGAGCCGCTGTCCCTCAGTTCATCTTTGTGCGCCACCCATTGCTTTTGCTGATGAACCAAGGCACAAAGCAAACACACAGAGTTCAGCGTTCTCTACCCAAATCTTGACAGGCCACCGACATTACCCCTGCACTTGTACATGTGCACTCACAATAACGCACCCAGTGATAAAACGAATGAGTGCAGGACTGTATCAATGTATGGTGAACTGAATCAATCAGAATCATAACGAATAATATCCATCATGACGGAATACAAACTTTCGTAAACATTGAACTTTCCTAAATTGTGTGAGGGCCTGCAACTTCCCCTGAGTTTGCTGGTTACAGGAATGCTGTATCGTACAAGTAGTATTTAAATAGTAATACTGCATATCACCTTATTTTCGGTGCTGTAAAATTTCGGTAAAAGCCAACCCCTGACCTTTCGGTGTAAGGATAAATTCGGTACATGGCACCAAAAAAGAAAGAAAGAAAAAAAGTATGTGGCACTTGCACTACTTGTATACTCTCCGGCTCCACATACTACTGTCGTGGACATGGAAATCCAGTCGAATGACCGGGGCCGGCGCCCTCAGGGTGCACAGAACGTTGAATGCAGTGCACAGTCATGTTGATCCGATGGGACCAGCGCGCTGCATGTGTGAACCGCTTACCCATGGCTGCATGGCCAGCGCCGTGGGGCCGCTAGACGTGGGACCGGATTTCAATGTCCACGACATTAGTACCCAGAGTGCACTATGGACTCTTGCTAGTACATACATGTACCGTATTTCCTCGATTAATAGACCCGGTCTTTTGTTTTTTGAAGAGGGCTGGACCCCCGGTCTCTTATTTGGGCATGGTCAATTATTTGAGCACGGTCCACTATATTTTCATCGGCACATCGCTGGAAATGGTGGATTTTTAACACGTCATAATATAGAACTTCTATATTATGACGTATTAAAAATCCACCATTTCCAGCGATGTGCCGATGAAAACATAGATTATAGTGGACCGTGCTCAAATAATGAAAGAAAGCACTAGCCACTACAAACATTGTAGCTGCGCAACCTAAAATCGCAACCTTTTTTGATCCACCACGTGCTTTCTTAGTGAGCATGCGCAAAGCGATGAACTCAAATAAGAGACCGGGTCTCTTATTCGGGCATGGTCTACTATTTTTCCGTGAGGCCTCTAGGAGGGTCTACTATTTGAGCATGGTCTATTATTCGAGCATGGTCCATTAATCGAGGAAATACGGTACATGACATTCTCGACATTCAGTGATTTTCATGATTTGGGATGTGGCAGTGATTTTCATGATTTTTTATACATATTTTCCTGCTATAACACCACCTGTGCGGCCTTATTGGCTTCTAGCATGCGTTCTGGGTGATACACTCGGCACATGTGTGTGGGCAATGCATGCCTTCACGTACCTTGGTTACCACCTTTTATGGAGTATGCTCTTCCATATTCTACCATGGTCTGCAATCATCTTTCTTGCTCAGCTACCTTTACTACTTGGCTTTAGCATCATGCATGGGATGTTGTTGTACTGACCAGTGCGCTTTGCCGGCATTGAATACAGCTGTTATTTACTGCGAGTGGCGCGGGGCTCTACACACCTCACTGGTGGTGTGAGACTGGAACTGGGCTTGTATCACTGCTGTAGCGCAGTATCTACTTTCCTCGCCGTTTGTGCTTGTGTTGTCATGTACATGTAGTAATGCACACCCGCCATGACGTGCTTTGCACTTCTCTACGCGCGCTGTCACTATGTACCGCGCTTTGCTTGCTTGCCTCCTTCTTTTATACTGCTGTTCTTTCCATGTCCACTTCATTCCTGATGATGGTCATAAAGACCGAAACGTTGTAACGATATCAATGGATTTGTGTGAAATGCAGTGCTCTCTTGAGTGTAGGCAGGTTGCCTGCAAACGATTCAAGCATATTTTTAGTATTTCGGAAATTTTTTAGGTGTAATGTTAAATTAGGTGATCCAGGACCCCTACCGAAAGTTACCGAAATTTAAATTATACCGGAATAAAGGTGGTATACAGTATGCAAACCTCCGGTAACTATCCTGGGTCCATTTTACGAAAGCTTGCCGCTTATGAATAGGAGGTTCTCAAGATTTACCAGGATTGTATGCTCCCCAAAATCAGCTGATTTACAGCAGCATTAGTTAGCAGCAGGCAGTGCCCACTCTACCCTATGAGGCCGAAATTCATAGAACAGGACAGTACACAAGAATGTTGGTTGCTCCCAGCACTGGGGCTTGCGCTTTCCCCGCCGACTTGACTGACTCACAACTGCCATCCAGAGTACACGAGAAGTCCATCGATCCTTCGACTCGGCAAACCTGCAAGAAAGCAGACCCTGCACCACTCCCTAGTTGGAGGGGAAAGCGTGAGCTCCAGTGGTAGGAGCAACCAACTTCCTCATAAATATCACCAAAGTCGCCACCACCATTTAATAATAACTGCACGTCTACATGGTTATGCTCAGAAGGCAACGAATCGATTTGCTCACAAACAAGCACCAAGCCCAGACTATACAACAAGGATCACCGAATACGTACCAGCTCAACCAGTTCAATTTGACTTTTGATCTGGTTAACAGCCTGTGACTGTTCACGCCGCGCACGGTAGAGCTCTTCGCGTTGCCTTACTGTTTCCTCGCGATCCTTCTTCCGTGTCTCTTCCAAGCGCGCATCAATTTCTTTCTGCTTCTGAGACTGAATGACAAGTACAGACAGAAGGAAGAATATCCTAATCGCTTCAACAAACTTTTTTCCAACACTATAATTATGCACTGCGAAATCCAGAATACCCTCGAGCTGATCGCTGATTCATTGAACAGGCGTCCATAGATTTCGACAATCATCACTTCAATCAGAAGAAAAGATAACAAACGTGACCGGAAGGTTCTTTCAAACTACATTAGCACCGTGATGGATGCGAAGGCTACAATCCACTAGCCACTGCTCAGCTTCAATAGCGAGCTACTCAATGCTGCAGGATGCTGGAGGAAGCTACCACTAACTGCTTCGCCCGACGACGCCTCACCAGTACAACTGCAAGCTAAAACTGAACTGAACATCGTGCTGAGCATTCATTTGACATCATCCACCTTCATCGATGCATTAAAAATGTGTGAAGTCGATATCCTATGCTGAAGGCCCACATGCACCTGCTGAGTGTTCCTACCTGAGTTGTAGCATTACTATCGTCCGATTTAAACTTCTGTAGTGTACCCATTAGCATTCCGAACATGCGACGATTTCTGCACACACACACACCAAAAAAAAAGAAAACACCAATAACACCAACAATAACACTACCGCTGCCAGTGCCAACAGCAAAAACGAAGGCACAAGCACAGTTCATTCAGTAAATCCGGCTGTAGACATCCATGTACCAGTTTCCATCGCTATTTCTCAGCTGTGCTAAAGTGCAAACAAGGAAGTTTATAAAACAGTGCGAATTGTATTGGTTGTTATACTTCGAGGACTCTTCAAAGGATACCTAGCAAGCAGGATTCCTGAACATATCAGAGGAACACATGTCAGATGTATGGATATCAGAGGAACTGTAAAAGAAAAGAATAAGGCTATAATGTGATAATGGTAGCTATGAGTCAATGTGACACCACAAGGTACTATCTAAGTGCAGCGTCTAATAGGTGCATGTATGAATTCATTGAATTGCGAGGATGAGCTGTTTAACTTACCGTGCCATACTGTGCGGATCAGTTTGTCTTGTACTGCGAGGAGGTCGTTCGGGTACCGAGCGTACCACAGAAGATTGGATCGGAGGGGCACGCTCATCACACTCTCTACTGCTAGACACAGAGCTAGACATCTGAACGGTTCGTCTGACTGGTCGCGTGTCCGAAGAATCGGGTCTAAATAAAAGCATGGTCAGAAAAATCGTCATCAATTCTTTCAGCTACAAGTAGTTGACAGCAAGCTGACACACTGAAAGTGCAGAGCAGGTCGATGACTAACCCTCTAAAACGCTTGGCACCGGGGGCATCATCGCTCTGAGAGAGTCGCCGCTCCCCACTGATGGTTCGCCTGCACAGACCAGACAGGAAAGACAAATTTCGAAAGCGAAGTGGGAAAGCCATGATTGTCAAAAAAATGCATCAACAAAATCCTACTAGAGGTAATCCCAGCATTATAACTTCCTAATATACATTTGTCTACATCATATACGTGTGCGGTTAGGCATGCCAACCCTTTTCCTGAAGGTACACTGAATCCTCCCAGGGTCAAAGTGGCACTTTCACATCTAAAAAAATAGGCCAGAAATCCTGTCGCTCATACTTACTCCAAGCATTCATGATGGTGCAAAATATACAAATTAAACGTGACATTATTTTGCTAAAAACAAGCTTGGACTGCAGAAAAGACGGTATCCAGCATGCTAAGTACAAGTACATGTTGCAAGTCGGCTGCTGCCTTTGGCACTCACCTTATCGGAATTGCATTGACTCCGACGCGACTCACCACACGTGTCCTAAATGCAAAACAAGCAACGGCAACACATTGCAATTAGTCAATGCCAGCAGTAAACTGAGCTGCAAAGTATCTGTGTTTGAATAACACACATGTTGACTAGGCCTAATGTTGACCCAGGTAAAGACCAAGCATAGTGAGTGTACAGTGAGCTGGCAGTTCCCTCGCTGGACAAACACACGCACTAGACACGAGCTGGTGCTGATACGTGACCTATGCTTCTTGGCCACTCACATGATTTATTGATCAATCACATGATATACACCGGCCCACGGCACACAGACGCATACATGCACGCGCGCACACACCAACTCCAAGACAAATCGGAGCGCTATTCTGAGCCTGGAATAGAAAAAGTGTCTGAAAACACCTTCTCAGTATTTCCAGTGTGTACTTGTGTTGTGATGTTCCTATCACTGTCATATCAGCAACTAAGGTTTCCTTCATTCCGGGTTCTCAGTACACTGCTGCAATTGACGGAAGTAATTGTTTTTGCAGGCTTTTGATTCGAACGCATCTATGCGAATCATCAAAGTTGAGTCAACTCCAAGTGGGGTTAAATAAAGTAAATGCTCCCACCCGTTACATATAGTTCCTGACCCACAGTCATGACCATGCAGTGGGAGACGGTCTACTTGAGAAGTGCAAATGGAGAGTGAGCTGCTGAGGATTGTTTGGACTTTGTACTGTAGATGTACTGGTGTATGCATACGGTGGTAGTTCATTACAAAATAAAATGGAGGACGTTAGCTCACTGTTTCTCTTCACGTCCCTACAGCCGTGAAGCTATGTTTATAAACACATGCCCACTTTCACAGTCTAGTATCAGTATGCTGTGTCATGCTAAATTCACTTTACCGTCTTTCATTGGGGTCGAATCCAGTTGTTTCCTTTATTTTCGAATCTACAGATTTCAAGCTGGACTCGGCTTTCTCCAGATCTTTCTGCAGGACATTCAAAGCCTCCATTCTATTAGTATACAAGAAGTACCTCAGGCCTCGGCGCCAGACTGCAATTCACTATTATTGTGCTGAACTTAGTTCGTAGGTTGGTCGGAGAAATGCCCAATAAGAAGCCACATCAATATTGAAACAGAGACACGAGCATGGGATGTATAAAATTGCAAATCTCAACACGACAGCTGTTCAAATTCAAAGAGAGATAGCCCAGCACCAAAAACTAACAAAAATGATAATTGGGTAATAATTCCTCTTCAGCTCAGAAAAAAAGTTTGAAAACAACATGATCAGTGCAGCGCTCGCTAGCTAGCTACATGTAGCTAGCTGATGATCTACGGTATTTTTGGTAAAAAAAAGTGCACTCGTGAATTTCTTTACGCGTCAGCGTGATCGACAAAACGACTCGCGCGCTCGCTGTATAATGCATATTAAAATTAATAAAAAAAAAAAATAATAATAATTCGCGGGATTCGCGTTGGCATCGCTTGAATGTTCAGAAGCACACAAACTAGCCTTCGCTTCCGCAGGCCACCACTATGCCTATGCCTTGCACACCTTACATGCATACCGGTAATAAATAATGGGGGATGATGTCTCTGGTTTGTAGCTCTTGATGTCTTTGAAGCCTGAGGGGGGGGGGAGTGAGGCTGAACATGCTGTCTTTGCTGAAGTGAAAGGCGAGCTCCGGTACTCGCGGTAGATCATGGTGGATCTACCAGCAGCAACGGAGTGGCTGCCAGTTGAACTAACGGAAAACCACAGACCCACTCCCTGACCTTCTTGCCTGCATGCCATGCCTGGCTCAGTGGCTGGGCCTGGACAGACCTGTATACCATGGTATACTACAGTCTACACTTCAGAAGTAATTAGTTAGTTCAGTTCGCCAGTCTACATGCAGTGGGCCCATGAAATCATGGAAATGGGGGTGTTCTCGTGTGTACTGGGCCTACTACTGGCACATGTACATGGTCCACAGTGGAATCTTCAAGAAGTCCAAAACTTGGCAAAAGTTGGTTAGCTACTACAGTCAGTCCGGAAGACGAGCCAAATGGCCGTCTTGACCGTCCTCGGCACGTCACGTATCTTCAACCATGCGGGACATAACAGCGTTGCCCACCTAGTATAGTAGTAATAGTAGTTAGTACCTTGCACTTGCAGTCCTCGCTCGAGCACTCACTCATTCCGACATTCAATACCAATACGAAGTAGTGGTTGCGACTTCGGCGATGATTTGTAAGAAAGGGTTTGCTCCCCACACCGGAGCTCGCGCTATTCCGCCGACGTAACTAGTCGTTACTTGACACTTGACTGACTCACGACTGCCATCCAGAGCACACGAGAAGTCCATCGAACCTTCGACTCGGCAAACCTGCAAGAAAGCACCACTCCCTGCTCAATACACAGTGTTTCGGGGAATTCACCCCTCATCAGTTGAGCTTGAGTAGGCTGAGGAAGATTGTGCCTGAAGAGCACCACTAGTAGGCACTACTGTGCTCTCTAGGCACAAACATCACCAGGGATACAAACTTACAGAGACGCTCCGCCGTTTCCAGCGCGACAAACATCTTGTGAACACCAGATAGCAGCGTGAGTCAGTGTCGCTCCTGGACTAGACTGGAGTCAGTCAAGTGTCAAGTAACGTCGGCGCGAGCTCCGGTGTGGGGAGCAAACCCTTTCTTACAAATCATCGCCGAAGTCGCAACCACTACTTCGTACTGTTAACATGTTGTGCCCAGCGCGGGCTTGCGACTAGTTGGTTTGGAGGTGACAGCGTTGCGAATGACCGAGGGTCCTCGACGTCTGTCTCACCGTCCAGGAGCGACACTAGAGAGGTTTCGACCCGCGTGATTGGTGCTCTTACGTGAACGTCAATTTTTTGCGTCGACGCGAGCTCAGAAAGAGCTTTCGTTTCACGTTGCTTGTGAAGCACGTCGTTTCGCTGACGACAGGAGCGAAAACTGGGGGCGAAAACTTCAAAAAGTGAAAAAAGTGATTTTTGGTGAGGCCAAAGTCGCACAAATATTATTTATAGCTAGTTTAGGCAAAATCGACAAATCGAGTCAATAATCCCAACCTGATAGCAAGGCTAAATTTGCAAAAACTCGCGTCACGTCGAACGTGAGTTGACCTCAGCTCACGTCATGAACGGGAGTTTCGACGCCAAAATTTGCCACACCGACGTGAAATTTCACGGTGTAGTGCAGAACAACGTGAAGCGAAACCTCTCTACTGACTCACGGAGTCACGCTGCTATCTGGTGTTCACAAGGTGTTTGTCGCGCTGGAAACGGAGCGTCTCTGTAAGTTTGTATCCCTGGTGATGTTTGTGCCTAGAGAGATAAGTGGTGCTCTTCAGGCACAATCTTCCTCAGCCTACTCAAGCTCAACTGATGAGGGGTGAATTCCCCGAAACACTGTGTATTGAGCAGGGAGTGGTGCTTTCTTGCAGGTTTGCCGAGTCGAAGGTTCGATGGACTTCTCGTGTGCTCTGGGTGGCAGTCGTGAGTCAGTCAAGTGTCAAGTAACGTCGGCGGAATAGCGCGAGCTCCGGTGTGGGGAGCAAACCCTTTCTTATTCAATACCAAGTCACTGAAATCAGTCAAACTGACGTGACACTGACAGTGCTGTCACGGGAAACTCAGGGCAATGAAAGAATTATTTTGTGGAATCAGTGGCGTGAACAGCTCATGTGCAAGTACACTACACTCTTTGGCGGTGGCTCACTGCAGTCCCTGAGTAGTTCGTTGCAGTTTAGCCTGAGCTATTCCAAGCAATGGCTCCGGACAGCCTCAGGATAGTACTGTTAGCTACGGTTTCAGCCGCTATCGGTTTGTGGTCCCTTGGTGAGGCATGTGACGAACTAGTTCCGGAGCAGTGTCTCCTGCCCTTCCCAAACTCCTTCTACCTTCGTGCTGACAACTCCACCGACACAGGGTATAGAGTGAGCTTCAGTAAAGAGGACTTTCCACGCGACACCCTAGGTTCGCACGCACTACCTAGCGTGCTCAACTCATTCGGTAAGACTGATAATCTGGATGCACGGAGCACGCAAGGGAAACACCATTTATGATGGAGCCAATTGGCTCCATCATTGACTGGTACATGGTGCTTTGCATGCAATCCATTCATCATGTTCATGGTCAGAACAAAAATTGAGCTTTCTGCTTTGATCACAAAATAGTGGGTCGACCTTTGAGCTGGCAGGCTTTTGTAATCCAAGGTGGAATACTGTTCCATGGCTTCTGAGGTCTATTCCTCCAAACTCACAGTGAACCTTTGAGAACAAGGGTAGGTCTCCCAGCCCAGTTCGGTGTGTAGTGATTTGGAACAGTTTAGCCTTCAGGTCAACATGAAAGAGTCAGGTCCGTTCCAAACCCTTTTCTCTATTGATCTAGTTACAGGAATGAGACTTCAGTTTTAGCCTGACTTGGCCTATCCTAAGGTGGATTTGAAACTCCGGGCCACAATTCAGTGTGAATGGACTGTATGATGCGGCTCTGAAAGACCTTTGTGGATAGCTCATTCATGCACGAAAACACTTTCTGAAACCCCAAACCTAACCTAACCTGACCAGTAATTGTCACAACACCGGGTGGGTGGCTGGGAACTTGGTAGCCATGTGCATTGGAACTCTGCTCAACTACATGCTTCCCTGTCGCTATATTGCTTGTGACGAAGGTACCAATTGGGCAGCTACCGTATTTTCTGGAACTGGGGCCGGTCTTTTATTACCACCTGTCTGAAATAAGCGCCACATCATTTCAGGGCTGTTCTGTGGATTTCTTTCAAGGTGAAATTTTAGGTACTACATATGTATTACCGGTATAGCTGAGGGGAAGCGGAAAGTTTGAAACCAACACAATCCTCACTTCTTTGCTCAAACTTCACAACTTGACAGCCGGAGACTTTTAGAAAAGAGTCTCTGGTGTTAGGTCTTGTAAACTACTATTAAAGCACCTCGGCCAATATTCCCAAAAAACGGTACCGGCCCTTTGGGCAGCTACCCTATTAGACCTGGCACAAATCTACAGATCTGTTTTCGGCTCAGATTTTGGATGCTATGGTTGCCGCTATGAGTAAAAATCTGCCGAATGTACACCCAGTGCACTTGCAGATGTGCATCCTTCTCGTGTGACGGGTGCATACCGTACATGGTACATGACTGGTGGTACTCCACGACTAGTGCCGCTTTAAACACTGGTCACATGTACTGTAGTTTTACTTCAACGAAGTGCATGTTGAATTGGCTCTTTCACAGATGGCTTCTCTCCATTTCCGTCAATCCTGGCGTACTTCAAGGACTTGTCAGAGAGCAACCTTCCACCACACTGGGACATTGCACAGTCACTGCTAAGTCACTCCCCCACCATTCTGCTCAATGCAGACACTGGTAAGACCCAGCATAATGTACATGTATGTCTCATCACCCCCACACCCCCAAGATCAAGTCATTATGATGCAGATCATGGTGGGGCAAAGCTCGGAATGGTTTTTGCCGTTTAGGAAGAGTGTGCTATGTCTGACCGTGCATGTGGCAATAAGAGGGATAATCTGACAGTAAAGGGCCATAATGATAATTTCCCTTGGTTACCTGTAAAGATTGGGGCATTTAGGCTGCCGTTCGCTGAGGTGGCAAAGAATACATACCAGCCTAAACAGCATCGATTGTTTAAACAGTATCCACATAGACTTGAGATTTTCAGGACTGTGGCAGCTGGTAAGCATTGCCGGGCTTATATGGTGAATCCATATTGGAGCATGAGTCCGGAAATCCCATCATACTCCATCCCAGCTATATGCCTGCAATTGTGCATGACGAAACTGGCCTCGGAGATGCCAGGTTCAAGGATATTGTTTTAGCGACTGAACAATGGCTGCTTTGGTGTGCATTCCAGGTGAAAGAGTACCTCACTTTGCTGAACTTGACAATGGAGACAAGGTTAGGACAAAACCTACCATAAAGTGTCTTTGAAATAAGTCAGGAGAAGTTTTGAGGGCACACGTTCTTGCAGGTTCATTGAAGTAGAGCACCGGGGTCAGGTGGATATACCAATTCAAAAAGACAGTGCAAGTCCAAACCAGCTTCTTTGCCATTATTAGGTACGAACCAGCGAGTAGCACTCTCCCTGGTACGAACAATGATGGAAGACTGAGCCAGGTTAAGGTGACACCTCTTTTTTTCACTTGCATTCTCTGATCACTCACACCTTTGCTGATGCCTTTAATTAAAAATAATCTTGTCGTCGTATTGTATCATGAGTGATCTGCTGTCCAGTGGTAGCTGCCATGCACTCTTCGTTCTTCGTATATTGCACTTTGACTGGTGCGGCCTGACACCCTTTGACATGAGACTTACAGGTTATTGGCAGAAGACACTCTGTCTCTGTATAACACTCTGCATATATGCTGCTACTTGTGACTGTGGCAGCTTGATAGCGTCATTGTTTGTACTTGATCATGGTGAAGGGTTGAAAGGTTGCAATCTACGAAGCTGGTTCAGACTTGCAATGTCTTTTGGAGTGACTGTATTCTCCCGGCCCCTCTTCTCAGTGACTTTTGTATATCTGGCGTTGATAAGCGACTTCAAGGTTTGGTGGATTGATGCCACAGGACTGAGTTGCACCTGGCACTTACGAGTATGATGGGTGGTGATAGTGGCTGTACAGTCACCAACGCGTGCCTGTATATGTTTTACACAGTCCATATGACTGTTATGTAATAAGTTATGACCCCGTTTCCTCTTTCACATGCACCCGGCTCCACATACGCACACATGGCTTTTGTGCACCCGCAATAACCGTTGCCTCTTTACATGCCTCACTCTGTTCCATACGTTCATCACTTCAAGCTCCGTCTGTCTTCATCCAGTGTACTTGTACATGTACTTAAAACTGCAGTACAGTGGTTGTTGCCGCTTAGTGTTCAAGAGAGAGTGTGTGTGTGTGTGAGGGTCTTCATCCGATTGACATTGTGAACGCAACAGCAGTGCCCCTGGATATATGGAAAGAAACAACATGACTTCTTATTCTTCCCAGATGATGATGTGCTGAGCTGCGTGAACCATTGAATCTGCATTTGACCAGTGTCTCTGCTATTCTGTGTGCAGCTGACGGTGGAACACGCATTGATGCTCTGGCCTGCGTATCGACTCAATGACAACACGCGGTATATTGTAGCAATGCGTAACCTATCCACAACGCATCACAAGCCTGTGGAATCATCACAAACATTCCTTGCTCTGAGGTTAGTCCAGTTCTACTCACTCACATGGCTGTTCAGGGTAGCCAAGTGCCAGAAGGCACTAGTCACTAGTGATTTGGGAATATTGGCCTGCCCTCTGTTGTCATGGTAACACACTTCAACAGAATTGTACCCAAATTGCATAGTCTGTTGTGTATCTGCTACGGTATGTCACATATCTATAATTTGTTGATTAGCTCATAGTATTCCACTGTCTCTGGCTAACTCTGTTCCACTCTCTTCCTGGTCATTACTATAATAATCATTATGATCGTCATAGCTTCTGCCAACGACTGTATATTATCCTGTCTGGGAAGGTAGGCTATCTGGCTGGTGCTTGGCATGAATGTGCCATGATTGTGTTCTTACTCACAGGAATGGCAAGTATGGTGATGTACTAGCAAGCAATCCATCCACCGATGATGATCGTCAGGCGCACTTTGATGACATCTTCCGCATCTTGGTGAAAGCTGGTCAGTAAACAAAACCTTGGAAGATGCTCAGAATGTTAGCATCGCCCTGCTTGCCTATACTATAGATTGTCAAGCTTTTATACACTTACAGCATATGCATTGCAAGTTAACTTCAGTCGATGTTTTCGTTAACTGAATTCTTCCCGCTGCACGGCTGCATCCTGACCCAAGAGACTTGACAAAGAACTGAATAGAAGGCACCACTAACATATTCTCGGATACGTAGCTTCTTTCAATTGTTCAAGATATGATCAGGCACAAAGCTGGCCATTGAACATCAATTCACTGAGTTCAAACTTGTGAGTTGTAGGCTACTGCACTCGTAATGCACTGGAGTCGAGTCATGGTATTTTCAATTGCCATGTCTATCTGTGCTTCAGGTGTGGCCCGTGACAGTCTTCAGCTTGCGTGGGATTTCCGCACTGCTAGTCGCAAATGCATCACGGAAAGGTAACACATGTATTGCTAGGCGAATGCATAGCCATCAGCGAGTGCACTCTTGATTTGGAAGACATTGCGCACTGTATGCCTGAATTACGCTGCATTGCACACTCATGCACGTGTGTTAGTGCTTGGCAGATGTGGGATCAGTCGAAGGACCACTATAGTAGAGTAACTGGCCAAGTGAGGGATGAAGATAGTCAGAAGGGGGCTTTTGACTTTTTTTCAAGCTTCTCATAGCTGACCTGTTGCAATAGTATTAGTATGACTTTTTTCTTCCTAGACTGGTATTCACACGTGATGATGCCTTCGAACGAATTGTGAACATCTGTCCCGACTACACCATTAGCAAGGTTACTGACAATTACTCAGCCAATATTTTCAGGTGAGTTTCCCGGCTACCCGAGCTGATACAACAGCATTCGGTATTTCTGCATGCAGTTTCTATTGCTAGCTGCACCAGCCTTTCTGCATGCAGTTTCTATTGCTAGCTGCACCAGCCTCAGTTCGTGACACCGTAAATTGTATTTTGTACTTGGAACACCTTGCATAGGCACCCACCGCACTGGCAGCGTAGTGTTTGTGTCTTGCATGCCGTCCCCTTTGATGATTTATAGGCATTAAGTGTATGTGTGTCATGTGCCATGTGTGTATGTATGTATTGTGTGTGTGTGTGTGTGTGTGTGTGTGTGTGTGTGTGTGTGTGTGTGTGTGTGTGTGTGTGTGTGTGTGTGTGTGTGTGTGTTTCAGGCACATTGAAGGAACATTCAAAGTGCCATATTACACAAACAAACCTGGCCCTGGCTCACATTTGGTGATAGATGAGAAGGGCCTGCCTGTATTTCAGGGAGTGGCAGAAGCAGAGTTTGAGGTACGTCTTTCTCTTCTCCTCCTAGGCTCTCTTTCCGTCTCCTTTGAAAGGTGTTATTATTTCTGATTTCCTGCTCATACTGTGTTGACTCTGTGTATTTCTACTCAGGTTCTAATTCCCCACAGCGTGGTGGCTAATGCTACGTTCACTCCACCGTCACCTGGTCGTATCCTGCAGTATGGACATGGACTGTTTGGCTCACATGTATGTACACGTATGGCTCATAGGCCAAGGTGTGAAGTAGGATAACTTGTACATGTACTACAATCATGTAGAGTAAGTAGAGTGCTGATTATCTGCACCTCTCGGGACGCAGGCCCGTCTCTAGGGGGTTCAGTCGGATGAGGAGAATGTTCGGATAAGGGAGCGGCCACACATAAATCTAACAGTTAAAAGATGCACAGCCCATGTATTTTCAACACTTTGCATTCATTTTCTCTGGCAGTACCACTCTGGAACTATGATATACGCACTCCAGCTCGTCAAAATGACACCATGGGGATGCACGTTGATGCCAAGTGCTCACAACTTCACGAGTCCGACCAAGCCCACAGGTGGACTTGGCCTGCACGCACGCACATAAGCACACATACACACACACACACATGCACCCCCCCCCCCCCCCCACGCACACACAAGTGAAACGTTGAGCACCTGTTCATACATTGCGTGGCTGCATGGGTATGTATGGTGCTACATTCACCCTTGTCTTTCTCTTTGTGCAATGACAGGATGAAGTTCAGCAAGGCTACTTACAGCAGGTTGCGAATCGCTATGGCTACGTAATGGCAGCGTGTACATGGTGGGGAATGAGTCGCGATGATGTCGTGCCTTTAGTGCTTACCCTGGCCTCAAATGTATCGAAAATGAACATTCTTCCGGATCGTCTGACCCAGGGTGTGACCAATGCATTGCTATTGATGAAATTGATGAAGGTGAGAAGCTCTACGTAGAAAGTGATATTGTTGTTTGGTCAAGAACTTTATTATATTATACCCTTTCATTACTTCGTGATGACAAGTGGGAAGGGCATGAAGACCTCACTAAACCGAGCACACCAGCATCTGGAGAGGTGTGGAAACTGGCTATATGTGGTGAATACTACATGTACTGGTCCAGTATGCTGAGTACATCATATACCGGTACTAACACAATCCTGTATGGTGTGTGTGTGCCGGTGTGTGTGTGTGTGTGTGTGTGTGTGTGTGTGTGTGTGTGTGTGTGTGTGTGTGTGTGTGTGTGTGTGTGTGTGTGTGTGTGTGTGTGTGTGTGTGTGTGTGTGTGTGCATGTGTGTGTCTCCATCTGAAGGGCTCATTTAGCCGTGATTCGCATGTGCAGTTTGGTGGCAGTGGGAAAGCCTGCTACGAAACGGACGAGGCATACTATTATGGCAACTCCCTTGGTGGCATTATAGGCTCGGTGTACATGGCAGCAACAACCGATGTCACCAGAGGTACAGCATATAACATGTGCATGGTATTTTCCCTGATTTGACATGACAATATGACAATGGCAGCTATTGAATTCTGACCCAGACTAAGCATGAGAAAATCAAGGAATAGTGGTCATTTGCATGTTGATACGTCTCGCTCTATCACGCTTGTTCTTTGTCCACTCCCCTTAGTGCTCCAACTACTGTGCTTGTTCTCGCCGATAGCCTTAACTTATAAAAATGTAACCCAATTTTGGTCCTGCCTGGTCACATGTCTTTGCATTTTGTATGCATAGCTACATTCTGCTGTGCATAAAGAAAGTGAATGACTGGCCTTGTCTGTTTCCAGGTACGATTGGTGTCGGCGGTGGTCCATTTGGCTTGCTTCTGCCAAGAAGTCATGACTTTGCACAGTGAGTCCCGTGGGGCATCAGTATGAATTTATACACATGTACGAGTAGGAACACCATTCCAATTCTATAATTATTATTACCGCCCCTCTTTTGAGTACACACCTTACACTGGCACAAGCTGTGAATCATCGGTTCGATTTTAGGCCCAGTCACCATGGTCACAGCGCTGGAAAGCTAGCTGTGTTGTTGCATGCTTGGAAGTGCCATGACTAGTAGGAGTGCGGCAATGGCTGCAGACCATAGCAATATGGATATCTAGGGGTACACCGACAATCAAACATTGCTCTTCGCCACTATATTGGCCAGCATTCCCTACACATGCAGGGCCAGGCTCTCAATGGGAATAAATACTGTAGTGTGAAAGCACCACTGCGGCAAATGATAATTTCTCCTCTTCTTATCTTGCCCATGCCTGTGTAGGTTTTCGGCTGGTCTGCGAGCGCTGTACCCTCGCTCCATGGACTACATCAGTGCATTGTCCTTCTTGAATATGATGTGGTCCAGGTATGACAGGGGAGTTATCACTTTGCGTCATCATCATACCCTGATAAGTATCATAATCATGATGCCACAATACACATTAATGTCAATATCAGCTGTGTGTCACATGTTCCAGTCCTTGAATTGAATCTCCAAATAGTCGTCTTCCTTCCATCCACAATGGAAGGGTGCAACAAATCAAGACAGCTGATTCAAAAATCTAATACTAGCTTCGCATTCAGACTATACTACGTGCCACTGTCAGTGGCACGTAGTATACTGTACTAATGGCAATTCTCCCTTGTTTTCGAGGCTTTAAAAACATCTTTCTCTCTCGTGTCCGTATTCAGGTTGTCACCTGGTGGCTTCATGTCTTACATCACAGACAACCCTCTTCCAGGGTCGTTCAAACATCAGGTTCGTGGCGGCTGATGATGATGGCAAATATCTATGACCAAATCATCCATGCATGCATGCGTGCATGTGTTTGAATTTCCGTACATGCCTCATAGCTACTGCAGCTATCCCAATAAAAATCATTATCTTACGTGCATGCACCACTCAGTAATGAGTCATGACTTGTGTTGCTGATCGTGCTTTCTCTACAGATCCTGATGCAATACGGCCTTGGAGATGCTCAAGTGAACATTCTCGTAAGCTGTCTCTATCTAGAGGGAATATGATACCAAAACAGTGAGAATACCACTCGGCGATAAGTTGTCATCCAAATGGTTGGCACTATAGTCATTTAGAGCAAAAAAGCTGCTAATTCTAGAACAAAGAGGCATATTCTTGTCCCAAAGTTGCTCTTCTCAGGCCATTCTCATCCATTACGTGTGATGTATCGGAGATGGAGCTTAGGTGGGAGGAAGAAAAACCTTTAGGAAACGGCGTTATGTAGTGTGATGAAACTAGCAACTTTGCTGCTCGGGGCGGCATTAGTCTCCCAATTATTTCTATAACCATTGTATTACCATACCTTGAGCTGCTTCTTTCATCTCTATCATCTACCAGAAGTAGTCACTGATGAATTCTGGAGAAAAAACGTCTCTCAAAATGAATTGGTGTCCGTTGGCTGTGGATTGGTTGTGTTTCCATCAAAACCTCAGTATTGTTTCTTTTCCAATCCGCATGCCTTGACGTCTGCTTTTCTCTTTCATTGTGTTCATGCAATGCTGCAGGCTGTTCAAAGCTTAGCCCGCTCTGCACACTGTTCCATATTTGAGAGCAACGTCCATCAGCAATTCTCACGGCCAAACCAACAGCAGAACGTGACGGAGAAGTTTTTCGGCTTTGACGTTGTGGCCAATAACGCTGTACTACAGAATTCCTCCCTGCTGCAAGGACTGAACCCGCATGCATTACCCGAGCCATATGTAAGTCTCATGGGTTTGCGTACCGGACGGGTCAAGAAGCACCTTTTCGCTTCTGTGGGACGCCACCACCCCATGATCAGGCGTCAGATGCGGCTCCTAAACGGCGGGGAAGATAGATTAGATCCACCACTGACCAGAGGCCAAAGGCCGAAATCCCAGTTGCAACACCATGAGCATTTTAGAATAGAGCATCTCATTCGCCATCGGCCTTGTGCTAGCTCGATGCCCTAGCAGCATGCCAATCACTCCGGCACCGTTCACACCTTCACATGTTCTTACAAAATTCTTTGTCCCATGGACACGTGCATCATTGTGAGGAGATGGTTCTGAGCTGTACTGATGAGTCCTAGTAGTAGGGTGAGACAGTTGCTGTCTGCAGACACTAGACTAGATCTAGAGGTGTGAAGTGCATTGGCTGTCAGTCAGTTCGATGGCTATACGCAGTATGGGTAGTATATCTGTAATGTCGCATATTATAGCCGGGCGTATTCCTGTAGAAGCCGATGTAAGGGCTAGGCTTCTATTCACATCAGGCTTCTATTCAAACCTGGTATTTCTATGAGTGTCAACACTAAAACCAGGCGTATGTGTCGACAGTGTATCAAAACTCAGGCTTGTATTCAAAATAGGCTTCTATATGAGATAGGCTGTAATACAAGACACTACGGTACCTATGACTGATGAGACTGTACAAGTTGTCTTGTACGCCAGAGTCATCATGCATGGCTTCCACCACTCACCCAGGCCATTGCAACACTGAGTGTTGGAGCTGGCACTAGCCGAATACCTAACACTATGTCGAAACAAACAAGTGGGGTGCGTTCCTGCCCAGCTTCTGAAGGTAGAGCTTGCTCACACGGTAGAGAAGATCAAGAGCAGGACAAGTCATTATTTTGACACATATACATTTCGTTTTCCTGCATCAATTTTAACAGAATAATGTGCCACCGTCATCAAAAACGGATTCTCACGAGAAGCCGCGCCGGTTCCAACCGTTCCAAGATCAGATGGTAAGTAACAGTTAGAAGTGGTCAGCGTTAAACAAAAGCAACAAAAACCTAAAAATGAACCTTTGAATGATCACAGCATCTGTAGTGCCAACAGGTAGAATACTTGCTCAGAGATTACTGTTGTAGCTGAATGAGAGAAAGTGGTTTTGTGACTGGCCCATGTACAATGTACAATGTACTGTTATGTATAGTATGGTTGTTACCGCGTCAATCAGCACAACATACTCCTCTACTGTAGTATCTTTTTCTTCTCTTTCTTTAATTCTTTGCAGGATCACTTTTTCCGTACGGGAGAGATTCGCAATTTCTGTGGCAGCCCACCAGGTGCATGTACGGAACCAGGCGATCCATGAGAAGTGTTTATCAAAGACGTCAGTTGAAATTACCTTCCTCGTGTCCCTGTGTGCGTGTGTTTGAACCCAATGCACTGCATACTGTAGAGTCTTGTAGAAGAGAAAGACTCACATAAGCGCAATACCTTTGTGCACTACGTTATGGCTTGACTAGAAGTAGAAGCCTGGCTCGAAGGAAAGCATGGCCTAAACACTGGCCAACACAGCAACAAGAACTGTTTTATACACTATGGTAGTCTGTGCGGTGCACCAGCACTCAGCACAGGCACTCTGCCAGTACTACACTCGCTGCGCTAAGCCCAAGGATCTTCCCAGTATACAATACATGTACTAATAACAATTTTTAAATCGTGACAAGGAATACTGTTTACCTAACACTAGTATACTGTACCCTTTTCACTTGTCTAAAAATACGATGCCCATGCTAGTGTATGTACAGGCAGGGTCAACATACCTTATTCAAGCTATTTCTTAGTATTTCCAGCCACACGGCAAGTGCATGCACATGTGTAGCTATTATACTAGCTAATAATCTATTTATACTGCTGTTTGTTCACAGCGTTATTCGATTTCATTTCAGACAATTCATCATTTCATTTCTGTGTCCAGCCGGCCTGGCCACTTCTCAATTTTGTGAGTTGCAACACAATTAGGTCAGAGTAACACGAATAGCTAGAATTAGATTACAGTTTAATACATGCGATTATCAGTAATGCTACCAAGATCATGTGCTTCAGTGGATAAAATAAGATACTTAGAGATGCAATAGGAGAAGGACAGAAGTCAGAATTGCCAGTTGCAGCTCATGCTGAGCGATCACCAGGGGTAACATAACATCGAACAGGGAATAGGTAGAATATGGATTCGGAAGTAGAACCACTTCTAGATGATTTTGGGGAGCGATGTGAATGTGACAAGTACAAGTAGCTGTGCAGCAATAGTCTGCTACAGCTGTGCCTGATGAACACCGGCCTGTTGTACATTTGCCACTGTAGCTACTAGTATATAGCGGCCGCACTGTCCGTATACCTACATCATGATCCCCACGTGGATTCACATGCATTATCTCCAGGGCTGCAGGGCAGTCACATAGGCCTGGGGGGGGGGGGGGGGGGGGGGGGGGGGATGGCCACAGCTTACTGAAGCTACAGTTACAAAGTGATCACAGTCAAAATTTCACCTCAGCGGAACAGCTATTCTCATATCATGGCTCACACAAGAGTCAATGAGTCCGATTGACTTTGCCCAGATTTGTAGAAACACCACCACCCTCAACTTAAGGAGTCTAGACATGAGGATGATGCTATCTATTTATTGATACGATTGCCCTCAATACTATCAGTTCCTCAATACTATGAGTTCCTGAAGACTACAGCATGCCCTGCAGTGTAGACTAAGGCTGTGTTTACATGAGAAATTTCAACCCGGGTCGAGTTCAGCCCGGGTTGAAAGTCTGTACGATAGACAAAAGAGGTGAGCGTTTACATGAAGACAGTTGACCCGGGTCAAATACTGATATGCCGCCAAAAGTCCACTTCTACAGTCCTCTATGGTCACGTGAATCCGTTCGCGCGAAATTTGCATGTGCAGTGCTGTTCAAACCTGGCGCGAGATACGCACAGAAGTACGTTTGTACGATTTTCTTGACCCGGGTTGGTTTCAACCCTCCCCTTGGGGGGAGGGTTGAAATCAACCCGGGGCGAAATTTCAACCCGGGTCAAGCGCAATGCGTCATGTAAACGCGCCATTCACTTTGTGCACATGGCGGGTTGAAATCTGACCCGGGTCGAACTCAACCCGGGTTGAAACGCCTCATGTAAACACAGCCTAAAGACATGATCTGTGCACTTGATTTGTGCTTGTTACTTTTGGATATGGTTGAAACAGAGTAAAACATACATAAAATAGAGAAAAAATAGAGAAAGGAAAGAATAACTCAGAGACTATGAACATCAGTATTGTCCTATAAATGACATGATCACATACATGTAAGAGTATTTCAAACATGTGGGTAAATTTTGTGCTGTTTACATTAGTATGCCAGTTTTAAATTTAGCGGTCGTCGAGAAAAGCAGTTTGAATTATTTAACAAAACAGGTAGTTTTATGCTGATGGTCAATGTGGAGGGTTGAAGTCAGGGAGCTGAGGACTGTCCAGCAGGCCCCGCATACCCTTATCCAGTACATGTAATTGCTTGTGCATGCATGGTGCTACTGGGTCTAGTTCAGTGAAATGGAGAAAATAGAAATAAAGACGGACGGCGAGAATGCTTCGTTGTTTTCATAAATTAATCGCTGACCACTGCTACCGACCAAATCAAGGGGGCAAGCACAGCACAGTATAAGTAACATGCACTGGAACTTGACCGTAACTAATCTTCAAAAGGTTAGTTACCTAGATGCATCCCTGTATGGCTACACGGTGCATATAAGTTAGTTATGTCGTGTGTGTGTGTGTGTGTGTGTGTGTGTGTGTGTGTGTGTGTGTGTGTGTGTGTGTGTGTGTGTGTGTGTGTGTGCTGCAACCGTGGAAAACGTCTTGCTGCAGCCGATAGGGAATCACTGCCGCTGATCCGCATGCATTGCCCAAAGCGTTTCCGACGACAGCAAGACTTCACGAGGCACCAGAAGTCCTGCCAAAGACGGTGCCCTCCAAACTCTGGCCCCCTCCGGGGGTGACATTGCCCAATGGGCAGTCATGCTATAGTAGTAGTAGTAGTAGTAGTAGTGTGTGTGTGTGTGTGTGTGTGTGTGTGTGTGTGTGTGTGTGTGTGTGCGCATGGTGTGTGTGTGTGTGCGTGTGTGTGTGTGTGTGTGCGTGCATCTTCAACACACTGCTATTCCTGGCTGTACGGGTACTTAGCTGTGCCAGCCTCGGATCTTGGCAAAGAATGGGTGGGACTTGATCTCTTCTACACCAGTCGGACCAGCGCCTAACCTCTCCCTGGGGTTCACCTGCAAGAACTAACACATGGCAGAGAACAGCAGATAGTGGAATAGGAAATGGTGCTGGTCTATTAGACCTGCACAATGTCTGGGTGCCCGGTATCGGCCATTTGCACATGCAATCCAGACCACCCACCCACAGGTTTTCAGTACAGTCATGTACATACTAGTGCTGTGTCAAGAGTAGTAGATAGCTAGGGATTGCATGCAGATAGCGAGGTAGAGTGAGGTGCTGTACAGCGTACGTGAATGAGCCACGAGATGGTGTTCTCCCTCGATACTGGAAGCATGGCACCATATACAGATGATGTATGAGGTACGCGGCAGAAAACTGCAACAGCAAGGAAACAATGAAATTGAGGGATCGACATAGTTTCATACAGTGCAGTAATGCAAGGAGTCAATATTTCTCCAGAAGATCAGCCAGCATGCACACCCACTCACACAAACTACTCACCCCCATCAGCAAGGACTGGCTACGCTCCGACAGACCAGCTGGTAATCGCAGTCGTTCATGCTGAGTGACGCCACCAGGATGCATTGACAGAAAGCTCTGCGAAGGCCGAAAAGGCATGCACACAGACAGGATGGAGTGGGCAAACAAAGTTAACTACAAAGGTAACCAACAAGCAATGTGAACTCAAGTGATGGCGCCAATAGAACCATCTGTGCAAAATAATTCCCTGCTGTACGGCCAAGTACATGTAGGCAAACGTTGGTCTTGAGAATCTACGGCAGCAAATCTCTGAACTCAGCCGCTGTTGAACAAAGGAAAACTTCGTTGATAGCCAATAAGCAAAACAGAAATCATTCACCCCTATGTTATACCGACGTCTCACCGTACCTACCAGTATACTAAATACAGCCATGTACATGCACACTGCATAGTGATGGCCAGCAAAGTTTGACCGCTAGGGCACTTTTAGCACCCAGAGCAAACTTTGGCCATGCCTGTGTTGATGCCCTGAAGCTGTGTAAGCTGAATCAGAGCATACGCCCAGTGCGTGCACTTAAACTTCACAATGCAGTACTTGTGCGTGTGGTCCATGTCACAGGCCAGCACAGCACTTCAAGGTTCTATAACTTTATAAGCAGCAGCAGCAGCAGGAGCAGCATAACTGGCATCTGCACACTAGTAGTAGTACTTACACGTCCGGTCAGCAATTCATAAATCAGAGCACCTAAACTCCACCAGTCTGCTCCAGGGCTGGGAGCCTCTGTCCAAGACAACTCTGCACAACAGTGAGAATGACAGCAATGCTACTGGTACTCGTAGTGCTGCTGCTGGCAATATCGGGAGAGTAGGACAATTTTAGAAACACTTCTGAAAAGCATTTGATTTTATCATACACCAAACCGCACTCCAGTGTAATGGATAGTGGAAACGAGATAGTAGTGGTAGAGATTGACGAACCTAATGAAGATGAACTTAGAACACAACTTCATGACTAATGAAGATGGCATCAACAAATTTAGGAAAGATACTTGTAGAACAATTGGTCAATTTTTACGACTAATCTCCGTTGGCCAAGTCTTCTTGTAAGTCCATTCTGAAGATCAGGTTCAGTGACACGTTAAATATAGTGACTTTTACAATCTCCCAAAGGAGTGTCGCTATACCCAATCTTCACTGTACAAGACCACTAGGCGCTCCATTGTCCGGACCTTTCTACATGTACGTGCGTACTCTTCTGCAGTGAGCTTCGATGCGACGGAATGAAAGGTGTAACGCGTGCAGTGTTCCGAGTTGTGGATTTTGTCAATCCTTCAGTCCCCAGGTAGCCGGATAAGAGAGGATCTACACCTTGTAGTGTAATAGCATCAAAGTGACACATGCCAGTTGAAGAACATTTCCACGATAGGCTTGATAGCAATATACAATGCATGAACAAAAAGAAGATGGGAGCAGGATGCACGGACATGACAGAAAGAGCACAACATTTGTTTCACCTACTTCAAGGGGCTTGTTACAAACACACCGGCACAGTAACTGTAAAAAACAAACAAGAGGTTACGTTGTATACCATACCTGGTGCAACAAACATGTTCTTGATGGCCCAAGAGCTTGTCGGCCTCTCAATATGCTCCCAATCACCGCAGTACGTCAGCAGAATAGTGCCTGGCGACACAGTCACAATATGACATGTGCGGACACACACACACATACACACACACACACACACGCACATACATACACATGCATACACTCAGACACATTATGATGTGTCAGACTACAGCCAGACAGTGCAGGGAATGCGTAAATGAACAGAGCAGAGCATCAAGCCATGTGGATTGCCAATGCTGAACTGACAGCAGTTAAAACAAACAAAAAGAAAGAAAGAAAGGATTGGCATGGTAAAGCAGTGCTGTTCATGACAGGGGCTTTAGTTTTTTTTTAAGAAGAAAAAAGTCCGACTCCGCTGGTCATTCCCCAACCAGAACCAGTCATGCACTACAGGACAACCACTAGCCTGCACAACACTCAACTATGCAGCATACCTTCTTCAGACAGCAGCACGTTCTTTGAGTGCAGATCTCTGCGGAACAAGTACCAACAAAGAACAACAGTAGGGCAAATACCGTGTGCATTACGAATTTCCGTCCTCTCATTCCTTTAGAACAACTCAAATACACAACACAACTTCAGTATTCTAGGCAGCCATGATTCGGAAGTGAAATAAAACAAGCAGCTTTGATCCGTTAGTTGGTGAGGGTCGCAACATTCGAGCTCGCGGTTTCTCCGCTGACTTGACTTGGCACTTGACTGACTCGTGACTGCCATCCAGAGCACACGAGGAGTCCATCGAACTTTCCACTCGGTAGACCTGCAAGAAACGCACAACTCTCTGCTCTAACGTTGCGAGCCACCAACTTTCTGATACTATAGTGCAGTGTCTGCTTTAATCAAACAGTCAATCTTGGTAAAATGATGCATGCAAAAGTAAGCATTCTTGAAAGATATCAACACCTCTGGACTTCAACAATCTAACAAATAGCAGTGCTGCTGTTCGTAGCTGACCTCCACACAAAGCCAGACGCATGCAAGCTGGACAGGGCGACGACCAGCTGAGCAGACCAGCGCCTCACTTGCTTCTCAGCGACACCAAGCAACGGGGTAGTATCGGCTGTGTCCACGGCGCCGGGGTTGGCACTGCCAGGAGTGGCTGCTGCACTGTGAAAGCGACCAAGATGATCCCAGAGACATCCACGCTGTATGTACTCCAGCAGTAGAAACACACTGCTGGCCGTCTCAAAGTGACCAATTGGCTTTACCATGTATGGACATAGATACTGCAGTTGGACACACGAAATAGTGAAAACAACAACCTAACTTTAATACTATCCGCATGCTTGTATGCAGTGATAACCGCATTCTTGTATGCAGTGATAACCGCATTCTTGTATGCAACCCATGTACATGTAGACACACCAGAGCAAGAACAGCTGGCTTCACATGTCAGCTATTGCAAGCCAATGCCATCACACAGCAACAAGAAGTAGTGGTGGGAACTGCTGTGGATGTGGGACTTGGGCGTGTTGGATGGGTGGCACGGTACTATAGTGCGTTTCAAAAGTCCAGACCTCTGGTTTAAAAAAACCGTTAGGCCCGCATCTATACCACATAAAATCTGTGATCACTTTGCGCATAAAATTTCCGGTGTCGGGCGTTTGTTATCTAATCGCTTAGAAACTTGTATGAGAAAAATTGCGGGAGCTTTCCGAGCAAGTCCGAAGAAATTTCCTAAAAAGCTCAAACCAAATTTGAATTATTCAAAAAAGTCTAGAGGTCTATACTTTTGAAACGCACTGTAGAAGCACAACTGTTCATGACTTCAATCACTTCATACCTTCATCCGACACTGGCTTCTCCTGGCCGAGTTGCTGCTACTACTGCTACTGCTGCTGCTGGAGATGCACTGACTCTTGACAAGGCTCTATTCCACACCATCAAGAAGGCAACAAAAAAAAAACTGGTTACCGATTCAAGATACACTAGTAGAATGCAATCACTGTAGAATGCGGACAAGAAGTGAACAAGGTAAAATAAGTTTCTTGCTTCCACAACAGTATGGGTACGTGGTAGGATGGGAATTACCTTGATCAAATAAACATCACCAGTGAATTTGTTCTCCACTAACATACACTGCAGAGGGAGAAAAATAAAAGTGACAGTCAGGACAGCAATACCATCAAGCCTCAGAAAGAGACAAATAGCTAGCAAAACAGTAGCCCATGTACCAGAAGACGTTTTCACATGATCCATTACATTTTAAAAGCACACGAAACTTGCAACAGGTAACAACAGACTCACTAGGAGCAGATCATTACTGGATACAAAAGTAGTGCCAGTAGCATGATAGTGTTCATCACAAGCTCACAGGAAATAGAATCTGATGTTAACCCATTGGAATTGTTTAGGCCAGTACCACGTGACTGTGACATTCTACATGAATCAATAGGCACTGTGTGCAATACCCCGACCCGCATCTATGGCAGCTAACCGCCTTTGAAAGTATACATGTACAACAACACAGGCAAGTTCTAGAACTTAGCAATGCACGTAATACGATTTAAAGATATACAGAAATTTTCGGTAGTGTTTTATTTCCGGTAACTTCGGTGCCGACAATTTTTACCGAAAATTTCGGTACAACCGGTACTGTATACATGTACATGTACCGTAAAATCTCGCCAGAGCGCCCCGTCTCTCCCATCCGCCCCTCCTTGATTTCTTGTCAGGGAAGTGATTGATTGTATCCTCGTATGACTCTGTGATGCCGTACTGTACTGCAGACGCATGCTCGATCCCGTTGGAAATGTGCGCAACAGTGCCCACCCTCTTGACCAAGGGATCGCACAAACCCTGAGTTTTGACGGGTCTGCACGACTCCTGGCTCTTGACCTTTGGTCGGTGTACGATGTGCACGAACAGTTTTTGCAGGGCGAGTACTTTTTCATGTAGTGCTGAATGCGGCAAGTAGGACTCGCCCATCCGCCCCTCCCCACCTGAACCTACTCAAAGCGTCGAGGAGGTAGGGGCGCTCTGGCAGGATTTTACGATAGTACTAGTACACTTACCTGGAAAACGGGTTTTACTGAAAATTTCCCTCCACCGAACCGCCAATTTTGGAGAATACCGAAAATATTACACCACCGAAAAGTTCTGCTTTTACAGTATATTATAACTGTTAGTGGTACCAACCTTGCCGACTGGCCGGAGAACTCGGTAATCTTGAAGTCGAGGACCAACATGAACAGGTCTTTCAATGTTTTTCAACGTTGCCGAATGCTGGTGAATGTTGGTAAGATAGGAGAGGGAAGCAGGAGGACTTTCCAAAGCCGACAAGACACGCACGGCACTGGATTGCTTCCCTGATAAGCCGGACGTTGTGAGATACGGCAGCTGGCTGACCTCTTCCCGCAGATGATTACCCTCCTGGTTACCAGCACTGCCGCCCTGAGCACGCTGTAACACTTCTGCTCGCTGCAAATACTGGGCAGTTTTCATTCGCACAGCATCGCGTCGAAAGGAATTCGAATCCGCTATAATAAACACAGGGAGAGAAACGAATAGATGCACAATAATGGTGAAAAAAGGAGGACAAAATGTTACGAGTTACGACTAACTGTCCACCAACGTAACCAGATCTTATACAGTCAGCGAGTGCGACAAAATGGCACAAAACTGACAAGGAGTACTGAGACATTCGGCGACCTGACACCTAGCTCCAACACTTCTCCAAGGCGCAAACCAACAACCTTCCAACTTGGAACTCAGTACTCCTTGTGTTGTGCCATTTTGTCGCACTCGCTGACTGTATAAGATCTGGTTACGTTGGTGGACAGTTAGTCATAACTCGTAACATTTCGTCCTCCTTTTTTCACCATAATTTAATTGGCTCACCATCCGAGTTAGAGATGCACAATAGTTGAAAACAACAACAAAATATGGCGTGTCACCTAGTAGGCCAAGGGACATTTTCCTTGACAAACACTACGTCTGCAAAGCACACGAGTGAAAGAATCGACGACACATGGTGTAATGTTACAGCTTACAAGTAACAGTTACAACAGAACGTTGGTGAGAGCTACCATTGAAATGAAAAGAAGATATTCACTTACTTTGCACCCCAGATAGTAAAACACCAACACCATTGACGTAGAGGTCATATGCCTCGTCGTACTGGGATTGGCTTTCAGCTGCAATTGCCCTGGACACCAGTCTTGAGGCAGTCACTATATAGTCAACATCTGATGATTGCTCATCACTACTTTTCCCTGCATGCGACAAATCAGCGGTTGGCTGAGTTCTGTTTTTTAAATCCAGATTCAAGTCGGTTGGTCGCCCTGCACTGCTCGCAGGTTGAGAAGATCCATCTTGATCGTGTTGACGGTCATTTTCCGCAGTGATAGCTGAAAGACTGTTGTTGGTCACTGTATGGTTGCAGTCATGTTGCACCAAAGTCGATGACCGTGACTTGATGTCGGCGCTATCTTCATTGTCACTTTCTTCGCAGGAATCGGCTGCCTCTCCGCCCTCCTCCTCGGCTTCAGCAGCATGCACAGTCTCATCACATAGGACACTCACATCTAACATGGTGGCTTGCAGGTCAGCGGTGCATGCATCTCCTCCAGAAGTGCTTCTACTTTCAAAGAATGGATTGCTTGTCGATCGCTCACCTACTTCGATATCAGCAGAGTCTGGTGTAGGACTGACCGCTCTGCTTAACCAAATAGAGTCACTGCCAGCTGACAATGCATCAGAACAAACAGCCTGTGACAATCGTTTTGGAGACAAAGGATCTTCACCACCATCAATTTGATCGCAAGATGTAGAATCTTCCAACCGGTCCGCTGCGACCTCATCAAAGCAAAATTCAGGCGTGAGCTGCCGCAGAAACTCATTATCATTGATATCAGGAGGGTCTGGTAGACTGTCAACGGAGTTGCAGCTTCCTGCTCTGGACAGAGATATCCTGTTTGACTGGGCAGGAGCTGGTGAGACCAGAGTCGGTTGGAAGGAATCAGATACTCCAGGGTCGTCCATAGAGGAGACAGGCGTAGCCCCGGACGATGGCAAATCATTAATCTAAACACACGGGGGGGGGGGGGGGGGCAGAGAACAAACCCAGAAAAGCACATCCCTCAGCAGCTGAAAGTCTACATCCAAACTGAACCTCAACATTACTGTTTATAATCTTTGTTCCGGCTAACAAGATGGATTTTGAATACATCCTTTTCATCAGGCGATTGGAAGGAAATTTTTTGTCAGTTGCTTTGTCAAGGAAGCAAATGTGCTACACCAGACAGTCATGGCCAAAGAAATCCGACCTCATGATATGATAGAGCCAAGGGCTAGGCGGTCCTTGCATCACACACACACGCACGCGCGCGCGCGCACACACACACACACACACACACACCACTCTGCTCACTTGAGCGCGGCACTACTGTACTCATGGGGGCGGATTTCTCTGGCCAGAACTGTACAAGAAAGCAGAGTACAGTATTACATAGAGAGATGTATGCTTTATACATGCATATCTGTGGTTACTGGTAACCGTAAGGCTGACATTTGCAATTCGTGAGGGATGTGTGACAAGGATGGATGGAAGGCTCCACTTGCATACCGTAGTATCGCCAATAAATGCACAGCTCCATTGTCAAATGAGTGCTATTCACAAATTTTAGGGTGTGTTCGTTTATTCTTCTGTCTCTTCTAGAAAAGTCTGCTAGGAAGAGAAGACATGAGAATATGTTTCGAACGGGTCAGAAGAGATCCAGGATTTTCCCAGTGCGTCACGGCAAACAGGAGTCTTTCCCAGTGCGCTACGGCAAACAGGAAATTTTTCCCAGTGTGTCACGGCAAACAGGAAATGCTTTTGAGGACGTGTTTATTCAAAAGTTTTTTTGCCAAAAAAAGACTCAAAGTCCCTTTTGTGCAGGCGCAAGTGACAAAAAGCGGGAATCTTCAACTTTCTTCCACCTCAAGGGCTAGAAGAGCCAGCAGAGCTTGGCAAAGCTTGGCAGAGTCTGCTGCTTTTGTCAGAGGATAAGTGAACGCTCTTCCAAATGTTGGAGATTCTTGCAGAGGATAAACGAACGCACCCTTAGTCGTACAGTACTCTCCCAACCGTCGCGGATGAGATCTGTATGATCCAAACAGGTGCACACATGTACAATGTCTGGTGGCAGCACCTGAGCACGTATCACAAAACAAACCTTGTGACTGCACACTTACATCATCATTGAAAAAATCCTTGGCAGCATTCGTCTGGTAGAGCAACGGCCGCTGGACAACGAATGCCAAGAAGAGCTGACTGGCTAGACGCCGCTTCTCCACAACATCTTTGTTGAAACGCCCTACAAAGTGCACCAGGCAGGGGAAGAGTCACATCTTTAGATTTAAAACTAGTAGAAGAAGGGCAATGTAAACACTGTTGAGATCCAGCACATGCACACCAACGTTCACACCAAGCACACGCACACCAATGTTCCGGCTCTGAAGAGCTGTACCCTCATTAAATTTTAGGCACGCTGTGATACTACTGGTATTCAAAACACTGGACTGTTGCTAAAAAAAGCACCCACTCACCAAAGTATTTAGCTTTTGGCAAATCCGGCAATTGATCATCATCACCACTGGCTTGTTCTATCAGTGATTGCAGGTGACGGTGTAAGCGAAGAATAGAGCTGTAGCGTCGATAAACACGGGTCTGTAGGGAAAGTAGACAACAGTAACACACTCAAATACATAACAGTAAAGTAGCGCGTCTTGCGAGAGCCCCCCCCCCCCCCCCCCCCCCCCCACTGATTCTACAGCCAGGGAAAGGAAAATCGTATGGCAGAGTGCAACGAAGTTTGTACGGTTTGAGGACGGTGTGTGTAGGGTTTTTCATGGCTAAAGAAATGACAAAAAAAAAGCAGCTCACACATCCCACTTTACCTGTTCAGCTGAGGCAGCATTCGCACCATGTGAAGCAGAGCTCTACGAGAAAACAAAAACAAAAAACAAGACCATAATTAGAGCTCGGTACCTCTTGACAACTGTCCTCTTGGTTGGATCCGTGATCTTGAGCGGATTCATGCCACACTTGGCTACTGCCATTGTACCATCAAAATAAGTAGACAACCTAAAGCTAAGTAATAGGTACTACCTGACCTGCAGCCAATGGTTTATTATTTTAATTTTAACTTCAGCCAGTATGACTACTACTGTATTCACTTTGTCTTGGGGGTTAGACATGGGGAAGTTACCATACCGGGGTGTGAGCCTGCCTCTTGGTATCAGGAGTACAGCTCGCTCGACTCGTCTGTGCTGAGTGAAGAAGACCCATACCTTGATCTGGTTTATTCTTTTAACCTACTTGTACAGTAAAACCTGGTGTAAGCGACCTCTGGGTTTAGCGACCACCTGCTCTTAACGACCGTTTTCCCATGCACCGACAGTTCTACACAGACACTGTGGGACCTGGGTCTAAAGATCACCTCCTGGCTTTAATGACAGCTTTTGCTTGCACTGTGGGGTGGTCAGGTTTTACTGTACTTAGAGAACTCACCCTGACAAGTCATTTACAGTCATCAGTATCTTCGCTCTGCTGGTGCTCAATTTCACCAAAACTTCAGACATGATCCATGGGATGATTCTGATGTTCAAAAGTGACCCAGATTGTTGGAATTTGAGTTAGTGTCTTTTTTCAAATGAGCACACGGCTGCGTTGGAGTGTGCCAATACTTTAAAATTATCCAGATCCTTACACGGTGCTTGTGTGTGCGTGTATGTACATTTGTGTGTGTGTGTGTGTGTGTGTGTGTGTGTGTATGTGTGTGTGTGTGTGTGTGTGTGTGTGTGTGTGTGTGTGTGTGTGTGTGTGTGTGTGTGTGTGTGTGTGTGTGTGTGTGTGTGTGTGTGTGTGTGTGTGTGTGTGTGTGTGTGTGTGTGTGTGTGTGTGGTGTGTCTTGATCTGTTTCATTCGGAATCAGATTCGCTATCGTTGCTATAAGTATAAAGAGAAAATCTGTGGGTGCATATCCAGTGCATTTGTAGATTTGTGTGCTTCTCTTGCGACGGGCGTATACATGGTACATGGTGTGTGTGTAGATGTGTGCACGTGGGTGTGTCTGTGTGTGTGGTGCTGAACTTTATCACTTTTTGCATGTCCACTGTCCACTGCTCAGAACAGATCAGCATTTGCGGAGGTTATGCATGATCGGCCACAGACCGTGTCTCCTGAATTTTAATGTGGCTTTGATCACATCCACGTACATTCCCCTTTAAAGGGGAAGTATACCCTAAAATCAAATTTTCACCAGTTGTAGTCTTCTGGGTGCTGAGTCGAATGGTCTTGGTCCGAGGAAGCTGCGACGCTCCCTTCCTACTTGAATCCCAATCGAACTCGCGCACTTCCACCGAAACTGGGTGACTGCGCCCTACTAGATGGGGATTTGTATGCAAAATGTCACTAAAAGCGCCATTTCGTTCTTATAAAAGCACGGATGACCGCGATTGGCCCATATGTTGTAGTCTTTTGGACGCTGAGTCGACTGGTTTTGGTCCGAAAAGGCTGCGATGCAGCGTTCCTCCTTTATTCCCAATCGAACGTGGTTGAACAAGTGGTCACGTGCTCCTGGGTGCCCAAATCACCTGGTCACCGCGCCAGCAGGCGACAACTTTCACACCAAGGTTCAACTCGAGTTCAACTCGAGTGACAGGACTGCACCCAAAAAAGGTCAAACAGGCTAGTAAGTTGTACCCTGCAGGCACGGTGACCAGGTGACTGGTGTACGCAGGAGCACGTGACCGCTTGTTCAACCATGTTCGATTGGGAATAAAGGAGGAACGCTGCATTGCAGCCTTTTCGGACCAAAACCAGTCGACTCAGCGTCCAAAAGACTACAACATATGGGCCAATCGCGGTCATCCGTGCTTTTATAAGAACGAAATGGCGCTTTTAGTGACATTTTGCATACAAATCCCCATCTAGTAGGGCGCAGTCACCCAGTTTCGGTGGAAGTGCGCGAGTTCGATTGGGATTCAAGTAGGAAGGGAGCGTCTCAGCTTCCTCGGACCAAGACCATTCGACTCAGCACCCCGAAGACTACAACTGGTGAAAATTTGATTTTAGGGTATACTTCCCCTTTAAGAAAAATTGGGTAGGTCGCAACATGATTTTAATAATTATACAGGTATGACTGGTGCATTACACACACACACACACACACCACACACACACACACATACACACACACACACACACACGTGTACAAGTAAAAACATGCATGCACACACACCACACACATACACACAAACATGCGCGCACACACACAGGTGTTACCATACACGGGCTTGCACAGGCGTGTACGGTGTATCTACACTACAGAGTTCAGTACATATACAGTACACACTACTTACTGCTACAGTCACTAGATAAAGTGTGTGGCCCGCTTGGGACCGCTTTACTTCAGGTATAGACACGACCAGCGCCGCCATCTCATTTGGGACTCCTTCACTCTCTTCTTGCGTCAAGTGCAGTCCAACCTGGGTCCATATTCTACCTGCACTTGGCAATCATGTTCTAGGAAGGTGCGGGGCTACTGGCACCTCGTCGTGTGTTTAGCCTGTCATGTGGATCTTGATCTCCGGGTGAAGGAAACGTCTTTCTAATAATAATTGTTGTCATCTCAGTACATCAACCAGTACAGGGAGTCGTGAAATCAACCCTGGCTCTTGCTCTGTGCAGCTGCGTTGTTCCTCAGACAGAAGGTCCCAGGCCCAGCCGTCTTCATTTGAATCAATCACCGAAAAAATGAGAAGTCAAAATATCACAACAGGATTACGTCACAAATGCATAAAACGTCATCGTCGAATCCGACGTGACGTCGCGACGCGACGTCTCCTCGATCGACGATCGATCGTCGACGATCGGCGATCGCTACAATCGACGATCGCTGATCAACGTCGAGGACGCGGACGATCGATCGTCGATCGAGCCGCGTGCGCGTGCAGCTAGTCAGACAAACGCGATCGCTATATCGATCCATCGTCCCATCGACGCTCAGCGCGCGCTCGCTCGCAGATCAGACTCGTACCGCGTAGATCTACGCGGTGATCGTGCAGTTCGCGGGTAGACCTACGAGTATGTGGTGCGATACCATGCCAGGGAGCCCTACACATACCGGTATGTGTAGGGCTCCCTGGTGCGATACAGCATGCTAGCAGTGCAGTGTATCGCGCTCGATTCACCCTGTTAGCACGTCACATATCGATAGATCATTATGCGTGGTTCGAACGTTCCCATGGATTTTTTAATTTTCTTCCCAAGTTTTTACAGTGAGGTTTTCTCAAAACACCATTACGCATTATCCTCGATCCATATCTAGTGGTCGTGGAGTGTCACGTCGTTCTGTTACTAGCACTTACTTCAGCTCATCAGGCCAAGCAGCGTTTGTAGTCTAGACCATTTGTTTTAGTTTGCTCCATGGTGTTGTGTCACCCGCTGACCGTTATAAACTGGTCGGCTTTTCTACTTTTACGTCTATGATCAGGATGATCGAGTAGAGTTCGGAAGCGATTTGTTGGAAATAAAAATTGAGTGAATGTGTTCATCAGCTTGGTTGTTGAAATTGAATTCTACGCTGTGTTGAGAATTTGCCATGGCTACAAAGAAGGGTAACATAATGCAGGTGGCCGGCAATGCATCTACGATGAATTTGAACTCAATGGTGTTGACCAATATTCAAGGCTCGCAGTACTTCAAACATGACTTGTTTGCGCTGAAAACTTATCATGAGGTGGTGGACGAAATTTACTACAAGGTAATGTGCTGATTTTTTGCGCTCTTTAATAATGCATGCTGCTGCTTACCCATGTTTAAAAGGTAATGTTCTGTATATGTATTAGCCTGTATTCTGAAATTATAGTGAGAAGTAATGCCGAGGCATCTTACAGCTTCATCTGAAGAAAGTACTAAAACAATCAGTCATGTAGTTACTAGTTGGGTGGACACGCCAATTCCCAAAGCACTGCACAGGACCGAACCAATTCTTAACGTACAACGCTTCAGCAAGAGAGAGGTTCCGCACTAACTACTTCACGTAAGTGGGCGAAAAAAAACGTGAATTCGCGAGTTTGCACTCCAGTTACGGAAAGTTGTCTACGTAGAGTACGTAAGTGGGGCTCTACTAATGGAGGTGCTCCGTAAGTGGATTGGGGTAGAAATGTATCGCTCTCTCCCTAGCTTGTACACTGTCACGTTCGGAGTTGCCAAGGGCAGCTAAGTGATTCGAAAAATCCGTATGGAGGAACACAGCTCCAAATGCAGTGTACGGAAGACATTCTGTAGATCAACTACGTTTTTTACTAACGTAATTACGTTTTGCGGAAGCTCTCTAATATTGTCATCATCAGGTACAAATGAAACAATGATGCCATGCAGGCCAAGAAAGAGCGGTTTTATAGGAAAGTCCCACCGCCGAAAACAGCATGAACTCGCGCCATAAAAATAATAAATAAAAGGAGTTTAGTGGCAAAAGTGTAGGTCAGACATTCAACTCCAGAACCGAAACATAAAAACCGAGGTCCCCTGAGTTTTTTTATAACTGGTATGTAATTGCAATAAATCCTGAGGCTACTACATTTATTATACATAATTATGTTGACCTACACTTTCCCTTCAAAAGCCAATAAATAATTAGATTTTAGTATTTATTGAGGCAACGCAAATTTATTTGAATTTGATACTGTTGATGGTGTGGTCACTATTGAGTGTGGGTATTTACTATTTATCAAAGGTCAATATATATATTCAAATAATCTGCGAGGAGATACTCAGATGGTGAGCCAAGGAAAATATTAAATTGGAAACAAGGAAAACCGTGGCAAAACTTGTGACCCACCGTTTCCCTTGTTTCCGTTTAATAATCTGCGAGGAGATATTAAATCAAAGCTATAAAGAGTATAAAGGCTGCAGTCATCACCGTGCTGCATAACACTTGTTCAAGCTGTAAATATGTATTTTGCCAGAATCGATTTTCTTGTTCCAATCATCATGGCGTGCAAATCGAACCATAGAAACTTGGGCACTCACACATGTACTCTATTGATCGTAACTCAGAATTTCAAAATCGAACCACCTAGCAGGTAGCGGAGAGTCTCAGCTGTCGGCTCGCACAACTCCCAGCTCCCTGCGGTAAAGTGTGCACGGACCGCGTGCGATCGAACTTTCACGCTTTTGCGCTGAACAAAATTTCACAATGTTTGTGCAGGACGGGGTTTTCCCTGTCCCTGCCACGGCTGAGTGTGACATCACTCCCAAAGAAGATGGCCACGGATGTTTAGCATGTACTAGTACTCGAAAAAATTGAGGAATTTTGACTGAAAGAAAGTAAAATGGCAGGATGAGCGTGTTTCGCGACTTGACCTGGAGTTGTTGTGGCGTTCCTGGAGTTCTAACGGCGGACAGTGATGGATCCTCTTGATGAGTTTGGGATTGTTGTGCTCCTCTCTCCAAGAGCTTTCCAGATAGCCCAAGATCATCCAAATCGGTGAAGTACAACTCATGTTATGGTGGGAAATTGAACAATTAGTATTCACATTGTTGCGAATTTCGTAGCGTGATTTGACCAGTGGCACTCTAAAGGGTTAAGTAATAACGTTAGACAGTTGCTAGAAATGCCACATAAATCATGATACAAGTGCAATAAAAACGCAGAAAGGTAACTAGATTACATAACCAGGTGAGAAGGAACTGAACGAAGTGTCAACCTACGAATATAACCTAAGTGCAACAACGTGCTCTTTCTGCTTACACGAAACAGGCTTATGAATATGTATACAAACTGCCTCAAGGACTTTCAACTGCTGGACATAACGGGCACGACACAGTACAGAAAAATGAGAGTGATCATACACATCAAGACAGTCAGGACGAGATAACAAGCGTAGATACACAGTCACCACTTCCACTGCATAGCTCGCTGGGCATCCCATTGCTTTGTAACTTGCTAATCCCTCCCCCTTTTGTGTATGTATTTTCATTTTCTTTTTTCTCTTCTTCCGTGGTTGGTCTCACCCTCTCCTCAATTTAATTAGCTGTCTTGACATGCTACGAGGTGCAGAAATAAATAATGAATAATAATACACAGCTGACTTCTTTCAAACAACACATTCATCCGCCTGACCTCGCTCTTTCCCATCCGATCCTTCCTCGTCCATCTCTTTATAGCTTAGATTCAATTTACATTCCACCAAATTTTCGGGTCTGGGTTTTCCTCAGGGTGGATACATGTGAATATTGGAGTAGGAGGAGTGATATTTTATACATGAGAGTGTTTATGACCTGATATTAGTCCAATATCCTTTATTTGTTGTATATGCGTGTGTTCACGTGTACATGCTTTTGTTGCTGGGTGAATGCAGGTGTCACACTTGGAGCCGTGGGAGAGAGGCAGTCGCAAAACAGCTTCCCAAGTGGGCATGTGTGGCGGGGTACGTTTGCTTTGGCTCGAGTGAAGACGCAAACCGTTCACTGCAACCTCCTTTTGCCACGGTACTGTCACATGGCTATTGCTGCCATTGTATTCTCTTTGTAGCAGCTGTGCTGTTTGTGATACCGCTATAGTCTGTCGAATGTCTTATTAGAGCAATTATGGGCTGCTCCATGGCTTCAGCTTGCCTCACTGAATACTGGTATCAGGATTCTAGCCAGGAAAATAGTAGGGGGCACGGAAAACAAACATTAACCGATTTTCCAGTTTCCAATCAAAACGCAACGTACAGGCGCAGCGTGCGCCCAGAGCGATCGATTTGGGGCCACATTTTCATGGTGAAAAACACGAAAATCAAGAATTGAGTAGGGTGGTGGGGGCACTAGAGTAAGCGGTGCCCCCTCCCCTACCCGACTTTGGCTAGAACCCTGCTAGTATGTCAATATGGCCGCCCTGCTGGTATGTCAATATGGCCGTGCGGCTTGTTCTGATGATCCTTGATTCTAATACAGGGTTTTGTGATATGGTGTGTTGGATACAGGTGCGAGGAGTTGGTGCTGGTGGCGTGGTGTCTTCAGCATTCTGTCTGCTCTTCAAGCTGTATACTCTGAAGCTGACACGGAAGCAAATCAATGGTCTTTTAACACACGCCGACTCGCCTTACATCCGTGCACTGGGATTTCTATATCTCCGGTAAGGCACTCTTAATCTCGGTTTCGCACTGCATCTGACATTAATTCCACTCACAGTCTACCCTGCTACTGAAGCATCTTGTGACCTGTGGCCGATCTTATTATTATATTTGATGTTTTGTATTTCCTTCTTGGAAGTCCAAGGTGTTTCCGGGATAACGATGTGAAAAAGCTGACAAAAACTGGCCCCATGTGTGATTGTTGTCGCTGGAGGTCAACAGGCAAGTTTAACCCGCCTTGTGCTTTCTGCTGTTTTGTGTATTTTTCAGGTTCACACAGCCGCCTAACGAGTTGTGGGAGTGGTTTGAGCCCTATGTGAATGACACTGAGGTAAGTGTATGTGGGAGTAGCTCCTTCTTGCCCGCCTCGGTGGGTCTTTTAACATGTGTTCTAGTCCAGCTGTTACCTTCCGACCTCACCCCCCCCCCCCCCCTCTCTCTCTTTATCTCTCCCTTTCTCTTCCTTTCTCCTCGGGATGTTCTACTTGGCTCAGAGTAGGTAAGTACCCTTGTCTGTCTTCACCAAGTGACCAGTGTTGCACATTTCCCAATTACTCACCGGATCCGAGAGATTGCTTTTCTGGATGGCTTGCGGGCTTAGCCATCTCACTCTCATCTGTGTGTGCTCTCTGCAGTCTAAACCGGGGTGACCATTGTTTGGTTACCAAACCTAGCCTTTTTGTGATCTGCCATTGGTTTGTAAAAAAAGGGAAATTAGGTGATGAAGGCTCCTATGTTCGGTCGGAGTTTGTATTATTTTTGACTTTATGAGTGCACTGCGCAATGTTAAGACGATGGTGGCTGTCAGGTATTTCTGTGGTGCTTGTAAGTACATGTACTGTAAAGTCTCGTACTACGGTATACAGTATTAGAACTTTTTAGAAGAAATCTTTGTCTATGATTCGGGACACTTCATTAGGAATATATAATATATTCCGTTAGGATGAAACATCAGCTGGTCCTCACTGCTCGTTATAGTACAGTGTGCATATAATAAGCGCACAGATAAAAGGAAATGAGTAAAGTGTGCAGTCCTTCTGTGTTATCATGCATCTACTAGTACAATAATCATCAAGGAACGATTGGTTGTCTCTAGTAATATCGTTTTCTTGTGATGATCATTTCAGTACGTGTACATCACTGAGTGGTAGGCAAAGAATATCAAGCTACAGGTAGAATCCTGATAATTCGAACCTCAAAATGCCAGGAAAAAACTTTTAATTATCCGGACATTCTAATTATCCAAACATGAACCCAAAACACAATATGTATGTCAAAATGCTCTCCTGGTCACACAGAGTTGCGCTATGGACCTTAGACACAGATTTCACGGATGCTGAACTGACCGGCACAGCCTGCTCATGCAAACTGAACTGACCAGTTCAATGTACAGTGAACTTCGAATTACACTTTGCTCACTTCGAATTATCAGCACAAATCCTACACATTTTCTATGTAAGTGGAATCTGTGGGACTTCTAATTAACCGCACATATCCAGTTCGAGGTTCGAATAATCAGAATTTTTTATGTGGGAATCGTATTGATAGAAATCGATCCTGGACACACTTCTAATTAAGCGGTATGTTCGAATTAAGCCATATTCGAATTATCAGGATTCCACCTGTATTATACAAATTGATGTGTCGAGTGAATGTACAAAATAAGAACAATGGTTGTGAATGTACTCGGATGGAGAGACAAGAAAAAGGACCCATCACTGGCTGTAGTGGCTTGTGATCTTGGGTGCCGATGTTGGCGAACTTCTCCTCTCGTTAGCACCTCCTCTGGTTTCTTGCATTGCATTTCCCCTGATGACGATTGGACAAGAACCCTTGTTTGGAAAGCGGAATGGAGTGATACATTTGGGGGGGGGGGGGAGTAGCATGATAGGGGCTCTATACAATATACGTTCAGTCGACTCCTGATAAAACGAACACCATTGTGCAATTAGTAACGAGAATGAAGGGTCCATTTTGTGTTTGTTCAAACAGGGACATAGACAATGGTTCGCAATATGCAAGTTTGTTACAAGTGGAGTCGACTGTATGTTTCACCCGTGGGCAGCATTTTTTTGTGCAGGAGTAAACCGATTGGTTTCGATAATGGGAAGCACTTGTGTGGGCCCCACTGTTTTCACCTTGTAGACTAATGGGTGGGTTCCCAGTCGTTGTTGGTAAATCAAGGCTAATTCTTCTCCTGCTGCGTTGCTCTTACTGCTACTGGCTTTTACTGAATGACTGGGTCGCTGCTGCCTTGTTTTGTCTTCGCAGTGATAAGATACACAACCAAGGTCGACTTGAATCGTCCATGCTGATCTTCTCTTTGATGAGGTGGTTAATTGCAACCCCCTTGCACTGCATTGTTTCACTGTTGCCAGTGCATGCTTGGTGAATGTGTGCGCATGTGCATATGCATGCGTTTGTACATGCCCATGAGTATGTACATGTATGTGCGAAGAGAGTGTTTGTTTGCGAGTGGTTCTGAGACAGCATGAGTAGGATTAGGAAATGCAATGCTGGCTAGTGGAATCCGGCCCTTGCGTTTTGCCTGGTGTCATGCCATGACTCCGCAATTCGGGGGGCCATTGTTTCTCTGTTACAATTTGTATGCGCTGGCAGACCTTTTGTTTGATGTGCAAGTACGCCACTGCATGCAGCCAGTGCGAGGGTCGGATTCACTGTCTGGCACTGTGTGTAGTTAGTGATGCCTTGTTCGTAAATCATGTTTAGTGGGTAGCTTGCCAGCGTATCATCGGTGCGCACTACTGACAACTGTAGGGTAGTTCTCATTAGTTGGTCTCACTTGCCAGCATATTCCAAGCTCTCCTTGGAACATTTTCTTGCACTGTACCCATTTCAATTTCCTCCTAGATGCAAGTTTAGACACCATTGTTTTGCTTTGGAGCACAACTACTAATGGGAGCTAGCCTACACTGTTGCAGTGCACTGCCTGTTAGGCAAGTGCAGCACTTTCCTCATGATCCTTAGTTACCCATCTGGCTAACCGACCATTGGCCTTTTGCTGCTGCTGCTGCTGTTGTTTGTTGTGTCTGTGTTCTGTTGCAGGAAATTGACCCGAAGGCTGGTGGTGGCAGGATCACAACTATGGGTGCCCTTTGTCGCAAGATGCTGGTCAACCTAGATTGGTATGACACTCTCCTGCCACGCATACCCATCAAGATCTCGAAGGAGATCGATGCTGAGGTTCGATCGCTTCCTCCTGCTCCGGAGCCAGGTGATGGTGGTAATTTTGAGCAAGACGACGATGCTGAAGAGGCGGCAGCACCTGAAGACAATGAAAGTGAGAAGGCTGGAAGCACTCGTGGCTCTCGACAATCATCGCCACACCGCACCGAATCCCGGAGAGACCGGGATTACGACAGTCGAGGAAAAGACTACTCTCGTCACTCAGAGAGAGATAGAGACCGCGACTATGAACGATCCCGTGATAGAGACTATGAGCGTGACCGGAATCGAGACAGAGACCGTGAGAGGGACAGGGACCGTGACAGAGATAGAGATAGGGACCGAGACAGAGATCGTGACAGGGATCGTGATCGGTACCATGACCGTGACCGAGGACGAGAGCGAGATTATGATCGCCGTGACAGAGATAGGGAGTATGATAGGCGAGATCGCGACCGGGACTATGATCGCCGTGACCGAGATGCAGATGCGGACAGCAGCAAACATCGCAGCAGAGATCGTGAAGATCGGGACCGATCTCGTGACAAGCGTGACCATTGACGTCTTTCTGCTGTTGCAGTATCGCACTCCCAACCTGCTACTAATGCCTACTTGAGTGAAGTGCTGCATTATGGCGTGTATGTGACTATGTGTATTTGTCTGTGTCTGTGTGAATCTGCCATTGTACATAGTGCTTTTTCGTTGCTGATTCTCAATTGCTGCGCATGTGAATCGCCCTGCGTGTCTGAATCATGAAATATACAAAAAATAGGTCCTAATCTGATTTGTTGCCCTCGGTCCTCATATAATTATATGTATATTATACATAGTGCGCTGTATTCTTCTACGTAGTCTGTCAATATTTTTTGGACATCATTCTCATCTGTAGTGTGCGCTTCTGCCTTCATCTCTCCTAGATCAACGTGGATTTTGCCAAGATCCGATTGCTTAGGTGGGTTTTTACTTCTGCTGTTTCTGTTCATGTGTTCTTCTCTGTCAAATGTATCACTGTTCATGCAGCTGTGTTGGTGGACAAGCATAGTTCATAGAGAGGATTTGTCTTCATCGCCTGTCTTCATCGCCTGCTGATCACTTGTCTCTGTGTACACCTGTGAGGCTGTGTGCTGCTCCGAGACCTCTGGATTTGCGAGGCCAATCTACAAAGGCTCGTTTTCTTGTGTGGGTTAGCATGGGCCATGCTGGTACTGTGAAACATGTAATTTTAGGTGCATTAAAATTTCGGTATCAGGAACCCGCCAGGTTTCAGGTGTAATGTAGAATTACAGGTGACCAGCACTCCCTTCACGTACAGTGTCAGTGCATACTCTAGTGCCTTCTAGGTGTAATCTAAATTTAGGTGCTTGTTTTCACTACCGAAATCACCAAAATTAAAGTTACACCACCGAAAATATCGTGTTTTACAGTTTCCTAAATGCTTGCAACCTTACAGACACAAGTGATGGAACCTGTGTCTCAGAGTCATTGTGGTCATGCTGTGGCAAATGATTCATGTTTCCTTGATCATATTTCAGCATACTTATGCAGTGGGTGGACGGTCACTACCGTATACGGTATAGTCGCTGAGTGAGAGAGCTGCCAGCTCTGGGCCCTCACTATGCTTGGTACTAGAGGCATGCAAACCCTGCCCCTGGACACACACATGCACACGTACATACAGTAGTCGCGTGCCCAAGAACGTTGTTTCCAAGGGACTAGCCTGGGACGTTCTTATTTTTTCAGCAATCTGGCTGCGTTCTTATAACACGTTCTTAGAAACAATCCGTACTGAATCATATGTATCCCACAGGCTCCCAGAAAACCAATACCGCTGTCCTTAACTTTAGGCTGTAGCGTTCTTAGTATTTCAGGCTGGACGTTCTTGGGCTCCACGTTCTTCAGCGCGCGACTCTACTGTACGAAATAAAGCGATAGAGACCATCATCTTTTGCATAGGTTCAGGAACTAAAAAGAGTACCAAGCTTGGTCATACTATACCATATATGCACTACATGACATGCTAAATCTGACAAAACATCAGGTAAAAGGACAAAACTAAACAATGAAAATGGAAAACAAGGCGCCTAGGGGGAACGTTAGATGTGTGTTTTATGTTCATGTACAATCGTCATGTTACTTCAGTCTGAGGGAGCTGAAAAGGGTACTTCAAAACATAAACACAATAAGCACACCAGCCATCATTAAAATTAATACACTGGTCCATATCTGTAGTCAAGAAAATCAATGAAATATAAAATACGGAAAGTGGTGACCGAAAAGTACTGGAACACAACGCAACATACAAGATGTCAAAGCGAAAGTATCTGATGTGATGAGGGGAAGTGTTAAAATAACTGTGCACAAACTGATAGTGAAAAAGTACCCAGATGAAATCGAAATGATCAGTCTGATGATGAACTTACCGACTACTAGTAACTACATTTTGACGATAATTTTCGTGAAGATTATGACAAAGTTTGGAATTCTAGAACGGCTGCCGCGTGAGCACTCGTACTGGTGTGATGACGACATCAGGAGACGGTAAGGGTATTATTCACTTGCCAGCAGCTGCTGCATGATCCATAACAGTCAGTGGCGCCAGCGCCCGTGTCTTGTTTGTTTCAAGGATCTGTCCATTCATAATCATTTCATCCAAGATCAAGTGAGCTTTCTCCAAATTGAACATAATCTGACACGTGTCAGTCAAGAAATTCAGCCTTTGTTAAACACGTTACGTTGTAAAGCATTCCAACGCATTCGACAATCATACAAGAATGTCAAACTATTAGTATTACTATAGCAGATATATGTGGGTATGTGGATACTTTACACGAATTACAGTTGCGCTCACTGAAATCCGACCCAAAGTCCAAAGCTGACGCCCTGGACCAGTTCCGATTACATTGTATGTGTACAAGTGTACGCCCAGCCGCATTCATTCCATTTCGAGGGCGTCAAGGGCCGTGGATGGTGAGGGTGCCAGCTTTGCACGTTGGGTCGGATTTTAGTGAGCGCAACTGTACCTTCAACTACCAGTATGTACAGGCAAGTCAGTGACCACTAATGCCGATGATGAAAGCTCTGCCCCTACACCAGGGAGTCGTAGCAGCTAGGGAGACAACACAGGTGACCGGAACATGAAACAATGCGGGTTTAGGTCCCAGGCTAGGCTGCCCAGTCCAGTTGCCCCAGGCCATGACCGATTTATACACCCTAGTATATGACATCGCTGCCCCGGGCCGTGCTTTGGATCAGCAGGCCATCGTCAAGTCCGCAATCGCAGTGCCAAGTTGCATAGAGCACGGATCACGTCAACTTGCAAATCTAGGGTTGAAACACATTGTTGTGGGTACTACGTTCTCGGGTTGTCTCCCTAAACGGTACGACTCCCCGCCGCACACCAACCACACTGATCTAAGTGCAATACATTGAGCCGCAAAACACCGTATGTGAAGAGAAAAAAAGGATACATCCAGCTCACACTGCAGGACAAAAGAGAAGACATGGAGAGAGAAGCAGAGAGGTAAGGTGGGTGTAACAACTGAAATCACCCTATTTTAGTTGCTACTCAATTAATCATACGATTTCAGACATCCGCCGGCAGACTCTCAACTGGATGATTACACAATTTAATAGGTCAATGCTCTGCTTACAATTCAGCTGTGGAGGAAGACCACCACATCATCTCTACATATGATGGTATACAGAACGCATCCTAACACAATTCATGCTAATCTTTCGAAAATTCTTGCCCTGATTTTCTAGGGCTTGAAAAGCTGTTGAATGTCAGGAAGAATGGTACACGCAGGAGGACTCGTACATGTCATGTGTGTGGCCCAACGCAAAGATACGCGCTGACTACTAGGGTCCAACATAGTGCACATGACTACACAACACATCATCATGTAAACCAGTCAACAGTGATAGGAAGACAACAGGGACGGTGCTGCACCATCTTGCAGTGAAGGAGACTTACCACGTTGTTGAAGTAGCGATCAAATGTCTCAACAATGTTATGGATGAACTCCAAAATTGCAAGTTCATTCTACAGAGTGACAATACCAAATACATGCATGCACGCGGGCAGGCAGATAAAGACAAAGAGCGTTACAGGAGTATTTAAGTGTCAGGCGCAGCTGCTTGGCATGGCCCGCATCAATGCAATGTTGGTCTCACAACAGTCCACATATACTATGGTAATTCACACGTCATGCGAATTGCCACAATAGACTCATCTGCATAGGATCTACAATGTACAGCAATTATCACATCATGGGGTATTGGTAGTGTGTTGCTGTAGATGACAGCTAAGCCGCCCCAGTTAAATGCTGGTGCACTTTGCTCTGGAAACGGAGCGAAGAATCCACAGTCATATGTTGGTTATCCGAGCACTTTGGGACCTCCCCCCCCCCCCCCCCCCAGTTTGAACCAAGGAAAAATCGGATAACTGAACCTTACTTGCATGATGTTTTATGTCCTTCAATTATGTTGCCTAAATAAGTGCTTTTTACAAGAGGAGGAACCTTTCCAAAACTAGAGTTGAAACAATCATGCCGATTACTTTTCAGCCACCAAAATGCAGGGAAAATGGGCAGGCCAAGCCACTCACAACCCTAATCATGATACCTGCTAGGGAGAACTGTGATTTCCAAGTGGTCTGGCATCATCCGTAGCCTCATTTTTCTGACGTGATTCATTATTTTTTTTCTCACAAAAGAGAGTAAAGTAACCCTAGCTCAATGAAATTGAACGCCTGAAGATAGTCGCTACAACCCACAACTTGATCACTAACAAATAATTATAGGTAATTCAGGGGTGTCACACACGGTACGACCATGGTCGTACTTCCAAGTACTGTACCACTTTTCGCCCAAGGTGGTCCGCCAAATTCATCTAAAAAAGCAATACAATTTTTCGTATGATCATGCACCTGTATGTGCAAAACAGTCCTATGTTGATGTGGCTGCTCCTCAGCTCTCACGGCGACGGAAAGCACCTGCAAGGCTGGAAGCAGGCGCAGCAGCTCCTCACTACCCAGTCACTGTTAAGCAGAACTATCAACCAGTATTCTACCAGGCTGTTGACAGCATTGTGAGTGCGATTAAAGATCGATTTGATCCGCCAGGCTTGCAGCGGTACATGCACTTGGAGCAGCTTTTGCTGAAGGGAGCCACTGGTTCTGATTGCACCGAGGAGAAGCGGCAGGTTTCACAGCTTTGGGTCGATGAATTGAACATGCCTTTGCTTGAATCCCAAAGCATCCTTGCATCGCACGTCACTCCCAATGAACAGTCTTTGGTCAACATCATCCAAGATGTGAATTCTCTTCCAAGTAAGCACTTCCTGGGCAAGGTGGTTGTCGTGCTGTGGCTTATCCTGGTTGCCTTCGACACCAATGCTACAAGTGAGAGATCCTTCTCCATACTGCGCCGCCTAAAGACATACCTTCGGTCAACCATGTCCCAGCAGCAGTTCTGACGACAATGGACGAGGAATGCGATTTTAGTCCCCAGGACCCCCTCTTTCTTCTCTCCACCCCCCCCCCCCCCCCCGAGAGGTTGGCGTGGCTGTCGACCTGGAATACACTAGCATGCTGAAACACGGTTCTATTAAAATTGTAAAAATGAGAAGAAACACATGAGAATGAGTTATGCAGCAACTATCCACGACTGAAACAAGATAATAAACATTCAGAAAGTGCGATAATAGGGCACACAACTGACAGGCTACTGAGACATTCAGCGACCCGAGTAGCCTGTCAGTTTTGTGCCCTATTATCGCACTTTCTGAATGTTTATTATCTTGTTTCAGTCGTGGATAGTTGCTGTCAGTCAAAAATAGAAAAAAGAAAGAAAGAAAGAAAAGGACCATGCAAGTACATGTACAGCATTGTCTCATGCCGAGGAACAGGGGGCTCAGAGCTGTTATGTAGCCTAGGCTGTTCTTATTTTCCATGTAGAATTGCCTTTACACTAGTATTATAGTCAAACCAAAGTGTACATACTGGTATACTGCATCTGGTAAAAATTCTAGTCTATTCTGTTTTTCAGCGCATCGTTCTTTGGCGGGCGCCAGTACAGTATACAAGTAACAGTTACAGGGACTGAGAAAAGAGGTGCACTATCCGATCACTTACCTCAGTACTGTCCACACCAAGAATGAAGTACAATGAAGCATACCGCCGGTATATTACCCGAAAGGACTTATAGTCCATAAATGAGCACTGTCAAAGTAAAAAAAAGCAGCCAGATTGTGTTTGGCAAGAACAATACTGTGTTCCAATTGCAAGAAGAAAATTTCTAAATACTAACATGATATCTGACTGTCTAACCGTCCATCCTGCTTTGGGATAAGGAATTCAAATGGATTTCTATGGATGATAATTTTCGTTGCATATTAAATACAAGAGAGCTTGGAAGCTCAGGGCCCTACGCTATGCTTTTATGCTTTCTTGCCTAGCTCATCGTACATGTTATTAGAACTGATGGAAATGTTTTTTCCGCTGATTGGCCACATCATTGTATTGCAAAAACGTTTCAATCAGTTTGAATACGAGTTAGGCAAAAGTATTTGCAGAATTTATTGCGGATTGTTGTTTCTCTAATTTCATCCACTTTTGGTTTGCTCCTTCTTTTCTTTTTATCTCCTTATACTGTAAATCAACAAATTTTGGCCGATGAGAAACTTTGGCGGATCTCGAAACGAAACTTTTCGCCATCATTACGGAGGATTAGCAAGACGAAATTCGCGTTCGCGTTCACAAACATTTTCAATTCGCGAACTGGATTGCGAACTTTCGCATTTTTCGTTCGGAAAAGTAGTCGGAACACGAATCGCGGATTCGTGTCAGGGCAGTCATAAATTTACCACGCTGTACTGTCTGTACACAATGTACGCCGTGTCAATGTCATGCATGTGCGAATTCTCTTTGCTAATCCTTCTCATAACGCGAATTCCGTCACTGAGTTCGACTTTCCTTGGAGAGCGAACGCGAACGCGAATTTCGTCTTGCTAATCCTCCGTATTAAACTTTGGCCGATTGGAGTTTTCAATAAGAAATCGATCGGTATTTTTGCTCTCACATGCATCCATTGCTCAATCATGCATCATTTGCCTCTATGACAAACTTTGGCCTGCGATTTACTTTGGCCGGTTGGTACCAAGCGGCGAAAACAGCGAAATTAAATTGCCAGCGAAAATTAGTTGATTTTAATACAGTAATCGGATTTTCTGGCCTTTTTGTAGTAATACATTGACCTGTTGAGCCAATGAGGACGGCCGAATGCATGGTTGCCTGTGGAGCACATTACGTAACTTTACAGTCTCCAAAATACGTATCCTGTCCGACGGCAAAAGAGGCTGCAGATTTAGTTTTTCTGCGCGTCGACGGGATGTCTGTCCTGACGTTTCCTGGGACCGGCGCTTACTCTGCCGATCACGGGCGTTCTGGAGTCGACGGGATGTCTGTCCTGACGTTTCCTGGGACCGGCGCTGACTCTGCCGATCACGGGCGTTCTGGACTCGACGGGATGTCTGTCCTGACGTTTCCTGGGACTGGCGCGGACTCTGCCGATCACGGGCGTTCTGGAGTCGACGGGATCTCTCTTCCGATGTTTCCTGTGACCAGCGCTGCATCGCTCGTTCATGCTTATTTTGGAGACGACGGGATCTCTCTTCCAAAGTATGTTTTTGCTGAGGCATTCTATCATCTATTCGGCAACTAACGTCCATCCTAAATTCATTTCCTCCTCGTCTCCCTATTTCTTTCCAAATCTCCCTCTACATCAGGGAGATTTGACAGAATGCGACGAATATTGTGGCCAGCTGTTTGTACGGGACGGTACCGGACAGATACGGGAGCCAGCAAATATTGTGGCCAGCTGTTATGTACAATCCTGTAGAGCCTTTGTAGTCACAGATACGGGATAGCTCCAGGCGTGACACAAACACACAAACAAACAAACAAACAAATACCAAATTAAAGCTGTGTGGACCCTGGCTAGCGCCAGACGTTACTGAAGCAACGTCTTCTGCATACTGTAAGACATGTTATTATAACGAGCCGCAAATTTAACGATTGTCCAAAATTCATAGGTCAACGAGAAGATATGTTAACGATCTTGCAGTATTCTGCCATATCCACACACAGCATATATGAAGCAGTACGGCCTCAACGGATCTTATTATAACGAAGAAATGTCATCCGTTAAAACGTTAGACTTGCTTCCTCGTTATATATACATGTCTTACAGTAGTTACGGGAATAAAAAGTTTATGACGATAGTACTTCTCGAAGTATGGGTATGGCGTTAGTATGGTGGCAAATGTAACATGTCTATTGTCTGATAATGCAAAGCGGGGAACATGTCAGACCAACCCTGGTACACGTTATCAAGAGTACATGAACCAGGGTGTGCAGCTCCAAGTGAATTGTCCCACGGCGAAGGTTTTTGTTTGGTCATTTAGCACTGTACCTACGGTATGACAGGTTTTCTACGATTCATGAGGAGACCTACGGAAAAATCTTCGCCGTATGACCGGAAAGATGTGGAGCTGCAGATTCTTGGTTTAAGTACTCCTGATGTTTTGGATTCAAATTCAAATTATTTTAGTCTTCAAAAGTATATTTAAATGCTCAAACATGAACAGTGCAGTGGAAAAAAGCAGCACTATGCTTACCTGTGTTTCATTGCGACTTAAACACTTTCGAATGATCTCAGCTTCGGTACTGACCCGCTCCTCAATAGGAGTGAACTCATAGTACTGGCTAAGGCGAGTTTGCCCTTGCTTATTCACAAGCAACACAAATTTTATTGTCATACCGGCAGCAGTTTGCAGCGAAATCGCTGCAGGCCCGAGCTACCTGACAGTGACGTGCAATGCAATTAGCTCTGTCAAATATCATTCAGCAGAAGGAGGATCTGATCCTCTCTATTTCAAAATATAGATACAAACTCATCCGCAGCTGAGTCTGTCGCAGCACTGTGACTGGTACTCGCCCACTTCGCACTTGCTACCAATGTGATTACACAATGATGATGTACCAATATGCAATCTCAAACCTGTAACAATTTACATCCAAGCAAGCCATTCCAAAGATGAACGAATTAATTTTATAATTATTCAAAATTTAATGATTAATTACGATTACATGTTCATGCATAATTATACAGAAGCAAACATGTTCATGCATGCAGAGAAAAAATAATTATTGTAGTTCTCAGAAAACAGAAAAATGCACACGAAGTGTTCGCATCCAACAACGCCGCGCCCGCGGCGCCGTGTTGGCCAGTACAAAAACGGAATGACATCATGACGTGTTTCACGAAAATCATGTAAAATTTCCGAGATGTTTTTGCTTGTTCAAAGTTGTTGCCAATGTTGGATCTCCGACTCGGCCATAGGAGGAGAGAGAGATCGATATGTCGATCAGTTCAAGATCATTAGCTATTATTGTAGTAAGTTACTTTCACAGTTCCAGTAGATCTACTCATGCTTCACCTGACATAATGTCATTGCGCCGCATACCTGCTGCCGGCTAGCCTTTCATTTTTCAACACTTCAGAATGATGCAAAATGCAAAGCTAGTGTGCGAGATTTACGGTATAAAAAAAGACGGCAGTCGGTCACTGTGGCTGATTTGAATTAGATTTTACAGTAGATCTGGCAAGTTAGTTACTGAAGTTCGTGAAATGGACTCCATTGACCTTGCACCGTGACTAGACTCGGACAGGGATACGCGTTCATTTGCAGGGAAACTACAGACTGCACTTCCATCGAAAGAATCCACCAGGAGGAAAAAAACAGAGCACGACACAAAAAACTTCAATTCTTCGCGCCATTCTCGCAAAGTGCGCGCATGTGCAAACTTCAAAGGAGTGTCATACGAATGGCAACAACATGAACATGGAGGGCCAGGAAGAAGTGCAGCTCTCTCAAGGTCCCCAAGAGGGGGATTCTCGAGGTGGATCGCAGCAGTATTCTATGCCAGGTGTTGTTCAGTTTATCCAACATGAGTGGTCAATGTTTGAGCGCGAGAGAGCTCGCTGGGAAGTGGAGCGAGCGGAGTTGCAGGTCTGAATTTTTGTCCTCATTGAGCTGTTAGCAATTCACAGATGTATGAGAGCAGCCCTATGTATCTGCTTCCTTTGTAGGCTCGAGTGGCGTTCCTGCAAGGCGAGAGAAAAGGGCAGGAAAACTTGAAGCATGACCTGATGAGACGCATCAAAATGCTGGAGTATGCTCTGCATCAAGAAAGGTAATAAGAAAATTCTTGAATATATTTTCATTTCAATTCGAAATTTCAGTTGAGATGACGACCCCTCTGTGCTGTGTCGCAAATTGTTCAGACAACGCTATCACAAACTGAAGTATGGAAAAGATCCGCCATATGCACATCCAGAGAAGCCAACCGATTCCGAAGAAGGTATGCGCTGTGAAATATTTTTTTGAATTTTTGACTCATTCACAATGTACACTGTACATGATTGTATGACAATCACGTTGATTTTTCCTGTAAGTGCCACAACAGTTTACATGTTGAACATAGTGTGTACCGTTGGTGTTCGCTCTGGGTGGAGTGATTCATCAATGGTAGGTCTACGTAGTGATTTGTATTGGCTGTGAAAGTATACACTTCATGTTTTTTTTGTCTAATAGGTCCACCTGGGCCATCTGTAAACCATGCTGGAGCAAATGTGGAACTGCGACCAGGTCGACAACTACTCTTGCAGTAAGGAGCTGGGCACGCCATATGATGCATGCTGTTCATTCTCAGTATGGTTTACTCATTTGCATCGTGCGGGATGCACATACACATAAGGGCCTGCCATTGTTGCCTGCAAATAGCGGTGGTACATGACTGTATACATGTATAATATAACCTAGTTTTTTTTACATGTGCGCTCCAGGTATCTACATGAAGTCGGATGTACTGACAATATGCTGGAGATTCGTCGTGCCAGGCAATTTCTGTATCCAACAGGTGTGGATCCTCAAGCAACACCAGGTTCACCCTTCTCGTCTCATGTTAGCCGAACGTCTACATCTTCACCTCCACCAGGAGTTGAGCACACACGGTAATTCTCGCGTAGTTTCTCGTTTGGGCTGTTGCCCTATTTTCATCACATGTATGGGCGTGGCAAATAAATAGATTTGTTTGTACCTTGTGTGTGTTTTTTGGCAAATTTTGCAGCTACAACCACCACTTACCAGAGACTTCATGGTTCAGTTCTTACTGATGCAGAAAAGGGGCTCTTACAAGAGTACATAAGCTGTAGTGTACGGATCTGCATGTAGGCTCGGGAAGGGAGAATTTGTCGATTAGGTCGTTTTCATATCGAGCCTCTGTCATGCCGACCGACATTGCATCATTTGTGTGCTGCATTTCACTCATTCAACGTCAACCTAACCTGCTGTGAGAGTTTGAATGAGTGAAGAAGCTGTTAGGAAGGTGGAGTAATTTGTCACTACTGTTAGCGAAAGTGTCCTTCCTTTGGCGGTGTGTTAACCCTTTCCGTGCTAATGACGTCTATAGACGTCATGCGCACTGTACGCCAAACGACTAATGACGTCATGCGATTTGCGCAGTACATCGCAGTGCATAGATCAGTGTACACACTTTCGTAACTCTGTCAAAAATAAGTCTATCGCGACAATCGATACACCGTTGGAAAGGTATTGAGCTCAGCTTTCCAGCGATATAAAGTTCTTTGCGATAGGAGAAAGATTGACGGAGCGGCGACGGAGTAAACACGAAATTCACGGCGCTGAGTGATCGTGAATTTTTTTGTTCACGCGTTCGCAGTTTTCTGTTGCGTGCCAGGGGATTTCCCTTTGGAACAGCAAATACGTAATGGACACCAGCGGAAGCATGTCAGCTTTGCAGCTCCATCTCAGCTTTGCAGCGCAGTTTGAATCGTGAAAATCGGCTGACCTGGAGGAAGAAACTAAAAAAGAATGTGAGATGGAGTTCCTGTGCCTTTCCAAGGCATCGTGAGGTAGCCTCAAGAGGACGTAGAAGTTGCACCGCTGTGCATATTGAGTTGAGAGATACCAGGATGGATTCGCTTGTCCTGATCTTTCCAACAAGCCCAGGATGATGAAAATCCATCAGGGTAAACTGAATTGAGAGAAAACTTCGTTCGGACCTGCACGCGAAAACGACACCAGGAGAGTCAGTGCGCTGGAAAGGCAGTTTTCTGGAGTAAAGGGGGCCAGCACGGAAAGGGTTAATGGGCCAAGCGTGCAAGATGACAAGGTGTGGTAATGTAAAAAGAGGGATCATGTGTTTCTTAGTTTTGTTCTGCATTCTGTGCTTCCTTACAGACCGTGTTCCCCTCTGACTTCATACAGTCCGTTCCGCCAACCTGAACCGAATGGTCCAGAGTTTCCTATGCATGATCAGAACGAGGCTACGCCAGAGATCAATGGTTCAACTGCTGGGAGTGGACAAGTGGAGAGTGATATTGTTGAAGACTCGTTCAAGTTTTTGGACAATGGTGATGACGAAGATGATGATGAGGAGGAGGACAATGATCCCATTCTTGGTGATGTTACTGTTGAAGCTGAACTGGAGGAGACTAGTACTGAGGATGTCATGGCAGAGTTTGAGTTTCTGAATGACATGGGCGGCGAGGAAAGCGCTAGTGATGCAACTAATGGAATTGAGGTCCCTGCCACTGGTGTTCGTAGTCATGGTGTGCCAACACCAGCTCTACCATCCACTGGGTCACCATCACGGCATGCAGAAGATGCTTCCTTGGACTTGCCTAAGAAATGGCACCGGCCTGGTCGCAAGGCTCTGAAGACAATGATGCATAACATGCCGGCCGAAGACGAGCCTAGTCCCACTGGTGCAGGTCCAGGCTCGCTAGGTTCGCTGCTTGCTGGGCAAGAAACGACACCAGCACCAGCTGCACGTAAGCTCGAGTGTGCATGCATATGTGTCCACAATTCTGTGCGTTTACTAAATTCTATAGGTGCTGCTGCTGTTTCCAAACAGGTGTATTTTGTCTGTATAGCTGTCGCTTTGGCTCTTATAGTGGTGTGTGTATGTGTGTGTGTACTGTGTACTGGATGTACTGTGTTGTAGCGCATTCAAGTACAGGAGAAAACTTGGAGATGCTGGGCCTGGGTGAGCTGGCTGGATTATCAGTCCCTGGCGAGTCAGAGCCTGCAGTAGAGGTTAGTGTTCATTTGCCCCCGGCTTCGTTCACATGAGCCAAATGGGCACTGGAAGGCAGTGGCCCGGCGCCCAGTCAACCATGATGTCAAGCGGACACCGCATGTATACGCTTCCAGTACATGTACTCATTGTAGAATGAAACGTACTACAGTGCTGGCAACTGAAATCCGACCCCCTTGGCGCCGCACCGCCAAGGGGGTCGGATTTCAGTTGCCAGCACTGTACAACTTAGTGTAACACAGTGCCTGAATACTACGACAGGATTGCCCTTTGTAGCTTTATTTCTTCAGTTGTTAATCGGACAGCAATGGTCCTTCGTTGCTGGCTACTTGACACAACCTCTTTCTGAGAATAGCAATGCTTTCACATCCTTTACTGTTGTTCAGTCAGCAACGGGCTTGAAATCATGGCTGGAAACTTGGATGAACTAAAAAAACCTAGCAATTGCGCATTTTGTCTTTTGTTCTTTTTTTTTACTCTGCCATGTGGTAGCGTAGATTCAATAGTTCAGATTCCGCGAATGTGATTGATGATTAAGGTCATAGTTTAGCATTAGCCTTGCTTGCCAGTGTTCTGTAGCTCTGCACCTGTGCGCTTCTCTGCTTTTCATACTCTAACAACACACTTGTGTGATGTGCCCCTGTGTGTGTGTGTGTGTGTGTGTGTGTGTGTGTGTGTGTGTGTGTGTGTGTGTGTGTGTGTGTGTGTGTATGTATTTGTGTGTATGTGTGACGCAGGGTACGAATTTAGTCGCGCGTCGGAAGATGTGGAACCTAAAGCATTCACTTAGGAGTCACTTTGACTGTGTCCGATCTATGGCGTTTCATCCAACAAAACCTTGCATTGTAACGGCTTCAGAAGATCGAACCTTGAAGCTTTGGAATTTGGATAAGGCAACTCAGCCCAAGAAAAGCGCTCTACCAGAGGTTGAGCCTGTTTACACCTTTCGGGGTCATCGGTGAGTTGATCTGTTTCTTCCTAAAGATTTCCTGCAGTATAGCGTTCATTGGCGAGCTAGGCCGGTCCAGTGAAGGGTTTCTGTTTAGTTGCTTTTGTCAATAGGTTTGAGCGTTCCAGCCTAGTGATAACGTGGTACAGTGCTGTCTTAAATTTATGGGCTTTGATAGACATTACTAGTACCTGCTGACCGCTGTTTGTGTGTGTGTGTGTGTGTGTGTGTGTTCTCATCTATAGTGGTGCGGCCCTTTGTGTTCAGTGTACAAACGACGGCCAGTACTGCGTGAGTGGTGGAGGTGATGGGCAAATCTACCGGTGGTCCCTGCATTCGTTATCCGGCGATCTTTACGATCCTTTTGGTGAGAGCAGTAGTTTTCTCTGGGTGTGAGCATGTTATGCTTTATACATGCAGCACTCTTCTATGCGCCACGCAACGGCTGCAGAATGTTGAAGTTTGCCTTGTTCATCCTGCCAATGTGTCATGCAAGTAATGTCTTTTTCCTGAACGCACGGCTGTTCGCGCACGGACATCTAACAATATCATATGGAGTCGTTCAGTGCGATTTACGTAACGCGGTGCAAACCTCATGAATACGATGGGAGTTTGCGTTTTGGGATGAAACTCATGTCACTCTCCGTGTGGTTCCACGATTTCGCAAGTCAAACCAGGATTTATTATTTGAAAGCGCTCGAGCGAGATACTCAATATCCAGACAATTTGAGAGAGAAGGAAGGTAAAAGGAACTCCTGCCATGGTCAACCAGCATCCTGACCTTTTCGAACCTCTCCAAGCTATCCCTGGTAGTCTGGATATTGACGCACGCACTGATTTTCAGCTTCTCCTCGTCGGGATCATGGGTGCAACTTTCAAATTTGCCGATATGCACTCGAACAAACGCACATCTACATCACAATTTCGGGGCTATCTGTGTGCTTGCTGCCTTTTTCAACAATACCCCACATGTCTACTGGGCAGTTTCCACCAGGCCTCGGCCTCCTGGACTCAACAGCGACTCCAGCGCCATGCCATCTGTCCCCTGAATCGCATGAAAAGGTAGCTCAGCATCGCACGCACGGGACCTGAAGTTTGTGCACGGGACGTGATAAAACTTGATGAAGATAGCCAGAAGATAGTCCTCTACCTGGGAAAACTGAAAGCTAGACTGGGAAAACTTCTGAAAGGGCTTCTTGAGGCAGGCATGTCAACGATGAATCAAGGAACGAGCGAGAAAGAAGGCTTGACTTGTGCAACGCGGAACAAACTGTTCCTGCGAGGAAGTTGGCCATGTGAGGTACCAGCGGAAAGCTAGTTTCAAGAGGAACACGGAATACCTGTTTTCCGGGTAAACCTGGCCTGGTAGCTTTCTAAATTGAGCGAAAACCACAGCGAAATCGGCTGCTGAGAATTTGAAAATTCAAATTTCCTTGCCGATCCAGCCCAATCGAGACTTTTGGCTGCCATCTTGTTAAATGTCCAAATTTCGCGAAAAAACAGCCGTGAACGTTCGAACCTTTTTTCAAATTGTCTGTGCATGTGCAAATGGTTTACCTATGTTGTTTAGTTTTCGACTACGTGGTTCTCGGCTGTAGTTTATCAGTAGAATTATACTATCATGTACAGTATACTCGTGTTATGTCGCTTTGCCACTATGTACCGTCAGCTGTCATGATTCCTGTATTCATCCGTTTCCAGTTTTATTTGTTGAAGTAAATAGTTGACATGTCGTGTGTGTGTTTAGGACAGTGGACTACCTTATTACATGTATATTCCTTTTGCCTATTCTGCAGTTGCACGCGTGTGTTCACCTCATTGGCCTCACTCGTTCCTCATTTCTTTTGTTCATTTGGCTTTTGCGAAGACTAGCCAAGCTTGCTTGGTGATGTCATCGCGGACAAGCGCATAATAACTCTTGTATCTCAGCTTTCTATATTGGGTTTGTCATGATGAATGCCTGTACTTTGTTCATATGTGTATAAGAACTCTTCCATGGTATGTGTTGGTTGCTATTTAGATACCAGTTCAGAAGATCGGATATCGTTAGCAGGTCACACAGATGCTGTGTGGGACCTGGCCGTACACAATAGCCACACATTGCTTGCCAGTGCATCGAGTGATGGTACTTGCAGAATCTGGAATTGGATGTCAGGAAACCTGATGAGAACACTGACACCTCCTACAAGTAAGCCTGATGTGCTCTATTTCCCTCTGTCCATCTCTATAGTCCCGGTCTTGAAAACAAGACATGTGTACAATTGTGTAAAGCTACGGTCATTTTCATCTTGAAAGACGTCTGAATGGAAACACACTGATCGTTCTGGTGTTTCACTGGAGGTACCGTATTTCCTTGAACACCCGCCGGCCTTGAATAAGCGCCGCCAGTTTCTTTGAACTGAGGGCTATTTGTACACAAGTGCAGAGCAGTTCACAATTCATACGCAATTTCACAGCACGAGATGAACTTCGGCTACGATGTCATGTTCCTTCACATGCAGCTAGTGCTGCTCTCGCTTTGGACAAAGGACTCAAATGCGATCTAAAGAAGGGGACAAATCGAACACGCCATGATGATGACCGCTCACAACATAACGAAGAGCAAGACGAGTTATTTTATCGACCACCAAAAAAAGACAATAGTACGCAAACAAAGTAAACGGATGAAACGTAAGACGCACTAAGGATTGTCAAATGTACAAAACCAAGAACTCAGATCGGAGAACTTGTCTAGGAGAACGTGGGCACTGGCACTGTGAAAGGAACGAACGCAGAAAAAGAAATCAATCAGCAGAGAACAAAACTTGCGGCGTCCTTTTTTAATATTGCATCCAAAATTTCAGCATCGACGTCTTCTTGAAGCTCCTCCACTTCATCCCCGTCGCCATGACGGACTGCTGCTGCTGAACAAGCAACTACAGGGGCGTCGGGCACGGTACGGTCACTACGGTATTGACCGTACCACTTTTTGCCCTAGGTACACCGTGAATCAATAAAATACACTGATCTCGACTCTAAAATTTCCAAAATTTTCGGCTCCGCTATCCCTTCCCCCACGAGTAAACTGTACTTCAGATGACTGACCGTACCACCCTAAAAATACCTTCCGACGCCCACTAACTTGCTTGTCGACCCTCATTGACCCTCAAGCTCCTTCGCCATGATATTCTTTTTAATGCACCAGGAAAAGAAATAAAGATGCACTAGCCTATGGTGTAGCTGGACAACAAAGGTTCCACAGTGCGCATCGTACGTGAATACGCACACAGCACGTACATTGTGACATACAACTATGTTTCAGGGCCGGGCCCGTTTTGCTAGTTTTCAATACAAGCTGCGGCGGCTATTCAAGGAAATCCGGTACATGAGTGTCATTGCAACAGTGTGTTATGTGTGTGTTACTGTTAGTCCTTTAAGAAATATTGGCTATGATTTGTTGTGTTTCCTAGGCAACGTTGGTACACCCACCTGTGTGGATTTTGTAGCCAATGAACCCGGCCAGATTGTAGTGGGCTACACATCGTCACAACCTGTCATATATGATTATGAGACGGGGAAGTCTGTCTGCCTCTTCCAGTCAGGTATGTGTCATCAGAATATTTTCAAGCACCGTTGTGATCCACTGCTACTTCCTATGTTAATTGAAAAGCTGTTAACTTTAGTTGCATTACCTGTGTTGCCTCCAAGAACTTGCTTTTTATGTGCTGATGATTTTGGTCTTGTGAAGGGAGTGGGTCTTTTCATTGTCTTTTTGATATGTTGTGCCTCTGCTTTGTCGCATAGATTCATCATCGACCAGTAGTAATACTCGGATAAACTGCATTGCTTGCCATCCTACGCTTGATATGACGATAGCTGGCACAGAGGATCGGCGGATTCAGTTCTTCGATAATCGCTCTGGTTAGTACTGCATGCATGATGTGTGCATTATGCACTACTAGCTCACTACGAACTGAATGGCTGGAACATGTCATTGTAGTTTTCAGGCCTCATCAGTTTCACAACGATGCTACGTTCGACATACGGCACTTGCGACAGGGAAATGCCTATCGCATGGAGTCGCAAGGTTACTGTCCCAGACGTTGACCAAATTTCAACTTTCTCTACGTGCGACGCACAACACATCCATGGAATACAACAGTTGTCTACACTGGATGCACGTGCTATGCACTGTATCCAGATGTTGCAGAAACTATTAAAACAGATTTTGAATCGTGTGTTGTGGCCATAGCTCATCACATGCCGCATGCCGTGTCACAGAAAGTGATACATGTATTGATAACCGTACTTTACCAATCAATTGTTGCACACTGCTGCAAGACATGCCTGTGGCTGCACCACCCGCCTCATACTATCCACAGCGCGGTCTTCCGCGCCTATGATCGATTGTGAATGTGTGCATAGTGTAGTACATCCATGACCTGACGCCGCCACGTGGGTACCCTCTATATATATATAGCCTGGAATACGAATAAGTAATAACTAGTGTATCGTTGTAGAACTGGTGATACAGTGTAGTGTTTTGCTTAGAATCTTCATTGCTGACTTGTTTTGTCTTTTTTCATGCTGCTTTTCACAGGGCAAGTGACACACAGCATGGTGGCACATCTAGAATCTGTGACCAGCTTAGCTATCGACCGTGCCGGACTCTACCTTTTAACTGGTAGTAAGTTTCCTATTTTTTTGTGCTTCACTTCATTCTTAATGGCTGCAACATGTCATTGTAGTTATCAGGGAGATTCTGCTCTACGTGACGGGATCGCAACACGAAGATTTGAGTACTCAAGTTCTAGGGCTCCGCGTATCAAAAAGAAGTTCTGCTCTCTGTTCATGCAGTGAATCAGATGGAATGTGTAATGGGAATTTACTGTCCCAAATGTTGGCAAGTTTTCTCCCGTAATCCGAATGGGAGATCGGGATACGCAGCAGATCTGTGCACATTTTCTTTGCGTGTGCCATGGTGTAGAGGACCTCATCTCTGCCAATAGCTTTCGTGTAGAAATCTGGGCCCAAAAACATGCGAAGCCGTAGATTCTAACCCGGACACCTGTTCGCTATGTGATTTCTTAGAGTAGAACCTCTTGTTGTTTCCATTGTTGCCTTATTCTTTCTACAGTGTATTGGAGTATGTCTAGGGTTTTAGATGGATTGTGCTGTACATAGTGCTGTCAATTCTATTATTACTGTATAAATGATGTGTATTCTCCTATGTTCGCTGTTCAGGTCACGACTGCTCTTTACGTCTGTGGAATCTAGAAGGTCGCACATGTGTGCAGGAGATGACATCGCACCGCAAGAAATGTGATGAATCTGTTCTCGGCGTGGCATTCCACCCTTCATTAGGATATTTAGGTAGTTGTGGGGCAGACTCCGTTGCCAAAGTGTATGTATGAATGGAAAGGACGGGATAGTGCTATTGGTGCCATACTCTCGTCATATTTTTCGTACCTGTTTGAAGTAATTATTGTACATTCTGTTTAAAACTTGCTGATTGCTGTGTATTCGTGCTGTCTGCTTTCTTATATTCAAGTATATATTTTACAAGCCATTTTTTCAATCTCACATGTCTGCTTTTCAGGCTTATTCACAGCAATTGTATTAGCTGCTCTCTAGTTACCAACATTTGTGTTGTTGCTGCTTTTTTAAACATTGCTGTATCATGTGAAGCATCGTGTGGGGTGTTCATTGTTGCGAGCTGCTAGTGCAGAGTTGCTTGTTGCGAGCTGTTTTCATCCTATCTAGGATCTCTCCTTCTCTTATTTTGGCTGTAGTTTTCGTGTGGTTTCTGTGCCTGTCTTCTTCGTCTTTTGTGCTAATCGTTCTTGTGTGATGTGAAATTGTCAGCAGTTGATTGTACGGTGTAACGATGATATTTGATTCTGTATGGCGTCCCCAGGACGAGTGTCTTGGCTTGTTTGTTGTTGGAATATCCCCCATCTTATCGGCCATGGTGAAGCTTTTCCTGTCACCCCTGACTTCCTCTGTCCTTCATCTTTAGCACTGTACATTTTGTATTATATTTATCTGTTCATTTTATGCTTTTGGTTTTAGCACATTGAATTATCTAATCTTGCTGGTCGACCCTCAATCGGTTTTATTTGTCGTTGTTGTTTTGACTATTGGATTGTCATGTTGTAGTTTGCCAGTTTCGGTTTTCTGCATACTTCACATCAAGTAATGTTGGTGAATTTTAAACCTGGTGTCTGAAGCTTGTTTTAATAGCTACAGGACTGCATTTCATCAACCTCGGTGTGTGAGGATTCGATCAGGTTGTGAGGGAGGGTTACGTGGACACGGATTTGGATGACCGAGGGTGGTAGATCTACAAGTTGGTGGCATATGTAGTAGTAGACTACGGGATGACACGAGCTTTAGCAGTATCCATCTTAGCACTTCAAGTTCAACATTACAACAAAATCTTGTCACTGCAATAAAAACTTTAAACAAAAAGACAAATACATTGTAAACAAGCATTTCGGAGACAGCAGTTTTAATAATAATTATTATTATAGCTACTTGAAGTACAAGTAGGTAATCGCACTGTAAGCATTTCCTATAATAATTATTATGTCGACATGTATGTGTAAAATGTTATACGATGATCGCAAGGCACACAACGAATGGGAAAGAGAGGATTTGTTCAGAACTGTTTTCTTGTTACATTCATCAGTGAATCTACGTAGCAATGCTCTTTCCCTTTCGTTGTGTGCCTTACGATCATTGTATAACATTTTACACATAAATGTCGACACAATATTATAGGAAATGCTTACAGCGCAATTAGTCCTCCTTTTGTAGCTGTATTAAAAATACATTGTAGTGCTGATAACAGTACATCTGCATATGCACAGCTTGACACCATTATTGCGTCTTGTCAACATGAGAACAAGAATAATAATAAAATATTCTGGTAGTTTTGAGATAAATCACTACTGGTTAGAAAAAAAGGGCTACTAAGTACTAGTATTAAAAAGCAAGGTCATGAATGACAGTGCAGACCTGTAATACCGGTAATACCATTGTGCACTCAAAATGTTGTACCAGGTCCCATGCAGTTCTCTACCTTTTACCTAACTGTAGGCCTTCATGGCTTACCGGTAAGAACAAAACATTGCACTTTCACTCATAGTCCAAATATAATGATAACTACTACAGGACCACACCAATACAAGCAGAACAATAGAGAGCAGCATTCACAGTGACTGGAAAAGCTACTAGGCTTAATAATAACGACCAAATGACGAAACATCGATGGTGTCATCTCCTTGTATTCTCAAACCCATTGGTCACAGAAGTGAGAGGCAAGAAGCTTGCGGGGTGCACAGGTCCAGACTGCACAGGATCAGTTGCAACACACAGCCGCGCACAGCAGAGTGCAGTTAACTGCTTCACACGCCCAACTCATCGGCAATGTCATCATCATCGTCATCGCTGGGTGCATCGGCGGCTGCGCCACCACGCTGTGCAGCACCGCGATCACCACCCAGGCCACGGCCAAGCGGTATGCCAAGGGAACGATGCACATTCTCAATGATACTGAGGGGAATGTAATAGGCCATGTCCTGGCCAGACAGCAGTGGACTGAGTTCTTGCATCAACTCATATGCCTGCACGATAAAATAGGAAGAAAGAGACATTTCCAAAAAGGCCATTTACGCTCTGTACATTTTCGTCATACAGTGTACATGACATGATGTATTTGCTTGTTGCCATATTTGGAGATGGTGGCAGCCTGCCTTGCTATGGTCCAGGGCACTCTACTTTCGACAGAACACCATTTTCAGTTTCAACCTCGTGTAGCGCTCAAAGAAATGTGCTGAATTCAATAGTCTTGCGATCGTATTCAATGGACGAGTTATAATTATTACAAGTTCTGGACCCAGGTTTGAAAATTCTCGAATGACCAGCAGAATGAGTGGATTACGGCAATGTGAATGAACAACTGGCTGACTGGCTGGAGTGTGAAACCGTGGAAAGAATTTACATACATGTATACCGTAAAGTACCGCGAGAGCCCCCCCCCCACCCACCGCCACCCCCCCCCCCCCCACCGCCACCCCCCCCCCCCACCCACCGCCACCCCCACCCACCGCCACCCCCCCCCCACCCACCGCCACCCCCCCCCCCCCACCGCCACCCCCCCCCACCCCACCCCACCCCCCACCCCCCCACCCCCCCCCCCCACCCACCGCCACCCTTTCGTGGTCGTGTTTCGGAGGTGGGCTCCTGTCTGTAGGTCATACAAGATGGACCTTGCAAACACATTGCACGTTGTGCAGTCACTCCGTACTCAGTTTACCTTGAAGCGGCGGATGCGAGCTCTACACACAAACATACTGAGTAGGACCTAAGTACACACAAACATACTGAGTAGGACCTAAGTACACAGAGGTTCTCAACTTTGCTGCATTCTGCCATACGATTGTCCTTTCCCTGGTTGTAAAATCAAGGTGGGGCTCTTGGGGGCTTTACGGTACAACTCCTCGTTCAAAAACAGCAATATACATGCGGTAGACATGCGTGATGTCAAGAAAGTGTACACCAAATGTATCTGGCAGGAAAATTAGAAATGCCGCTCTTTCACTTTAGAATGGACGGAAGTGGAGTCCGTGGACTCTGACAAAGAAAATCTGTGTAATCGAACAGTGCATGCATCGTAAGGAAATCTAAAAATGGACAGAACTGTCGGTAATTGAACGCGCCCAATGCCTAGGGCTAAGTGTCACCACAGGGACCACACTGATAAAATTTAATAGAGTTGCGCACTCTCGGGGGGGGGGGGGGGGGGGTATGTACTCTCGATGCTGTATTGCATGGAATTGGAGTTGAAGTTACAGAGGACATGGCAGTGAAGGATAATTTAACTTCCAAATTATTTGGTGATGTGATACACAACAGTAACAGCATAGAGTTGGTGGACAGTGGATGAGTGGATGAGTGGAATGCTACACATGCTATGTGACATACAGTCAAAGTTCAAGCATGCTAAGCATTACCAAACAGATAGAATGAAGTAGTTCCTCACCTCTCGAGCATCTCCTCTCTGTGCATAATATTCAACCATGAGGGAGTAGATGTCCCCGAAGGCAACAGCAGTCTCCACATCTGCTTGACCAATGAGTGCTCTGCACTGCACCAGGCTGGCCTCCGGATCCGTTTTCATCAGCCTAGCAATACAGGACAGGAAAAAACCCAACATTATCATTGGCAAGGGATAGTCGAAAAGGTTGACCTCCCTGATACACATACCATACAGTTTGTGCAGCACGCATCCCACAATTGATATCCAAGCTGCTACTGCCTCACAGGTTTTATGCATCACTCCACTGTAGTGGCTGGCGTCCTGGGCCAGTGTGTCACTATTCGCAAGGTTGACTGTACGCTTTTAAATATTGACGTCCACTTTCAGTTTCTTCTGTTTTACACTAGTTAGCGGGACTTCACAGCTTTCGTCTTTTTGTACCTGATAAGCAATGGAGTTGATATGGAATCAACGTCCACATTTGTTCAAGTACAAGGGAATGGTTTGGGTGTAAAACACCGGGATTATTGTGCTATCAGTCGTGTGCTCCGTGTGATGAGGTCAGAAAAAAGGTTGAGACAGGAAATTCACAAAAGGAGACAAACACACAATTGCGATGGCAGGATACATTTAGACCTTGTCCTAGGTCTTGTTTTCTAATTTCAATCCATGTTAGGTAGTGTCATTGTACTGGTCACATACCACAGTGTATACCAGGTACACACGGACGGTGTCGGGCTAGTTTCCAGCACACATTAGTATTGTTTTTCAAAAGTTTTGGGGTTCAAAATCCTTTGTTCTACTGTACTGGGTTTGCATCTCCATTCATTGTGTTTATCTTGCCCGTAAAAGAGGCTTATACTGTCGTGGACATGGAAATCCGGTCGCACGTCTAGCGGCCTGAAGGCGCTGGCCATGCAGCCACAGGTACTAGTACTAGTACTAGGTAAGCAGTACACCATGGTACACACATGCATGTATTACGCGCTGCTGGTCGCATCGGATCAACAAACGTTACATGATTGTGCACTCAACATTCTGTACGCGCTGAGGGCGCCGGCCCGGTCAATCGACTGGATTTCCATGTCCACCACAGTAGTATACATTTAGACCACTTCTCTCTAGCATCAAAATGCAAAATATTGTACTGTTATAATATTCTTGATATTCAGCTACGATTTGGCATGATACAGACGTACACTTAGCAAAAGCGAAACCTCCCTCACCAACAGTTTTGCCTTGGTCCTTTTCTCTGGGAATTGAACACGTTTCACGTCTTGAGAAAAAAAGAAAAAAAAAGTGTGCTGTGACCAGGATTCGAACCTGGGTTACTACGGCCACAACGTAGGGTCCTAACCACTAGACGATCACAGCTTGCTATTTGAGCACACATGCAGTGGTACGCCTGCTGCATTCAAAAGGACACTGGGTCGTTCTCAACTTCTTTGCCTGAATACAGCCCATGCAGGCCTGTTGCCGTGACTATGGATCCCAAAGGCGAAAATGAGTCGTTTGCCATGTAGACGATGTAGAGCAGTGCACTTCATTCTCTCTTCACATCATGCCCTTTGTTTCTTATTTCTCCTACCTTCTCTCTTCAGTCTTCACACTCCCATGAGTACAGCAGATACTACAGTGTCAACAGCAAACGGGGAGCAGGGTTCTAGCCACACCCTACTGATTTGGTCGAATTTTGTGTTTTTTAACTTTTTTTCATGCCATTCAACGCAGTCGGTAGTCACTACTAGAGGGTTTATAGGCGAATCACACGACAGGCAAATCCACGTTTACAGTAAAGTCACCATGGAGATATTCATGCGGGCGACCAAAATTTGTCCGTGAGAATCAAAAGTATCCATGGCCTTTTTGCCCGCGGCTGCACTTATCGGCGGGCACTTTTACAGTTATGAGCCTGTGAGGTCGTACTATCGTACGGTAGTCTTGAACCCTGGTTGTTTGGCCTTTGCCTTTGGGTACTCATTCCAATTCACTACGGTATCACCACAGTAACGCCGAGTACTCTCGGGAGCTCTGGCCACCACCCGCGGCTGTGTGAACTGCACTTCCTGCAGGCAACTGACAAACGTGGATTTGCCTGTCGTGTGAATCGCCTACTATATAAAGGCACACTCGTCTGGGGTGAAGTCGTGGTTTCGCCCCCGTACGGTGCATTTGGCATGGCAAGACAATTTTGGAAATAGGAAAAGATGGATTACGGGTAACTGTTTTCCATGCTCGCCCCCTACTATTTTGACCTGGCTAGAACCCCGGGGGAGTGCGTGCAGACGAGGGGATATTTTCAAAGGGGGAACACGGCGAGCGATTGGAAGTCAGGACGCACGCATGTGTCCAACCCATACAACAGTACATACAGTACAATGTTACATTGTGCTGTATCATGCCTGTATGTACTTCGAAGTACAGCTAAGTGAGCTAATGTATTTCAACGAATACAACCGCCCAGCATCCTTGTTTTCCCTTGTTTGCCCTGGTGCAACAACCATACCATGTAGCATGCAGACGAAAGAGATGGATAGGCAAAATAAAACAATACCAGTTTATTAAAGAGGCAGAGGAAAAGAAACTTACGCCTTTGTCTCCAGAAACTTGCGCATCAGGGAAATTCTGGTCTCCAGGAAATCAACACGTGACTCCAGGGTGACGACGTCATCAGACTTGCGCTTGGCTTTCTGAAGATAGCGCACGGCCTGCTCCAGGGCACCCATTGCTTTCTCGTAGTCCCGGTACTCATCCAGTTCACACTACAGCACGTGTTCACATCCACAACACCACACGGTTCAAGTACACGTGTGTACATGTGTACAGCGAATGACCTTAGGGGCCGTTTACATGAGGAAAATAAGCCCGGGCTTATTCGCCTCGGGCTTATTTTTCAACCGTTTACATGACGGTTGTACGGGGCTGAGTTCAGGTGAGTGACTGCGAGTTCTGCGCGCATTATATTTTTCAAATCGCACATGAACGCAGTGGTAAATGTTCGTGTTTGATGAAATTTGGATCAAGAAATGCCGGCTCAGGTTTCTACTGCCTTTCCAATTGTCACTTATTTTTCGAGAAGGTGAAGGATGGGCTAGGACCTTCCACTGGACAAAAACCAGAAGAAAACATACCAAGAAATAAATAAAAGAGACGCACTGTCCACGGCCACATTCTCTCAGGTTCACGAGGCAAAATCGAAAAATACGGAAAAACTCGCTTATAAGCCCTTCTTGACCGTTTACATGACAAAATAAGCCCTGGGGGTTGGATAAGCTCGGGGGTCAAGGGTAGGGCTAGTTCAGCTCGGGGCGAGCTGAATAAGCCCGCCTGACCATGTAAACGCGCTCTCTAAAATGACTGGGTGACTGATCAAGGGGGGATTATCGTAAGCCTAGGGTTGAATAAGCCCGGGCTTATTTTTCTCATGTAAACGGCCCCTTACTCTGCTTGTGTCGTCACCACCCTCCCACCACAAGCCATGCAAACCGCATGTCTACACTGCACAATGCAACTTTGCGTGATAACAGGAGCATTTTTGCCATAAGCATAGTGCTTTGGCGCACTGTAGCATGTTCGAAAAATTAGAAGGTCCGAATAGTTAGACATTTTTTCCTGCAATGTACATATTTATATGGTCTATACCAGGGAGTTGTAAAATTTACGACTCCCTGGTATTTTACGACTCCCTGGTCTATACGAGTATAGTGCACAGAGCACACATTAAACTAAAAACACACAGTGTGCAGATGTGAGACGTTTTAACAGAAGCACTATAATCCAATAAGCAAATACGACAGGGTTGCAGTTTCCAGCAAGGGTGCACACATAGTTGATATGCAGGTGCGAGACTGAAAGTGCACATACAAACAGCGTGCAATAGAACGTCCCTTACCGAAGCACAGGCTTCATAGAAACTAGCCAGTGGCTCTGGAGCCCTGGCCTTGGTATACATTGACACAATGTGAGTGACAACGGACGGATCGTTATGCCAGCCCTGCAGCTGCAACCAGTTGGCCGCCATCAAGAACAATTCCTTGTTCCGGCTGGCATTGGCATACAGTAGGATTGTCTCAACCTTGCCGTGCTTCAGGAGGGCTTTCATTGCCTAGTGAGCAAAGTGAAGATTACACAAGGAACACAGCATGCTACTGTACTGTATTGTATTGTACTGTACTTCATTAGCTGAACAGTATAAGGGTGCTGTGTGGTAAGGTACTATCCACTAAAATAGGTCTGCAGATGCATACCTGATAACCATCCCAATTCGGCCAGGACCATCCTGATATCGAGGGTGGTAATAGGCACCCAAAAGTGCATTTGTCACATGCCTCACAGCTATATTTGTACACATTTTCATAGCTAGGTATCTCATTGTCCCTAATTCAGGTTTGCCAAGGTTGGCAGGCATGCAGATGCTTTCAAAGATCTGCAGCTAGCAATAGTACAGGTGCTTTGAAGCCTAGGGCACACTATACTTGAGATACTACTTCAGTACATGTAGCTCACAACAAGAGCAGATGTCCGTATACAGTATCCACAGACAACGCCAGTCCTGCTGACCTCCGCCGGAAGACAGTAACTAGTGAGAGTAATACTTGAGTGTGCACCAAACCGACATGTACGATACACTAACAACAAAGGTGATAGTGATGACAACAATAAGGACATGTAAGCACATTTGCTTTGCCCGTGCAAGAGGCTTTTCACACAATAAGGACAGTGAGGACAGTGGGGACATTTCTAATACTGACCTTGATAGGCATTTCACCTTGTGTGAACTTCTTGCATGCTAGCTGGAATGAGCCTTGCTCTTCAGCACACATGGCCATCCTCTCCAACAAGACTCTACGCTTCTCCTTCTCAACTTCATTATCTGGACACAAAAGTCAAGACACAGAGGGTAATGGGGTGTGATCCTTTCGGTGGAATTAATTTGTGTTTCCTAACAATAAGTCTCCGTCCATCAACATTATCTGCTGAGCAGTAGACTGTAAGATCTGATGTTTGTCACACACTTCACCAAAACAGTGCAAGGCTTGCAGCTTGCTCTAATGATGGCCCTATAGGCAGATGTTTGGTGCTACCTTGTAAGAATATTGACATGTAACATGTTGTCATGCACCTGTTCGCATTAGATCCAGTTGAGCTACAAAGTTGAAGGGCCAGCATTAGTTCATGCAGCAAGACTGCTGGACTGGCCAGTTTTGACCGCACGAAATTCTGCGCACAAAACGCACCCGTCTTTGGCGGTGTCATTCTCTCCGCCATCTCCTTGGTTAGCTCAATCCGGTGCCTGGAACACAGTTCTATTGCATCAACATACTGCACAAAGGCAAACAGAAGAAGAGGACATCCACATACACAGTACACATTCAATCTCCGGACAGCTAGCTGTTTCGACCTTGTTAGATCTCGTCAGCGGAACTCACAAGTGACCGGCCGAACCGATCGCAGTGAAGTCTAATGAATGACAAATCATTTTTGAACTGGCTCAACACATCAAAGTCAGAGTGTTCTAACTGTGATAAACACAGCAAGCTTTGCACCAGGGCAGACAGTTTGACGCTAACCAGAAAAAGTGCTCCACCAAGCCGAGGCGAGGGAGTGTAATTGCGTACAGTAGCTATGTTGCACTGTTTCCACCTGCCTATATCTGTACAGGCAATCCCTGCATATTCAGTCCTTAGTTACCTGGTGCTCTCAACAAGCAGAACATCTAGAATCTTTCAGTACAGATTTACATTGCCCACTTTGTGCACAGCGTACAACAAATGAATTCACAACAAAAGGAAAGGATATGACATATCAGACAGATGTGACATGACCACACAAGCACAATACTAGTCCTATTTTTTCAGGCAATTTTTTCTTTTTACAGTACAACCGTCACTGTTCGCTCTTTTATAAAACATATTTTTAGTTTTGACATTCATGCGTACATGATTGTGCAACATTGTTTTTGAGTTTTGCCCGTACAAGAGGCTTCCTCTCACTATAATTATAAAAAATGCTAGTCTTCATAACGGGTACTAATACTAGTACATGTACATCACCAGCTGTTGGGAAGTTTTTTGTCAGTGTTTCGGCGTTTCAGGCCAGTGCCAAAATGGTCGGAATTAGGTACATTTACATAATAAGCGTAATGATACTGGCCTCATAACTACTCAGCACCTGCACACTACACACACATGTCCATGCACACTACACATTACACAGTGTCAGCAGAGTAATACCAACGTGACTTACTTTCTTGGCTGACACCAAGATCGGCACGGCACGCTCGTGTTGCCCGTTGGACAGGAAGAAGTCAGCACAGCGCATCAGCAGCTCTGGGTCTGTGTCGTCATCCAGGTCAGCCGCTATGCTGTCCAGTGCATCATACTCCTTAGAGTTGAACGCCAGCTCGATAGCCTTGGCCACAGCACCACCCTAACGGAAAGACAACAAGGTCAGACACAGTGTGTTGGAGCTCGTCGATCAAACAGGCAGCGTTTGGACGAATTGTTCAGCATGAAAATACTGCCCTGGGCACTAACATACACACACGCAGAGTACATGCCATACAGATGTCGCTATTTGCTAGGTTCAAAATATGTAGTCAAAGGGTCACTGGGTCAGAAGATTGTGTCATTATTCGCCAGTTGTTCTTTTTTCTTCTTTTTTTCTACGAGTGCACATTGCCTCCAATCTGGTTAGAATTGAGGAGCAAAAGGTTGGTGAGACCTAGTGTACTCGGCCGACCCTCAGGTCTTGGCCTCTACTCATATTGAGCTAGATGCATCAATACCGTGAAAAAAATAAGAGGAAAGGGGAGAGGGAGAGGAATAGTGTTATACAACAGGTTGTCACAAGGTTACTGTAGGATGATTCAGGTTTGGCTTTGGTATGGCATTAGTCATTGCATGCACACGGGCAGAGCATGACATACTGGGGACCATGGCTATCGTCTGTAGGTGCTCACTTCAGAAGCTTAGAGACTATCTGGATAGGTGGAGACGCTATCGTAACCTATTCAGGATGCAAATTGAAATATCAGGATTCCACTCACAACAGCACAGGAACTTAGTTTCGCCAGAGTTGACATTGATGTACATTATCGTGAGAAGAAACTAGTAGAACTCACATGGAACACATACTGTAAAACATGTTATTTTAGGTGCATTAAAATTTCGGTGGCAGGAACCTGCCAGGTTTCAGGTGTAATTTAGAATTAGGTGACCAGCGTTCCCTTCACATACAGTGCATACTCTAGTGCCTTTTAGGTGTAACTTAAATTTAGGTGCCTGGTTTCTCTATCGAAATCACCGAAATTAAAGTTACACCGAAAATTACATGTTTTACAGTACCCATAGTGTGCATAGTATGTACAGTGCACATAATGTGTGTACATAATGTGTGCACATAATGTGTGTACATGACATTGTATTCATGACTTACCTTCTGGTACAGAATCACAGCATTACTGTGCACTCCATTCATGTCAAAGTACCTACAGTTGACAGCAAGTGGAGCAAGAGCAGCTTTCTCAATTGCAAAGCTGAGTGTTTACCTCCCTAAAAGGAGTCATCCAGTCTGAACCGTGTGAAAAAGACCAAGATCTTAACATTGACAACCTACTTTGAAGTACGAATCTTGAGAAACCAAATTAGGGAGCATACCTCACACAAGCTCATCCAGATCAAGCAGACACACAGTGTACAAGGGGAAAAAGAGAGTCGTTTTTGTTCCAATTGTGGGTGTTCTCCTCATACACACACACACACACACGCGCACGTGCACGCACACACAGACGCACGCGCACACACAGACGCACGCACGCACGCACACACACACACACACACACACACACACACACACACACTTGCTATGCAAGTACTCCTATGGTATCTACTTTAGATTGGAAGCTGATCACGGTCAAACGGCCTAGGTTTGCTGCGCAAGTTGCTGAGTTGCCTCGCACATGTCCTGTTCTCCAAGCGGAGGCACATCTTCATGGACAGTAATCACAGAGTTTATTCGGTAGGTTGCAATTTCCAGTACTCAATGGTGGTATACCTACAACCTAAAATTAGATTCCACCCAATTCCATGAGAACTTGAGACATACCGGCAGCAGGTACTGAATACAATAGTACATGTACTTCAAGTATCAGCAACACACCACTGAACACCACTGAAAAGAAGTGCGTTTAGAGTAGCAGAATTTGAATGCAAGGAAAGACAGGCGACGGTAACTTACTCAGCAACTTCCACCTTGTCTTCTTTCGTACTGCGCAGAGCTAAACCCATCAGTTCATGATCCATGTGACATTCCTGAAGCGAACATTTTAGCAGGTAGCAAAACTTCATTGCTAGGCGATAATGCCCAGAAATCAGATCATGGGTAATGGAAAAGAAATTAACATGCCCCACTTCACAATACGATGTTCAACAGGTCACAATGACTGTGTGAATTAATTGATACCATAGCCAAGTGTGGAGTGCACATGCAAGAGTGAGTGAGAGAGAGAGAGAGAGAGAGAGAGAGTGAGAGAGAGAGAGAGTGAGAGATAGATAGATAGGGAGAGAGAGAGAGAGAGAGAGAGAGAGAGAGAGAGAGAGAGGGAGAGTGAGAGAGAGAGAGGGGGGGGGGGGGTATTAACACATACCTTTGCTACACGGATTGCATTCGTGTATGCCAAGGCCAAAGAATAGAACTCGACGGCCTGAGATGTCATTTCCTAATACAGAAAACAGCGGAGAAAATGAGAGACAGAACACAGTGGGTCAAGCAGAAGGAGCTGATTTTTGTGCTGACATTCAAATATGCCATCTTTTCATTCCACACATATCGAAGTATGCAGGAAGGCAAAAAATGACCATCTAGGGCAAACACGTTTCACCGATGAAACTTTCCCCATAGATTACGAGAGTACAGTCAACTCCGCTAATAATGACTGCGGATATACTGTAACGACAATTCGCGAATAATGACAGTATGTCCATGCCCAGAGCAAAGTCCCTTCTAACTGTAATACATAATGAGACTTCGGGCATAAGGACACTTTTCTGATACCCCACCGAGTGTTGTTATATGTGAAGTTGACTGTATACACATTGCACGTAGCATTAACTTCCATTTTTGCAACACTTGCACTTAGCTGCTTTCAGTCCAAGGCAAGTTGTGATCGCCACTCGACATAGAAACACAGACATGCAGTAATCCTAGTCTGAACGACAGCAAACACATCGGACATTCGCCCTCGTGCAAAATAATTATTCTAGATGAAAACAAGTTGGTCAGCAGCCTTACAGCCTGTTCACATTGCTTTGCAAAGTGGAAGCAAGCAGCCTTGTTACCACTGCGACGAGCCACAGTTGCAGCCTGATCAGGCAAACAACACAAGATAGAGATACAGAAAACACGACAGCTCATGCATTCAGAAGCGTAGCAAGAGTGGCATGGTAATTACACAAAAGATGGATACACACACGTACACACACACTGTCTGATTCCTGTTCTTAGGAGCTGCCCTGATCGGAGACTTAAAAAAAAAGGCTTCCGTGTACAAGTACAAGTTATCTGTGATTGAAAGTCAATATAGATTACGACAAGAGTACATAACCATGTACTCTTGATTAAGACTATTGCTTTAATTGTTGTTGCATAATGGGGTAGGTTTACCTCTTGGTATCTGTCACTGAAGCAGAGGATTCGCACTTGATTGAGGTGATCAGCACATTCAGAGTAGTACTCTAGAGCCATGTCTAGCTCATCCATACTCTCTAGATAGGAGCCCCAGTAGCTGGACAACTCACTGCACAGCCATGAAAGCGAGCACACACACATACACACATACACACACACCACACACACATACACACAGCCAAGATGCCTCTGTCTACGCTTTCAAACCGAAAATAACATGTTTCACAGTATCAAATTGAAACAAGGAGAATGGCGGGGCACAAGTTATGCGTTAGAGTCCACCAAATAAACCAGGTTTTCCTTGGCTCACCATCCGAGTACTTTTACAGTATCTCAATCAAATTTTCGGCCAGGAGCCATCATCAGAATTGAGGTGAAAAACCAAAAAAAATAGCAACATTCATAGCCGAATCACAGGGCGAATCACAGGCCGAATCACAGGGGAATCACAGGCCGAATCACAGGCCGAATCACAGGCCGAATCACAGGCAAATCACAGGCGAATCACAGGGCGAATCACAGGGTGAATCACAGGCGAATCACAGGGCGAATCACAGGCCGAATCACAGGCCGAATCACAGGCCGAATCACAGGCGAATCACAGGTGAAAGGCATACATGTGGTGATGTACCTATTGTGGCTCTTAGCGACGTATGTCTGAAGCTCCGCCGGATTTGACGCAAGCATTCTTGGTACATCCTTGATGTGGGTTCCCGCTTTCTCAAAGCTGCAGACGCACACATACAATGTACAGAAAGCGACGCAATAATTTAGAATACAGCCAATCAAGTCCACCACTGGCATCGCACAGGAAAAATATATCCTAGATGTTTCTCTCCTATATTATTTCTCTCCCAAAGTACTATTAAAATTGCTCCCATGCCAAGAACACAAAGGCAGGCCTCTTACAATTGTGCAGCTCCTTTGGTATTGCCTTCCAACTCCAGGCGCTTGGCATGAGCATAGTGGGTGTTGCGCAGACGGATAGGATCATGGTCCTGCGCCACTCGCACGGCCTGGATAAAATCAATGCAGACACAACCAGACAGAAGCAAAGCAAAACATGTAAGTTTGCACAGTATGTCAGTATGTATACACAATAGTGTTTTCAGTAAAGATGACCAAGCACACGGAACTGACACTTGATTACGTCAAACGAGCCAGCGGGGTAGTTAGGTCCCTGCGGTTACTGCGATCATTACTAATCCCACCATGCGCATGCTTAGTTTCTCTGTGTGTCTCTGTCTCTGTCTGTCTGTCTCTCTCTCACTTAGTCTTTTTCTCAGTGTTCAACTGTTACTTCAACATGTCTGTCATCTCCTTCGATATTTCCCCAATACCAATGTCTTTCCGTCCTCCCCAGTTGTCTGATTGTGAGTGCTGGAAAAACCTCTGTCAGAAATTCAACACTGAAAGGGAAAAAGCAAAGAAAGCAAAAGCAAAGAAAGGCAAACCGAGCAAACGGAGTCTCACCGAATCCCAGTCATCCCTTGCACGGTGCAGGTCATTGAGAAGATCAAAGCGTCCACAACCGGTGAGCAGCTCAACAGCATCATCCTACAACAACAACAACAACAACAACAGCAGCAGCAGCAGCAGCAGCAGCAGCAGCAGCAACAACAAACAAGAGCAGCAGGGGCGGCAGCGGCAGCAGCAACAAATTGTCAACAATAGCAACATATGTTATATGGGCTACATGCCTTTGCGACAATAACTATTATGAAACACCAGCACTTAAAGTATGTTGTGCAGATACTTGTAGGAGAGACAGTAGCAAAGAAGAACTGGTGCGATGATACGAAGGATCGGGAAGAGACAATAACTTACTAGCATTCCCAAGTGGATAGCTATAACTGCCAGCTGAGCCTCTGATTCATCGCCGCCTGTCTTAGCATCTCTCATGGCACGCAGCGCAGTCACATCTCCCATGTTACTGATGCAAGCGGAGGCTACATCCAGTCGCTGTGCTTTCACACACATCTTGGCCAGGTTCTGCCAAATGCTATTGCTGTAGAAGCAGTGACACAAGAAAATGTATACACATTTAACTTGATATTGTTGTTGTTGCTGATATTGTATTTTACTTCAGGATAACGAATATGCCACTGTCATCAGTTTGAACGGCAAATTTCAAAACACAGGAAACTCGGAGAAGACTGGGACTCTTTACAGGCCCTCACCATTATAGAGTGGACTTTCAAAACACCCACACTTATACTGGCAGTAATTAGGAATTGCCCGTAACTAGACGGGAGTGCTCGGATCTGGGGAGTCCGGATTAGAGGAATTCTACTGTATTATTTTTCATTTTCTCCCCGCGTATCAAGTGTGCACTGTACCACCCGCACAGTCAAGAGAGGAACAGGCTGAACCAACTCATGGAAAGGGACTGAGCAAGTTAATTGCAATTCTTCCACTCAAACTGCAACGTTGCAACACAAGACATCATCACATATTTATATGGCTCCACTCCCAGACGAAAACAAACCTTTTGATCTTGCTGATCCTACTGAACGCCTCGTCCAAGTTGCCCAGCGTCAAGTGAAAGCTGAAGTCCAGGAGAGCAGAGCATGTGCTTGCATCGCCCAGAACTGCCTTGTCCACGTCACTAAAGTCACGCATTGGAATCGTGGCCACTGCGGACTCCACGCCCTGGCGAACATCGAGTCCAGCAGGGTCTGAATACTGCACGTACCGGGGAAACAGAACGTCAAGTATAACAAGAGAGAGAGATCAGCAATCAGCTAGGTGCACAGTGACACTTGCCGGCACTTACAATCTCATGAAGCCATTAGATTGCTGAAATCCGTTATAAGGGGCAAATTTGTATCCTCAGATGTTTATGCATGCCACTTGCCCTCTACTATACGTTCGAAGAGCAATAACGAGGAAGACACGCAAACCAACTGCAATCTACTGAGTGTCACCTGCCTCGGGTCATGATACATCGAAGTCAGACGGCTGGAAATCTGCACAGGAACTTCAGAGGACAGTTTACCATCACAACTTGTCTTGGTGTTCAACACAAATCGACTAACGTCCCCGTGTCAACCAGGTACATGTACTACACTACGCACTACACTACAGGAACAGGTGACTAACAGCAGGAAGAACTCAATGCACAGACATCGATCCCACAGTCTGTACCCACCTTTTTAGAGAAATAGATGAATGGCGCTGAGACACCAAGGAGACCTGAGCATGAAAGAAAGATCACATACTGTAAAGCGTGAAATCTTCGCGGCGTTTTTAGTTCGCGTTTTCAGAATCCGGATAGGTTTGCGAGGTTTTAATTTTGCGATTGCAGAATTTGCTACTGTGGCATTCATGCTACACCTTCCATGGATCTCCTTTTCGCGCTGTCTAAATTTCGCGATTTCTACGCGGTCGCGAATTTCGCAGAAATTAGACCATGGCAATAATTTCACGGTTTACAGTAGACACATTGAGTTGTGCACGCCCACCCATACACATACATGCGCACGCAAGCACACATGTAGGTTACACTCGCCTGGTGTTACACACACACACACACACGCACACGCGCCCGCACGCATACAAGAAGATCGGGGTTGCCGCAAAGTTTTTTTGTCATCCCTGAAACGAACATCATTCATTAAAGAGAGGGGGGGGGGGGGTTGAGCCAAAATCGCAACTCGACCGACACTGTATATAAACATGCATGCATTCTGCGTCGTCCAGCATAGCAAGCTGCTTTCTTCTCGGAGTGGCCGGGGGGAGTACGAAAATAAAAGATGTTTGTTTCAGTGACGACCCCTTTATAGGGAAGACTCCAAGACAGTCCTAACACAGTCCTCCACCAGCAGTCCAGCACCCCGACAAGAAGCAGTCAAGCATACTGTAAAGAAGAAATTCAGAGTGCAATACCTGTGCAGTTCTTGTCAATTTGGAAGCAATCTTGGAAGAGTACACCATGCTCGCTGGTAAAGAACAAGCTGATAGCTGCCACATCCACCTGCACACAGGTAAGTACCAGAAACAAAAGAGTCAGTTACAGATACACACAGAGAGTTACAGACTATCAAATCCAGGAAATGAGGGCCGTGACCTCCACAAGTTTTAGATGCGCATAATAGATAGATAGATAGATAGATAGAGAGAGAAAGAGAGCATGCAGAGACAGGAGACGGAAGAGAAAGGCAGTAAAGAGGTATACAAACAGATCATTCGAGACTTCTGGCTGTGGATGAAGTACAGCAATAGAGCTTGGTAATGTACAGGTATCATTTCTATGTCCATCTGTCTCCCTTGGCACATTTGCACAATACGAGTGCTTCCCTGACAAGCAGATTCTGATAAACATGAGACTGATACTTCACTAGCTCACCTTGCTCTCGGGCGCACTAGCACGTCGTGGGCTAAGTTCACCGGCGGCGGTCAAGGAAGGCGTACCGCAAACACGCGCACACTCACACACTAACAGTCTGGTATCTTTCTTATCCCAGAAATGAGAAATTGGACAGCGATCCTTGGCCAGCTGCTGGATCTCATCGCTGGCAGTGGTGAGAGGTGGACTAAGCTCGGGGCAGTCATGCAGTCCAGTTGCCATCGACTCAAAGTCCATCACGTGGATGTCGTCGGTCTCAAAATCCCAGATAAAGAGTCGCGGATCAGGCACATCGGATTCCTACGCAGCAGATGCACAGTACACACTGCACTGTAGGCGCTATACGAGTATACATGTGCAGTCACCACACACAAGCAATAAATATTCAATAATCCAACAACCCCCTCAAAGCAATAAGAACGCAAAAAACATTTTTCAATACACAATAAGGTACAGTATGTTTCCTCATGGAAACACAATTCAATGTCTAAAAAAAGAATAATGCATAGAGAAGTGAAAGCTTACCGGTCGTTTAAACTGGAAACTGACAAAAGTGCAGTCAGAATTACACTGCAGGCTGTAGAAATTAGTTGTAGTGTGAGAGATCTGACGGCCAACATTAGCGCTGCGAATACATCTCGCCTCTCTATGTCAGCATAACAGATTGACAAAATAGGAAGACACATGGACAATTAAGTCAAAGTACAATCTGAATGATACAGACATACAAATACAGTGACACATGCATGCGCACGCACGCACACGCACGCACACACACACACACGAAAACGCAGCCTAAGAAGTGGAAGCACATTTTTGAGCTCCGCAGTTTTTAGTTTCCAAGGTTTTCTGGCAGCCCTTCGGCGTGGCCAAGAGGACTAGTAGTAAGTATCGAGTAGCAGGGCTGACCCACAACTGGCCGCCCTCAAGGGGCACTCAGAGGCAGAGACGAAACTTTTGGGCTCGCTTCTGGGCATTGAATCGTCGGTGCTTGAAGTTATCAAGACCCTGGCAAACCTAGCATCCGAGTCGGCCGATTGCGAGGCTCGCCTCAACAACAGAATTGATGAGCTGTCCCACAGGTGTCAGGCCCGACTGAGGAAATTGTCTCCCTCAACGAAGCCGCCATTGCCAAGGCAAGTGTTCCCCCGAGCTGCAAAGCAGAGCCAGCGTACGTGCATGAAATCGTCTAGAAACCGTACCCGTACCCGCGCAGGCCAGGCACTTCCGACCTTGTGTGGTCGAGTGCGAGCTCAGGAAGGTCTCCCCTGCAAAAGCCACAGGACCAGACGGCCTGCCTGGCCAAGCCTTGCAGGAGTGCAGCAAGGAACTTTCAGTCCCTGTGTCGAAACTGTTCTCCAAGTCCTTTCGGGCAGGACGCCAGCCTACCCTATGGAAGACTGCCATGGTTGCACACGTCCACAAGAAGAAATCGAAATCTGATTCGAGCAACTACAGACCCATCTCACTCCTCCCCATCTTGTACAAAGTGATGGAGGCTATCGTCAATCGTGCCCTCAGGAAATTCCTCTCCCAGAGCCAATCGGTTCCACAGCAGACTTGACACCCGGGATATCCTCACCCTATTGAATTCGCAGTGGGGCAGGGTGGCCGCAAGCGGTGGTGCAGTAAGGGTGATCGCAGTAGACTAGATGTGGCTGGTGCGTTTGACCGTGTCTCGCACACCGGAGTGCTCCACAAGGCAGAGTTCTATGGCATAACTGGTCACCTGCTTGGCTGGCTCCGCGACTACCTGATCAACCGGAAAATCACAGCAGCTGTTGGTGGGGAGCTATCTCAACCCTACTCGGTGAGAGCTGGCGTCCCCCAGGGCAGCATCCTGGGGCCAACGCTGTTCATATTGTACACAAATGACACCGAGGACCATCTCCCTTCTGGAATGGACCTCGCAGCATATGCCGACGACACTACGGTGTTCAACTACATCACGTCAAGAGTGCCCATACCTGACAGCTCAGCAATCATGCAACAGGGTGTGGATGCACAGTCTCACTGGGGTGCGGAGTGGAAAGTTTGAGCCCTCCAAGACCCAAGCCATGACAATCACGCATCATCGCCAGCCTTGGTAACTCCCGGGAACCACTTTCGACGCTACGCCAGTCAGTGAAGCAGGCCACCTGAAGCTCCTGGGTGTCACCTTTGATTCCCAGCTGACATATGCGCAGCATATCCGCATACTTGCCAACCCCTGGCAAACAGTTTCCTTGACACTGATGACGTTTTTCCTTGATTTTGCCCATTTTTCCTTGATCTGCAATTTTTACATCATAGTTGTGCAAAATATTGTATAATTATGACATCATAGTGACGTCACCACGACCACAAAAACATTCGCAAATAGCACAGCATGTACGACAAAAAAGTACTTTTTCATGCGCTAACTCAAAAATTCTCGCTCGCTTGACCTTCGTTTTGGGCACAGCACTGCGAGCGAGCGTCCAAAACACTGAAAATCAACAAAACAAGGTGTTGACTGACATTTTCGAAAATCCGGTAGATGTTATAACTTTTCCGGTGTACCGGAACGAAAGCGAGTTTTCCTGGATTTTCCCAGAAATTCCGGTAGGGTTGGCAAGTATGTATCCGTACGATCCGCTCCAGAGCACAGCAACGCCTAGGCTTCCTGCGGAAGGCCTCTGCTATCCTAGAGTCCCCTGGCCGGCTCCGAGCCTACAATGGGTTTATCTGCCCTATGCTGCAGTACTGTCCCCTGGTCTGGCTTGGTGCGCCACCCTCACACTTGGCCAAGCTAGACCAGATCCAGAGACGAGCCATCCACATCATCGGATTGGGCTCCTGGCTCCCCAGTCTATCTCTGCGGCGGACAGTGGCTTCACTCACGTACTTGTATAAGCTATTCTGCCTGGATGCAGACAGCCCGCTCAAGAAGTCCTCCATTTTTTCGAGCCTGTTGCTTTTTTGGCGATCGATGTCTTATTGGCGATTTTGTCCATCTACCATCGATCACACCAAGAGGAGAACCTGCTCTGGAGAAGTGAAGGACTCAACTGGCAAATGGGCATGCGCAGTGTGATCGGATTCAGCGGGCAATACACTGAAAGTTATTGCCTGGATTATTGCCCACCTAAGCGGGCAATACACGAAAATACCTGCACGCTCATGGAGAACGCTGATTGGCTGTAGTACAGACAACCCTCACGTGACATGCAGTAAAGGTATATACGTACAATAGGTAAACTCGTACACGAAAGAAATCTCATCCACATAAAACACAGAATCTGCAATCCATTGCATAGCTTGCATCCATGTCCCTACCTTCGTGACAAGTCGTACACTCGGATCATAGCGTTTCCCGTTCCCACAACAAGATACGGTTCGTTGATGGACATCAACTCACAATCTCCATCGCTTTCCTGCAAGCGCAAGCTCTGCTTCTCCGTACCCTGAGCATAATCAAGTACACGGTCGGTGCAATAGCTGAGTGACGAGTGATCTCAAGTGTCTGCGTTGCACCCTGGTTTGGAAAGTTGACATAAATGTTTTTCTTACAGTGAACAGACCCGTAAGTTGTGGTGTATAAAAGCTGGGGTTTTAAAACTTTCTATGCACACTCGGGTGGTCATTAAGCAAAGATTCAATTGTGTGCAGTTCTAGAAAGTCGTCTGCACTGTATGCATCAGTGATTACAGTATACACTGTGAGCTAGCCAGCTGCGGTCGAGGAAATCGGACATCCTGCCATGCGGGTCCCATGTACAATGCACCAGTGAGTGCACTTGACGTGTACAGGGAATGTGCGCAGACTGATGCTGATACTGAGCACAGCTCGCTATGAAGGGATCAGGGTCTCTGTGGGCCCTGGCCCAACTGTACATTCTACGAAGTGAGTGCCTAGTCAGGGCGTCGGGCAAGTGCCTACGACAAGATCAGTCAGGGCGTCGGGAAAGTGCCTACGACAAGATCAGTCAGGGCGTCGGGAAAGTGCCTACGACAAGATCAGTCAGGGCGTCGGGAAAGTGCCTACGACAAGATCAGTCAGGGCGTCGGGAAAGTGCCTACGACAAGATCAGTCAGGGCGTCGGGAAAGTGCCTACGACAAGATCAGTCAGGGCGTCGGGAAAGTGCCTACGACAAGATCAGTCAGGGCGTCAGGAAAGTGCCTACGACAAGATCAGTCAGGGCGTCGGGAAAGTGCCTACGACAAGATCAGTCAGGGCGTCGGGAAAGTGCCTACGACAAGATCAGTCAGGGCGTCGGGAAAGTGCCTACGACAAGATCAGTCAGGGCGTCGGGAAAGTGCCTACGACAAGATCAGTCAGGGCGTCGGGAAAGTGCCTACGACAAGATCAGTCAGGGCGTCGGGAAAGTGCCTACGACAAGATCAGTCAGGGCGTCGGGAAAGTGCCTACGACAAGATCAGTCAGGGCGTCGGGAAAGTGCCTACGACAAGATCAGTCAGGGCGTCGGGAAAATGCCTACGACAAGATCAGTATAATTATTCTGCTAGTAAAGAGTACTGTATAAGCAGAAATATTCGTCTGGAATTTAATTTCATCTTTTTCGTCCATTGAGCTTTTGGACTAAATCAAATGCCAGGCTAATGTCAATTTGTCCAGCTATTCAATACACTCTTAATGACTTGTGATCCATGGACGAAATTTACAACCGGACGAACTCCCTTTCTTTGGAGTTGGACGAAATTATTGACCGACGACATTTTCTGCCTGTCCAGAATAACTTACTGTGAAGGAGGTGATGAGGATGTCTTGGCGTCGGGCAATAATGACGCTTTGCTTGAAGAGCGCAAACATGGTTCCCTGACTTTGGAAAGAGCCTACACACACACAAACACACACACACACACACACACACACGCACACACACAGCCAGTACACTTCATTCATTCAGGTGCTCATCAGCCACTACTTCTACTCGGGACAATCCATTCACACCGGGCAAAAAAAAGCTCCCATTCTCACCAAGCAGATTCCTGGGGGTGGGGTGTTGCAATTTTCATCCCTAATTCCACATACAAGTGTTTCTTAGGTCACACTACATCTTTGTGGCAAGGAAAAGGCTTGTCGGTATATCATGTTCACAGGAACCACTCGTGGCATGCCCATGTGCTTTCTTGGCCCGTCTCGGTAAATGTGCGTCACTTCGCATAGTCCGTACTTGATTTCACAGAGTTTGTGAGCATGAAAATAATAGTTCGGAGACCTACCAGCTACTCGGTACGATCCATCCAAAGTGGCACCATACACAGCAACTTCACCGTAGTTCCAGATGAGAACATTCTCCTGAAAACAGAAAACAAATATGCAAGATCAGAGAACACACAGGCGCCAGGCTACAACCCAAACAAGGTCTCTGGTGCAACAGGAACAATGAGATGTTGAGCTGCATCGGACAGGGAAGATCATTTGGCGATAGGCTGTAAATTAGACACGGCAAATGAACAGCTGATAGACACGATATAATCATATATCCCAGAGTGGCAGTTCTTAACAAAACCCATGCAACAGCAGTCACCTCTGTAATTGACAAAAATGGAAGTACAGTAGAGTTGTCGTCCAGACAAATTTACATATACAGCACGGTTTCTCTGCTCCATGACAACAGTTCAGACTTACATCCGAAGCATGTAGGCCATTCACATGCAAGTCGGTGCGAAGCTCACGGACTTCCTTTGCCTGCACATTCTCGACGATTACACGGCTTGGGCCAACTTGAACTGCACACACCTAGCACCCGGTAATATGCAGACACATACGCGCACGCACGCACACACACACACACACACACACACACACACGCACACACGCACACCCACCCACATTCCCACATTCACAAACCAACACGTTGATGGACGCACAAACAAGAGCCATACACTATCAAAGACAAGGCAAGAAACTCTCTTCTGCATGGCCAGGCCTATGCCGCAAGCAAACCCTCCATTCTGCCTTGCACACTTAGCATGGAATAGCTAACACTAGCAGCACATTAACTAATTGAAACAAGGAAAACGGTGGGGCACAAGTTGTGCGTTAGAGTCCACCAACTACACCAGGTTTTGAACAGTCAGACTTGGCTCATCATCTGAGTACTTACTAGCAGCACAGTTTAACATTGATTTAAGCTCATCATCTGAGTACTTACTAGCAGCACAGTATAACATTGATTTAACGTACCCGCTGCCTGGAGAATAGGAATAGTACAGTCATGTATTTTAGACTTGATCCCTGGCAGAGGACAGGGACAACTACGTCCATACTGTATTACACTGCCAAGTCGAACGCAATCATGTTGTCGCATGCAATACCCCAGCCCTATCAATACAGCAAGAGAAAGCAACTGTATAATTATACTTCAGTAGTGCTTACCCGATTGTTGAAACAAGCACTCATGACGCCTGGCCGCAGTAGAACCACCCTGGTGTCGTATACGTAGGCCAACACACCACTAGGACCAACACACTAGCACATACCATACACACAGCACATACCATACACACATACACAAACATGCATGTCATTCTTGTATAGGTCTTTGTGCGGGCGCATACATCTGTTGGGTCACACCATCCACTTTGCCTCAAATTACATCCGACACAACTCTCTTGGCAAGGCTCAGTGGTTAAATTCTGAAGTATACTTGAGTGGCAGTAAACAGAATCAGCTGAAGCGACATGTTACGGAGGTTTTATTGAGATGTAAAGTGGTGTTGGACAAAGAAGTAACTGTGATGGAAATGTAATGTGCACATTACATTTCCATCACAGTTACTTCTTTGTCCATCACCACTTTACATCTCAATAAAACCTTCGTAACATGTCGCTTCAGCTGATTCTGTTTATTGCCATCTTAAAACTGTTGTCACCTCGCCGCCTGTTCATATACTTGAGTGCGTTAAGAAAAGACTTGCTTGCAAAGAACACCACGAGTCTGTGCCATGGCAGTAGCTATTACTGTCATTAGCACCAGAGACTACCGTAAATATACAATTTTTCGGCAGCTATTTAATTTCGGCTATATTCGGCACCGACCCAAAACGCCTAAATTAAAACGCCGATGAAATTTTTCACAGCATCTGTCGCACTATACCATGCCCTCTACCCCACGCCGAAAATAAATCGCCGCCGAAATGTCAAAAATCGTGAAGTGCCGAAATTTTGCAGCGCCCACATTTTGTATATTTACAGTAGTTGGCCCCAGTATCAAGACTGGTACACATGTTGTGTAAACAACAGCTGCCTACCCTCCACCATAACATCATCATGTACATAAGATACGTTAGGATAGGTCCCCCATCGTTAGTAGATAATCTCCGGGCCATTAGATCTGTTATCTTATAGCGAGACTTATCTTGTACAGAACTTGCAACTAAAGATTCAAGAAGCACTGATCCGCACTGCTTCGGAGTACCCTCACTATAATATAAATTGCCGACACTTCAATTCGTTATTAGATACTGGTAATTGGAAATCTCCAACATGGCTGTTCCTTGGATGCAAAAGATCATAATATTTCTACAAACACAATATACATGTAAAATGTTGTGTCTCTTTCTGCTTGATAGCCTGGGGTTTGATCTTGTGTTCCTGTATGGACAATGGCACTTCAAAATGAAGGCGTGGGTCACCAGGGACTTGACCCGAAGGTCATCCTAACGAGTTTTAGTTTAGTTTTAGTGTGCAAAAGCGCTCTTCTTCTTCTTCTTCTTCTTCATTTTGGATCGTTTAACGCCTCTGACTGGGAAGCTCTGTTACTGTATAACATGGTATTTTCGGTGTAACTTTCGGCAATTTCGGCAATTTCGGTACAGAAACCAGTCACCTAAATTTAGATTACAGTCAACTTCGCTAATAACGACTGCGGATATAACGACAATTCGCGAATAACGACAGAATTTCCATGCCCAGAGCAAAGTCCCATCTAACTGTAATACATATAATGAGACTTCGGGTATAAGGACACTTCGCGAATAAGGACACTTTTCTGATGCCCCACCGAGTGTCGTTATACGCAAAGTTGACTGTACACCTAAGCGACACTAGAGTATGCACAGTATGTGAAGGGAATGCTGGTCACCTAATTCAACATAACACCTGAAACCTGGCAGGTCCCTGGTACCGAAATTTAAATACACCTAAAATTACAGTATCCACAGTATCTCTTTCTTCCCTTTTCCTCTGCTGAGGTTCAGTTGCACTCTTCGTTAATCGTTAGTAAATGACTTAGCGGCCGTCCATAATTATCGATCTTTTACACGAAGAGAAAAAGTTTCGTATATGGGTGGGTGGGTCAAGGGGAGTTTCGTTTTGAAAAATATTGATATGAGAGACATCCCCGCATTCTTGCTATCAAGTCAATCTATATTTCGTTCAGGGGGGTGGGTGGGTGGGGGAGGGTCCTAACTAAACTTTTTCGTTTCGTGAAAATTATCGATAATGCCGGATAGCCCCTTAGTCAATACTGCAAATCCTGAACTGTTTTGCGTCGGTTTTAGTTCGCGATTTGCAAGCACATACAGATTTGCACCTGGAGATATTTGCGATTGGAATCAGTTTCCTCAGTTTCTTTACGACAGTTCTACGTTTCGCGCCGGCTTACATGGACTTTTGCGACTTCACACTATCGCGAAAAGCGCGAAGGATTCCGAATCGCAAAGGCTTCCGGGTTTACAGTAGTAAATAGTTTCCTCTTCAACGATGTCGAAGAATTGAAGTGGCGCCGGAGCAATGCAGCCATCAATGCCGTCGACAACGCCATGTGAAGTGTCCAGGCGGAACCTATTTTGTGGGACGAAAGCTGCTGGACATGGTGCTCCATTCGAAGAGTGCCCTGCAAAGATCCCAAGACTTCTCTTGTCACCCTATCGTATATTTCAGTCGAGAAACTAGTTGCGAGGTTTCCATCCTGGCAGCTCTCTTGTGTGAGGTTCACCTGTGAGGGGATACCATCGGCACTGGTGTTCTCCGAGCGCTGTTTCTGTACTTCAGCAGCTGGCATCCCGATACCAGTCGTAAGACTGCGTATCGCCCTTGATGGCAGCAACACCTATGTAGTGGAATGCCTGTATAAGCAAGTAGCCAAAGAAGTTCACACTGGAGACCCAAAAGATCTACTCCCAATACTGGAGTCACTCTCTCATTCTTCACAAATGAAGTTTTGCCCTGGAACCCTCAATTATGAAGGAATGCAGTCAACTAGACCGTAACCTAACAACCCTGCAGACTAGAGTGGCAGGCCGGTCCAACGAAGAAACGATTCCAGTAACACGGCTCGCACAACCTCTGTCTTGCCATTCTGTGGCGGGATTGGTCCAGTTCTTTTGATGTTCTGGGGCCGTATTATATTGCAGCGAAGACATTGGACAGCAAGGTCATCATGGTTTGCCTCCACGATGCCATCCGTCTACTGCACATGCACGGCTTGGAGTCCAGTGGCTTGATATGCGATGAAGCTGCTACAAATCTCTCTATGCTCAAGTCCATGATTGGAACCTGCGGCGCATTTGGCAGGCAGCCAAGTGAACCCAACCAGCACCTGATCAAAGCCTACTTTCCCGTGATACCCCTCTTACCATACGTTGCCACACCAACAAGCATGTCAGAAGTAATTAGTTGCTGCTTGACTTCTGGTACTGAATTCCTCGTTTTCGTTTATGTCCTTTTGTTACCCTAAAATTGCTGGTATCTGTGTCCGTGTATTTTGCTGTGTTCTATTGAAAAAGTCTCTCCTACAAGTCATGATACCAGTGGTACGTTCTATTCTGTTTCTCCTTGCCTTGCACTTTCAGTGAGTGCATCAAGCAGCTAAATGATCAAACAATTTTGAACGAACTGAATTACATAGATACATCACCGGTGTCCTTCAATGTAACCTGTATGACAGGGTGCACGGAAAATTGCGACTGCAGTGCAACAGAGTCAATCCCTCCGCGTCCTCAGAGTGTGACCGAAAGATGTGGTAATGCTTCTCGGCCAATATCCACAACTGTCTTCATCACTGTCGAAGAAGGTTTGTTTGTACATGTCTTTAGAGTCACTTTGCGTATGTTTAATAATGCACTGTTCGCATCGTTTCCAGGAGGAGGAAAGGCCTTCATTTCTGAGACTGGTGTCCCATTTGGATGGAGTACAATCGTTGATTTGTATGGTCGTGAGTGCGAGCGCCGATGGAACAGAGTTCCCCATGATGTGCCAGGTCTTCGCAAGAACTTTGTGTCACGAGATTCTTGGACAAAGCTCAATGTTCTACCAGCCAAGATTATGCAGCAGGAGAAGGTCATCACAGAGCTCGAAGCGTACTGCCTCATCAATCCTCCTGATGGTCGAACTGTGCGAGCAACCATCAATTTCTTGAAGGCTTGTAACCAGCTGTTTGAATGCGGCTCGCTCGGCCATCTCAATATATCGACACCAGATTCCGCGCCAATGGTCGCTTTAAAGTCTAGGTACATGTTCTTCGAGAATTGGTTGAATGCGCTGATTGCCGCTGACCCTGAATTCGTTCCCACCAGTCCCAACCAGAAGAAATTCCTCTCCTGGCAGAATTGGGACTTGCTCCAGTTGGTAAGATTCGGCACGGCCCTGTGTGAAGACTTCCTCCAACGTCATGAGGGGTACTACATTGTCCCAATGAGAGTGTCGGGCAGTGCGGCTGAAACTCTCTTCTCTCAGATGAAGCTATGTTTTGCAATTATTTCTGTGGCGGGATTTGTCCAGTTCTTTTGATGTTCTGGGGCCGTATTATACTGCAAGGAAGACGCTGGACAGCAAGGCGGGTCATCGTGGTTTGCCTCCACGATTCCATTCGTCTACTGCACATGCACAGCTTTGAGTACAGTGATTTGGTATGCGATGGAGCTGCTACAACTCTCTCTATGCTCAAGTCCATGATTGGCACCCGTGGCCATGCATTAGGCAGGCAGCCTAGTGAATCCGACCAGCACCTGATCAAAGCTTCTGCTGACCAAAAAAAAGGTTTATGTACTCTTGGTTTTTATGTGCTAATGAATCATGTTGTAACCAGACCTGTGAACAATTGTATAGGCCACATTTCGTTACAGATTTCCATTTGCTAACAAGGTTTATTTTCGTTACAAGGAGAGAAGACCAGCGCACAGCAAGCAAGGACAGCAAAACCTGATTTCAATCGTGTGCCCTGATAATACCTGAATCTGAGTAGGGTTGCCTTCAATAGAAATTGGATCAAGCGCTTCCCATTGTGTAGCTGGATCCACTTCCTCCTCGTCATCCGCCACCGTTGCCTTGCCACTTTTTCGCTTTGCTTCAGTGTACCACCACTGCAAGGCAAAGCCATTGTCAGTTCCAGCCACCAGGACACCGGGAGTGTTGGCTAGTCAACCGAGTAGTCATGTCAAATATACACAAACATACGCATGTACACACACACATACACATACACACACACACACACACACACATACACACACACACACACACACACACACATATATACACACCCACACACACCCGCACACACACAGAACACGATAATACAGTGTACAGTCAAAATGCTACGTACGTGGTGTACACATGCCTACTGTCATGACTCCGTTTACAAACCACCCAGCAATTGAGCCGAACTAAAATCAATATATCAAGTGGTATTTTCAGGTAGTTCTCCATCGTATCGCATGGTGGTGAGTAACAGAGGTACACCATGCCAGCTTGGGGTTGTTCTTATTTATCCTCGCGTCGCCCAACCACATATTGCATGTGTTTACAGGGTTGTGAACAGCACTAGTGTGGACCTGTCATGCACCGTGTGGACTATGACTATGGGTCTAGAAAGAGCCATGGGAAGTCTGTAAGTACATGTGCACGGTTAGATCTCTATAGGGCTTGAAAGTGATGACGTCAAAACGGCCAGGGAGTAGTAAGTTGACATCAGATTTCTATTTTTGGATCCACCAAGGTGTGACTTTGCTATTGCCTAAGTATGTGGGTGCATAGCAACCCACTCATGTCGCATGCAGGTGTGACTTTTATTTCGCCACCAGTTGTAACCCCGCCCCAGTAGCCAAATCAGTCAGTTTCACTGGCTACATCACCATGCTGTGGGTAAGTCGGCTTGAAATGTGCTTGGATCCATATAAAAACTGGATCCAAGTGGATCCAGTTTTTGAATTTTTGAAATTGTTGCTATGCTGTGACGTAGCACTTTCAAGCCCTATTGTGGATTGTGCTGTGCTTGTTGTGAGTGCAAAATGCCAACTGCCAGGACAGTAGCATGTATCATATATAGTGAAATGCATCGCATCCTACCATGTAGGCCGTTGAAGGCAATGCATTTGATGTAACTAGAGTCGTTCTGCGGCACGATCATAACAGTCTCCTGCGTGTTAAAGTTCCACATGTTGACGGATCTCTCCCAAACAGTGTATGCAAGCAACCCTGGGACAGTCCAGATAATATCTCTGGGGAAATTGACAGAAGACAAGCGAACCTGCAGGCAAGGAACCAAAACAAAAACAAATAAAAACAAAAAACCCCGCAGCAGTCACATCAAGCTAGTACACGCACCACAAACAAAGCCTGTTAAGTTAACACAATGCTGCAATTACCAACATACAGGCACATCCAAGTTGGAAAAGAAGGCTAAACTCACCCACCCCCTTGCCATACCACAACAGGCGTGTACTAGTACTCTACAAATGACTGTTTCACTTGTGTTCAGGACCCTGATTCTGACTCTGATACCGACACAAAAGTGATACACAGCCATGTTCCCATCACTCATCTGCAGAGAAGGGCTAGGAGAGTTTTAAAGAAACAGCCTAACTGTGACTGTGAGTGCCGCTTCAAGTATACCTTCACAGCCTAGGTATAATCAGCACAAAGCTCGGGGCTTGTCAATGAAGCCCCAACAAAAGTTGACTGTTACAAAACCAGTAGGTAAGAAATAGCAGGCACATACCGAGGCTGGGTCACCAACAGATCCATCAGGCTTTATCGGGAACGAGACAAGCTCTTGCCGTTCAGTCAAAACAACCAGGGTGGATTGACCCTGGCCCTGGCACATTTTCAGCACATGCACACCACTGTCCAGCTCAGTTACACGTACAACATCATTGGATGCGTTCAGGTAGAAAACACCACCTGCAGTCACAAGACAAATAAACAAACAAGATGCACATTGGCTACCGGTCAGTGGTGATGTTTACACGATGATGGCTGAAAGAAGAACAGCACACCAAGTGCCAGCCTGAACCAGATCCACTGTACGTTGACAGGTTTAGGGGATCAACTGTGTGACCAATTCCCACCATGTGTGCCTGTCCCGTTACGTGTGATCAACTCCTGCTATGCGTGCTTGTTAACAGCCTGACAGTCATGTCATAGTGCCCTGTACCGGTGGGTATAAACTTGTACAACGCACATCTACACTCATGTTTGCCCCCATTGAGGAGACGGTTCACTGGAAGCTACTTGTTAACTCAAAATTGCCCTTATCCGGCAAACCTTCCACCATACCCCCACCGACTAGACCCCATCTGTTGTTTTCAACTGTCCCTATAAAACCCAGAATAATTTGTATAAAGACACTGATATATTACATGAGCTATGAATAAAATGAAGGCCGCATACATCACGCAACTAAGTTACTTGTTCGACATGTATATGTATATGTATATGGCGGTGTTTTCAAGTACATGTATAATGTATGTGTATTTAGCGGACTCAGCTTTGTATGTGTATTTTATAACAATACTGTATAACACGTTATTTTCGGTGTAATTTTAATTTCGGTAGAGAATTCATTTGAAGAATGCCAGCGACCTAGAAGGAGCACGAGCATTTGCTGCAGACAAGTCGAAATGGAGATCAGACATTGTTTATGGATGAGTTTTTTGTTGACTGGAGACAGAAGCGGACTTGGCTTAATTTCAGTGTATTCTCATGCATTGTTCTTTGGCCTTTGTACGCGTGCTGTGGTATTATTATTATTATTATTAGAGAATTCAGGCACCTAAATTTAGATTACACCTAAAAGGGACAAGGGTATGCACTGTATGTGAAGGGTAGGCTGGTCACCTAATTCTACATTACACCTGAAACCTGGCAGGTCCCTGGTACCGAAATTTAAATACACCTAAAATTACATGATATACAGTATTGAAATCCAGAATCGATTTTCTCGTTCCAATCATCAGTGGGGAAAATACAAATCGATTCTGGATTTCAATATTATCGTTATAAAATACACATACCTGTCGAACAAGTAACTTAGTTGTGTGGTGTGGTGTCTGCGGCCTTCATTTTATTCATAGCTCTATTAAAATTATTATCTCCTCGCAGATTATTTGTATATACATTACGTGCATGCATATGTGCAGGCATTTGATGATTCTGGGAGCACAGAACACATGCATTTGTGTAGTCACGATCTACAGCACATGGCACTTATGCTGGTCGATGGGTGGTATCCGGATAAGGCGAGTTCAAGTGCACGCCTACCTGAGCAGGGTTGAATTTAGGATGCAGCGGTTTGAGCCAAAACGTTAAAACGTGCCTTGAACACATTCCTTGCAAAACCTGAAATGAATGTTGGATATGCATGCAGATGAACAACCCTGACGAACCTGTAGGAGTTCCAACATAGAACGACAATGGTGTGCGTGGGGGAGTAGGGTGATTCAGCAGCATCTCATTGAAGAGAGGTGCACTTCGAGCTTGTGACGTTGCGTGCCGAGACCGGCCCAGGAACTGCTCCAGAGCCAATGTCTTCTTGTCTGGATTGAGGGACAAAGGTACATGCTTGGTCCTGAACATGTGTGCACACACACACACACACACACACACACACACACACACACACACACACACACACACACACACACACACACACACACACACACACACACACACACACACACGTGGACAGCAAAGCACAGCTGGTGATGAGGAGCAGACTAATCAAGAGGTAGACAAAAGTGGCCATTTCCCATTGCACATTGTAGAACAGCTGGGTAGATAATACAACATTACAACCTACATGTATGTAAGACTCACCTTGTCTGTATTCTCACAGCATAGCATAGCCAATACCACAGTGTTTGCACTTTAGTAGTACATATTGTATTATGCCATTAGTAGGTCATTTCAGTATGAGCCGGCTCTCCCACCATACACACATGTATACAAGTTATTCGGTTAGGCTTTCGCCGAGTACAGGCCCAACATTGAAGATAGGTTTTGAGATCGGCACCGGTGAATTTCCCGAAAATTCTGCATCATGCAAATGCGTGACACTTAAATCAGGCCCAGTGATTGCTCTGCATGCATCAGATACATGCTAGACCGCTGCCATGCACAAAAGAAAAGAAAACAACTCTGTATCAACAAGAATATGAGAGAGTAACACATGTTTGAGAGAGAGGGGGGGGGGGGGGGGGGGGGGGGCAAAACGAACCATTCCGATGAAAGCAAGTAGATTTGAAGGAGATGCAAGTTTATCAGACAAAGCAACTTGACCCCACGTGGTTCAGATGGCCACAAGACCGGAACTCTGCCAACCGGTTTACGGGAGCAGTCAGGAGCACTTCTCTCAACACAGTACGTCCTCCGCCTTGTAACATGCTGCCATCGTAAAAAAAACCTATGTTAAACTATACTATCAACTTAGTATCAAGCAAGGCTTGCATATGCCACCCTATATATATAGACTGCGAGAGGGGAGCGAGGTATAACGATACTTTGGGTGTAGCTGAAAATCAGCAGCCAGTTCATTGTCTGATTTTCTTCCATACTTGCAAGCGGTCTTTCCTTGGGAATGCATTTTAACTTTTCGGCAAAGTCCCAATGAAATGGAGAGTTTCCTCAATACTAGGATGCTGCACTGCAGCCAATTAATCATTTCTTTAACACTTTCACCAACACAGTCTTTCACTGGAATTGCAATAGAGTAATCTCCAAATGTTCGCCCTTGGTGCTTCATCAGCTGGTAAGGGTGTTAACAGAGAGCCTTGATAAAAAGTGCTCAGGAGAGCATACTCACTGCGAGGTCTCTGCAACATTACACATGACACCTGCTGCCAGACCATCAAATGATTGGGTATGATTGGGCATCTTCGGCGCAGTACTATGCACCTTTGCTGCAGCATGTTTGGACCGCGAGTGGAAGTGCCATACTGCCAATTCACCGCTCTTTGCAAGGACACATGCATCAGAAGGAACACATGCACATGCATGCACATGTATGCACACAGGCACACACACACACACAGGCACACACAGGCACACACAGGCACACACACACACACACACACATACACACACACACACATACACACGCATACACACACCACGATCAAGGAAGGGATCGCAGGTAAAGTCAGACATATTGGGATGGTCTACAATTATAAGGCCGAAGCGTACCAGGTTCAAAGTCCTGCTCGGTAGGGGAAGGATTTTCCAACTGTGCTGCGACTCACAGTCAAGTACGAACTCTGGATTTGGCATGAGGTAACATGGATTCAACAAATGGGATTCAGCACTTGCTCCAGTGGTTGTGAGACTTATCCCTCGCCCCAGCGTTAGGCATTGCATCTGCTGCTAGAATATAGTCGAAGGTGGTCACAGTGCAGCCAGAGTGAAGGCTAGGGTTTGGTAAACCCGATGCCAATGTGGACAGGCAAGTATTATCATTACAAATAAGGGTGCTCAATCTACAGACAGAACTGTTTCTTCGTCCACCCGTCAGTACAGCACAGAGAAAAAGCGTGTGTGTGGGGGGATTGGAATGATACAGATCAAGAATCGCACCAGGTAACTGCCCCATCTACATAACTTATGGAGCAAGACAAATCGATTCCTGTGCACACTCCTGGTCTACACCCCACAAAGCTTCATCAACCTGCCCCAGCAACTGAGTACTTGGTGCCCAGATCCAGTAAACATGCCTACAACCTCTGCCAGGAAAACTAATATATCTCACGGTGTACACGCACGTATTGCAGTCACACACGCATGCACGCACACGCACACACACACACACACGCGCGCGCGCACGCACACACGCACACACAAGCCATGTGCCTTTCCTTGGCAGCTCACCTCGTCTCCAGACACGAGCCGAGTGCCAGCCGCATTCCACAGCATAAACACAACAACACCGGACTTGTGGGCTAGCGATGTCTCAATCACATCTCCTATCTCATCGTTGTAGACTGTGATTTCACCACTCTTCCATGCCACGGCCAGCAAGCGCTGCACTGGATGCCATTCCAGCAAGACCGGGGGACAGGAGCGGTGAACGCTGGCACCTTCAATTGCATTGCCCTGCAGGCAGAAACATACCGGACATTAGAAATGTGTATACAAATAGTAGATACTGTTCAACAACACTACACCATGCATTCAGGATTGTATGCTCGTAATTCCAAGTGTTCCCGTCACACCATGATGATTAATTCCTGACAAGTACCACAAGACGGGCTTGAACCGCATCTAAACTGTTATCCTGTAACTGCCGATGAGTGCGTTCCGACTTTCCATTTCCATAATACTACAGTTGCTGGTCTCCTCGCCGATTATTTATAGATCTATGCAGAGCTTACTGACTTGTCAGTTTGAGCACTCTGGCAAGGTACGTTTGGGCCTTGTTTAAATCTGGCTTTGGAAAATTTATTTTTCATTGCTATCAGGTTCGGCCTCATTTTCTCTGTGCTGCGCTGATGAGTCCACAAAGGACGAAACAGTTCTGTCCGCAGACTGAGTAGATTTTATCGGTTTATTTACCGTCCAAAAGATCCACCCAATTCTACTAACACCATTCACATTCGGAAGGAGATTAACAGTAGTTGAATGAAACGTAGGAATACGGAATGCAATACAAACTGTACGTTGTGTAATGCACAGTGCGTAGAACTGCAGTACAGCGTCCTTTTTTCTTCTTCTTTTTGTTGCTTTTCAGGCAGTTCACTTTGCATTTGAAGTTCTCCTAACCCTTTTCAATTATTTATACCCACAGTATGTTATATCGAGGGTACTTGATGGTACTGAAGTTTCACTGTACATAATAGCACTGGCCAAACATGTGTTGGCCACGTGTAAACATCCAAACCTATTTTAAAGTTACTGTAAAACCGGAAAGTTTAACGACCAAAAAGTGTAACGTTTTTGTAACTTTGGCATTTTAACGTGCAGAAAGTTTAACGATGGCTACCTAGTACCTGGCCACCCGTCTGTATGCGCATCTTTACTTTCCGGTTTTACAGAGTATTACATACTTTTTAAAAAAAGGAAGTAGAGCTGAAAGCAACATTCCATTGAAAAGAAAAGAATAATATTTGCCAAAATTAATGAACGTTCTCCATGGGAGGTATACCGGTAACAAGCACTTACATCCTCCTTGAAAACATTGACTACTCCAAGAGGCTGGCCAGCGTGAGATGTTCCTTCACAGGCGACAGCTAGAATGGAATACTGCGGATGGCCTGCCAAATCAACGTGAGCTGGATGAGCAACTCCTGTGGCCAATGAGTAATTAAAATACACCGACATCTCGCAGCCACCAACGTACACAGTGCTACACAGCCATGGCTCTTGATAGGTCAAAAGCTACTTGTGCTATCTCTTTTCATTTGAAATGTCACTCCTTGTCCACAGCGTTTCTTGCAGCGCTCGTCAGTCAGATCACAGCGGCTCTTTGATTCTGCAAAATGAAACTCCACTTTGCTTGGTTTGAGTTGTTGAGAGCTTTATTTGCTTGGCAGGTTTGCTGGCCTGCCCTGAGGCTGAGTTTGCAGCTTGCTGCTTGGGCATACATACTACACCACATTCCACACACTACACCCACAATCCCACATCAACATGACATACCGACTTGACGTCCTTCCCTGCGCTGCATGCATAGACTGTGAGCCAAGTGCATGAATTCATGATATGATTTTCGTTCCCACTTTGGGTGTACCGCGATTTTGTTCTTTTAGCATGTGGAGAGACCTAATAGAAGATCATTTTTGATTGTTGTCAGTTTGGGAAGCTTGCAGGGAAGTCAAAATAAGCAATTATCTTAACATACCCCGTTTCCATAGCAACTACATAGCAACTGACATAGCAACATGCTATTTTGAAGGTGTTTCTTACTTTTTTCAGCAGGCAACGGCACTGGACGAAGAAATGTATATCAAGCGTCATTGCAGCTGGGTTAAAATAACTATACGTGGCCAAAAATTATAGAATTACGCATAAGTGCATTGTATAAAGTACGTGCACATTTTAAATATTACTCGAAGTGACGATGCACTGGTAGGTAAGTGCACATGAAATGGTGCCGACAACCACGAAATGCATTTCAGGAATGATAATGTACAGAACAAACAGGTGGCATTCAATATACAAAGCCCAGCAGCAGCGAATTCTCCAGACAACGGTTGGAAAAGACCATCAACAACAGCCAGGAGAATCTGGTTTAATCCGGTGCAATGCTCATTTCACCCTCTACATCTCTATAATATATACATGTACAGTATGGCAGAATAATGTTAAAGAAGTTGCTGGATACAGGATTTGTATATTTGCACTCATATAACTGATCAATGTAACGTTACTTCGTAAGTACTGCTGTATTGCTTCCTAACTTATAAGTGCAAAGGGTAGAGCAATGACCGTAACCAGTAACGTTAGAGGACCGCAGGGGTATACCGGTAGATACAGATCTGTAGTTTATTTGAACTATAATAATAATAATTATTTTGAAGCATTAGTTCCATTACCCATTGTATGTACAGAACACAAGCGGAAAGATACAATTAATCATAGTCTGAAGCACTTCAGTATAAAAGATCGAAACAGTTATTAGCTCTCCGGAGATAAGGTACATTGTACGTTCTACATGTATTTCTGCTCCAACAGATTACAAAAACCTTTAGTTTAGCTTGACTGATCAGCAGCAAGCATGCTAGCACACTGATATGATTGACATGATGATGTTCGTACTGCCACTGCGCTGCACTAGCACTGCACACAATACTATAGAAACCACGAAAAAACATCGTCATGATGCGGCTGGGTTTGCACCACCGTACATTTTTGCGAGGTCAGTGGTGCAACAGAAGTCCGCTCCAGCTCTTGTGACCTTGGTTCTTGTCGATGGCGGCTATTGATTTGGCCAAAGTAGTTTCTCCCTTCTATTTGGGCATGTTCGTGCCTGATTTGGAAGTGACAACAAGCTGAATTCGTATCTAGTCGAGTAGATGAAACGAACTGGGGAAAAAAATTGCGGTACGCTCAAGGTCGGAACGAAAAAAAATTCTAACAGGATTTTTGGTGCCTGGCTCACAGTCTAGCATGCCTGATCTGTTTTTTTGAAAGACACCCAAGACGTAGACGCGTGATTTATCGCGTGCATCAAGTACAGTAGTGTCATCAAGAGTTATCAAGAGTTTTTCATGTACTCTTGGAGTTATGAACTCTTGGTGCCATGGTGACAACGGAGGCGCTCTGACTTGTTGCGTTGACAACCTCTCGTGACAGCCGATCCACGTGACTTGTCAATACATCATGTTGAGAGCTACAAAGTACAATCATCCACTTGGACACGTCTTTTCATTGATTCAAAAATTGTTCTGTACCACACGATCTGTACTGCCATATCTTGGATCTACTTGATGTCACGTCCATTGGTGTTGGATCGTGGTTTTGCTTCTTCGTCCTGCAACTGACTTCTTTGACTTAGTCTACTGATGGCTGACGTTTTTCACGTGCTCAAAGATGTATTTGGCCATGCATCGTTCAAGTCCACATTACAACAAAGAGCGACGGAAGCAATTATTGGAGGTGAACGTTATTAATTGTTGTGCTTTAGTCTCCATACCACATTTACTAAGCCTACTAGCCTTACTAAGCCTAAACTTTACCTGGGTGACTCCATCATTTATGTTGGACGAAGGGCATTTTCTTCATGATCGAAGTGCGCGTGGAGTGTAGGAGCTCATTGGGAAATGATTGGAGTTATTGCTGGAATGCCGGAGCTGTTCTGGCCTAATTCAGCTTTGAATTTGATTGATTTATTGATTTTTACTTTTGGTTTGGTCGCGCGAGAAAAACACTGTACGTATAGCACGCATAATGCTCATATGAAAACTCAAATGAGGGTCATGCACCAGCCTGGCTTCACTACAAGCCTGATTTGAAAAGCCTAGACCTCTCGTCGGCTGCCACGAAAATTCTCTCGGCTTTGAATGTGACTCTGTGGTGCTTCTAAAATCTCACAATCATTGTATAGACCAACCCACTTACCACGAACAGCACACTCATTTGTGGATATTCTGCGAAGACAACCACGTAATAACTGAGTGCGGTGAAAATCAGTTACAATGAAGTGCTGATTGTCTGCACCCCTCGGGGCACAGGCTGTCTCCAGGAGGTTCAGATGAGGAGAATGTTCGGATACGGGAGCAGTGACACATCCACCCAAGACATGCGAATTCCCTCGTGTTTCCATCATTTCTCATTCTCTTCCGAAGTGTCGCAAGAACTAGACAAACTCCAGATCCTCAACATAACACTGTGTTGATACATTTTGACTCCAACCTGTTTCAATACATCGTTTGCACCTCTTGGTGCTTTGGGTGGGGAAAAATAGCAAAAACTCCTTTTCATCCCTTCTATTCAATGCAAACAGGCATTTCGGGCAATTGATTGTTCGGATAGTTGACGTTCGGATAATCGGCATTTTACTGTAGTACAAAGTTAGTAGTATATACAGAAGCCTTGCTTGGTAGTTTAACATGTTCGATTTTGACAGCATGTTACAAGGCAAGGACGCATAGTGCTCCTGACTACAACCACAACCCGGTTGGCAGAGTCCCGGGTTGCAGTCAGGAGCACTATGCGTCCTCGCCTTGTAACATGCTGTCAAAATCAAAAAGTTAGTAGTAGTAGTGCCGCTAGGGTTTATCGGGTGTTAGCGGCCGTCGTGAGTTCCCTTCGGGAACGGATACTTTTTTTTTTTTTTTACAAAGTTAGTTGGATGAAATGTCTATCTACCCAGTGCCTGAAGTTTCCGTGGCACTGATTTCTCATCCGTAGCAACGCATACAATAGCGTACTATTCCAATGAACTCGGGTTAAACGTGACAGCGTTGCCGCCATACCGTGCGGGCCACATGGTGTGTGCCACTGACTATGTATATATTCACAAATGGGTATGTGCCATTTTTATTTTTATTGTTTATTATGACGGATGACCTTTGGGTCATCCGTCATAATAGGCAATGGTACCTAAATCAAGGGGTGGCTCTGGACCATTTGGCATGTTGGATGCATATGCTCGTAGGAGCTGGACTATAGAATAGTACAGCGACGGCAACTAAAACCCGACCCCAGGAGCGGTGCGCTCGGACTGCACCAGCGCAGCACGCGCCCCACCAGCCTCAAAGCATGGGCAATGCACGCATCCAAATCTGAACTTCTGTACTGTTATGTACTCATACCGCACGTTGCGGTTACCTGGTTACACTAGAAACAATGGGGAGGTTCACAGTACAACGGTACACATGTACGCAGTGGTATACAGCTATGCACAAAACCAGAAAATGAATGCCAAAAAGGCAAAAAGGGATCTTCGCGCTTTGCTGTCATTCCAAGCGCATGTACGCTACAGTCTACTCGCTACTAGCTATAGTTGTAGCTCCACAGCACTCGTACATAAAATCCAGGGATTGGATTTTAGTTGCCACCACCGTGCTACAAAGCACAATTGTAACTGGTTTGTGTGTTTGCTGGTCACGTATCCAAGTGATGGCCATCAGCCTTTGGTCAGGGAGTAGTAAATATTTTTCTACTCCCTGATGGCCACCCTGAAGTGAATTTCTCGAGAGTAAAAAAGAGAAGGAAACTTTCGGCAGCCTAGAAGTTGAGGCTGGATAGTAACAAGATGATGTCCTCTACTCAGTCTCTGCATTGGACTGGAATACAGTTGTGCTGAGAACATGATTGAGAATGGATGCTTTCTGTGGTAAATAAAGCGAGCTTCACATTCAGGATGCACTTACAGGATGCATGTACATGTAGGTAACACATGGAATTGGGGTTATCCAATGAATGTCGGGTTTCTTATTGCCAAGGTAGACTGCTGTGACATTATGCAAGGGTGCTGTTATATCTTCCACTTCAGGCGACCGAGATGTATTCGTTTCCATGCCGACCGGCGCTGGAAAAAGTCTGTGCTATCAGCTGCCAGCTGTGTACGCCGGTATGCGATTGGGCACGGCTCGGCGCGGTGGTCTGACACAGGGTGGTGGCTGTGTAACTCTGGTGATCTCCCCGCTTATCGCATTGATGCAGGATCAGGTGAGTTTGCCCATGTGCTACCGTGATCTGGTGATAGCATTAGTAAATGCACCAGTGCATGTGGGAATCATATCGCCCATCATCAGTTGAGCTTGAATAGGCTGAAGAAGATTGTGCCTGAAGACCATCACTTATACCTACAATAGTACATGTAGTGTCTATGTTCGACATACTCACATGGACATCATACTGCTAGAAAGATACCGAATTCTTCAATTTGTTTGGTATCTTTCTAGCAAGTATAATGTCCTTGTATGCTGTGCTCAAATATACATGTAAGTGCTCTCTTGTGAAGCAGCTGATCTCATACATGATCTCATACATGATTTCCTGTTGCGAAACTATTGCCTTTCATGTAGCAGTGTGCGACTACTAGCAAAGCGACTCTTTTTGTAACTGCTACACATGTACAGCTACCATACACGGTATCTGTTTCTAATGCGGTGCATGTACATGTCATGACTCTCATTCTGATCTGGTGTATATCGGTCAGGTGCAACACTTGAAAGACTGCAACGTTGCTGCTGAGCTTCTCAACTCCAAGCAGAGCAATGATGAGAGGCAGCGTGTCTTGCGCGACCTTTGTGGTTCGAAGAAAGTGATGAAGGGCCAAGAGCAGACACTTGGAGACCTTGCCAGAGGGTTTGCTAAGAGTACTGGCGAGAAGCTGCCTAAGACGCGGCTATTGTACGTGACACCGGAACTGCTTGCCACTGATTCTTTTCAGTCTGTGCTCAAGGATATCTATGACCAACGGTAAGCCCTTTAAAAACAGTTTGTCCAAGTAACAGTTGTTACCAATGATGCATGAAGAATGGCTCTATAGTTGTCTGCTGATAACAGTTGTGACCAAGGCAACAGCATTGTTTCTTGTATATTGATTTACTTCAAAGTACATAATAGATGTGAGGCTCTGTTCTGTCCTTGAGATAGATAATATGGATTGATACATATACTTGTACTTGTAGTTGACTACTTGAAAGTAATTGTACTTGTCTCACCTACGTCGGACATCTTTGAAAAGTGCATGGAGTACGTCTCCGTCCTCACACAGGGTCATTGACCTGTGGCTTGATTTACTATCCGCTCTGTCTGCCCACTGCAGCTTGCTAGCGTACTTTGTTGTGGATGAAGCTCACTGTGTCTCCCAATGGGGTCATGATTTCCGCCCAGACTATGTCAAGCTTGGTAAGCTGCGGCAACGTTTCCCGGGCATTCCCTGGGTAGCGTTGACTGCCACAGCAACAGTTGCAGTCCAGGAAGACATCCTCAAGCAGCTTAGCCTGCGGCAGCCTGTTGCCATCTTCAAAGCACCGTGCTTCCGATCAAATCTCTATCTGGATGTGAAGTAAGCCTGGCATGATGTAATCTTGTGTGTCGTCACATGTACCATGCCACCTGTCATGCACGCACGTGAACATTGTCCATTTTTCATTCATACGTGTAGTTATAGGACTGAGTCCTGACACAACAGCTAGCTGCCTACAGCATTGGGTAGCTACAGTGTACTGTACTTGTATGTGCAAGCATGCTCTCATGTACTTGTGCAGTTATGTGACTGATATTGAGTCGCAGCACCATTCTTGGATACTACCCTTTGTTTGCTCTTGGATTGTCTCAAGGGGTCTTGCCTCCTCTCTTCTGCGTTCTTACGGATCCAGGTATAAGGATGCTCTTGGCGATCCGTATACTTCGTTGTGTACCTTTGTCAATTCTGCACTGGACGATAAGGTTTGTGCCAGCATTCTAGTTGCTACAATCTTGAAAGTAATCTGCAAATATTGCATTCAGCAGGGTGTAATTAATACCGTTGATTGCTCCCAACCGCTGAGCTCTCGCTTTTCCTGTCACGTGACTGTTATCCATGAGACTCCCATTTATGATTAACCCATATTCCAATGTTGAAAGCAACCAACTTTCTGATTATTACCTCCAAAAGTCGCCACCACTAGTTCATAAAGAATCGGTGTACATGGATTATGACTTATTGAGTCTCCAGGTATGTGTAAAATACTGAGCTTTGGAGTGCGTCGGGTATGTGTTGTGCATGTTTACAGGGTTCTGGCATTGTGTATTGTCGTACCCGAGATGCTTGTCAAGAGGTAGCAGCTCGCCTGTCGTCCAAGGAGATCTCAGCCAAGCCATACCATGCTGGTATGTTGGTCCACATTGAAATGCTGGCCTGTGTTCTCTGTATTGCAATGTGTACTTGAATGGAACTGGGGTTTTGATTATGGCTGGGTATTGAGAAGAAACAGGTCTGTTCTAAATATGCCCCATGTAGAAAGCCTTACTGCTACTATAGTAAAGTGTGTGTTTGATTCAGTGTGACCGGTTTCTGTGCGTGATGCCTCCACTTTAGACCGCTGTGTTATTTGCTCAGGATGCAGACAATTATCCCCGCATTCCTCTTGGATACATGCCTTGTTGACCAGTTATAAACAGGTGTGCGCTGGGAAACAGCCCGTTGAGCATGACTTTATACTGGGGGGATGTACTAAATTTCATTTGCTATGCTTCAGCAAAAATTGTAGATTCGTTGATATTGCGTGTATTCAAAGCTGCATTGTGATCTCCCAATTGGCATCATTTCAGGTCTGAAGGATACATTGCGCGCCAGTACACAAGAGGACTGGATGAATGGAAAGACTCGTGTCATTGTGGCAACGATCAGTTTTGGAATGGGTATCGACAAGTCCAATGTCAGGTAAGTGCAGGGAAACTAGGCTTCTGACATGTGTGGATGCCGGGGGGGGTCGTAGCATATACTTGTAGGGAGACAACACAAGATCTTTGTACCCGAAACGGTGTCCGTTTCAATTTTCAACCCCGGATTTGGAAGTTCTACGTGATCCGTGGTCCATGCAACTCTCGATTGCGGCCTTGACCTGATCACCCCAAGCACGGCCCAGACAGGTGACTGTAACAGGCAGCCCGAGGCGAACACCACATCATTTAGCGCTATAGTCAACCGTGTTGTCTTGCTGTATAGGCCTTATGCACGTTGTACAGATGCACGAAATCCCGTAGAATCCCGTAGACCCGGTTGGGTGTTGAATGTGCAGGACCCTATTGTGTTTATTGCTATTTCCACAGCGAAATGGGCCCTGAAGGCATTTCATAAGAACACTTTTTCGACAGTGATCTAGCGAGTCGTTAGTTCAATCCCAAAGTGAAGAAGCTGGAAAAGTGATTGTTCGTCGCGAATTATGAGGCTAAATGGGTCAAACACGCATGTATAGCTAGCACACAATGAACACCCAACCGGGTATTGAGGTCTAGCCAGGATTTTATGCCAGCCGGCCAACGTTCTAGTTAAAATGCATCGTTCTGGGGGCTGCGCCCCCAGACCCCCGCCATCAGTCACGTATCCACACAGACACACACACACACACCACTACAAATCTTTCATTGCAGCTTGCATCTCCTTTCGCTTCGTCCAATTATGGGCATTCATCAGGCAGTTGTGACAATGTGATTATAGGTAAATTAACAAAATATGAAAAAGGAAGCAAGCAGCTACATGAGCATTGGATCATGTGTTTGCCAAGGTCATGTCTGCATGCAGTGTACATTGGTCATCTGACAAGACCCAGCCTAGCCACAGCCGTGTACACCACCAGAAGCAGCGAACCATGACCCAACCTGTTACATTGATTTACTGACGTACTCAAGTGCATACTCAAGTGCATTTGAGCTTGAGTGAAGAGCTAGCACTGAGCCTGAGTAGCCAGTGCTATGTACTGTACTGTACATACCTATGCCTACGGATATGGGTTGTACCATCTCGACTCAAGTGCTAGTGCAGTGCACTACAGTCTACATGGGGGTGACTGCAGCCGGCCAAAATTACCCTTGGAGCTGTCTCAGCCAGGTTGCCCTCCCAGCCGGCATTCTGCCAGCTGAGCCAACTTTGGCTAGATCACTGGTACACACCTACGGCCCTAGTACAGAACTTCGTACATCTGTACAATGTGCATAAGGACTATTAGAAGGCAGTAGGGAGACAGTGTTTGTTTGTCACTTTGCCTTGCTTTGCACAACTTCAGATTTGTTGTACACTGGACTATTCCCAAGTCAATGGAGGCATACTACCAGGAGTTGGGTCGTGCTGGTCGCGACGGTCTGCCTGCCAAATGTCGTCTTTACTACAGCAAGTATGTGGCCTTTTCGTTCTCTCCTCATATTGTTTCTTACTGAAGTATGTACTGAAAGTTATCACCTTTAAATGTGTATGTTGCTGATAAGATAGCTGTGGCATCAGGATGTACACATTATAGCAGCTTTGTTTGACGATGTTATAGCGCTGGATTGTTTTACTCCACTCTATGTCATCTGTATCCCTGTGGACATACCGGCAGACCCCTTTAATCTGGCGCCATTCATTCAGCAGAGGGTGCTGGACAAATGAAAGTTCCACACATGAATACAGTCAGACCTCGCTTAACCGCACACATCCGTTTTCCACAAAAATATCCGGATAGGCGAGGGAACCGGATAATCGAACACACATCTTGTATGTATACATGACGTATGCTGTAAATCGGTAACCAACGATTTTCTTCTGGATAAAAGAGGACCGGATAAGCGAGGTCTGACTGTACTAGTAACGGCACATTGCGTAGAGGGGATTGAATGCTGTAGTCTCGTACAATACAGCTCTACTTGCTTCTTGGCAGCATGCGAACCATTGATCTTCTGCCAAGTCTACAGTGCCTGTGTGACTACGCAGCTTGCAGTTGACTCGCGTGCACTGTAGTCCGTACTGTACATGTATACATTACGCATGCATGGATGACGGATACATGAGCTCAGTGTGCACACTTTTTGACAGTTTATTTTGGAAATTTTCTGCTAGGGTCAGATTGCAAATGCTGGATTAAAATGTGGTTAATATCACTGGCAATGAATGCTATCATATTATCCATTTCTTGGGAAGTCTTGCTGGATATCGAGGAGTTTGTGTGTGTGTGTGTATGTGTGTGTGTGTGCATGTGTTGAACTGTAGGGCTGACAAGGAGACTGTTGCATTCTTCTTGCAAAAGGAGGCATCAAGGCCAAAGGCAAAGGTAGGCATGTGAGTTTGCTGTTGGTACTGACTTTCTGGATGTACCGGTAGGTAGAAAGCCCTGACTATGCCAACTGAGCTGACTGACAAGTGGAAAATTAATTCACTGTGTGTATGACCAGCACGTCTGAATCTGACTCACTGAGGACGTTCCATTTGTAGCAGTAACCAATGTCACTGTGGGGTAATGGGCATTCACGCACACATGTGTTGTACAGTGGACCTAGTTCTCAGTGGGTTAACCTGGCATACAGGAAAATGGCACTTACCTGGTCACCAACTATTTGAGCACTTTGGATTTCCAACGAACAAGAGGGGTGATCCACTATTGAATCTGACAGTATGACAGCGCCAAAGCCATCGCAAAGGATACAGAGGTTATACTAAACATTGACCAGAAACTTTAAATCTGTAGTAGGCATATGACAACAAGCAATCAGCTGAATAGGAACACTGGTATATAATTTTTGTAATCTCTGTGTACTCCAGTCAGTGCAATAATAAAAATGCATGAAACGGTATTACCGGTAGTTATCCTACATATTCTCTTGTTTAGCATGGCCCCATTTCCGAAGCGGTTTGATGAGTCACATTTGATTGTGCAGTAGTAGTACTCTTCTTGTGTGTGATATTTACATGTTTTACACTGTTTAGAAAGAAGCAGCACGTCCTCATGTCAGAGCTCAGCAGTCCAGTTTTGAAGAGCTTGTCAAATACTGCCTTGGAACAAGGTTGGTGGATCGTGGACATGTGTATTTCCCTGTGTGCGTGTGTGTATGTGTGTGTGTTATCTGCGTCAGTGGGTGGGTACATGCACATGAGCAATGTGTAACTGTTTAGAGTATAACCTGTGACTGCACCATGCATCTATCTCTTAAACTCTCACCAGCTAATCCTATTATATAGGATTTTGTTTCTGGCTACACTATTTTAATGCACAACCAATACAAATTGGCGAAATGAGTTTCGTGTGGAGTTTTCCATACAGTCCTGTAGGAATTTCGAGCAGGTCAGCCAATTTTCTGGGGGGTAACTTCCCTCGTGGCACTGTTTAATTTTAAAAAGCACTGGATGTGCTAACCTGTCACGACACTCCTTTTCAGTCACAGACATCTGTTCATGGTCTCCTTGTACTTCTTCGGTATACTGCACCTCTAAATACTTCTTCCACTGTCAATTACATAACCATCTGCAGCCATCACAACATTGAATAATGCTAAACACTCGAACCCTATATTTGCTGCTGCTGTCTTGCCAACCATTGCATGATAATGTGCTTGTGCTCTGTGTAGCTGCCGTCATGAAAGTATAGCCAAGCATTTTGGAGATCCTTTGCCTCAGGTATGCTCCGGTGGGAATTGGGATTTGTGGTATCTGTTTTTCTTTGTACTCGACTTTACCAGCATCTGCAGTGCAAGTTAGAGAGATCTCAATGTCAGCCCCTGTCTATCATGTACTAGTAGGTACATATAGTTGATAACTGCATGTGCTCCATGGTTTACAATTAAAATACCCTATAAATGATTTTTACTGTGCTAGTGTGCTTGTAATTATGCAATATCACTGAGATTCTGCACTTTCTGAGCATGTACTTGATTGTGTATGGAGGTGTAGGAGCTGGGCCATGATCAAGTTTGTGTTGCATGCTGTCTTTTTCGCCTGTAGTGCAAGGACCTGTGTGACTGTTGCCGTGAGCCGAATGCAGTGCGTAAGATGCTGTCAACCGGACACCTGTCCAAGAGTGCGAACAGTCGCTACAGTACTGTGGCTGGTGGTGTGGAAAGACATGCTCCTGACTCGGAGATGTATGGCGGTGGCAGATGGGGACATCGCAAGTAAGCATGCCGCAGATTCACTCCAATTGTCAGTAAATAGAGCTTGTCTTCCATGGTAGCTTGGTGGTCATGTGCCCTGAAAAGGAGAGAGAGTTTACCGTGCTGGCTGTTGAAATTTGCCCCAGACTAAAATTCTACGCACCGAGTGGCAAAACTCCAGATGGGTTGACCTTGTATGCTTTTCCCGGGTTGATGTAGTTGAAAATACCCCACGACACTAGGCCCGAGTCAAGGAGTGAATTTCACTGGCCATCTCTGTACCATTGTACATGTACTGGGTGTGTAGAAGATACCTGCTTGCTGTGGATGCTCTGTGTGTTCATTTCACAGTGCTAAGTACTGTATGGGTAAATGTTCATTGTTCCATTACGTGGTCATCTTACCCAGCGTAGTCTCAAGAAGATGCTAGCAATTGGGGTGGGTGTATGTGTAACAGTCTTGGACTAGGTAGCTCAGGTAGGTTTGCGATGCAACCATTTGCTGCACCCAACTATGTAGTAGTTTCATATAGAAAGTCAGATCGCAGTTGCAGTCCTGAAAAACCTTTCTTGGTTGCTTCATCAGCAGATGTTTTCTTTTTCTTCCTCACAGAGCCAATGGTGCGGATGCATTAGGGGAGTCTGGCTCGGACGACGAAGGTGGAAGCTATGACGGTGATGGTGAAAGAGCGTATGGAAAATCTCTAACTGAGGGGTTGGCTGATGAGCTACGGAAAAGAAGACATGTAAGTGAAGTTAGTAGTTAGTACACAGTGATATGGGCATTGCTTTGACATGTTGCTTTCAACTGAATTAAGTCCGTCTGCGCATGAATACTGCCACGTACATGTACATGCGACGATGTTAGATTCTCACTTGCAAATGTATGCCTGTCAGGTAACTAGCGTCTCTGCAAGGAAGTAAAAGATAAAGGAATACTAACATGGGAGAGAGAGAGAGAGAGAGAGAGAGAGAGAGAGAGAGAGAGAGAGAGAGAGAGAGAGAGAGAGAGAGAGAGAGAGAGAGAGAGAGAGAGAGAGAGAGAGAGAGAGAGAGAGAGAGAGAGAGAGAGAGGGGAAGTCAAACTCAGATACTGAGCCAATATTAAGTTTAGTATGAAGAGGGGACACATGGATACGGGTGTTTGAGTTAGGTGTCAGGTTGTTGAATGTTTTTATTCTCTGTCAGTTTGGTGCCCAGTTGCCGAACTTTTCTGACGGTATAATATCTAGTTACAGCGGTGTACAGTTGCACATAACCTGTGTCCATGTGCCCCCACTTCAGTCTACATTCTAGTTGAAGTTCAACCATTTCTTTGACTATCTCTGTCTAATGATTAGGGGTGTTCCATGTTTTTCATGTTCGGGTACCCTAATGCCAGCATAGTTTCCTACGGTTCGGGTATCAGTTCCATGCACTCTTTTCTCCAGACCGACTAAATGCGTTCGTGAAAATTATTTTTTAGAAAACATTTTTACGAGCACGAACTAGACATCGGAGAGTCCATGTGTGAAGAAGATGATAACCAGGAGAACCCTTTGGAAGGACGGTGATCGTTAGGTAAAGAGATTTAAATCTTGAGTAGACTTGACGTGTACATGTATTTGTAGGAGAACGGGATTTTTTGAGTTTCGGTTCGAAATTTGACGGAACGGGTACCCGATTATTTTCAGCTGGCGGTTCCAAAACCGGTTCCTTACCCGAACCGTTTCACCCCTACTAATGATGGTATATTTCAGTGCTCATTTCCGTGCAATGGTATTGCATGTCGTTTGACATTGTGTTAATTTGTGTTTCTGCTTCTTTGCTGGCAGGTAGGAGACATAGCACCGGCATCTCTGGGTACCAACAATCCAGGTAGACTATGTGACTGTGTGACTATGCTTCGTCATGTGCTGCTGCATGTACTCATGGAATGTTTACTGCCAACACTAGGCTACTTATGCCTGGTCCACACTAGACCGATTTCTTCGGCCGATGCCGACTCCGACAAAATCGGCCGACTGGGTCGGACCTAACGATACACAAACACACACACACACACACATGCACACACATTGTCTTATGGTCAGGAAGGATGATTCAGAAGGAATTTGATGCAGGGCGTCGTTTTAACCTTACCTTGTTCTTGGTGTTACTTTGTGCAATAGGACTGCAATGCAGACTAGTGAATCCCACGTCCAAACGCATTCCTAGTCTTCATTTCAAGGTAACAGGAGATTGTTGATATTGTGTTGTGAATGTTTGCATTGTTTCGAGAGGCTCTTTTATGAAAAAGGAATTTTATGCAAAGAATTCCATGCCGAGCACGGTAATATTTACCCAACCTATTCACAATGAATGTAAGAACTTTGCTAGCAGATCGACATGCGCAGACAGCCACTGAAGTAGTCGTGCTTGTTGCTACTCATGCTTAGAAGTGGCTTTCTGCAGTAGCTAACTCTCTCAGCGCAGGCATCAGGTGGTCATACCCAAGCCCACTGCTGGCAATCTTGGTGGCAGTTACCAAGGTGATCGATGCGATCACACAAGTAATTACAGCGCTCAAGAGCGGAGGAGGGTGACATGGGGTGACGCCGAATGGTGCAGGCTGAAGTAGCATCCGCAGCTAGCATGACTCTGCGTAAAGCATCCACGTCGGCCGCAGCATCCTGGGCATTGAAGTCTTCCTTCACGAAATGCTGGAAGAGTGCAGATACAGCGTAGCTGGGCAGGTCTGGTACATGCTGTTTCAGCAATGGGAGACTGTCCACAACGCCTAGACAGTGCTTCTGTAGCTTGTCAGGTTGGCCGCCGGCCTCCACAGCCAATGTCCTACTATCCAGCGCCTTTGCGTTGTGGAAGATAAGGCAGAACGGTGCGTGTGGAGACGTCCAGAAGTTCTCCCTAGCTGCTGTGCTGCTGGTGATCTCCATGGCCTTGCCGTTTATGTTAGGAACAGAACATCCTTGCCACTCAGCCGGCCACAAGTTAGCCCTGTGACATCAGGCGCCTGCATGCTAATGGGCTTGCTTGGCAGGATGTAGCAAGAGGATGTTTGCGGTTTCTCTGAGAGGCTGCTAGCACTGAACTGAGTCAGGAACACTCCGGGGCACAACAACCCGCCGTGGCGAAGACTAAAGGGGTAAATGTACCACGGTCGACGTTGTGTATGCACTCGGCGTATTCGCTCTTCTTGCGCTGTTCATGTTGCTGGAGAAGATCATTTATGGGCTTGTTCTTGTACGAAGCTGCATCCGGGTGGAAGACCCGGACGTCAAAGAACGCATTCTGAGCCCTGGTCCAGAATCCGCGTACGCGGACATCAGCAAGGGCATTGTTTGCTGTGTTTATTGTGGCCGCTAGAGATAAATGTACTTTGCCTGTGATGGGAGCAAGCACAGGCTCAACCACCACATCTGAGCACACCTCTATCCGGAGGTCCGCCACTATATCCCTCACCTCGTTGTGGCGAATCGTGGGGAAACCTCCAGCTGAGCAAACCGTTGCACATTGTTTTGCATTGTTTGTCTTAATGGTAATGAAAGATTTGTGTAAAATAGAATAGAAGAAAACACAAGGAAACGAGTTATGAAGCAACTATCCACGACTGTAACAAGATAATAAGCAGTCAGAAAGTGTGATAACAGGGCACAAAACTGACAGGCTTCTGAGACATTCAACGACCTGAGACCTAGCTCTAACACATCTCCAGTGCGCACACCAACAGCCTTCCAACTTGCTTTTTGTCTTGTTACAGTCGTGGATAGTTGCTTCATATCTCATTTCCTTGTGTTGTAACTTTTCTTCTTCCATTTCACATTTTATTACTGGCTCATTATCCGAGTTGAAAGATGTATCGTGAAAACTTTAATGAGACCATAAGCGAACCTTGTAAGGCCACCCAGTTGTTTCGGGTCACCCGACCGACCATCATTTTCCACCCGGCCGCATTTTTGTTTTTGTTTTTAGTGTTCATGTACATGTACTATTGCATACATGACTGTGTATGTGTACACACACACACACACACACACACACACACACACACACACACACACACACACACACACACACACACACACACACACACACACACACACACACACAATCATAATCATGGCTTATCATCTTAATAACCCTGCGCACGAAATCAGCGAGGAGCAAGGAATGCTTCCCAAAGGATGTCAGGCGTAGGCTTCAAACATTCTCATATCTCAATTTCGCTTCCGCAGAGCATCGTTCAGAGCAGCCATGGACGAAATATAATATGTTCTAACAATGCCAGCGGTATGTGCCTCTGTGTTGGATGGGACAAAACCTTCTGCCGTCGGTAGGGACTTTCGCGTTGAAAACTCCCAGACCGTAGCTGAAGTAATTGTAGAGCAAATCATTCCTTATCCGCGGATCGCGATCGATTTTCAGCAGTCCAGACATCGACTTCAGAAGCCGCCAATGATAGGACCATGATCACTAGGTGAAGACCTTAGCAGAGATGGCAGGCAATACTATTGCACTGTCCCTTGTCACCATTTCCATCTTCACTCTCCCATGAATTCTTTGGTTATTCTACGTATCACAAAATCACTGTTGCCTGCTGATTGCTTGTGCAAGAAATTTGGTGTGACATATCGGCATAGGCGAATGTGCTTTGACATGCATGCATCATGTTAATGAAAAAGACTTGAGTAGTTTTGAAAACTAATGTACTGTGCTGGGGCCTGGACTTACCGGCTCAATACCATTGTGATCTATAGCGGGTTACTGTAAATATACAAATTTTCGGCAGCTATTTAATTTCGGCTATATTCGGCACCGACCCCAAACGCCTAAATTAAAACGCCGATGAAGTTTTTCACAGCATCTGTCGCACTATACCATGTCCTCTACCCCACGAAAAAATAAATCGCCGCCGAAATGTCAAAAATCGTGAAGTGCCGAAATTTTGTATATTTACAGTAAGTTGACTACCCCTTTTATTCGTTTTTTTGTCACAAAAGGTTGATATTTAACCGGAAAAATACGGTGGGCATACTAGTAGTTGAGAGCTGTGTATCTGATCAAAAGTAAGGGAATCAATGCGTAACAGTTTGTCTTCTTTACATGTCTGAAAACTCTAAGAGACTGTTCTGGGTAATTCTATTCAGTGTACAGTAGATATTGGTTATAACGTGCCCTTCTGATTTTTCACATTTTATCACTATATCCGGTATATCACTACAGGCGATTTTCAACTGCGCGCGTCACACATACACATTATACACGTGTGGGTACTCGATCGTGCTAATGTAGTGTACTGATACGTGATGGATGCTACTGCACCTTCTCCAGTATAGAGTGAAGAACTTCTTGGCCCAAAGGCATCATCCAGGAAGCACCAGACCAGAATACCCTATGACAACACACATGTGGCTCCAAGTCGAGACATCAATGCCTCACACTTGTGTGTTGCTATCACTATAGACGATAATTTTTCTGCGCAAAGAGGTGTTTTGAATGGTCATTCTGTATCCTTATAGCCGATTTATCGCTATATACGATATATTGGTTATAATGATAATTTGACTGGCTTTTTCTGGTTTTGCTTTTGATATTTTCAATTTGTATCAATATAGCCGGTTTATCACTATGTCCGATGACTTTATAACCGATATCCACTGTACTGGTTTACTTGCTTTAAAGCTGGCATGCAGTTGTTGACTGACATTGCTTGCTTCTCTCCCTCTCTCTCTCTCCTCTCTCTTTCTCTTTCTCTCTCTCTCTCTCTCTCTCTCTCTCTCTCTCTCTCTCTCTCTCTCTCTCTCTCTCTCTCTCTCTCTCTCTCTCTCTCTCTCTCTCTCTCTCTCTCTCTCTTTATCTCTCCCTCCCCCCCCCCCCCCCCCCCCGATTTCCTTGTTTTTCTACATCAGGTCCGGGAGCATTGCTTGAATCGTATTGAGACAGCTCTGGTGACAAATGCTGCAACAGTTGGTCATCCATCGGGGTACGTTAATCATTCTCTTAGAACTTTGAAAGATGTGATATCCACGATTACATGGTGAAACTGGAATACACTGTATAGCGGAATCATTGCCACTACATTTCCGGGGATGCGGAAACACAAAGGTTTGAATTTGTTCCGTGTGTGTGTGTGTGCGCATTCCTGCATGCTTGGGTGATGCGTAGGTGGGGTGAGTGTTTGACTGTTTGTATGTATAGTGTGTGAATGATCTCCTGCATTCACGAATTAATTCATGCATGTGTGCGTGTGTGCGTGCGTGTGTTTGTACATGTGCTGTGTGTGGATGTGTGAATGATAGATTGACTGAGGAGGCTATCTTCAACGTGGCTGTTTCAGAGGAATACTCTGTCTTCATGGACAGCCGCATCGCCTCAGTTTATCGTCAGAAAGCAGTGAAAAAGGTAAACTGCTAGATTACTGATTTTACATAGCAAAGAAAATGCACGAGACTCGTACTCAAGTACACGGAGACACGACCATGCTGTAGATCTTCTATCCCCAACAAGCAGTTTGGAATAAGGAATCCGGGTGGACACATCTGAACCAGTTCTGTTATTTCACAACGTTTCAGGCTTTCAGCACTTGGTCATCATCAGGTAATAGGAACAATGAATACAGTGGAAGCCACACAGGAGCAGTATATGTACGCAGAGTGTAGCACCAAAAAGATGCGAGTTCTGTCACCTCTATGCAAGGGGGGGGGGGGGAGAGAGAAGGTGCACCTGTGCACATCACGGAGAAGAACCAGCAGAAGGTAGCGCGCCATTGTGCTTTGCGAAGTGAGGGTGCATGCCGAATAATAGCAGTTTGGATTCACTGAAACTAGGTTGTCAGAATCAATGTGTCTTGCTTTCATTGTATGTATTCATGCTTCAGGCGTCGACGATCAATGATCTTACTAGCCGGGATGAACTGTACGAGGGATTACTCAAGGACAATGTTCAGGATGACGTGGTGAGTGTTGTTTCCTTTCTGCTAGATGCAGAAAACAATCCGTTCAACTCAGATACACCTTTGCAGCTTTTTGTGAGCTTTTGCGCAGATCGAATTCTCCTGTGGCAAGCTGATGCCTATCAGGGTGTCCCGTCAGATGTCTGAGTGGAATGAGAAATCACATTACACATTTTCCCTAATTTTAATGTGTACGCCTCTGTGCCACTCATTTCTTTTGTGCTGCATGCATTCCAGTTAACCGACTCAGAATGCGCTGCCTTTCCTGCGGACACATACAGTGGTGAACCACCCAGCGACGATGAAGTTCGACACCAGCCCTGCTTCCAGACTGCATTGCAACTATCCAAGTCGCGCGACTCACTTACTAACTCGAGTCGGGTGCAGCACTCCGTGGGCCATAGGGCCAGTCAAACGCGTGCCCAACCCTCCTCTAAATCTGCCGGTATGACTGGCGGCTTTGTCCCAGCGCGGCATCTTGTTGCAGATAATGTCATTCAAGCCAGCAGTCGCAAATCAAAACTGCAACAGCAAACGTTACCATGGTCAACAACCGGAACAAACAACTTCGATGACAATGAGTTGTCATCTGCTGCATGTATTGGAGCAAAGACGCAGCTAGAGGATGTTACTGATGTCCTAGCACGTTCACCGATAGCGTCTATGTTGCCAGACTCTATACGAATTGGTCAAATTGGTGGAGGAGCGCAGCAAGAACAGTCCGGAACACCAACAACAGTGGTAAGGCATGTGTTGTACTTCACTTGCTGTACTCACTTGATAAGAAGCCCGGTATGTTAATTTGTTAATGTCCACATTGAGTGTGTGTGTGTGTGTGTGTGTGTGTGTGTGTGTGTGTGTGTGTGTGTGTGTGTGTGTGTGTGTGTGTGTAGGGACGGGGGGGGGGGGGGGGGGGGGGGGGGCTGACACAGGCTTCTATGTATGAGGGCTTTTATTATTTCAAGATCCAAGTATTCCGATCACTTTTCAAGTTTGTTGTGTATGTAGAGATTTCGCCCATGACGGGTCTTTTCGATCGGTCTTCGCAAAAGGGCTTCTCGAGTTAGTAGTTAGTACGGTGTGCACTTGACTGTCTCACAGACTTGAAACTTTGAACAGTAGTACTGATATTATTATTCAAGTACAGTTTGTGCTCTGAAGTGATATTATCACTTCAGAGCACTAATAGTAAGTTGCCTCTGATACTGAACCAAACAACAACTTCTTCAAAGTACAACATTCCAGGGACGACTCCTCTAAGTTTGTTCTGGGTGGCAAACTTGGAAGCATTCCTGTTGTGTGCCAGGTCTTATCAAGCAGTCCAGTGTCAAGCCCGCTACACCAAGCATTCTCTCCTGTGGCCACTTGTACATCAACAGCTGATATTGCGGAGCCTCCAGCGTTCACATGTTTCTTTGAGAAGTAAGTGATGCCTTGTGCATGTGCTAGTTTTCAATGTGTCAGAGTGTCACTTCAGCCTGGGAATAGAGATTGTGTGCTTTTGTACGTCCAATCTGCAAAGCCTGCTGGTGTAGAACTTGTCAATGGCATTCTTTTTAATACCCATCTCTTACCTTCATATTGGCTTCTTTTTCCGAATATTCTGGAATTGTTCTGACTGGAATTTGATGGTGTGTCGGTCTCTTCTGTAGTACTGGACATTCCCTTTGCCGGACTGTGCCAGACTTTTCTTCTCCTGTGCTGTGCTGTGTGCATGTTGTTTAAGGAGGAATGAATGCGCTCCAAGCAACCATTCGAAGAGCAATGGATTTCGATCACCTTCCCCAACGCTGTCCGTTCACAATGACCATCTTGTTGAACCGGTCGAGGAGAGCGATGCTCCGTACGCGGTATCTACACCAGTTGATTATGTAAACCACTCTTATCAAGTGTCGTCGTCGCCACCGCCGCTTGCCAAGCCAGTGAAACGTCCATCGTGCGAAGATCGGGTTGAAGATGACATTGTTAGCAACACATCTAGCAAGCCTTCCTCTAGTTCCGGTAAACCAACTAAACGCACAGCTGGGCACAGTCAAAGTCGGACAGCCGGCCTGGCCAAGAAGGTGAAACCCAGTTCTGAATCAATAGCTGCGGCAGCGGCAGCTGAAAAGCGTAAGAGTGAACTCGTCGGTAAACTGGTGAAGCTGCTCAATCCGTACTTCAAAGACAATTGCTTTGAATCCAAGGTAAGCACAGGGCAGGGCTTAGACTGTAGAGTACCATCCTCGTGTACATTTGTCTCCGTAGCCCCGATCTATGTAAACAAAAAGAAAATGTAACTGCACTCACACTTTTTTTCTGCAATTCACACTCATCCATCTTACCACTGCATTTCCCCATACGTGATGGTACACATCATTATCTTAATGCACTGGTAAGTAACATTTTTCGCACTTCCCTGACAAACGCTTGTGAATATTTGTCATGTATTTGTAATTGCTAGTTTTGCACATTGTAACCTTCAACTCAAGTGCATATATCCTGCAAACTGTTGGTGATCCATTTTCTTTCAGTTACGAGATTCCATTGATAAAACATAACGGTGACAAGAGAACGTTCTGGAACCAAGCCATTGCTACTTTGTTAGTGACATGAGTGCAGGTATCATTTTATTTATTGCAATAACACTTTTGTAGGGTATTATCAAGAGTACATAACCAAGAGTGTACAACTCCTATCTTGAGCTGCGATGGGTTCACCCACGGCGGAATTTTTTTATTGCGCCATTCTTTGGAAGAAGTATGATGAAGTGGGTATGCTTTCCCGCGCTTGCTTTGTAGATACGGTGAGAGTTCGTCAGGTTCAAGACACATTGATCTATCGTCCGTTGTTCTGCTTCGACTATCGTAGCTGTAATGTACAAATTATTTGTACTTTGATCTCTGGCTACGCGTGATGGCATCAGTGAGCCAAACCGCCGCCAAAGACTGATGTCATAAAACCATTCCGCCGTGGGCTGAGGGATCGTCAAGTTGCACACTCTTGGTTATGTACTCTTGGTATTATAGACTGCTAGTATACGGTAGCAGACAGTCAGACTCAGTATGGTGTAAAAAGTGAGAGTTCTCAGATTTCCCCTTTCCACACCTCTTTACTAGTGACTCGTGTGCTATGCTGCTTCCTGCAGGATCTCTTTAAAATGTTTGCAAAGCATCTGACGACACTTTTGCTGGATGACTACACGAAACAACAAACCAGTGGTAAGGGGTCAGAAGAATCTATATAATACAAATGGTTAGAGTATTGCTCGTGACAAGCAAGGTCCTGGGTTCGAGTCCTGGTGGGGTTGGCATTTGTTTCTTCTTTTCAGGCAGTTCACTTCCCCGACTGATCCTTTGAAATATTACACCTTTTTGTTCCACCGGATTTTTGTGTATTGTATACATGTATGCATGGATAGTGGCGGACCTTCTACAGGGAATGATTCATTCGTGCATGCTGACAGTGATAGGTTGTACTTCGAACTAATAATAAATAATAATAAAACGAAGCGTGTGCTCCTCGTTGGAGCAACCAACTTAATAATAAAACAGGTCGCGTAATGAAGCAGCATAACGATAGATGTGCAAAGTCATGATGCCTGGTCCGCTTCTGTCCTGGGTTCACTACCCCGTGCGTTGCAGCCGCGAGCAAAATCAGCTCAGGCTGAGAGTTCCCTCCATGATTGCTTGTCCAAAGCGCGTATTCTGAGCCCACTCAGATCAGTCAAGGTCTTCAGTGGCATGTCTCTGGCAGCTGTGCTTGCCTTGACTGCCGTGGCCAGGTTCGATTTCGGGCGTCCACGCACACCGGTGACATCTCGACGGAAGTAGTTGTCCATTGCCTGCTGTGGTGGGGCATCTGAGGGCATCCTCAGAACATGACCCAACATCCGGAAACGGCGGACAGCAACGGTGTGCGAGCTACATCGAACTACAGTTGTGGCAAGTGAAATCCGACACTTGGCATAAGGGACTGCACCATGCAGTCTGCAGCCCCTGCAGCCCTGCATACGTACAGTACATGTGTTACATACACCTTTATCACATATCAGGTGATGGTTTCCATGGATTGAACCAATCAGAGGCCTTCGTAGGCGGGTGATATAGGCCGATATCACCCCGCCTAGCCCATATCACCCCTGCTGCTCTATATCACCCCTGCTGCGTACACCGTACGCATATACTCGAAAGCGTACTATAAATGCACTCCATATTTAGCACTTGATTGTTCCTGCTAGGCCCTACGCTACAGGCCCTACTGCCGCGCCTACCCCCCGCCCCTTTGGCCTTGCTGGCGAAAGCGGTGGGGGGGGGGGGGGGGGGTCTACCAGGTAGGCTCAGTAGAGCCTGAAACATAGGGCTAGAAGGAGCAATCAAAATGCTAAATATGGAATGCAATATAGTACACTTTAGAGGAATTGGAATTTATACTAAAAGTTAGTAAACAAGAATTCCGAGAATAGTACGCCTAAGTTGCAGGAAATACAACATGACCAAGGAAAACACTTACCAAGAATGGAGTCATTGATTCCGTTCCTAGAACAATGAGCCAAGGACCCTCATGGTTTGTGCACACGTACACAGAAAGCACAAATACTTGACAATACTTCTGGGTCTGGTCACTTTCGGTATTCTTACCAGTAAGATGGCTAGCTTTGACTTGGGTGCAAGTGATATTGACTTGGAAGATGCAGAAGTTTTGGATGCCGCTTCCAACTACTTCAACTTTTTATCTACAGATGAAATAGCCAACATGTCAGGATTCTCTTTATCATCTACAGCAACTGCGACGTTAGCAACTGGTGAGGTGGTGGAAAAGACCACTACTGAAAAGCGCGTTTCGTCAGAACAGCACAGCAGTGAAGAAAGAGTTAAGCGATTTGTGCAAGTGTCTGAGTCAGATCTGGATAGGATACGTGAAAGTCGTGTTCCCGCAAACACCAAACGAGCTACTAAGAACTGGATGCGTGTTTTTGACACTTGGTGTGTGGAGAACAAGAAAACGTGCGACTTGAAAACAATACAAGCGACTGATCTAGCATCTATCCTGAAGCATGCCTATGTTGAAATCCGTCAAGTCAACAAACAGCCGTATTCTAAGAACAGCTTACTGCAGTTTCGGAGTGCCATTCACCGTGAACTGCAAGAGCTGAAGCGCACCATCAATCTCTATACTGATAGTGAGTTTATCGAGGCTAACCAAGTACTTGATGGCTACCTAAAGCAGTTAAAGAAAGACGGCCTGGTAGCACCAACGCAGCACAAGCCTCCCATCTCCGATAGCGACAAAGAAAAGATCTACAAGCACCTCGGTGACTGGAAGACAAATGCGGATCACCTCACCTACCTTGTCTGGTTCGTCATCACTTACCACTTCTGTCTGCGTGGTTCGGAGATTCAGGCGTATCTAACATCCGACGACCTGGATGTGAAGACCAACGACAAAGGCAAAAGATACATCACATTAGCCACAGCATTCGCCCAGAAGAACCAGCAAGGCGGCATTAAAGGAAAGGACACGGTGTCTGATGGGATGATAGTGTCCGACTGGCAGGTGGAAGCCGTCCTACTCCTCACTTCAAAGTTGTCTGTGAAGTCCAAGCGACTCTTTCAGATACCACGCAAACAATACCAGCCAGAGGATGCAGAATGGTACACAGGCCAAGTGTTTGGTAAAAACAAAATCGATGGCATGATGAAGAAGATGAGCGAAACAGCGCGACTAAGCCAGATCTACACCAACCACAGTGTGCGCGCCACCGCCATTACGACCTTGGCTAAGCAAAATGTGAGTGCCACTACAATCATGCGTACTTCCGGCCATCGGAATGCCCAAAGCCTAGACTCGTACTTGCAGCCAAGCGAGCATGACAAGATGAAAACTGCTCACCTGTTGGACGTAGACGCCATTGATGAAGCACTGCAGTGTGCGACTCCGGAGGAACTGCAGGCCTTGGAAGAGCCTCAGGCACCTCCCCCGTCAGCTTCTGTCACTACCAGTTCATCCACGGTGACGTCGGAGAATAGCGCAAAATTCATATTCTCTGGCAACTTCAGTGGTGCCGTTCACATACATGTGAACGATGTGAAGGAACTGCGCTGAAGTTGGCTCGTTTCTGCAATGCAGTGTTCCATTTACAATTTACAATACTCCATTTCAATCAACTCTTCTATTTCCACTCCTCTATACTTTTCCTTCCTACCCTTTGCTAAGTTCAAACTAAACTCTACTGTGGCAATGTAGTTGTGTAGCAGGAAGAGCATTAAGTACGGTGCACATGGTGTGTAGGGTCATATGGGATAAGACACATGGTGTGTAGGGTCATATGTGATAAGAAGACACATGGTGTGTACATGGTGTAGGGTCATATGTGATAAGTAGAATATCACCCTCGTAGCTCGGGTGATACCGTACCCTCATATCAATCCCTTCTGCTTCGCAGTCAGGATTGATATTCGCCGGTATCACCCTCGTACTCATGAGATATTCTTTACTTATCTGTCTGATGACAAAACTCGTACTCATCACAGTCAAGGTTCAAAAGGTGCTGGCAAAAATGAATGGGGATTGGATGGGGCTGTGTTTACATACCCCTTCTGTGTGCCATATTTGTGAACTGTGTGTATCTACGCTGTGACCTTTCGATCTGTTTGGGATGCATACGGCTCTATAGTACAAATTAGGTGCAGTGCATTACATCATTGATGTCCATTTGTGGCGCTGTCCCCGATGGCAAGTGTCGGATTTCACTTGCCACAACTGTACATCAGGTTAATATTTAGTATTATTTACAAAGGATTGGGAAAACTTCAAATTCTTGATGCTTGTGCTGAGACAGGAAGTGGTGAATTGCCATAGCTTGGTGAGAGAAAGAAGAGAGTGACTAGTGTGATCATGTTGAAACTTGAAACTTTTTGAGCTGTTGCAGCAGAACCCTTAAAAAAATGGTTGAAGTAGTCTTGCGGGGAGCTGTTGTTAAATTGGCCTAAAGTTGAATTGCGCTGTTTGCCCTATTCTCTCTGTGTTTTCTGCTCTTTCAGCTACACGTGTCGGTTTGAAAGTCGTCAAAGTCTTCTTCCAGTCAGAAGGTAGATTCGTACGAGAAGAGCAGCTAAGCATCGTTACCAATCTTGTAGAAAAGGAAAAGGCGAGGAGTGTGCCTGCAAAGTGCTGAGCTCCTCCTCCCCCCCCCCCCCTCTTCCTGTCCCTCTCCACTCTTGTCAGAGATGTTTGTGTTTAAATTACATCATGTAGTCCCCCGGGTGCTCAGTGTTTTGTAGCCCACGACCTAACCGTGGCAGTGCCATCAAGCTGAGTCCATCACAATCCACCCGAAGTATTTCCGGCGTAACATCTCACTACTCCGCATTGTGGCAAGTTAGTTACATGTACGCAATCACTCACTGCTACGCTACTGCTGTGCAATGCCGTTTTGCATTCCTCCCGATCTGCATCATTTTCAGTGCAAAAGTCTAGCCCCCAGCCTTTTTTCTTCCTATTTTGACATTTTCAATATGTTCAACTACAGCTGAAACACCAGTATTGCCCGGGTATTTTAACGAACATTTTTTTTAAATGTGCATTCTCACGATATCAAAAGTCAAATCTTGAAGTCGTTACGTGCAAACACCGTCGGCGATGTACCGCCACAGTAACCGGTTGAATTGTTGCCAAACACAAGAACACTACAAGTAAGGAATATGTTGTCAATTTCGACAGCATGTAACTGTTATACCGGTAAGCTCCCAGCTTAGTTTACTCTTGAATGTTGCTATGATTATTCTCTTCATGTCTTGTACAAGTTGTAGTTCAGGGAGTTGTAGTTTCACCAAGAGCAAGACTCAGCAAGAGCTACAGGTACATGACTGTACACTGATTGTAGCTGTACCGGTACTCGTTCTGCGTATTTTCCACACCACTAGGCTGGTAGGCACTACTGAGTACTGTATGTCAAACCAACAACAACAACTGAACAAGTCAAGTGAAGTAGTCACCAGGTCACTTGACTTCGTAGACGTATTGTCCTTGCATGCAGTGTAACGCTGCTTCACACCAGGGAGTACTGTGTGTCAGGCTGCATGCACTGCAGCGCAGATCATAAATAATTGACATAATCACTGCATGCATGCACTTTTTTTAATTTTTTTATATAAAAAAAATGATGCATGCCACGGCCTGGCCGTACGGTACGCGGTACGGTACGGGCCGGCCACGCGCTCGCGAGCTTTGCCCCACGTGTTACCATCGCTACCGAAATGGCGACGAAAACTGCACAGAATTTTTTGAAACGGAGGAAAATAAAAAATGCGTTCATTGACTGTTAGCATGTTTTGCTCTTGTTTTTTTTTGTTGACGTGCACTCACAATGCTGAGCCATATTTTTGAAGTAGGGTCTACTCGATGGTGCTCTCTTTGTCACAGTTTGTGTGTGTTTCGTGTTGTCTCGAGCCCCATGGCTAGCTGTCACATTTGGTGATATCAGTGAGTAGATACGCATTGGCTTACGAAAATGGGCAAGCGGAAGGCAGAGAGGCTTGGAGCGCGACTATCTGGCTATGAGAAGAAGCATCTCCATGAGTTTGGAGAAGTTCACCCTGTGAATGATAGGTGAGGAAATGCTGAATGAATTGAGAACGATGGCTTGTATCCTGACTTCCATAGCATAAAATGAGCCAGATTTCAGATAGGGAAATGCCAGTTGGCTATTATCAAAAGTACTCTTGCTATTATGGAATATCAATGACAATAAAAATGAATGAGGGGGGGGGGGGGGGGGGGGATAAAACAAAGTGCAAGAAAAAAAACCCAGAACTGGATGAATACTAAATGGCTGCACGAACATGTGTCATGCCACCTCACTTACAAGTTACAATTGCCGAAGACCGTGACTGCGAGGGGGCCAACTTGCACCACCTGAGATGGCTCAAAGTTGTGTTCCAGCTGCTGCTACAGACAGTGCAGTCAATGTGCACACACCAGCTGCTGCAGTGAACACTGCTGTGGGAGGAAAAAACCTTGCAAAACCTTTCTGCTGTAGTGCAGGCTGAGTTATATTTAACCCTTTAACATGACCAAAATTCCCAGGCAGTTCCAAATGCGATATTTCTCACCTCATTCTGAGAATATCTTTGGTTCTAATCAACCAATTTTCACAATCTTGGGCATTCTGGAAAGCTCTCCACGAGCTGCGCACATTGAGCTCAAACTAGACACTACTGAGATCACATATCCAACACCAGGGTGCTTCAATACCCCCCATCGCTGGGTATCCGAGAAAATTCTCTCCTCGTTAGCCATTTCTTGCTCTTTCATCGTAAACATTTCAAATGTGTTTGCTTGAGTTTCTTTTTATGCTGCCCACGCGCTCAAAGCATGCCAAGGTGATGTCAGGAGAGGGGAAATCCCCAGCTCAAGGCCAGTCAGTCAGAAAAAATTCTACTTTTGCTGTGGCTGAAATGTCGAGCGCGATATCTTGCTCGTTGTTATTTTTGGAATAGTTCAGTCCAGTCCAGTCCGAAAGGTCATACTCGGATCGGCTCGCCTTCTGTACTTCATCTCCAAGCATGCCGCATGGGTGTCTAGTTTTTGAAATTTTTGAGGCAGCACATTTCGTTTACAGCCCATCACTCGCCTGTATTCTTTGAAAGACTACCAGCAATTTTTTAGCTCCTGCCATGTCCGAACTACTTGATAGCAGTGATGGCAACAGCAGCAGTTATGAGACGGCGTGTAGTGTTGCGGTAACTGTTCGGAACTGTTCAGAGTCGTATCCTAGGTTAATCCGAATACTAAAAATTGACCCAAATTGCACATAACACGAAGCTGGTTTTTGAAAATTGTAAGTCGTGTATCTGCCCCATTTCTTCTTTATGACTTGCACAATACACCAGTCTTCCTAAACAACACATTTATAGCAGGGGTTAAGTACCATATAAGAGAAGTACAGCCAGTGATATTGTCATGTTGAAATACTACAATTTTGACACAAATTACACATGACACGAAGCCAGGTTTTGAAAAATGTAAGTCGTGTATCTGCTCCATTTCTTCTTTATGACTTGCACAATGGTCCAGTCTGCCAAAATATCACATTTATAGCAGGGGTTATGTACCATATTAGAGAAGTACAGCCAATGATATTGTCACGTCTATATACTACAATTTTGACACAAATTACACATAACACCAAGCTGGTTTTTGAAAATTGTAAGTCGTGTATCTGCCCCATTTCTTCTTTATGACTTGCACAATACACCCGTCTCCCTAAACAACACATTTATAGCAGGGGTTAAGTACCATACAAGAGAGCTACATTGTACATCTAGTCATACTGTCATAAACAGCCAGCATTTTTCCTGCAGCAGTCACACCACCATCATCATTATTTCCAGGGAAATCCTCTTACATTGTCAGCTCCTACGTCGTTAGATACAATGTAGGGGGCTGTAGGACCGGCTCGTCAAAAATAGAGAACCTGAACAAGCGTGCTCGGGACGTCTCAGCAATCATAGTATACCTGAGCACTCCAATAAAAACTTGATCAATCTGTCCCTCCAGGAACTTGCGATTCCGCGGCCGCGTTGTTTTCCGCGATTTGAACAAAAGTCCGTGATATCCGCGATATTTGAAAAATCATCCGCGTTATTGTAGAAAACTGTCCTTGATACTTGAAAAGCACCGCGATATTTCGAAAAGCAACCGCGATATTCGGGTCTTTCTTCGATGTTGTTTAGTTCTTCAAGCTCGTCAATAGTTTACTTGTGAGATCGACACCAGAATGGAGAAATTTCTGGGCAAATCAGCGGCTGACAAGTCACAAAATAAGGCTCGCGTCGAGTGTTGTCCGAGGATGGAGGAAAGCTGTCTTGCAAGCTCCTGTCAGGCAGTTGAACACAGTCAGCACAGCACACGTTCTGTTTTGTCATGCATGATTTATGCTGTACAACTCGTACATCGTACACCACTACAGTACAAGTACCAAAATCGGCCGCAATTTCCGCAATTTTACCACAATAATCCCGCAATATTTGACAAAATCCGCAATATTCCCCGCAATTTGTGGCATTTTACCTCGCAACTTTTTCCGCGATATTTCCGAAATGTCTCCGCAAGTTTCTGGAGGGACAGATCAATGGCAAAATCGTTCCCCACAGAAAATCATACTTTGCGGGTCTTGCGTTGCACGCTTGGGGGTGAAGTACAGAAGGCGAGTCGATCCGAGTATGACCTTTCGGACTGGACTGGACTGAACTATTCCAAAAATAACAACGAGGGGTTACGGGTGCGAGTCAACCCCTGTGACATGGATTTCTGTGCCGTGTCACCTCCCTAGTTTGAGTACGACTCCCTGATGTACACACAGGAGGTAAAGGGTTAAAAAAGTATGCACCTAGTTTTCTGGAGTACCGTAATGTCGCGTATAAAAGCAGGCGCTTACGGCCGTATAAGCCGGGGTTTGAGCCATGCTTCTATTCAAGTTACGCTTCTATTCAAAACATGCTTCTACGTGAACATCATCAGTCTGCACTGTGCAGTGCATAGTGCCACGCATGTACGCGCACATGTACTTTGCTGGGAGCGGCTTCTATTCATACCATGCTTCTAAACACCATGTACCAGTAATTCACCCCCCCCCCCCCCCCCCCCGAAAGTCGGCTCGTCTTATGCTACGATGGTCAAATAATAATTAACTGTGATACACATGGGACATGTCTGTATTTCATGAAAAAATCCAGATGCGGCTTGTACTCCGGAGAATACGGTACACATCTTGTGGCACTGATTTTCCTCCAGAAAAGCACATACAATAGCACCGTTGCGATGGACTTGGGTAAACGTACTTTCAATGTTTGCATACAGCCACGTACGAGCGGTGTATGCCATGACTGGAACATGTGTGTGTGTGTGTGTGTGTGTGTGTGTGTGTGTGTGTGTGTGTGCGCGCGTGTGTGTGTGTGACTAATGTGAGTGTGCACGTGTGTGGTGGTGGTGGTGGTGGTGGTGTTATGGAGTCAGGAGAAGAGTGTGAGTGATTTTACAAATTCTTTCTGCTTGCATATGTCTGGATTGAGGATGCGGATGGCATGGCTTCTAATACAGGAAGTAGCCTAAATTACTGCCATGGTACAATACCCTAAAGCGACAATCCATATACTTGCAAACACGAGGGGCTGGACAAGAAATTCTTGTGAATTGCAGGCTTATGGGAAGCAACATACACTGCATGATCAACACCAAGCTCACCAGCATCAACTCCTTGCGCACGTGCCTTTCTGGCTTCATGGTACGTATGGCTGTGTATATTCTTCCCGGTACGTGCGCCGTGTTCAGTGAAGAAGTATGGTAGTTGAACAGCTGGCAATTGTCCAGACGAGGTGGCCGAGTGGTTAAGGCGATGGACTGCTAATCCATTGGGCTCTGCCCGCGTGGGTTCGAATCCCATCTTCGTCGAGTTGGCTTTTTTTTTACTCTGGATTTCTGCTCGTACCGGCCTGTTGCTGCAAACCAGTATGTCTCTAATCTCTGGCTGTATAGACCTTATTCGATAACGTGACTTTTGGACTCGCCTCCAGGGATTTGTCATAAGCTAGGGCACGCGTACGAGAAACGAGTGGCAAGAAAGGCCCAGTTTGTACAAAAGAGTAGTAAAATACCGGTATTTATCTACTCCTATGTTCGCACACAGAGTCCACTGTGCACTGAGCGCAGATCTCTTGCCACTCCCTGGTTCCCGGGACCCCGGTTCACGTGATTGTGACGTTTATCGAATAAGGTCTATAGTAGTCAGGACGTGAAAGCAAGGATTTTTGAAACAAGATAGGAAGAGCAAGAGTACGTAAACCAGAGTGTGCAGCCCCGCATTGATGCTGCACAAAACTGATCCCACGTCGAAGTTTTTTGTTTAGGTCATAATGAATCATTGAAAATCCATCATTTCGTGGGTTTTGTGCTAAATCACCATATAACTAAGGTGATACAGGTCGTCCCTCGTTAATACATAATCTCTGGGACTTGACAAATGTTATGTATTAACGGGGTTTATGTACTAAACGAAAGTGTACAGAACTTGCTTGTGTACCAGAATTTTTCACTTTTTTCAACTTTTCGGAGTGTTTCTTGCTGCCATGACTAGGGAGCGAGATATTCTTGATTCCCTCGATATAACATAAAAAATATGTTATAACGGTCACAGTCAGCGACGATTCTACAGTTTACATGATACATTACATGCCCAGCGGCGCCTGTACAGTCACTCGGAAAAAAACAGAGCTTTGTCGGTTGGTGATAGGCGCTCTGATTTCTGAGCTAATTGTGTCCACAAGTAGAAACTAGAACACGACGTGCCTCCACTGGAAGGCCAAAAGACCAACAAAATTTAATTATGTACTATTGAGGTAGGTGGCATGCGGGTACGGAGAAATGTTATGTACTAACGGGGTTTATGTACTAACGAATTATGTACTAACCGACAAAATTTGTATGGAAGTGACCACGTTTCGTCCGGGACTTGAGATTTCTTATGTACTAACGGGGTTTATGTACTAACCGGACTCGTATTAACGGGGGACGACCTGTAACAGGAAATTCGCGTGCATTTTCACCTTTTGTATGACAAGTAGCAATGCGCAACAGAACTTACCTTGGTGATACGGTAAAATGGCCATGTGAACCAGTGCGAGCTGCATCAAAGGTGTGTCACTATGACTTGAATGAAAACCTTTGCTGTGGGACGATTTTCCTGAGCTGCACACTCAAGGTGATGTACTCTTGATAAGAGAACACGCTGAAAACCAAGACATATGACAGCGCGAAAATAAGAAAAAAGGAACAGAAAAACCGGTATGCGCTTATACAGTTTACACCAACAAAGGGCAAAAGGAAGAAAAAGGGAAGGAGGGGGGGGGGGGGGGAAGAGGTGCTCGCGCTAAACTGTGCTTAAGAAAAAACTGACACGGAATTCACAACAGGACAGTTACAGCCGGCCTTCTGCAACAACTAAGCTCGGTGTTTAGTCACTGAAGGTGGTTGATTTGCCACGGACCCCACAGAGGATAATAAAGACTGAGCGAATAAGCACGAACGATAAGCCTGCATCGAAGCCAAGCCATGGTGACACAGGAGGCTTCCTTCTTCTTCTCTGCCAACATGCAGCCAAGCCTTTTGAAGAAAGAACCCGCAGCTTTGCCCTGGCAACCAGTGATGGAGTAGACAAGCGGAACAAATGACGAGTGTTCTATCTCTCAAACACGTTCTTCACATCTGTCTTGTGCTTGGCATAGGTAGCGGCGATGGATTGGGAACCATTTGAGACGGCAATAGTGTTGAAAACCTGAACATCGAAAAATGCACGCTCAACTCGCCCTCCCCAAACCCGGCTGGCCGCTATGTCAAGTCGAGCTCCGTCTTCCTTTACGGCAGACGGAGTGCTAGTTGCTCACCAGTCAGCGACTAAAGAGCTTGTTCTGTGGACCCATCAGGAGCACTGTCTGTTGTATAACAGTTACATTACAGTGTATCCTCCACGTTGTGTTATGCTGTCATTGTTGTACTGCGATTGGCTTTATAATGTCTTTTGCAGTCCATGAATTTTTAGTCTTTACAAGTTTTCTGTTGTGTTGTGTTATTTGATTTAGCTTTATCGATGAAACTCCTGCTGTACCAAAGGCGAAGAAGGCAGAGAAACGGAAGAAAGTATGTATCAAAGTCAGGGTAATGCATTGGTTGTAACATGGAAACATGTGGGCACGATTACAATTACAATGTTACAAGTTTTTCCTCGGCTCACCATCTGAGTTCCTAATGCATTGGTATTTTGGTAATACAGTCATGTACCATCATGATATTGACATTGTACCATCATGATAGTGGTCCGTGCTCTGTAATCTGCTTGGGAGTCGTGTGCATGCTTGTGTGCATGTGCAGCTCATATAATTCTGTATGTATTGTGTTATCTGCAGCACGTCAAAGTGGTGCAGCGAAAAAGTGAGAAGGTATGTGGCTGTAATAGCTGACACTCCACCTATGATGGTTTGTTTTGGTGTAATAATCTAAGATGCCCGGAATTTTCGATATTTTTCCTGGAACGAAATGTTTCGTTGTGATCCAATTCTGGAACAAAACTTATTATTAAATTAAAGCTATGTGGACCCTGGCTAGCGCTTGACGTTACTGAAGTAACGTCTTTTGCATAGCTATGGGAATAAGGGTATGGTAGAAGCCTACAATTACAAGTGCGTTGAAATTTCAGACCATCTGGTAAAAGGAGTGGAGAGCGATCGCTCTCGCGCGCCTTCGCTCTCCTTATTTTCTTTTAGGGCGCACTTTTCGTCGCGCGCCTTGAGAATGTCGAGCGCATCCGCATCACTATGAAGTTCTGAAAACACTCAAATATTTCGTAACCCGGCTTTCCCTGAACGGAATCGAGTAATCGAAAGGTCTATTCGCATTAGAAAGTTCTCAGCTGTCGGCTCCAACGAATCGGAAGTCGATCCGAGGTCCAATAGTGAAGTTACGGCACTCGCAAGGTATTTTACGTTCACTTCCGCAATTGGGTGGCAATCATAGTATCTTGACAAAGGGTTTCCCTCTGTTGCGTGACAGTCCGGGCATGCATAGACCTGTGTGACGCCAGGCACAGGTCTTTAGCGGTCAGCTACAGAAGAAAGGAGCGCTAGTTTCCCTTCATCAGGGACAATGACACACGCAATGGGAAATTGAGACAATTCGCTAAGATCCGATCTTAGCATGGCATGGTATTTTTTGTCGTATTCATCGATGAATACGACAAAAAATACCATGCCATGCTAAGATCGGATCTTAGCGAATTGTCTCAATTTCCCATTGCGTGTGTCATTGTCCCTGATGAAGGGAAACTAAAGTTGTGGTCCGAACAGCTTTCATTTGTAGTGCGTACGGCGATTTTCGAGCTACATTGTACATGTATTGGGTATTGAATCCGATTGGGTTATGGCAAGATGCTGAAAAAACCGTGTTGTGCTCGCCTTGGATAGATAAGGCGAGCGACTTTTTTGGGGAGGAGGGGGAGGGTTGTGGGGACTGCTCTCCCACCACTCTCCTTGAGAGGATAGCGAGAGTGATTGTTCACTCTCCTGGATTTTTCTTACACGAAGGTCTGAATTTGATTTTCTTTCAAACGAACCTGGCCAGAACCTGCCCCAGGAAGTATTAGCCTGTATCCGTCCGACCGAGTGGACACATTCTCAGTCCCAGCGACCATTTTGATGATAATTTGGTTACCTTTGAGTGAAATTGGTAATATTGGGCTTTTTTGGAAAGCTTGGGCCACGAGGAGTTCTCTAGCAACCATTTCCATCCTTCATTTGTACGAGGAACAAACGTCTGTGTACAGCTTCAACTTTTGAAGAGAAGTACAGCTCATTGATGTGGGGACTTTTTGTGTTGATGTGTGCTGCGTTAGGAGAGGAAGATTGCACTGCCTGAATCTGTTCATTTTTGCTTTGTCTTTTTTTAGGATGGATACGCTTCGTCAGATGATGAGAAGCCCTCCTACTTTGACAAGATGATGCAGGTGCTGAGTCGCAAGCGAAAAGGCCCCAATCTCTGTGATCTTGGCAGTGCAATGAAGAAGACGAAGGTTAGCGCAGCCGCAGCTGAGAAGAGCTCCCTGCTAATATCAAGGTCGTTGTCCAGTAGTTTGCCTGTGGCATGCAGTGTTCTTGCCTCACCCAGCACCAAGGTTGAGCTGGGCGGGAAGCGTGAACGTGCCAATGCTCTCCAAAAGATTAGTCTGGGTAGGAGCAAGTCTGGTGAAAAGCAAGAGCCGCCAAAAGCAGCAGAAGAAGAGGATAGGGAGCAGAGCGAGACTGAAGAACATGATGATGAGAATATTCCAAGTGAAGATGACGATGACGAAGAGGCTGTTACTGACAGTTCTGACGATGAGACCGAGGGCAGCAAGAAGTCACAACATGCAGGTGAGGTGTGAGACTGTCTGTAGTCTGTACAAGTGTGCTGGTATGTTGATTGTATGGCTTTTTCTCATGACAATGTACTTTGGTGTGCTCGTGATCTGTTCATTTTTTGTGGTGTGGAATGGTTGCCTCACTTTGTTTTGTTAGTGCTGGTCCCTTTGGATTTGGATTCCGTCATTCTTCACCAGGAAATGCAAATGAAGACGGTTTTTTTGTTACCTTTTCTTTCAGGCGAATGTCGTAATTACTTCAAGCTCCACTTCAGCAATGTTCTCCCAGAATCTGCTGCTCAAGCTCTGTTGTCAAAGAGAGAGCCATCAAGCAAAGGATACACGGTGAGAGACATGCTTCTTAGCCAGCTGTAGCGGCACAGTGTCCTATTCTTCTCTTGCTTCTCAGTGAAGTCCGCTGCGAGTTTAGTACGCGTGCAGTATTATACATCTTTAGTACATTGATCATTTGGGAGTGAACCATCGCGTAGCTGCATTCCTCACAAGAGGTTGGGTGGAGCTGATGTTGTGGCTATAGCTATGTATAATGTGTTTTGTTGTGAAAGGTACTAGTACTCTAAAACTGGAAACTTTCGGTGGAGATTTATTTTCGGTAACTTCGGTGCAGGTAATTTTTAACTAAAATAAAACGCAACCTAAAACAACCATTCCATGCCACACATTGTGCAAAATGCATTGTTGGATCCGGAAAACTGGTTTACTGAAATTTTCGCGCTACCGAACCGTTGATTTTGGGAAATACCGAAAATATTACGCCGCCGAAAATTCCCGATTTTACAGTATGTTGGTAGTGTACTTTAACTTGGCCCCCACTCTTTGTCATCCCTGACCCGGCTGATTTTTTGCACGTATGAATCCATGATTGTGCTTCTTAGTTCGCTCTGACCAATTTTTGTGCATGCTTGTCTTCTAGTTTAAAGTATTTTTCATCTTGCTTTCTTCAGTTTCTACTTATGATTCTATTGTGTTAGTACTAGTGTTTGAGTGATCTGCACGGCCCAAGAAGGCTCATTACGCATGTACATGAATACCTTTTCTAAGTCAAGAACTCGACAGAAAGCTGTACAAACGTGTTCCTATGCCGTCCACCTCTTTCTGCCCTGTGCTGTTGCTCATCTGTAGTCGTGTGGACTGGGGAAAATGGAGGAAGCAACTTTCGATTGTGTCTCAGGCTGCTCTGAAGAGTTCTTGGCACACACAAAGGATTCCAAATCAGTGGCTGAAGTGTCTTTCTCTGGCGATGAGGTACGTATCAGCTGCTGGTTGATCTTTGACCTTGAATTCATTCTGTAGCGAACTGATTGACGCGACATACTTTGTACTTGTTGCACACTTTCCATTGGTTGTGATCTGCCCCCCCCCCCCCCCCCCCCTTTCCAACTGTCTCTGTTCTCTCCTTGTTCTCTGTGTGCGTGGCAGATTTCAAAAGAACTGCGCGGTGGCCTGTGCCAGATCTATGGTGATAACTGCGAAGATTTGGGTAGTGAGTGGCGGCAATTGTTCAGTCAGATGAACTCCTACCGGGTAAGACTTCATGTTTTGCATGGGAATGTCAAATTAGTGATTTGTTCAATTCCCGAAGCTATGCCAAAGTTGTGTAGTGGGTCTGGCGTAGTCAGGCTCCACAACTCTTCATTTCGTATCTGTAAATGCTTGTCTCGAGTGTTGTTTGTTCGCATGTCAGGTGAGGAATTGATAACGTATGCAGTACTATGTACGGGTGAGCAGAGCATACTGGAAAGTGGGGAATTTTGCTCTAGATATGTAATGCACAGATGTTTCAATCAGTTTGAGTGACTCATATGATTACCCAGTGAAGGGCAAGTATAGCGAGGGCCCTGGGCTGGCAGGTCTCTCTTTCCAGAAAATCTACTGTTTTGCAGAACGGTTTTCTTGCTTTGATCTTCATCTGAGCCTGGCTTATTGGTTGTCATTCCACAGCGCCACCCGCTGTTGAATAGCCAATGTGTCTGCACTGATCCCAGGCCTTCTGTTCCCTGCTTCCCTTTTCCTCCCTGGGCTCCCTGTTTGTTGGCTTGCAAGGTTTTGGAGCCTTTTTCTCTTGTGATGTCTTCTCATGTGTTGTTTGAACTCTTGGCGGGTATACCAGAGGTCAATCTCAAGGCAATCTGCAGAATTCGAGCGAAGCACAAGCATAAATTTATATTATTGCTTGTATGTGTTCGTGTGTATGTGTTCATGTGTATGTGTTCGTGTGTGTGTGTGTGTGTGTGTGTGTGTGTGTGTGTGTGTGTGTGTGTGTGTGTGTGTGTGTGTGTGCATTTTTGTCTTCAGGATGTTGCTGTCGGGCTCAGGCAGTCTTCCAATGCGGAAGATGTCCGCCATCTATACACTCTTCATGCTCTGAATCACGTCCTGAAAACGCGCCATTGCATCATGAAGCACAACGCCAAGCTAAGGGCCACACAACCTGATGAAGTACCGGACAATATGCGTGACCAGGGCTTGACAAGGCCCAAGGTTCTCATACTGACCCCATTCCGCAACTCAGCTATGCTGATCATTGATGCCATGCTGAAGTTGTTGCGTGATCCAGCCGAGAAGGTGAGTGATGCTAGTGCACCTACACTACTAGTGCTGGAGCTTGAATTCCGCCTTACTACTGCTGTGTGTACAAAGTTGAGTCGGATAACAGGCCATCTGCCAGGGGTGTATCCCCCCACCGCTTCACCACATACCTGTCAGCCGGCTAATCTGGCTAATTTGTTGTGACAAGGTGGCGTTTACTGCTATGTGCTGACGTCGATGTGTAGACTTGGCTGGCCGGAAACCCCTTGGAAATGCACCGTGAGCTATGCCCCTGTGTCCGTGATCACAGCCAGGTTGCACTATCAATGTCCGGAGGCCTTCTAATCCACTATTGCCCATCAACATAGTACTTGGTCCGCCCAGTTAAAATTGGCGCTTATCTTCTCACTTGGTTTTTTGGTGTTCTGCCTGTGCCACACGGCATGGAACCACCGATTCACCATCCGAACATGACCATTGACCATTGCATCCGACGACATGGCAGCACAAACCATCACAGAAGTTGCGATCGGTTCGTTTGAGTCTTTTTGACGGAGCTGCCGCCGACGAACACTTCCGTCAGCACAAGAAAACACTGCAACCTCCGCTCGAGTCCGTAAAATAGGTCAGGATGTTCGCATTTCAGAGCGATGGAGAATACAGTTTCTGTCTACTTCCAGCTGTCTGATGGCAAGGATTGTTTACCCCGGGGAGGTATAGAAAAGCTGAAAAAGCGCTTCGCGAGCTTGAATTTCAGTGCTTGCACAGTACAGCGCCTGGTGAAGGGCTATCACCAGCAAATCGTTGAGGAAGGAACTGCAGCTCATGTCGATGTCTCCAGTAAGTGAGACCAATCCGGCGGACACACTTTGCAGCTCACAGAGGACAGGGCAAAGTAGCTAATCAAAGGAAACACCAAGTCCTGAGAGAAACACTCGTGCAAAGGACTTTCAGGAAACTAGCCGAAAAGCCTGGTGCACGGCGTTGTAGGTGCAGTACGCACAGGTGCTACATCAAGCGGAAGCTATCACTGCGCTGCATGTACAAGCACCAGCGGCTCGCGTGGGTAGGGGTGCTGATCAGCAAGTACGACAAGCGCAAGAGGCGATTTGAAAAAAAGGACACTGATATGGCGTTGCCTTTTTGTCTCAAACAAAGTCGCATTATTGCGACGAACGGGGATAACACTTACAGTCAACATGCGGGCAGTCTCACTCAGCTTCTGATGGGAAGGTGACAGGCACGCACTGCCTTTGAGCGTGATTCGAGACGAGAAGTGGAATAAGCTATGAAACGACCCGTGCAGCAGCTGTCCGGATCGTACGTTTTGAGCTCTTCCTCCAGCGACGATAGTGGCGAGGAGGATGTGTAACTTGCTTGAATTTTCGACTGAGTTGCTTACTGACATGTAAATAATCATGTATATAGTGCTTTGTGATCGTGGCTTGCTTCAAATATTCGTATTTCTTTCCTGAGACAAGTGTGAAGATAAGCGCCAATTTTAACTGGGCGGACCAAGTATATTATTAGTACCATTTTGTACTCGAATTAGTCTTCAACAAATCGGTTGGAAGAAAGCGTATGCGTGTGCATAGCGAAGAAGCCACTGCTTAGGTGTGTGGTCTACCAATAACATCATACGATTGTAGCTTTTCTGGTGGTGTAATAGGCTATTCATAGTACGTTACAATGCGCGTCACGTTTTGGAATACGACGTACTGGCGGTCGTTTTCATGCAGATGCATTCACACAGGCAGGTATACTCTTTTCGTACAGCTGTGCGCACAGCTTCTTTTGGACACAAACAGCTGGGAACGACAGAACGAACGTCGGTACAGGGGTCTGGATACGTCGTCTACGTTTTCGTATCAGGGGTACGATTTTCCCGCCACGTTCCATGTTGTCATGGCTATCCGGACGAAAACGCCACGTTTTGGGCGTAGTGTGAATGGCCCATTACATGGATGTTATTCATCAGCGGGATACCGTATTTCCCCGATTGTAAGTCGCATCTTTTTACACTAAACTTCAAGGGCAAAGAAGGGGGTGCGACTTACAATCAAAAGTGACTTCTTATTTGTGTGAATGCATTGAGACGATTTGGTTCGGACGTGAGAATGGGCTGCGACTTATAGTCGGGGAAAATACGGTACCAGAGTACTTGTATTATAAGTACTGATTTCGAATTTGCCCAAATGTTCTGTATTCTTATGGTTGATAAGTATGGTGGTAAACACACACCTGGCAATATGGCGGTAAACACGCGCCTGCCCACACACGCTCTCTAGGCTGCAAAGTTATTCTGGCACAGAGCTCTCCTTCTCACCACCACCATTAAGAGTTTGCGCCTGGCTCCTAGTCAATGCATGGCTGGTTCAACTTCATTGTTCTGTATTCTCACTGCTCTATTGAACAGGTTGCAGTGGGTCACCGAAAGCGGTTCTACAGTGAGTTTGGTCACGACGCGGAGGAAGAGGAAGAAAACACCGGGCCTGTCAAGAAATCAGGTATGTGTGCACTCAGACGTGCATCACCGTCTTGGCCATAGATCAACCTTTCCCAGCACATTGTGTGCATGTATGCATGTGTGAGTGTGTCAGAGTGTGTGTCAGAGTGTGTGTCAGAATATGTGTCAGTGCTCGTATTTTATCCAGCTGATGGCTGTAGACATGGCTTCTTTTTTTTTTACAAATTACAATGAATGGATCTTGACCCTTTTCATACTGTCTCCCAACCACATGTGCTCGCTGGGCTGATTCTGTTCTTCTTCCTTTTGCTCACAGAGGAATTCAAGGAGATGTTTGCTGGTAACATTGATGACAATTTCAAGATCGGTCTTTCAGTGCAGCGCAAAATTGTCCGCTTGTACACCGACTTCTACTCTTCGGACATCATCATTGCGTCTCCATTGGGTCTTAGACCCATCATCGGTGCTCAAGGGTAAGTTCAGGATGTCTCTCTTTATTTCTCTCGCTCTTGGCTGCCGCAATGGGATTTGTTCGTGCTTGCCACCAGAAGTATGATGTGTGTTCTTGTCATGTTGTCAATGTGCTCTCTCTCTCTCCTGCCCTGCCCTCCTACAGTGATAGGAAACGAGACTATGACTTCTTGTCCTCAATTGAAGTTGTAATCGTTGACCAAGCTGATGTCTTCCTCATGCAGAACTGGGCACATGTCTGTGTGAGTATCCATAGGAGTCTGTCGCATTGTGTGTTGGTACAATGTATTCTGTATGTTGTCTGGACGGAGTTCTTGGACATAGTTCGCTCTAGATACTTGCTCCACTATCTATCATTGCTGTAGAGTAGCATTCTGAATGCAGCCATGCCTGTGTGTCTGTTGATAGTGGACTGAATGTGTGCATGTTCATGTAACGAATATCATCTGCAGCCTAGCATGTATACAGCCATGCCGTATATGTTACATCTTGAAGCCTACGATGAAGGAATACCGTTGCCACTGACAATCTCTTGAGCCTGATCCTTTTTGTCTCCATGCGAGTGCGATTGCATGTCGATTTGCTTTGTACTCGTAAGTTTTTCACATCATCTGTTTGCACTCCTCTGTGTATTGATTGCAGCATCTGTTTGAACACTTGAACCTGATGCCTAAGAAACATCAGTCAACTGACTTGAATCGATGGCGATTCTGGGCGATAAATGACTGGTAAGGATATGAATGTGTGCATGGCGTTTGCAAGAGTAAATGAGCCCTCAAGGCTGTGCAACTCTGCGTGGGTTTACTATGGGGTCCATCGACGGCAAAACTCACACAAATCATGACATAATGTGTGTGAGTTTTGCCACCATGTTGTGGTGCTCACGTTTTACGCTCCCAGCCTGTTTTTAGCAAGCAGCGGAAAAGTAAATTATAGCACTCCCTGACAGAAGCCACTGAGCTTATGTGGGTCATCAGCATGATCATGGCAGATATCCGGACTGCGCGCACGCTGGCCTACGTTGTACGAGCACAAATGTACTACTTGAAATACGTGCTGTAATTTTTCACAGTCGGGAGTCCCCGTATGCAAAGTTTCACATTCTTGGGATTTTATTTGCTCTTGTTATTAGGACAACTTGTTTGATATTTTTGTTGAATACAACTGCATCTAGCCAGAGCATCCTGACTTTTAGTGCTTGCTACTAGTACTGCTTTGCTTTGTTCTGTTTGGCAGATGGGTGAAGTTCTGTAACTTGTGTGTGTGTATGTGTGTGTGTATGTGTATGTGTGTATGTGTGTGTGTGTGTGTATGTATGTGTGTATGTCTGTGTGTATGTCTGTGTGACTGTGTGTACGCGCGCGCTATTTTGTTGTTGCTTTTTGGCGTGCAAAGGTCGTCTCTCTATCGTCAGAACCTCTTTTTCGGCGACAGCCTCTTTCCGGAGTTGAATTGCCTGATTCGCATGCACTGCCGCAGTATCCTCCTCTTATGTGTGTGTGTTTGGAAGTAGTATAGTGGGTGTGCGGGTGTGGGTGTACACACCCACTGAGTCTTATAGCTCCTAACTTGTCTCACTTGTTCAGCATTCCGGTGGTCTAGCATCGCCATCATACTACAAGTAGTTTGTTAGATAACATTGCATTGAGCTCATATTGCAGACTAAACTCTATTACAGAAACAAAGAAACAAAATCATTTAATCCTTAACTCTCAGTACAGACTATGCTGGCAGACTGAAGTACTCCAAGGCTATAGCAGAGGGTTCACACCTGTCAATCACCGCTAATGTCATACAGGTATTGTTCTACTAATGAAGTACAATGTGTTTGTAGTCCTGCTGTAGTCCTTGCTGAAGTCTCCGCTGTTGCATTCATTCAGTGTCAAATCATCTGGCTTGTTCGGTCTACTAAGTCGAACTCTCCCACGTGTAACTGTCACTGAGCACTGTCCCAGGTGAACTGAACACCTGTCAAGTCTGTATGGGCTGCAGAAGGACACCCAAACACGCGAACGTGCACACTCAGAGCACATGTACAGTACTGATCACTGAAATCCAGTCGCGTCACTTAAGTACGCGTCGGGCTTTGCGCAGCCATGGACCTACGAATACTGGGCTTGGGAATGATGCAAGGCGCAAGCTTGAGTGATGCGACTGGATCTGTCAGCCAGTTTGTTGGACTAGAGGGAGCGGAAAGTGTTACCGGCTTTGACCTTCGTGAGGCGAGCTTTCTGTGAGTCTTCCCGGGTCTTCAGATGCTCAGACAGTACTGCTGTTCGATTCAGTATAGCCGTGCTTGGCACAGGCACCGATGATTTGTTTGCGGGTTCTTCATGCTTGGTAGGTGAATTGGATGCCATCACAGGACTCACCAAGTCCATGGAGGCAGTGGAGGATGCGGACACATGTATAAAAACTGTGTACGAGAATAGCTTACGCTGATGACAATGCGCTTGCTGGTACAGCTTGCCGGGTGTCTGAACACGTTCACTCGGCATGCCTACGTTGTTGCCGTTGTCAAAGGATCATGGTCACCCTGCTACTTGGGATGTGGCATATGTATAAACCACTTTAGCCTGGAGACAAATGAGTCCACTACAAACTAAAATGGACAGTAGGGTGGATGAGCTCAAATTCAAAAAATGTGCATTTTGTTTTGTTTTGATTTCCTACCCAATGCCTTGGCCACCATGATGTGTGCTCTCCATGACACTGTGCTTGCTCTTGTCCTCTTCTTCTCCTATTTGTGTAGAAATTTGAGCGGGTAAAAGCTGAATCAATCAGTTCTGAACCCGACGATCGTTTCAAATACTTTGTGGATATGGTAAGGATGTAACTAGTGATGTCATCATGTAACACAGTTTGTTATCTGTTTTACCAAGAGTACATAACCCCCAGAGTGTGCAACTCCACTACCAGCGCTCTCCCGACAGAGTTTCAAGTTGACGTCACTTTTAGTGATGCCATGTAGCATGATGTGCACATAATTATTATTAGATGTTTCCTAGACATGTGGTGTTCAATCCCCGTTTGATCCTGTACAACCTATAGTAAGGAAGCATGTGTGATTGCGTTGAGGCCCGGTACAACTGTCGTGAATCACTCATGCCAGGAGCATGCATCCTAAAAATGACCTCGACTTGAAATTCTGTCGGGACAGCACTGTACATATGCGGCAGTTGCACACTCTTGGGCTTATGTACTCTTGGGTTTAGACTAGGCATGGTTGTTGACTTTATGAATGCTATTGCTTCAGTGGAGAGTGTGCTATTGCTGATGCACAATTCTGTTTGCCGGTAGGAAAGTACAGTCAGACCTCGCTTAACCGCACACATCCATTTTCAACAAAAATATCCGAATAGGCGAGGGAACCGGATAACCGAACACCGGTTATGCTGGTGCATCACGTATGCTGTAAATCTGTAACCAGCTATTTTCTTCCGGATGGCGAGGGATCCGGATAAAAGAGGACCGGATAAGCGAGGTCTGACTGCACTGTTCTGTATTGCAATTGGGAATAAGTTATTCAATCTAACAGTGCTCCAAGATTATTTGAATAGTAAATATATGAATTGTTGATTTGTACTTCACAACCGGTTGTATTCTTCTGTGCTCTGTATCTGCGTAACTGATGAATTACATCACATAGATCCTTCCATCGTTGGTGAAGAATACCAAGGGTCATATTGCCATCTTCATCTCTTCTTACTTTGACTTTGTGCGGCTGCGTGAGCACTTCAAGAGAGAGAACATTGACTACATTCCCCTATGCGAGTAAGTGCTGACATATGTACATGTACCTGTGTTGTGACCCGCTCAGCAATGTATACTCATCATGACAATCACTCCTGTAGCCTAGTTTCCTTCAACAATTTCCACTGCTCTGGTGTATTCATGTAGTTGTCATACTGAGGTGCTGGAGTCTACTAGTATTCTCTATGTTGTGCTGCCCTAAGTCCCATTACTCATAATTATGGTGTAGGCCCTTTTAGAAGGGCACTTGCTGTGTTTTGCCTTCCACTACGGTGTGGTTTCTCTTCATTGTTTACCCTTCTCTCGTTCTGTGTGTTTGCTCATCAAGGTACACGACCAATGCGGACATATCCCGGAACCGTAGCTACTTTTTCCATGGCAATGCTCCCATCGCACTCATCACAGAGCGTTACTTTTTCTACAAGAGGTAAGCAGCCAATGTGTGCTACTGTTCCTGCTGCACTGTTGTCGCTACATTTTGTGTACATGTATTACGATATATGTCAGCCTTCTTTGATCACTTAGGCCATCATCACATTACGTTCTCTGACTCCCGTTTACATCTACGTCAACGGTGAAAATCCAAAACGGGTGGTCGTGTCATCAAACAGGCACAGTCGATGTACTTGACCCGTACACGCGGTCACATTTTTGGAGAAATTTGAAGATTCCAACGCATGTAGCTGTTACAAGGTCGCTTGGAAAAAGACTGTGGGAGATACGCACTTGGAAAAAGACTGTGGGAGATACGCACTTGGAAAAAGACTGTGGGAGATACGCACTTGGAAAAAGACTGTGGGAGATACGCACTTGGAAAAAGACTGTGGGAGATACGCACTTGGAAAAAGACTGTGGGAGATACGCACTTGGAAAAAGACTGTGGGAGATACGCACTTGGAAAAAGACTGTGGGAGATACGCACTTGGAAAAAGAATGTGGGAGATACGCACGTTCATCCAAAAAAGTTGTGTACGACCCCCGTTTCCCGTTTCCTGTGCTCCCGGCTTCACTTCGTACATGGATCATCATGACAACCGACCAAAAACTCCGAACATGGACGTAAACACAGCACTTTGTACCGCAGTATGATGACAGACTTAGCAAGTGTGATACATGCACCTGACTAACTACTGACAGTCTGGACAAGGGGTGATTGGCAAGAAGGCCTTGTTGCCTGGCTCTGGATGATAGTGTTGCTGAATGGTGTGTATGTGTGTGTGTCTGTGCATACAGGCATACTCTACGTGGCATCCATCAGCTCGTCTTCTATCAACTGCCGCGCTATGCCTCGTTCTACTCACAACTAACCGACATGCTCTCGCTGGATGCTGACCCCATGGAGGAGAGGCCTGTACGTTCACTATACTGTGACACTGACAAGCTACGTCTGGCCGGCATTCTGGGCACTCGCCGCGCAGTCAAAGTCTCTACGTCTCCCAAGTACATCCACACGCTAGAATGTGAGTGGGTAACGTCCTACTATGCTGTGGATCTTTGTTGTTACTTCTCAACACAAAAAAAACATGCTTCAACATGCTCAACTATATGACAGATCTGGATGGAAAGTGAATGATGTAAATATTGACTGGTGTATTGAGCTTGGGATGGGAAAGGGTTGTGGTTGTGTTCAGTTCACCTATATGTATGCAGACATTATGGAGGTTTAGTCCCACGTAATCTGTGTGTACTTTATGTGTGTGTGTACCACGTGATACTCAGTGACCCACGTACAGACGTTTTGTGATTCACGACGTACCGTGTATGGAGGCTCACCCACGTTTCGCCAGAACGTGGGTGAAAATCAGAATGGAGCGCATTGTGCGAGCTGTGAGGGTGCTCAGCTGAAGAAGTTTCTGAAGCACGAAATCAAAATATTCGACGAACTTCTAAGCTTCGTCTTTGACCAGGTTTGGACCTTTCGCTTCATGCGTTTGTTTGTTCCGTGTGACTAAACACAACATTGTGAACGTGGGTCCATTGCATGAACTTTACGTGTATCACCCACGTTCCCGTATCCGTTACGTGGTACTAAACCTCCCTAATGATAGGAGTTCAGAAGTGCTACTTCGAAGTAGCTCCTGCTTACAGCACATACACATCATAACATATTTCCTGTCTTCCCTTTTCACATCCAGGATCGAGCCCGCCAGCCAGCAGTAACAGGCAGCAATGACTGGTTTTCCCGTAGATCTGTCAAAACGTTTTCCATTCGGCTCTTTCCTGCGGCTGTGGTGATTGTGTGGCAGTGTGGATTACTTACGAGGATTGCACGACAACTAATGACTTGAAGCGGTAGTCACGGGCACTTTAATCTGCACTGCAACAACCAGTGTGTCAGTGCCGAGCATTTCATCACTGTACATGTAGTTTACTTTTCTCCATAGCAGTGTACAGGTATGCATCTAATCTCATGTAGACTTTAGTGTGTAGGGAAGGCAGAGATCTAACTAGACGTATCCAGGGCCTGGGAAGTGTTACACCCTGTACTCGTATCATGTACTAGTGCGTGCATACCACCATCTTTTTTAATTTATTTTCTATTTTGTTGCTCGCTTGATAGCCGGTTCAGCAGGTTTTTTTTCTTTAGACGTTGGTGTATCTAAGAATCCACCCTGCTTTATAATGTGGTAACATTGTGTCAGACCTGTGCACGGGTGTGTACATGCAATGCAGTAGCAGTTAGCTCTGGGCACTTGATGCATCCGAACCACTTTGCAAACTGCAGAATACTGGTCATTATTCGATATTCATGTTTCCTGTGCGCCAGAAGAATCGACAGCAATGAAGAGCACATATGCGCGCGCACACACACAAACACACACACACACACCATCACACACACACAAAGTTACAAACTTCTCATCATCCTTCACTTGTGATACGGTATACTGATGTGCAGTGTGACGGGTTGTCCAAATTAAATATTTGTATAAACGCAGGTTACTCGATCTCCGGACCGCTAGCTGTTTCGACGTAATATCTATTGCTAGGCCTTGTCAGTCGCTTGAGCTCAGAGTGACTGGCGAAAATGCCCATTTTCGCCCAGAAATCCGAGTGTACAACAAATGGGGCTTGCTTGGTTAGTAAAATGTTGGAATCTTCACCGAATACTTCAGAGTGATAATTATGATTATGTGCTGAGAATATCCAGAAATCTCAGAACATCTACAACGTACACGGGACTAGCCGACTAGAACAGTAGAATTAGCAAAGAAATCAAACTGTTAGAACATATAAAAATAGTAAACCCTGCACTAGTCAACCTATGAACAACACTCTAACCTAATCCAGTACTGTATGTACTTTGAAGTATTCGTACACGTGCAGGACGCCTAATTGATTTAGAGTAAGAAAAAGAAAATAGTCTACAGCAGGACACAGTTGACCAGCAACACAGAACTAAAACAAAACAAAAAATACTTGTAAGAGGGGAGACATAGCACAAGGGAAAATCAACGCAAAAGTAGAGGAAAAAAGAAGCTATGCAGCAAGCCACTGATTGAAAAACCGCTGCATGGTATCGCGTGATTCAGCCGAGCCCACGTTGACAGTCGGTTGAACGCTGCGCGGGTGAAAATGCTGAATGAATCGCTTTAACTCCGAGAAGCTACTGTGTTCACTGTACGGGATACCTATACAGGAAAGCATAAAGCAACCATGGAACATGAGAGCAATGGATCAAAAAAGCATGTAGAATGAGAACAGTGAAGTGAAGAAAGGCCCTTTGAGCATTTACCAGAAACACAACAGCATACACACCAGTGTGTGACAAAGCATTGTCAAGTCATTATGGCACAATCACTAAAAAATATGGTACATACATACAGCATATTCGAGACATACCGTACAAAATCATCCCATCACGAAAGCTAGGCAGGATTTCAGGCATTGCTGAGCCGCTGGCATGAACTGATGTCTTGTTGCTCTGTGTCCAGCCAGTGGGTCGGAAGCCAACGATGCAGTTGTACTGGGCGCGGTGTTGTTCTAAGTGTGCTGCCATACCCTGTGGATACACCACATGACAACACAACAAGAACAACAAGAACCATGTCAGTAGCAACAGAAAGTCACAAACAAGCAAGACAGTCGGCCGAAGGTTAAGGCAATGAGAACTGTACGATGTCCGCCTCACTATTCGGATTTTCCCCACCTGTCTGCATGCGGTCCAGTACAGATTTTATGCACCAGCGGAGTTCATATCAAGGTTCAACTGTGGGGGAAATAGCAATGATGCTAGCTAGTATAGAAGCATCATGAGAAGAGCGTAACATGCATATTAACCAGAGTGAAATCAAAGTTCAACAGTCGATTTATGTGTGTGGCCACATTGCTCTGCGAACATTTGCTGCCATAAGCTTGCTGGTGATTAGAAACTGCGACAATTTATTAGTGACGTGAATATTGGGCGGTTTACAGTACAGCTATAACAGTTTCGGTGGATTGTACCTTGAATGATATCTGCATCATGGGCAGAACGTGGACCTTTGCCTCTGACCAATTCGTTGTCAAACGACTGGTGAGCTCTGGCCACTCCAGTTGATCTAGAATAGCTTTCTTCTTGGCTGACACGGCAACCTTGCTTTGCAGAGCCTCTGCAACAGCTTCACACCGGTGACAAATAACATAGAGCAAATGCACACATCACATCACAGCATAATGGCTTGGAAGACACTATCCCAAAAGAACAATTCACTGCATGTTCCTACGCCCACAGAGTAGGGAAGCCAGTGGCATGCCCTGATAAGGTCTTCGGCGGAAGAGTCGCTGATTGGTCAGCTCCTAGGCAACGGGATTGATATCGTTCTAAATACCTTGAAAAGCATCTGTTTTGCTGTCCTTGTAACAAAAGATAGGGTTACCAATGTACCATATTCTTTCTTAGTTGTTCATGTCCATCATGCCAACTCGTACACTGAACTTGCTAACATGTAGTGTGCAGCAAACATACATGCCAGGGACTAACCATACACACAGACCATACGTCCAATAGGGCTTGAAAGTGATGACGTCAAAACGGCCAGGGAGTAGTAAGTTGACATCAGATTTCTATTTTTGGATCCACTAAGGTGTGACTTTGCTATTGCCTAAGTATGTGGGTGCATAGCAACCCAATCATGTCGCATGCAGGTGTGACTTTTATTTCGCCACCAGTTGTAACCCCGCCCCCAGTAGCCAAATCAGTCAGTTTCACTGGCTACATCACCATGCTGTGGGTAAGACCGCTTGAAATGTGCTTGGATCCATACAAAAACTGGATCCAAGTGGATCCAGTTTTTGAATTTTTGAAATTGTTGCTATGCTGTGACGTAGCACTTTCAAGCCCTATACACCATCACAAAGTACAGCTAATATGATCGTACATGTACACCAGTACAGTAGATACTATCATCCATGTACACCAGTACAGTACATGTACACCAGTACAGTACATGGACACCAGTACAGTAGAGCACATGACCCAAAGCAGCGTGCAAATAGACATTTACATCTAACATGCATGCTGTTAACATGTTACAGACACCGGGGTTATTCAGCTTTTGCTGCACAACAAAAAGAGTTCTGCAACTTGCTAGAAATACAGCAGATCAAAGAGGATAGCTCAGCACAGCCCATACCGAGGAACACCCTCTCCTTGCCGATTGAGTATGTGCCACTGACAATGAGTGTTTTCGGGTTGTTCGCAAGCGCTTCCTTCGCTTTGCGCACAGCAAATTCCACACAGGCATCCTGAGGTGGGAAGTCATACTTGGGATCAAGGTATCTACACATGCAGCAGCAACAGCAACGAAAAACACAAGCAAAAGCAGGGTCTTTCATGCCGTTGTCCAATAATAACGCACGGCATGTCATGTGAAGTACAATTCGGAACCCCTCCATGATCCAGAAGCCTGGGAAGATGTTCTGGCATATTTTGAAGCCTATGACATCGGGACACTGAGGGCTGATGGTGATAGGCGAACACCACGGCAAACATTCGTGGCACGAAAAGGACCGTGCTAATTTGGTGCAGCTCATACTAGTACTATGTGGGTTCCACTGCACAGACAGAACAGGTTTCAGTAATCATACAATAAACAGTGCTCCCAGCAGCAGGCACATTCAACTCACACTGATACCGATGACAGCAATGACAGCAATGACAGCAATGACAGCAATGACAGCAATGACAGCAATGACAGCACACCACATTACCGTACCCTCATTCAGTAACGCATGTAACTGGACTGTAAGCCTCGCCTTCACAGTGGATAAAGACATACCGATTGTGCCCAGACATATATTGCAGTTGGGAAGAGGGCAAACGCATTTCTTCACATGCACATCTGAAGTAACGGCACGCCTCTGCATGCAAGCACAACCGGCACTACAACAGCGGTTTAACGTTAGAATAGGGCTTACGTTGTATCAAGATAGATAGTGTCGTATCTCAGTCCACGCAGATGTGGATTGTGAATAACGGAGTCGGATGACCGGAAATCACCTGGAGAAAGTCAACACGCATGCATGCATGCACACAGATATGAAGATACAGTCCATGAGACAAGCAGTACTACAAGCAGACAGTGTACACGTATGGGGGGGGGGGGGGGGGGGGGGGAAGAACTGGGTAGACTGTGGGTTGATGCAGGCAAACCCGTAAGACTCCCGTGAGCCACTTCTTGTGCCCATCCGGGAATATAGTGGACTTTCGTATAAAATAAAAGACTCCCGGTGCACGATATCAACAGTACTCGTGATTCTAGGCAATGCCCACTCAGGTGTGTAAGTGATAGTCAACCACATCATTGAGTAAAACATGCAAATTGTCCAGTGTATAGTGCACATGGTTCTGCGAGTGCCAGTGCAACAGAACGTAGTGCACTTCTTAGACAAACGGTCTATTTTTTTCTGTCTTGAAAGCTAGAAACCCAGGGACCATGCATACTGCACATCACGACATGCTGAGCACCAGGCAACCACGTAACCAGGTAACTTGGTGGGATAACACCGGGGTAAGAAGCACAGAGTAGGACTAACACTTGATTGCTGTAGTGTAGGCCATACTACTACCGGGTACACATCCCGTACAGTACTGTGAGAGTGCTCTGTCTGGTGAGAGCATAGCACCAATATCCACAAGTTACAACCAGGACTAGGAGCATTGTAAGGACTGAGGGCAACTAAGGTCATACGATATAAAAAGCTGAATGTACTGTACTAGGGTTACACATGGCCCTGCACTAGTTCACTGTTTGTGTGCACCTCCTTGCCAATCGGGGGGGGGGGGGGGGGGGGTTAGAACAATGCAAAATGTGGGTAGAATGTATGCCCCTCAAGCCCTAGAGACAGGACACGTTCATTTGCCCCAACTCCAAAACATGATAAAGAATGGGTGTAGGGACGCTTTAGCAGTGCTTTACAATATTATTGTGCTACATTACTTGTAAGCAGTGAACACACCAGGCACACATATCCATACCAGTGTGGAGCATAGTCTTCCCATTGGGTAGCTGGAAAATAAATATGACTGATCCCGGACAGCTGCAGCACAAGCACAGCAATCATTGGCGACAACACATTGGAGCTGGGAGTTGCAAACAATATAATTAGGGCCCCAAAAGACCAAACATGACAAGAGTGATTGCATTCATAGTCGAACTTGGATGGTAAGCCAATATAATTATGGAGAAAGGAGAAGGGCAAAACATGTTAGGAGTTATGACTAACTGTCCACCAACGTTATGACTAACTGTCCACCAACGTAACCAGACCTTATAACTATACAGTCAGCAAGTGCCACAAAATAGGACAAAACTGACATTTTGCCATTTTGCCGCACCCGCTGACTGTATAATTATGATACGGCTATGTTGGTGGACAGTTAGTCATAACTCGTAACATGTTTTGCCCTTCTCCGCATTCATAGTCGTTTTTATAATACAGTATGAAAGAAAATTCGCAAAGCTCTTTCATAGAAGCATTAATTTGTAGGACTCCATCATCTCTAGCAGAAGCGGAGGAGACAGCTGTAGAATGGACAGTAGTGTACACCAACAAAGAAGCTGACAATGCAGATAAGCGCATACCGACATACAGCAGAGCCCCAGAAATTCAACACCTTCAGAGCCGAGCTAAGCGTTTCCATATCCCAGGTCAGGTGGTCTGATCAGTATTTTATTTTGTATATAATTATGATACGGCTATGCGCATATGGAAGAGGCTACGCGAAACCGGTAAAAACGGTCTCAGTTCCAAATCCTGTTAAACTTAAAGTGAGGCGTTTGGAGACCGAGGCTCTATAGTAGAGCCCTTCAGCAAGCTTGTGCTCGCCTTACAATTTATGCAGAATGATACAAACAATAGGAATGTTAAGCGATGCGAATGTTGGCGTTCCCAGACTCAACTTTACTTGCAAACTTTTGCGTTGCTGAATGTCCTAATTAGCTGAGCAGAAACTTACTGATTAGCATCAACAGGAGTGACAAGAACACCATGAATGTTCCTGGTCTCATTCATTGCCAGCGGCTGGATGAGATTTGGTGACACGCGCAGTTGACTTATGCACAAGTTACCAGTTGACTGAAAAGAAGGAAAGAAAACACACCACATGGTTACTTTTGCAGGTGCACACGGGTACACCTTTGACCTTTTGACGCCCATCGCCGAAGGCGATGATAGTGATGCTACAGCAGAAGCCATAGCAACTTGTGCCGGGATTGCACCATTCAACAGCTTGCACACGGGCACAAACAGGCAGACAGACAGACACATACACATATACACAGACACACATCTATGTTCTTGACCTATGGCAGGTCTATTCTGGAAGCGCTGGGTTCAAGAATATCTCCCCACGCTGACGCACCAGATGAAGTGATTCAAGGCAGCGGAGCTAATTAAGGTCAACGACATCATCGTTATTGCTGACCCACGGCTACCTAGCTCATAGCTGCTGGCAGTAAGGCAACATTGAAGCTGTGCATCATGGTGAGGAGGGCAAGATCCGGGCCATTGCCATTTTGCACGGCGATTGGAACGTACCGTCGTCCAGCGTTGCGGATCTGCATCCTTGATGTTCGTGAGTAAAGCCGATATTGACCTTGGCTTCGGTCTACATGGGAAATATAGGCCTCGTTTTACTCGGCATATACTTCCCATATAGACCTCATCTCGGTCAATATCCTATACAATGTCATATTAAAGTTCGTATTTTCTGAGAATCTTTCGTTGCTGCTGATTGTGCACTCGTACAGGAGCACTGTACTGCATGTGCCATGATCAACGTTTTGCACTCACTGTGACTCCTTTGTACCATGTGCAGAAGTCAAGCGACAATGAATCAAGAGTCAGCCTAGAAACATGCGCAAGTAAGCGAGTGTCGACAACAACGAGGCAATGGGGGAAATGCCATAGGTGTAACAGTGACCTTTTGAATTGACTATCTACTAGTGCCAAGAGTCCGTGACCCCTTCCCAGAATGTGCACCTCCTGATCGCTACAGACTCTTGCCAGTGTTCAGATAAACAAGGCACAAATTGCAGACAATAGTATAAATACGCTAGTGCTGGCACATGAACTGTCAGATTACCAAAATGTGCTCTAGCGTACCTTCGAACAGTAGATCGGATGAGAGAAGCTTTTGTTCAGTCCTTGGTAGTGGTCGGAATGGAAGTGGCTGAGAAAATACGCCTTGCAGCCCTCCACACTACCATAGCAAAATGCATCAACGGTGAAGCACGTATCTGAGGCATAAGTCCAACAAAAGCACAGTTCGTAAAACTCAAAAATGCAGTCAAAATGCAGTCAAGATTACCCCTAAAAAGTGGTACCGCCCCAGCCACCTTAACTAGTTTGTCAGAGAAGAAGGACTGGTCAAGGACATACATCTAATGACTTCCAGGGAATACTATGCTCTAAAAGTAAAAGCGTTCAGTACTCCCCGGTCACTACTAGCTGTAGTTGCGCCAAGTGAAATCCAGACCGATGTCACTTATAGCATCGCAAACTGATTTTCTGACCTTGTCTATGGGTGCAAAGTTACATGGTCTTAGGCGCTACAAGTGTACATCGGTCTGGATTTTACTTGCCACAATTGTACAATGCAAAATGTGCCTCACATAAATATACTACACCAACTGTAAGCCTAATTCAGAAGAGAATGCTAACATACAGCAGGACATAGGTACAGCACCTCATCTATGCACATGCACACACACACAAACACATGCGTGCACACACACACGCATGCACGCACACACACACACATGCACACACACACCACACACACACACGCACGCACGTGCACGCGCGCACACACACACACACACACACACACACACACACACACACACACACACACACACACACAAACACACACAATGATCACATACCAGGAATCCACTTGTAAAATGGGCATTGCTTCCGCCTCCGTTTTCCACCAGCAGCAGACATGACAGCGCCATCAGTTTCATGCCCAGTCACATTGCTTGCACCGCTAGAACCAGCAGCAGTAGCTGCCATTGCCCTGCCTGAAGATGGTTGCTGCCGTGCATTAAAAGTAGTGGAGGATGATACAGTGGAGGTTGCCCCAGTAGAGGATCCAGCAGCGCTAGGAGTGGGCCGACGTACAGTGGTGCCCAGACCGCCATACACGGGTGATTTCAACTTGCTCTGGGGCGCTACAGATGCACTAGTTGCTGGCGGCGGCGGTGGGAGTTTGAACTCAAAATTCACCAGTTTAGACTGGACCAATGGAACAGATGGCTGTGATCCATGTGAAAGCCGCTGTTGACCAGATTTCTTTGATTTGTTTGGCTGGGACGCAGGCAAAGGGCCAATGACGTCCACAACGCTGGCACTTGATCTTGTAGCTGAATCTTGTGATACAGCAGGCATGGGTAAAGACAGTGATGTCACTGCTGGTGCAGAGCGTGGTGGAATGTGTACTACTGATGTTGCTAATGAGGATGACATACCGGTAGATGGCAGCACTGAACACATGGTCTGCACAGAGCTGGGAACGGATGTTGCCAATATTGTTGAAGGAGCAGGCTTAGGTACAGCTGCACCACTGCGCAGGCTAGCAAGGATCTTGTGACTGTAGTTACGAAAGTGACCTGGCAGGCAATGGGAACAGTTCGTACCATCGGGGCATTCTACACGACAACAGTGTACAAGAAAAGAAAATACTCTACTACAATATAAACATGGCAGCTGGGGTCAGAATCCTATTTCATAGGTTACACGGTTTTAGTCAGGTTTTGACGTAGGAATATTAAATTTCCGAAATTCTCCCTTGGCAACCGGGTCTCACCCGGTCGTTCACACCCCACCAGGGGAACACCCCGGACCCCAGGCCATCCCATCTCAACTACTGTCTGCCACACCTGGCCTTATTACTTTGCTACTAGCAGGCAACAAACAGAACAAGACTAACCTTGAGATGGACGGCTAGGAAAATCCAAACAGTCCCTCACGTGACGATCACACCAGGAATCCATGCGCTCTGCCAACGGCATTTGACATCCGGGACAATGCGTGTATGCTTTGCACTGCTGGGCGACTGTGTCTGAATGGGCGGACCCAGCGGCAGCTAGCATATTGACTTTAGAAGTAGCAGTACTACTGGTGCATATACTCCTGGACGTGGTGCTACTAGACCAGTCACTTACAGATGCAGACTGCAACAACACAGCAGCTACAGGTGAGCATGTACTTGGCCTTGCTGATCGAGAGGCGGGAGCAGATCGACTACGAGACCGATTGAATTTCTTCCTGGAAGGAGGGACGAAGTCGGGGTCCTGGCCGCAATCAGATCTTCGTTTTCCACTCATCACATTCCCACAGCATTTACTAAGTACCAGTGTTGCAAAGCTGGAGCCTGTTTATGTTGATACGATAATGCTCAGCTCAGTACAGCCATCATGAATTATTAATTTTTATCAGCAAAATACTACGTGTACAAGTAGTTAGTTACATGGAACTAAATAATAGGCTCTACGGCAATCACTACTACACTAGCCTTATTCCCAAGCAAAATCGACTTCGACGACTCGTCTTCTGCCTTCTCCCTTGACTTGTGCAGACTTGTGGCCATGGTGTTTGGTGGAATCGATTTTCAAAGAATTAATTTTTACGTGTAGTGCTTTGATTACATCATGATTTACATGTGCGTTACATATTGACATCATATCTACGTCGTGAATCTTTGAAATCTTTGAAGTCAAAACAAAAAAATACGAAGTAATAATAATTATTAGTTGTTTGGGTTTTCTCTTTCTTCCTGCTTTTGGACTTGGTAGTTTCGTATCGTTGTGCTGGTACATGCATGGTGCTAAGACGTAGTCAGTTGGGTTCAATTCATGCATGCCATCTACCTCACAGCTTGCTGTAATGAATGAGTAGCCCAGGTGGTCAAGTGAAAGTGCTGCATGGAAGGAGTGAACCTATCTGCAGATGCTTCAACATCTCGCGGAGATGGTACGATTGGAAATGGTTCATTTCGTTCTCTCTTTTGAGTGAAACGTCGTGTTCAGCAAGTCCCGTCGTTGACTATTTTGTGTTTTGCACACTAGCTGGCAATGTGGTTGGTCAGAATGATGAGGAATTAAGACGATTTCAAGTGGAGCTGGAATTTCTCCAGTGTCTCGCTAATCCATTCTATCTCAACCGTAAGCCTTTTAGCAGTTGAAATACATACACAATATATACGAAAAACGTGAACCATCACAGCCTTGGAGTGTCATGCTCACGATCATCAGACATTGGCCCCGTGGCATTTGAGTGCTTTCACACTGGGTGCATCTTTTTGCAATTGAAATGCAGTTGTATCCCAGCGGTAGTTTTAGTCCATATCATTTCCATTGCTGCAGACTACATGTACACTACAGTGTATACCTGCACTATAATGTACAGTGGCGGGCACTGGCGGGCACTGGCGGCATTGAAATCCGACCCCAGGAGCGGTGCGCTTGTACTATACAAACGCGGCACGCAACCACACCGGCCTCAAAGCATGGACAGTGCGTGCATGCGTATCTTTCTTCTTCTTCTTCTTCTTCTTCTTCTTCTTCTTCTTCTTTTTTACTGTTCGAATACCCTATCTTGTAGTCAAACCGTTCACAATGGAGAGGTTTACAATAAAACGGGACACATGTACGCAGTACACTGTCGTACGCTAGACTAGAAACTTCCAAGTACATATCGTAGAAAGTGAAAGACATGAAAGTGATCTTTACGCTTTGCTGGCATTCCAGCGGCATGGCATGAGGCATGCACACTACTCGCTCTGTTTCGTTTCAGCTCCGTAGCATTCGTACGTAAAAATCCAGGGGTCGCATTTCCTTGTATCATTGGCCCAACACATAATAACATTGTACCGGTAGACATTCTAGTGCAATAAAATCCTTCCTTCTACTACTGTAGTTCTAGCTCTGAAATTTGGATGCATACACTCTTCCGGACTTCCAATGCAAACAAAAGAACTCTCACAATGCAATGTGCATACGCAGTCTGCATGCATTAGCATGACACTGTTCTCCAGCAATAGCCCTGAAACATGATGTCATTGGTTTCATGCACACAACAGTGGCCTATACAGTGAGAATAGCAGAATGCGTGTGCTGTATTTTTCGGAGTACCGTAAAGTCGCGGATAAAAGTCGGGTTTGCATACAAGCACATCGCGGATAGAAGCCTGAAAATCAAACGGGTCAAATGCAAAAAAGCCTGTCGCGCGTAGAAGCCTGGCTTCTATGCAAGCGCGGATCGGGTAGGTCAAGAGTGCATGCGCTATGTACGGTGCATAGTAAAACTGCCGCCATACCGGTAGTTAGTGGTAGATCTACGCGTGCTGCGCGTAGAAGCCCGGCCAATGTGCATACAAGCCTGGCAAAAATATCAGTGGTGCATATAAGCATGGTTTGCATTAAAGCCTGATGCAGAAAGCGGCTTATATGCTTATAAGCCCGGCTTTTATCCGCGACTTTACGATATATAAAGCCGTACTTTAAGCACTCGTAATTCACCCTAAACAAGTCAATGCGGCGTCAATGCAGCTTATACTGCATGGTGGGTTGATGTCTGTATTTATACTGCATGGTGGGTTGATGTCTGTATTTCGTGACAAAAATCTGGATGCGGCTTACTCCCGTGCATCTTATACTCCAGAAATACGGTATTCATTCCTTCGTTGAATTGATAATCAAGCGAGTAACCGTGCGTAGAAATAGTGGTCCGTTACATCTTTTATCATTAGTAGGCATCCATCATTGTACAAGCAAAACTGATTTTTAATCACCAAACATGTACACGTAGCCAGGTGGGTTAGCAGATACCAGCAAGCCTCTGTTATCCATCATCGGAAGACTTGAGGACTTTGAACATGTACGAAAGACTATGCCTCATGTACTGCAGCACGCACGAGTTACAGAGCATCGAGCTTCTGATTTGTTGTAAGCACCGGTCTCATTCCCTTGGGCTATTTCATCATCCGGCAACTGATTTTGCGTGTGTATCTATGGCGTTCTTTGCTCTTATGAGCATGGAGCTCTCCCTCGCTCTCTCTCTCTCTCTCTCTCTCTCTCTCTCTCTCTCTTTCTCTCTCTCTCTCTCTCAGCCGGAGGACTCCCCATAGTACTGCATTGCTGTAGTTAGTGCAAAGTAACAGAACCTGACCGCTTTATTGATGCTGTGCTGCCGCTATTCTTCTCAGACTTGGCACAACATGGATACATGGACAAGAAAGAGTTTGTCAACTACTTGAAGTATTTACTGTACTGGAAGCAGCCCGAGTATGCAATATTCATCAAGTAAGTTATTGTCTGCGCTGGTCTTCCCATGTAGTCCACAGTCCGTTCGGAACCACAATGTGTTTGGGCTAACCGCCACAATGCATGAAGATCAGGGAAGTACGTACAAGGGATATCTGGCCAACAAGCCGCTTGTACATGTACATGTAATTGCAGAAAATGATATCTGACCTCATGACCAGGTAGCGCCATGTTCCTTAGTCCTTACCTTAGTGACATTGGATTTCCCTTGGCCGCAGCTGCATTGTTGTGATGTGACGGATTACAATGTACGTCATGTATGTAACGCTGTGCCATGTTATGTAGGTATCCAGCCTGTCTTCACATTCTGGAGCTGCTGCAAGAAGAAACTTTCCGCAAGGAACTTATAAGTCCTCTGTGTGCCAAGTTTGTTGAGGAGCAGCTCTTGCTTCACTGGCAGTACTATGCCTTCCGGCGCCAAATGGCTGGACCTGTGCCTCCTGGTGCCGTAGCTGGCCAGGCTGCAGCTATCACTGCAGAAGGAGAGCCAATGCAGCCACTACAACCTCAGCAGCAGTCTGCCTCTGTGATCACTAATGGCTTACCGTCTGTGACCACACCAGCAAATGGTGCTTCATCAAGTAAGTATTACTGCTTGGTGGCAACGTATTGCTTTCAAATGGACGATTGTACCTGTGCTCATATGCTAAATCCCGTCTCCGTGTGACCGTTAGCAGACGGATTCTCTTGGCTCTGTGAAGACAGGGAAATTGCTTGGCCATTGTGACACCACTGTTACTTTGCGAGCTTGGCAAAGCGTACAGCATGCCGAAGCAACTTCTGCCATGGATAAAGTACAGTGCAAATGTCAAACAGTTGAGACCATCTCTGTTTTGAGCGCCCTCTGTTTTGCTCATTTGATTGCTTTGTCTTGCTCATGCTGCTGGTGTGGTTGGTGCTTCTTCATAGATGCGCTGCCTCTCGCTTTTTACCTCATGTTCATTTCTTTCTGTGTGAACTTGTATTTGTTCAACAACAGATGGTTCCTAGCAGGCATTGTGTGGAGTAGTTGCAACTGATGACTCGTGGATGAGGATCATGTGTGAGTTTCAGTGCATTGGATATGATGAGCGTGGTGATCAGACTTTCTGCCACTGCCCGTTTTTATATACCCCTACCTTGTACATAGAATGTAGTTATCGTCAGCTTGATTTTTATCGCCGATACCAGTTCTCCATTTCTACAGTCACTCTTCGTCGTTGCTGTGCCATGACATGGCATGCATTGTGTTGTGTAACTAATTCATTTGCATCCGCAGTGTGCTGCGCTAGACCCGGCTTTTATCCCAAATGCGAAATTTCTCCCTATGTCTAGCACTTGACTATTGAGATAGTAGCCACAACATGGGTTCTAGCTGCATTGGCCTGACTAGCCATTCTGTTGACTGTAATTGTCATTTTGCCCTTGTAATTCTATATAATGTAGTTTGGTTGTGCAGTGACTGTGTGCACAATCATCTTGAATGTGATTACATGATAGCTGTACAAGTCACTGCGCTACGCCTGTACAGTATCATTGTCATTATGTCGTATTAATTTTATGGTTGTATATAAATATTCCGTGTGCGTATACAGTACTACATTGTAGATACCTTTCACTGAGAATCATTGTCCCAGCTCCAAGTTTGTCTTGCTCAATCCTCTGTGTGTGTGTGTGTGTGTGTGTGTGTGTGTGTGTGTGTGTGTGTGTTCGTGTGTTCGTGTGTTCGTGTGTTCGTGTGTTCGTGTGTGTGTGTGTGTGTGTGTGCGGAGGGAGGGTCACCTCAGTTCGCAGTGTCTGCAACCTGTCGAATGTGTACGTTTTCTCTCTAACGTTGTTCTGGTTGTCAAGGCAACTAGACTACAATAGCCCCACTGTAAGTCAACACATTTTCGACGTCTGTAAACTCGGCCTCCCAGGGCTAAACACACATTTCGGTTCAGCCTGTACTGCTGCTAGCATGCTGCCTCTATAACTATACTGTCATATTGAGCCTTGAAAAACCAATTTTGGCCGCAACAAATATCAGGCCAAAAATGCCCAAGCCGAAGATAGTCGAAAATAAATAATAATATTAGGGGTGAAAGGGGTGATCCGGGTTACCCGGGTACCCGTCTGTTTAGCTGCTGATCCGTTAGCAAACGAGTACCCGATAGTCGTGTAGGATGGTAGGGTGCAGCTTGTTTGTATAGTCGTACAGTTCGGTGCACAGTTTTGAGTGTGTTTTTGCTTGTTCAATCCTGCTACATCATATCACGGTATCCATTGTAGCTACGACAATTTTGACTATTTGCATGTAGCACAGTGATTGTGCACACTGTGCTTGTCCGGGTCACGGTAGTGTAATTGCATGACTTCGCATATCCTCCTGGCGCGAAATCCGGAAGGCTATTGTATTAACTTTTGCCCGAAAATCTCTCTCCTTTCAGAATGCCTGTAAAAGACACGTTGCGCTTACGATCACAGGCAAATGCAATGTTTTTGGAAAAAGTATGGCGGATAAAGGGTACCCGATAACCCACCCGTTAAGCCAGATACCCGTTTGTTACCTTAAAGGGTAACCGTTTCACCCCTAAATAATATTATGCCGAATATTTGTAGGCTTACAGTATGCTCAACTGACTCTGGTAAATGAGCATAAGATCATCCAACATTTCGTCATGCACCAATATTCGTTTCTATGCGGAGACACTTAGTAGGTCTACTGGAGATACAGAGCGAGCCATCGAGTACACTGTACTTAAAAGGAGAAACTACCGGCAACATCAAACACACCGCCCATTACCGGTACTCATATTTTTTTTATACCATTGCAAGGATGCTGTATGCGGATACTTTCCCTATCTCAGTATCTGTCCAAACCAGGGAGTAGTACAATACATAATATTATTGTACTACTCCCTGGTCCAAACATGATTGTGCAGACATATGCTGCTGATGTCAGAGCTCTGTACTGTGTACACTGTATTCGTTTTTAGAATCCACATGTGCACAATGCCAATCATACTTGTACAAGTAAAACCTAGAGTATTAGAAGATCCCAGGAGCTTTTTTACTCTTGCCAGTCTTGGTAAAACTCAGCTCAATGTCATCTTCTATCAGTTTTTTGGCCTTGACTGGAGAGGTCGTTTCAGCCTTTGAGGCTTTGTTCTGGTAATGATTATGCGTGGTGTGGCTATCACTATTATATCAGGGCCTAGGCTAGGGCCGTACTTGTAGTATGGGCAAGCCGGGACCAAAGCCAAAGCCAAAGACTTGAAAGAGGAGGCGGACTGGCGGATACAGTGATAAGAACACCACCGTCACCAGCTCAGATCAGAATGTAGAATAATGCAAGTGGTGATGACTCAGCATTCAAGCATGTCAAGCAATTATTAAAGGGGAAGTATACCCTAAAATCAAATTTTCACCAGTTGTAGTCTTCTGGGTGCTGAGTTTAATGGTCTTGGTCCGAGGAAGCTGAGACGCTCCCTTCCTGCTTGAATCCCAATCGAACTCGCGCACTTCCACCGAAACTGGGTGACTGCGCCCTACTAGATGGGGATTTGTATGCAAAATGTCACTAAAAGCGCCATTTCGTTCTTATAAAAGCACGGATGCACGTGCTCCTGGGTGCCCAAATCACCTGGTCACCGCGCCAGCAGGCGACAACTTTCACACCAAGGTTCAACTCGAGTTCAACTCGAGTGATCACACAGGACTGCACCCAAAAAAGGTCAAACAGGCTAGTAAGTTAGTTGTACCCTGCAGGCACGGTGACCAGGTGACTGGTGTACGCAGGAGCACGTGACCGCTTGTTCAACCATGTTCGATTGGGAATAAAGGAGGAACGCTGCATCGCAGCCTTTTCGGACCAAAACCAGTCGACTCAGCGTCCAAAAGACTACAACATATGGGCCAATCGCGGTCATCCGTGCTTTTATAAGAACGAAATGGCGCTTTTAGTGACATTTTGCATACAAATCCCCATCTAGTAGGGCGCAGTCACCCAGTTTCGGTGGAAGTGCGCGAGTTCGATTGGGATTCAAGCAGGAAGGGAGCGTCGCAGCTTCCTCGGACCAAGACCATTCGACTCAGCACCCAGAAGACTACAACTGGTGAAAATTTGATTTTAGGGTATACTTCCCCTTTAAAATTATTATTATTGCAAAACAGCATCATGTCATGATTCATGAATGAATGAAGTCAAAAGGTGGGCTCAACAACTACGTCATTTTCATTGCGCAAGATCCCATTACAACACACTGAGTTTTGAAAAATACGGTCCTACACAGTGCAGTACAGGGAGTATGTGTGGACTGTAGCCTGTGTATCTCTGGTCCTACATTACAATCGTTGTCACTTCGATCACGAACTAACTTTGTGAGGGGATAAAAACGAAAGACATCGCTCTATCGGAAGCAGATAACGTTGCAAGCTCTTGTGTTCTACTTCTAGTTTAGCGTAAGGCTTTATCATATTTTACCAATGGCGGAGGGTGTTAGAACAAACGATAGCGCCAAGATGGCTGAGACATATCAAGGAAGTGATGGATCTTCGACAGCGAGATTTGGTTCAAAAACCCAAACTGTGGTCATGTCCCTAGGTAAGTTTGGAGATTGCATGTATTTGCTCAGAATCCTTGGTTTCGGTGCTCTAGTTTTTATGTATCATTTCTGATTTCTGTATCAACAGTGAAGAGAAAGTCTAGAAAATTGTGAACGAATACGATGTGATAAATTTCCAAAAGATACTGCTTTCTCTAGCCACAAGAATTGGATAGGCTTGAGCGCCATGCACAGTGCAGTTGCGTGTCAGTTATCCGGCAGTCACCCTCGAGACTGGACGCTGTTGGAATAAATGGATATTCTGGAGAACTGAAGCTACATAGCCATCTTTCACACATCAAACGGACTACATTGTAGAGCATGATTTTACATGGACAGTGATGCTCAATGAAATCCGATCGCGTGAGTCAAGTTTGCGCCCTGCACCACTTCACATCCCATTTTTCTCAGGTCTAGGGCTAGCTAGCCGGCTGCGCTATGTTGTCCCCACAGAATAACGTGGACGAAATCCTAAAATTATGCGCGTATTAAACAGAGAGGTTCCGCATAACGTTATTACGTTAGTAAAAAACGTAGTCGATCTACGGAAAGTCTTACGTAAACTGCATGCCGATCTGTGTTCTGCCATACGGAGTTTTCAAATCACGTAGCTGCCCTTGGCAACTCCGAACGCGGCTGTGTACGACCGGATCGACCTGGGGAGAGAGTCATAACTTTGTACCCTAATCCACTTACGGAGCACCTACGTTATCAGAGCCCTATCTACGTACTCTCCGTAGACAGCGTTCCATAAGTGGAGCGCAAACTCGCGAATTCACGGGTTTTTCACACCCACTAACGTAAAGTTGCTCAACTTTACGTAGTGCGGAACCTCTAATATGCAGCAGTGTACAAGTTACAGTCAGACCTCGCTTATCCGGTCCTCTTTTAACCGGATCCCTCGCCATCCGGAAGAAAATCGTTGGTTACCGATTTACAGCATATGTAGTGCATACATGCAGTATGTGTGTTCGATTATCCGGTTCCCTCGCCTATCCGGATATTTTTGTGGAAAACGGATGTGTGCGGTTAAACGAGGTCTGACTCTATCTGTCATTAGGGAGGTTTCGCTCTACGTAATTACGTATGAAAATCCGTATGTCGTACGCGCCGGGGAGCGAGGGCAGGTTTCATACGTTAATCTCTCTACGGAATTCCGTAGGAAAGCTCTTTCCTACGTTGGGTCCTCCGTAGGACTTTTTGAAATATTTTTTCGCATTTTCCGCATTTATCCATGGCAACGTTCAAGCCGCGCGAAACACAAGGTACACACACCGTACACCACGTGCAAAATAAGATGGAAAACGCGGTTTCGGTTCATGGTGCATGCGGTGGGCGCATGCAGCCAACGCGTCTCCAAAGCAGCAAAGCATGTTTAGCAGTCGTGGATAAATCACGTAGAGCGAAACCCAGCAGCTCTGTTTTTTACGTATGAAAATTCCGTGCAGTTCCGACGTTATTTTCATACGTAATTCCGTAGAGCGAAACCTCCCTATTTTACAACTTTAGCGTACAGTTTCATGCAGATATGCAACTTTGTCGTACAAACTGATGGGCGGGTACGCGGGTACGGCGTTGTAGTACATTTGCACCATCATGTACTAGTACTATTTTCTTGTACATTCCCATGGAAAACACGGATTTTACTCAAAATATCTCGACAACACGGATGAAAGCCAATGCCGGGGAAAATTGCGTGTCCGCAGAGTGACTCGATCAGATACCATTGAGCAGTACTGTACATGGTATTTTTGATGCTCTATTGCAGTACAGTGGATATCGGTTATACTTAGTAAAGTCATCGGATATAGTGATAAGCCAGTTACAAGGGGGAAAACTGTGATACACCGGTTATATTGATACAACATGACAATATCAAAAGCAAAACCAGAAAAAGCCAGTCAAATTATCATCTTATCAAATTATCATTGTAACTAATATATCGGATATAGCGATAAATCGGCTATAATGATGGCAACACACGAGTGAGAGACATTGATGTGTCAAGTTGGAGCCATACAAGTGTTTTTCTTGTGCCGCCACAACTCGTCAATTCT